CTACTTCTTAAATAAGTATTTTTAAAATAAGAACCCTTAGATACTCTACTATTAGATTATAGCTTAGTATTTACTAGTTAATTCTAGTTAGATATATACTACTACCTTAAAATTAACTATTACCTAAGTTTAGTATTCTACCTCTAGACTAATAGTTAGACTAAAAGGCTAAACTAGAAACTTAAAATATACCTATATATTTATATAAACTATAAGCAGGATAACTAGGTTCTATTATTACTATATACTAAATATATATATAACTCTAAAGTGTACTTTATATATAGAAAATACCTTATTAAGGTAGTATTTAGGTTAAACTTTAAAGGTTTTAATAGAATTCTAAATAAGTACTAGTTAAAGTAACCTCTTAAAGTCTAGAATAAAAATATAAAGGTACTAGAACTTTACTAGTAAGTTACTAGAAGACTTATTTAATAGTAAGAAATATAGAAAGAGGTAAAGTAAAGCCTTAAGTATACTTAGAAAAGTATAATAAAATAGTATAATACTAAGCGCTCTAAGAAATACTATACTAAAGGTAAGTAGGTACTTTTCTAAGTAAAAAATATTACTACTAGGTAGCCTTTAAAGAAATTTAACGCTAGGTACTTTAGGCCCTTTATAATTATAAAGTATATTAGGAAATTAGCTTATAAACTAGTACTACTACCCTTTATAAAGTATATATATCTAGTATTTAATATATTATTACTTAAACTATAGTAGAAACTCCTTACTAAGAAGAGCTTCTAGCTAAGGCCTATATAACTTCTAAAGAATACTCTACCTAAAGATAAGTATAAGGTTAAAGAAATTATAAAATACTATAATACTACTACCTAAGAGTAGAAGTATAGAGTAAAGTAGCTAGGTTAGTTTAATAAAAATACTACCTAGAAACTACTTAAGAATTTTAATTACTATAATAAGATTTTCTAAGACTACTTAGTAAACTTATAAGATATATCTTAAAGTGCCTATAGGCTACTAAGGAGATATAGGTAGAAGGTAAAAGCTTTACTAGATCTAGAAGTTAATAATCTACTAAGGTAGAAATAAGGATATCTTAAGAAGAACGTCTAAAAGGAAGAAGGAAAAGAAAGCTAGAGCTATAGTATAGTAATTACCTCTAAAACTAAAATTATAAACTAGTATAAAATAATATAGGCCTTAGTAAAGATAGAAAATTATAATTATTATTTCTTATACTATCTAAAGAAACTAAAATATATATCTACTAAAAGAACCTTTATAGTTACTTATTAAAATACTATAAAGTTAGAACTAATACTACTAGAGTTATACTTAGCTATTAGAGAACTAAAGAAGCTAGTAGTAAAAGCCTTTCTAGAAGTACTATTAGCTACCTTCTAACTAGGAGTATAAAAAGCTACTAAATAAAGATACTTTTAAAGTAATAGTAAGAATAGGATCTTCTTCTTCTTAGTATTAGGAATATTAGTGCTATAGTAGTAGAAGTGCTAGTTAATATTCTTAAAAGTATTATTATATAGAAAGTAAGCCTTTATAAGAGTATAAATAATAATATTATTAGAATAATATAGGCTAGTAGTACTAAGACCTAACTAGAATAGATTAGTAATAGAAAGATACTAAAATAATAGTAGACTAACCTTATATTACTCTAAGTTATACTAAGTAGAAACTTAATAAGCCTAACTAAAAGCTATAGTAGAGAGACTACTATTAGTAATAGTATAATACTTAGTATAATTATACTTAAGAAAACTCTTATAATAAGCCTTAGTATAGGCGTAAGTATTTACCTAGTTAGCCTATACCTAGTTATCTATAAAGAGCGTATTAAAGTTAGTAGTAGATATAAAGCTAGTAAACTCCTAAGTCTTATATAAGGTATACTTAAGATAGTAGTTAAGGACGTTAATAGTATAATAAAACTTAAGTAGAATCTATTAAAGTTAGTAATAGATAAGGTATAAATAAAATAGAATAGAAAACTTACCTTAGTATAACCTCTAGTTTTAGTATTAGAATAATTACTATAGATACTCTAACTAGCCTTACGTTTATAGTACAGCTTATTACCTTACTATAGCTTAAAAAATAATATAATAGTACTATTAAAAAGGTACTTTTAAGAGGTAGTAGTAAAAAAGTTAATATAGCCTATATACTAGAAGTAAGTAAGAGTAGGCTAAAAGGCTATACTAGTAAAGAGTTAGTAGATCTACTTAAGTAAAGGTATATTACTAATATAAAAAGGTAGAAGTATAGTAAGTTAATAAAAAGAAGGTTATTATAGTAATATTAGAGTTATAAAGTAATATATAGGTATTTTATACCTATCTAGTATACGTATATAGGCCCTCTAAGACTACTATAATACTATACTACTTTACTTTACTTTATGTATACTAATAACTATAAAAGGTTATTATAATATAAATAAATAATAAACGCTACCTAAGATACTAGAACTATACTTAGTAGACTACTTATAAAGAGCTAATAAACCTTTATAAAAAAACTATAGTTATAAACCTTATAAGAAGTATAATAGGTACTAATATTAAAGTAAGCGCTGCCTATATAAAATAAACCTCTAAAGAGGCTACTAGTAATATACCTTATAAGGATAATACTAGCCTATAAATAATTATATAAGTTAGTATAAATACTAACTATAATAATAAAGTAAGTAAATAATAAATTATTATAAGTAAACTTTATATTAAGCTCTTACTTTATATAATTATGTATTATAAAGCCTCTAGAATAGGGCTAAAGAAGTAATAAAGCCTAATAAACTATCTATATAGTTAATAGGTACCTAATAAGGTAAAACTTATAAATATAAAGTTACTAATAATAATATATAGTAAGTATAACTGTACTTCTAAGAATTATAATCTAGAGATAATAGTAAATAGAACTCTTTATAGAGGCCTAGTAGTTACCTATAATAAACTAGGCTATACTTACTAAAGTTATAAAAACTTAGTAATAAGGACGTAGGCCTAGCGTAGTAGGCCTTTAGGCTAGATTTAAGAACTAACTTAAGAAAAACTTAAATAATTTAGTACTAAATTTCTTCTAAACTATTTTCTCTTTATAGAAGGTTTTTATAAAGTTTAATTAAAGTAACTACGTAAATTAAATACCTATTTATCTACTTTAAAAATTCTAGCAGTTTAGAATAAACTATAAGAAAAGAAAAGACTTTATTATAGGTATTTCTATCTAAGCTCTTATTAGCCTACCTTTAGTAGACCTCTAGGCTAAGGGCGTAAGGCCCTTAGAGCTCTAGTATATAGTACTTATAAATCTCTAGGGCTTATACTCTAAGGATTTGTCTAATTTCTTAATAAACACCTATTTATCCTATATCTTAATTACCTGTTTATAGTGCTCTTACAAAAATTTATTTAAGGTATACAGGATTTATTATTTAATTAATTCTGCTAATAAATTTGTATAACAGCTTAAATTTAGAGAACTGCCTAATTGGCTACTAGGCAAGTTACGTTATAACATGGTATTTTGGAAACTACTATAAGCGTTGTAGTTTGGGAGAATCCCGCTGTTGATCTTCTGCTTGGTTCCAATCAAGTAACCTCTTTGGTCTGCGATGGTCGCCCAACACAGCTTTTTCCCACAAGTACCCTTTCTAGCATAACCGGTAACCTTTGCTAGGATGAACCCTATCTCATTTGGCCCACAGACTTGCTATCTTAACATGTTACTACCCGTGTAACATTCCCAGAACGATATGTGTAGCTGCCCCAGGAGGGTCATCGACGGAAACTGCAGAACCAATCGACGAGTCGAGGTTGTCCCTGCTGCATATATCTCAATTTCCATCGTACATTCATGGGTCTGAGTACTTGGCAGGCGTGGAGAGTTCCATCGATACACTCATTGAGTAAATGTGATAGGGTTAATCATTGATAGTCATCGACTCAAAATCAATCTTGTCAGATGCCGGAAACCACAAGAAACTGCGGAACGAGCAAAACTCTCAAAATGCGAGGCTGTGTCACGACCAGCATGGTTGAAGACACGTTCATCAGAAGGAGCCCCTGCCAAGACGCTATACAACCGAGGTTCGATTTGACGCGTCCTGTACTCCTGTCTAGACCGCCACAACACCATGCGCCTGTAATACTGTGATACCCGGCATAAGCAGTGAGGGTACAGTGGAGACTGTGGTCTGTGTGCTCGCGAAAATGAAGATTACAACGGGAGCAGAAGCGCGTGCTTCTTAATTGGCGGTAATGTCGGTACTGGTCTGTATTCGTAGCCCATGTACACTACTTATGTCGGATACCCCAGTAGACACACAGGTCTAAGACGACCATGGAAAGACTTGCAGTCGGTTAACCAGTCAGAATCATCGCTCTCTGCTCTTATAGATACCCCAGCTTCTTACCTTCACAGCCGCGAAGACACGAGTCAGTCGGCCCAACAGGTCTCCCATGCAGGGTAAGATAGGCGTTAATCCGGAGCTATTCATCGTGGCACTGCATTCCGCTGCAGACTACAGCAGTTACCCCTGCATAAGCATCAGGTAAAATAGCGGCGACTTGATGCTTACGTTGGGACGATTCTTGTGCTGGAGCGATACTTACAAGGGGTGTTCAATGTACCGGAGTCCCCATTCTGGGTGTCGGATGAGTAGACTACAGATCTCCAGAGCCGGGTGTGGGGTAAAGTGAGGGGAAGGGGAGACCCGTGATCCTAGTTTGCGCTACAACAGACGCCGTTCTGGGGCCAAAGGCTAGATTGTCACACCCGTCAACATCCTAAGCCTATTAGAAGTAGCGCCAAGCACCAATGCACGTGTCTGTCATGGAACAACACCAAGCTATGCCATTCATGATACAGTGCCGCCAAAGTGCGGGGCGGTCGGTTCTCTTTGGTGTAGTTTGAGCGGGTGAGAGGGATTGATCGACGCGGATCAGGTTTGTGAGGCGAAGAATGTTGACCTATTTAACATGATGGTTGACCGCACTAAAAGCTCTACTGCGTTGAACAATCCTATTCCTCTCTCTGTCAGGTCACATAGCGTTGTACAACTTCTTGTATCGATTCACGTTAATTCTCGCCATGGGTCTCTACAACAAACTTGCCGAAGACATCAGTGAGGTGGATATCATCATCGCTGGAGGTACGATCTGTCTCACATCCGCGAAATTCCTTTTTCACAATTCTAAAAGTGTTGCTGGACATTTGAACTCAAGATACTGACTGTCTTTCTACAGGTGGCACAGCTGGCTGTATCATTGCCGGGCGCCTTGCGGAAGCGGACCCCGATCTCTCCATCCTGGTTATCGAAGGCGGCGCAGACAACAAAGATGTCGCTAGCATCGTGCACCCCGTGTTCTACCTACAGAACTTGGTTCCTACCAGCACAACTGCCATCTTCTACAAAGGCAACAAGGCCAAGCAATTGGCAGATCGAGAACCTATCGTGCCATGTGGCGGTACCCTGGGTGGTGGAAGTTCAATCAACTTCATGATGTACACAAGAGCACAACGTGCAGATTTTGATTCCTGGAAGACGCCAGGATGGGCCGCTGATGACATGTGGCCCTTTTTGAAGAAGGTAAGTCGTTTAACGTTAGAGTTGTGACTTGGAGGTCGCTGATTGAGATGCGCAGCTGGAAACGTACCATGGCCCTGGCGATAAAGAGCATCACGGTCACGATGGTCCCATTCATGTCTCCGAGGGTGGCTACTGCGCCAAGTCAGCACAAGACGAGTTCATACGTGCTTCTGGGGAGGTTGGCATCCAAGAGATCGAGGACCTCCAGAACTTGGAGAATAACGACGGTGTTTCCCGATGGCAACGCTACGTCTCGCCCGACGGCAAACGACAGGACACAGCTCATACATACGTACATCCGAAACTTGAAGGTGACAAATATCCCAATCTGCACGTTCTAGTTGAATCAAAGGTCATTCGAGTGTTGTTCGATGACAACAAGCGAGCGGTGGGTGTCGAGTACACACCAAACGCACAATTCCAGGCGGTGATTGGCCTTACTCAACATCCCGTACGGACTGTCAAGGCTCGAAAGCTTGTCGTGGTCACATGCGGTGCCTGTGGTACACCACCAGTACTCGAGCGCTCAGGTCTCGGCGACAAGAAGATCCTTGAACGCGCAGGGGTTCCCCTTGTGGAAGAGTTACCTGGTGTTGGCAAGGACTACCAAGATCACCACTTGGTTCTCTACCCGTACAAAACCAGCCTCGCGCCGGACCAGACAATCGATGCCATTCTCAGTGGCCGAAAAGACGCTGCAGAAATGATCAAGAACAACGACAAGATGCTAGGCTGGAACTCTATCGACATATCCTCGAAAATTCGACCATCTGAAGATGAGGTCACTGCTCTCGGGCCTGACTTCCGGCAGGCTTGGGATCGCGACTTCAAGAATGTACCAAACCGTCCACTCATGCTCTGTGGTATAATCCAATGGTAAGCATATCTTCATCCTTGACATCTTATTTTACAAAGCTGATACTGTGTCAGTTACTTGGGTGATCCAGCCTCCGTTCCTGTTGGACAATACGTCACAGCAGGAACCTACACCGCATACCCGTACTCTCGAGGGCACATGCACATCACAGGTTCCTCTGTCAACGACCCTCTTGACTTTGATGTTGGATTCTTCACCGACGCCAACGACATCGATCTGAAGAAGCAGATGTGGGCATACAAGAAACACCGTGAAATCCTGCGTCGAGCGGACTACTTCCGTGGTGAATTAGCTGCTGGCCACCCCAAGTTCGCTGCCAACTCGAAAGCCGCAATTATTGAGACAGATGTTGCATTAACAGATGTCAAGAACTTGGAGTACACTAAGGAAGACGATGAGGTAATCGAGCAGTTCCTACGCGAGAGTGTGAACACTACGTGGCATTCTTTGGGAACTTGCAAGATGGCTCCGAGAGAGCAGGATGGTGTGGTGGACGCAGAGTTGAACGTGTATGGCGTGAAGGGCTTGGTAAGAACATTCATACAACGACTACGGTTACGACAATTACTGACCATATTTCAGAAAATTGCCGATCTCAGTATTGCGCCTGAGAACGTTGCGGCCAACACGAACAACACTGCGTTGGTTATCGGCGAAAAGGCGGCGGACATCATTTTGAGCGAACTAGGGCTCAACAAGGGTAAGAGCCCGTATCCCAATGGGCAGTTGAACTGATGTGGTCGCCATGGGAATATTGTCAATTGATGATGTCTGCGTTGAGCTGCCTTTGATATCCTGAGATGAATCATGGACTACGCAAGGTTAATGAAATATTCGATTTATGAGTTGTCGCGTGCATATTCTTTAGCGTGTGAAGTCTGCCACAGCAAGACGGACACAGAAATCCATTCATCAGTCTTCTCTATGCAGCAAAGCATGTGTGATGAATAATTCATTTGTCTGTGCAATACAGGGACGTAACGACGAACAACTAACACATCGAAAATCTCCTGTGGCTTTCATGCTCGTTCTTGCTAAAAGAGACTATTCACCAATCACCCAAGTCCAACCCCTCTAATTAGAGTTCACTTCTGTTCGCTCCAGCTCAATATCGCATCGTCACCCAGTTTGCCTGTAATGATCCTCTCACTCAGGCCCCAAAGCGCGGCACCTAAGTTTGCATCACTGGCCTGCGCAGTCTCCTTACCTGGCTGACCTGGGTCATTGAAGTAGTGACCGTTAAGGTCCTTCTCTTCGATCTCGGGCGCAGTGAGTGCCCACAGAGCACTGTAAGACCCTTGCTCTGGCGAACGACCACCTAGCAACATTGTTCGAGATAAGATCTGTCCAGTGATACCAGGATAGGCATCTTTCCATTGCTGCTGCATGGCTGTGTTTACCTGTGATTCACTATCAGCAACTCGTACTTGGATTGTATGATCTGTAAGAAACTCACCGCGCCTGGGTGCACTGAAATTGCGTAGATGTTGTCACCGTTTGGCTTGATGACACGATCACGCAGACCGTACTTCGCGAAAAGTATCATGGCAAGCTTCGTGCGCCCATACAGTCGTGTGGGATCCATGGAGCTATCGTTGATCTCTTCCAAGCTGCCGAAATGTACATCAGGCGGCGCAGTTCGGTGCATCTCGCTAGACTCGAACACAACTCTTGGGCTTGGTTTTGTACCTAGCTTTCCGGTCTTGCGAAGAAGTGGCCATAGCTGATTGCACGCGTAGTAATGTCCGAGATAGTTCACGCCAAAGTGGCGATCAATGCCATCAGAGTCCTCGCCGTACTGGTTGACGTTGATACCGGCTGAGAGCACCAGGAAGTCGAGACGATCCAACGAATTTCGCAGCTCCGAGAAAACTTCCTTGACCTCGCGCAGATTTCCCAAATCACAGTGCTTCCACTCGACTTGGGCGTCGGCCTTCTCTTTCTTTATGCTCTCAATAGCATCGTTTCCTTGCTCTTCCTTTCGATTCACCATGATGACTTTAACGCCTGCAATGGCGAGTGCGCGGCTGACTTCATAACTGCGTGCAAGTTTCAGCGAGTTTCTTCTTGCAATGAAGTGAAACTTACCCGATACCGAGAGCACCTCCGGTAACTACCGCAACGCGGCCATCGAGGTTCTCTGGGTGAACTTCTGTAGGCCCAACGATCTTGTGGAGGATTGCTTGCATGATGTTTGTGCGTTGGAGGATTGATTTGATTGTTGATATAAAGCAAGAGAATGGTTAGCTTTAGGTTACGGATCTGGATCTGTATGTTTCTCAATCTCCCTCTTGCGACGTTGCGGACTATATATGTCGATGTGTGATACCCACTTTCAACTACGTCAGGACGACATCACATACTATTCATATGGCTTTCTAGATATGCTAACTTCCACCAGATTCCTCTGCACTCGATAAGACTCAGATCAGGTGATGCCCCATCTCAGGCAAGCTAACAGCAAAGATTGTCCATTATACATTAGGAAACGATGAACTAATGATTGATGTCACGTGACCTTCTCTACAACATCATCTAGTTGGCCTTTCGAGTCGATGTTATCATGTCTCGTTGTTGGTGACCAGTCCAACAGATGTTTAACGACATCGCGTTTTGATTCCGGGTGACCACAACTCATTCAGTTTTGCCCTGCCTTTCCTTATGCAGCCCTCTCTCTCAACGATACTTTCTTCTTGTATGGCTCTTATAGCATAGCTATTCAGCTTCTCGAACTGACATCTCAAGTTCTACCTCGGATATCGAGCGCTCCGGCACAATGTCTGGCGTAGCTGGCAGGTGCTCTATTTATTGAAAATGGGTGACGCGGGCTCGCGCAAGCAGCCTCCAAAGCATATAACAATCCTGGTTTCTGGTTGCGTTGAAGAGTTCTGGAACACGATCCATAATGCTCTCTACAGCCCCGTCCGACAGCTAGGATGGAGCTAGCAGGAGGGAGAGGGGAGCAAGATCTTTTCGCAAGCATCTATAATGCAATGCGAATGCAGATATCGATGGTGCTTCCCGAACAGTTGGCGTTGAGGAGTATCACTGCCGAAGATCCCATGGGTATGGGTCCAAATGATTCTGTACTCCTGTCTCACTCTTTTGAAGCATAAGAATCATTCAACCGGATGGCTGAATGAGAACTTTCCAACGTTTGTACATTGCTCAAAGGTTGGCTTCTTATCTCCTCTGGATCTGATCCAACACTATTCGATCGGCCCATTTTATGCAAGAACTTGATTTTGTTGATGCCAAGTTCTGTATCGTCGGTATCGCGTGACTGAGAGCTGGCGTCCCTGAAGTGCTTGAAGAAAACCTTGAGCGCAGGAACACTTGCGCATATCGTGCCGACGGAGAGTTCCAGCCCAGTAAGGATCCAGACATACCAAGTATGCCATGGCACGTCGTATGTATTGGAGAAGACGTAATAGATAGCGTAGCACCGTAATGCGGAGATGATAGTGACGACGTATCCAATGCCAAAGCAAGCATATAGTGCAAACCTCTGCCTAACTGTGATATGCAATTTCCAGCAGAGAACCGCGGGCAAAGTTGTTGTGACGAAGTCTTGTAATGTGACGATGATGGATGTGGCCAAGAGATGCGCACTCTCATTGTAGCATTTGTATGTGAATCCAGCTTTTACTTTTGAGCGGTCGAGTTGGTTCCAAAACGCATTTAAAGGACGGCAAGCAAAACACATAGCGAGAAGGAATCCAAAAGTGTAAAGAACGATCGAAGCGAGGCTGACAATCACAATTATCTTGTACGCCTTCCGGACAGCCTTGAAAACCATTCGTCGGTAGAAGAGTAGAATAGACGCCTTGATCATGCCGCTGCTAAGAACATATGCGGCCTCGTTCGCCATGGTGAGCTTCCGCTGCTCTATAAATTCGGATGAGTGGTAGTCCCAAATGTGACGGTTGAAGAGCCGCTGGTTCCCTTGAGGGTTGTGTCAGTATCTGTTCACAGCAATCCTAACACGTAAACTCACCAATTCCAACTGCAATGAGGAGTGCTGTAGTAGGCACAAGGGAAGCTAGCATGACCCAGTCATCTAGTCCAGATTTACGTTGTATGACCGCTCGTGCCCAGATGCGTGCGAACACAGCTAGCAAGGTTAATGGACCGAAGACAGCCAGTAAAACCACCGTTGCATAGCTGTGCGTGGCAGGGCTTACGAAATTCGGGTTTGGCCAGGATGCAACGACCTCCGGCGGGGGATGGATACCCCCAGACATAACGAAAGACTATCGAACTAAAGGTAGTGTACAATGAGGGTTTCCAGAGGATGTTGGGGAGTGTTGCTTTGTACTAGAGGCTACAACCGAACCCATCTCAGGACCCAGTAAGATCTGTTATATAAAAACATGCGTTCCCACGCCATATAGACTCGTGATTTCCTGTTCTGTGAGTAGGTTATCTATTGGGGGCGCCCTCGACAACCGAAACATCATCATTGTTGCGCCACTTTCCATGTTTTGAGCGATCAGCTTGTTTACTTAAAACCGCACCAATCATTGGTCGACAACACCGACGGAATCAGGATCCTATTGGCACTGGAGTCTACCGAAGAGCTCGGATTCAGTGAGGCGTAAGCCTGGATGGCCTGTGCGTTCCAGACTGGACTTAATAGGCTACGATCTTGTATGACGTGAGTCAGGACACTTCGTGCTTCACGAGAAAGTCGTTGCGTTCATGGTAAAGCGTGTAGGTTTGTGACCAAGGCGCTGAATGGTTCAGAGCATCCCGCTTCTGATGCACACTAGAACAAGCCTTACAGCGGCGATGCCGTGCGGCGGCTGGGAAATTCGAAGTATTATCCAGGAACCGCGTGTTTCGCAAGCGACTCGGCACTTGCAATGATCCAACTGCCCTATCGACTTGGTATCTTTACTCCAGCACAAGGTCCCTGACATGAAGAGAACCCGTTTGTGTTAGCGCGATGCAGGGATTGTTTTATAGCCAGTATTGTAAAGAGTATGATACGCTGTATACTTGATCACTCATGATAATACGTAAAGCTTAACACAAAAGAAACAACTGCGTCGATTGCACGATGCATAGACGCTTACGACGCGCAATGATTGTTGTATGCACTGGCTAGAGCTGTATGCGAACGCGATGTACTAATACGGATCTAGTACTGACTCGTAACAAGGAGCTTTGAGGCAATCGGCGGCTACGTACTATTCTTCTTCAAAACGTGGGGCCACATAAAAAGAAGGGAGAGGCAGGAGCCAACGCGACCATGCTCAAATGTATGACGAATGCTTTCCATGGGTCATAATGCATTCTTACGGGTAACTGTCACAATGTGAACTACATCTCCGAGAAAGTTTGAACACAAGCTACATTTGGACTGCTGCGTACAGTACCCCAGGTAGTAGAGGAGGCGCAGGTTGCTATCCGGTCTAGCGTTGTCAGCTGTCAGGCACTGATGCGCGTTACAGAAGCGCGGATTCGCGTCGCATCAATTCCGGTCCCCCGCATGCAGCTCTTAGCCCAGACGAGCATTAGTGGCTGATGCGGTCTTCTCCGAAGGTAATCTCAGCCTGTCGAAGCCCCGTCTCGTCGATGATAATCAACAGCTCCCAGCATTAACGCATATGAATTGTCGGTTTATGTCTTGATGTCTGCACTACTGTTGTGCTCAAATACTTCTACAAACCACATTAACTTTCTGCCTCGAGGTACTTGTTGTGTTGTTTAATCAAATTGACGTTTGAATTTCTTGTTTCTTGACATGTCGACCGACCGGGGTCCCTGGCTCTCTGACTCCCATCGCCTCGCTTGCGGAACTCAAGCCGACCGCACGTTGGGTGGCACAACCCGGCTAAAGTACGGGTCCCACACTGCCGTACTACCTAGGGATGGCTGGCTGTATGGAAGGAACACATGTAGTGTAGGTTTGGGGCTCCTGTCGAATAGCCTGGCGAACTTACCCGCGCGGAGCGCAAAACAAGATGACTAGGATATCACGAATCGCTTAGAAGGGGGACAGATAGCCGACGGCTTGTAGTGCATACCGGTACATACACAGTATGTACTTGTGGCGTATACTCAGAATGTATCAAAATGTTCATACTTTCGTGCCCTTGTTCCAAAGTATAAGCGGAAGAAGCAGCGAAGAGATGCGCTAGATATAGCATAGACTATTCATCTAGATTGCACCTGCTGTCCACATTGTAGCGGAAGATATGCCGTGTCAACATAGTCTGCGCGAGCGATGCATAATTCAGGTGGCTTGTGGTGTTTCGCAAACCACATATAACACGGTCTAGGACGTGCTGTCCGGTGTACGACGCGTAATCACTCTGACCGTGCCTTATCAACTATCCCACGGCAGACTGTCCGATGGCCCGGACCGCTCGTGGCGCGCCTACCGCTAATAATGACTGGCCCAAAACAGCTGTCAATTAGCTCACGTTGCGACATTAGACTTCCCCAGACAGCTTTTGGTCTTAGCACTTAGGATTTCTTTTTTAGGATAGACTACAGGCTCCTTCATATGTTCGAACACACGCTGCTTCGGTGAACGTTCCATATACTCATTTTGTGATGTTACTTCCGCACGACGACCTGATTTTGGAAAGATGAGTGAAAGAAAAAAAGATCGATGACATGACCACTCTGTTCGTTCGCAGCCACAAGAGCAACACAGTGTACGTGTGTGGAATAACATTAAAAGGGTCAACCTCGACACACAGACCATCAGAAGCTCATCCTGATATCATCCTTGCTTGTATATTACCATATCGTTACTTCATCTGGACAAACACCTTTGTTCATATCTGGAAACTGATAGATGGCGCAGGATCGTGAAAGTCCTCCTGAATGTCGAATGGCGACGGAACAAACCGGCTGTGGAGCGGATACTTCTGCCATGCGTCGTGATACCAGTGCTCAAAATCCTCCCTTGACACTTGATCAACACGATCGGCGTGCAGAATATCAGCAGTGATGCACGCGTCCGGGGAGCGAGTAGGATCGACCAGCTTAACTGCCGTGTAGCTGATCAAAGCATGGACATGCGTGGGGTGCAACGGCTTGCCATCCTTGCGAACCAAGATTAGGGAGCCGGTATCTGCAGACTGTTCAGGTGGATTCAACATCCGAGCCTTGTGGTTCTTCATGCGTGCGTGAAGGTTTCGATCACGCCATACAGGGGCTGGCTTGGCTTTGTAGACGATGAGAGGGATACCAATTCGATCTGCCACGGGAGTGCGAACTTGTGACTCGGTGAAGAGAACTAAAGACTGCTCATAGACAGCTTCCATGGTCGGACGTTGAAGGAAGCGCTGGTCGCCTTCGCAGTTGAGACGCACTGCATAGATGTCTTTGCTGTGCATGAGGGTTCGAGTCGCTTCTTCGTTGAAGCTATAACCTAATCTCAGTTCATCAACCAGATGCCGGAAATCCATTGGTCCGAGATCGAGGGTCGAGGCTTTCTTCTCATCATCTTTGCCGCAATATCCTCCCCACGCGAGGACTGGACCACGGTAGAACTTCCCTAGTTCCGTATCGACCTTCAGCAAACTCTGGTTTGACTTGAGACCAGGTGTGCAACAGGGACAGAGCTTCTTCACCTCCGGAATGGACATTATGATGTGGTGTGGTTCGATGTGGCGTCCGAGCACATTGTTTCCAGAGAGTGTGATAGGCTCACTGTCCTCGATCTGCTCTTCAATGGAACCTAGCTGAACCAGACTCTCAGCAGCCGGTTGGTTGTAACATGGGGCATAACGCAACCATACGAAACGAGGCTGGGCTTCATCGACAGGGAAGTAGAGTGCGCTGTGATGATTCGGGTCTGGCCGAGTGAGCAAAAAGTTGGCGTAGTCCTTGCAGATGAGCCTGTGGACAGGCCAGTCATTCTTCTGGCACGACTTCGAGCAGTAGCAAATAGCCTTGCAGCCGCCGCAAACTTTGGTGCTATGGTCGTCACACATAGCGCAGAGGACTGGTTTGACGGTGTCAGCCATAGTCGCTGTCAGGGATCTCCGCCCAGTCTGAAAGTTAAGGGAGCTCAGAGGGATTGCGTCAAAAGCCTCAGCGCTGCAGATTGAGGTACATGAGAAGTGAGGTAAAGCGAGAGCATATGAAGTGAGTGTATGACAGAAAAGTGGGGCTCCTGATCTCGACACAAACGTCGAGGAAGGAGTGTTCGACGACGACGCGTCAACACGTGATGTGAATGCACATGTATTAGCTCTACTCAGATCTAGTTTTGATGTCTTTCCCATGCGTTTGGAGCCCATCGTCCAGATCAGAAAGGCGGATGAACGACTACCATGTTTTTGACCCGCGCCGTCCCTATTACAAGTGCATTAATCTGGGTCGGTGAGCAACTGAGCTGCACACTCCAAAGACTACATTGCCTTTCAGTCACTCTCTCGTATTGGTTTCTGATGCTCATGCCATTCTTATATCCTTTGGTGACATACTTACTGTCCACCTCACCTGCATCTAGCTTCTCCCCAGTTTCAACATCGGAAGACATAATAGTGCGCTCGAAGATGCGGGTAATGGACTCTGGTTGGTGATACTCGGCATAATGGGCTGCATCGAACACGCGCGAAAACGATAGACTGGAGTGTTGGCGTACAGCTGCTTTGGTGTTGTCGAGTGGATTATGAGAGTGACAAGAACTACTTTGACTCGCTGGGCAGCGTTGCTTGACCGTCGTGTAGCCAGCATCTTCGAGAGATGAAATTGTTTTGGGTGCATTTAGGGAGAGCGCGAGCTTCTCGCCGCCAAACCCTACAGGTAGACCGTCAGTTATCTTTACTCACAACAAATCAGGAATGTACCAGCAACTCACAGTTGCACTGGAAGTCTCTGTCACCATATATCATCGCCACTTTGACACCCTGTTCAAGCACATCTTGCACCTCTTGAATCGTACGTCTGAGAGCATCTCCCGTTTGGAAAAACTGGTTTCTTACAAGCTGCGAGTCCCAAGTGAAGTTCATCTCGGGCACTCCCAGTTGTTCACGTACCCACTTTTGGTTCAAGAATGTGACCGCGTCTTTGGGAGGAAACGGGTAATTCGGCGTAGCTGCAATGTCGAATACGCTATGGCCGCTCGCGATGTAGGTATTTTGGACGTTCGTTCCACAAAAAGAGAATGCTTGAAGGCAGATACCATTCACATCTAGATTTGCGCCGGTGCCCTTCGGGTCGCCCACGACCGCAGCATCTCGACATGCCTGAATCTGCTCGATACAACCCCCTGATTTGTTCAATTCGTTCAGAGCGATATCGTATGTGGTTTGATTGATGAAGGGTTGACTGTAAGTGTTGTTGATCGCAAAATCCAGATAGGACTGTCCCATAATAGCGATATCGTTGCAGCTGTTGATCATGCCAACGCTCTCTAAGTGAAGCTTGCTGTGTCTGGAGCGGTCGAGGTTGCTGTTACGACTGAGGATATAGCGAGCCACCGCCGGTGCCCATGCGCCACCATACTGTGATAGAAACACATATCAGCGTTTGTCATGTCGTCAAACAGTTGAGCCCGAGGACATTTACGAACGTACAGAATGGCCCCATATACTCAAACTATTACGAGTACCATGATACTCCTCAAATCTGATCATGTCAGTCGATGTCAGTTGAGTATGTACAGGACCAAAGTCAACATACTCTGCAAACCAAACCTGCAAGAACTGCCACAGATGTTTAGATACTTGTTCCGTCGTACTTGCTGTAGTTGCGGGATTCTGACTCGAGAATCGCCCTCTCATGATCGTCAAATTCGACATCACACCCTCTGTTCCCGGCCCGGTATGAACGGTCTCATCAAGTACATTGTAATAGCCATCCACAATAGTGTCATAACTGTAACCAACATGATTGGGTTGGTCAATGTACAGCATGCTGACCTGATTGTTGAACGAAATGTCATTCCTCCCTGCTTCACGCCCACCATTCATCAGTCTGCAAGGGCCGGTACCCACAAAAGCGTGCCAAGTAGACGACTCCCCAGGACCACCAGCGAGATAGACAGCCATCTTATCAGATCCCGCACTGTTTCGACGCGGGAAGAACCAGAAGAATGTTGATATGTTGAACGGCGTTGCACTTTCTAAATCTGGAATCGCAGAGCTTGGGAGATAAACATAGCCACTGTATGAGCCACCAGGATTGTCACAAAGGGATGTCTAGCTCACTCGTTAGCTGTATCATAGCATTGATATCTCAGGAGGCTCCTAGAATGATTACCTTTTGATACTCAATTGAAGCTCCGGGTATGCGTTTGGAGTGTTTCACCACACGTTGCTTTCCAGGTCTGCTGTATGTCTTTTGAGAACAACAAGCTGCAATAGTGCCGGCAAACATGAAGAGTGACAAAAGGTGCATGATGCTGGAGTCTATGCGAGTTGATCGAGTGTTTGTGTGGAAACAATTGCTTCAAATCAGATATTGTGTGGAGTACGTGCGTTGTTGTGGTTGAGTTCGAGTGCAAGTGAAAGTGAGAGTGAACTACTGCGTGGAATCGTGTGAAACTTGAGACCAAGCCAAGTACCATAAACAGAACGAAACTGGGAAATGTGTAATCAACGCTCACTAAGATGCCTCGACCTTGTTGTGTGACACAGACTTGTTCGGGCTCTGAATAGCCTCAATAGGCAACGCAAGGGCTCAACAAACGAGGTCTTCCAAACGACCCTTGCTTTGCCGAGGAGCTTTCGAATAGAGATTGTCGGACGACTAATCCTTCATACTAGTAGTATTATGTTTGGTTAAGTTTGGAAGTGGGCCAGAACTGCGAGCTCGTTGGTCTCATCCTTGCACAAAGCAATTTCGAGGTGCAGGGTATACATTCATGGTATCCGACTGGAAGAAGAGCGACTGAAGTAGAGGCGCATGATGGCCAATTCGTGATGACATGGAGTTTGCTTAAATGTATTTGCAATATCAAAACGTCCAAAATGACTGTTCAAGGAACGGAAAGATAAGTGAAAGAGAAGGGCATTAAATGTGACCTGTGATCAGAGTGTGTCGATTCTAGAGTTTCGTACAGAGCAAAGCGCTTGAGACGGTGGGGATAATGAAGGTGCCTCAGGTGAACGAGCGAACGTCGGTACCACATATATAGTTACAGGGTTTTTGAGGACCAGCTTTGATCTTCTATAGCAAGTCGGTGATAGCGCTGGATGAATGAGACTTTGCTTTTATCTTGCCATGATGTTTTTGTCAAAAAGAAGCCATACCAGTTAACAATCGAGCAGTTCTCATTGAAGGTTAGATGACTCGAAAGCAACTGAAAAATCCCTGACATTGTCTAGTCGTCGCGAGAGTATCAGCTGTTATTCTGTCCGTCGAGAATCATCTAGAAAGCCGTTGGAGGGTTGGCGTTTGTTCGTGTTGCAGGTTGCTTACATATACACACGCGTCATTCACATCATGCGCTCCGCACGCACAGCCCGCCTCCGTCCTTCAACACTACAACAATCCACCCATCGCGTCTCCCACCACGCATCGCGAGAAGACATCCACCATGGCCGGCCCCAAATACCAAAACGTCCCGCAGCGAGACTCGCTCGACGAGGCCTCTCCTTCATTCGCGCAAGCGCCACCCAGCTACCAGGCAGCCGACCCGCAGGAAGCTCTCCTGCGCGGCGTGCCTCGCGGCGAAGATGACAATCTGCCTGATGACTTCAAGTTTGGCGGCGTCGTAGCAGAAGCCACGCTGGACATCCGTATGGCCTTTATTCGCAAGGTGTACGCTATTCTGTAAGCTTCCCCCTCCCTGCCTACCTTTTTCCATGCGCACATGCTAATAGGCCCCCAGCACCGTCCAACTCTTCGCCACTGCCGCTTTGAGCGCCGTCTCCATGACCTCGGTCACGTACAAGACCTGGATCCAGGAAAACCAATGGATGATGTGGGTGTCCCTTCTGGGTTCCTTCGTCTTCCTCGGCCTCACCTTCTGGAAGCGCAAATCTTACCCGACAAACCTCCTCTTCCTCGCTGGGTTCACCGCTATGGAAGCCTACTCCATCTCCGTCATCGTGTCCTTTACAGACTCCAAAATCGTCTTGGAAGCCGTCGTCTTCACGTTGGGCATCTTCGTTGCGCTGAGCTTGTTCGCCTGCCAGTCAAAGTACGACTTCACAAGCTGGGTACCGTACTTGTTTGGCGCCCTGTGGGTCGTCATCTTGTTTGGTTTCATGAGCGCGTTTTTCCCGTACAACAGCAAGGTCGAGCTGGGTTACGGAATCGTTACCGCGCTCATCTTCTCGGGATACATTTTGGTCGACACGCAAATGATCATGCGCCACTACCATGTCGAGGAGGAGATCGCTGCCGCTATCTCGCTGTACCTCGATATCATTAACTTGTTCCTCGCTATCCTCAGGATCCTGAACTCGCAGAACAACAACTGAGCTGCGGCTTGAGGACATGCTGGTCTGTTTGCGAGGGAATTTGTACGGCGTTGCGTGGTCATAGTTGGGATACAGAGCAAAGTCGACTGACTAGGCGTTGGTTGCTATTCCTAGGGGCTTTGAATTTGCAGAGCAAGACTCTGGTTACTCGTAATTGCACGTTTTCCCTGTGCTTGTATGATATATCTCATTCCATAGTACACCTGTAGCGTTATTTGATCTTGACACATTCTCCAAATTCACCTCCCCCATTGCACCAGGCCAAGTGTCAAAAAGCGAAGTAGATAGGATTACACAATCTATGCTTCTAGGGTATGTATATCCCACCCAAAACACCCCTGGACTCCACGTTCCTTTTAGCCCAGAAACAATAGCAGACATGTATGACCGCATCCAGGCTGTCAAAACGCACACTCATGAAGGCTTATCGCACCCAATACGGCCCAGCAACTCCTTCCGGTCGCCATGCCCAGGAATACTAATGCCACTCGCTCTCGAGGAAGAAACGCGATTTTGTCGTCGCTGGCTCGCGCCGTTCATGCGGGCAAACGTCAGCGCTTCGACGCCGACTTCCTCCTCTTTTGGCGGCGCGCTCAAGCCCGAATCTGCATTCGCGTTTGCCGCGTTCAGGACCGTGTCGTTTTCCACCAACTCATCCTCGTCGTCATCGGAACGCACATCCTCCGCACCAGCCCCTTCGAGTACTTTATACACGACTTTCACGATGGAGCAGAACCAGATGCAGCAAAATACTTGCAGCGACAACAGTAGGGCCAGGAAGTACCATCTGATGCTTGGCATCCAGCAGACAGGGCCGTTGGGGTCGCGGTACGCCGAGAAAAGGTTGGCCCAGATTTGGTTACCGCCTGCGGCATCGTATCGCGCGGCATCTGTGGCGTAAACGACCGTTTTGTCGATTAGGTGGCAGGCGTGTGGGATGTAGACGTCGGCGTGCGCGTATATGGACCAGCAAACCGTCATGAAGAGGGCGTGGCGGGTGATGATCCAGGCAATGACGAACACGCCAAACGCAATATCGCAAGCGGTGGTGTAGCCCATATATTTGAGGAGCTTAGCCGTCTATGGTTGTTAGTTGGTTTCGCTATGAACCTCGGTGATTCAGTTGCTTACTGGTAGGACGATGTCCACGAAATCCATTATGCATAGAATGACGGTACCGACGCGCGTGTGATAGAAACTATACGAGACGCCTATGAGCGCAGTTGTGAAGATGTGATGTGTGAACATCTGCGCGTAGTCACTGCGCTTCTCCTCTATGTTGACGACGAGCAATTGCTGGATCCAGAAGGCCAATTGAACAAGGTAATACCACTTGAAGAGTCCGTCGATCTCTCGGAAAGGCCAGCCTTCCCAGACTGCGGGGAGGTTCAGCCAGAAATCTGAATGGTACATGATGTACTGTGCTTGTGTCAGTGTCGTTCGTAACAGGACAAGGGTCTCGGGCCTCCCTGAACATACCATAGCTAGCGACCATGACCCAGTGTAGTACACAACCAACCACGCCTGTTCCTTGAATCTGTCCAACCCCTTCTTCGTCCGGATTCCTGCACACCTCGCAAGCGGATCAAGGAGAAACTCCATTGCCAAGACCCTCAAGCCTGTGAAAAGTAGTGTCCACAACATAACGAATGGCAAGTCATCGGCGCCGCAGCCATACATTTCTGTTTCTGGGTTGTAGTACGACATTGTGAAGAACTTGGTGGTTTGGCTACAGGCGCGGGGGAAGAACAAGTGTGTCAGGCAGAGGAGGGAGAGCAGATTGATGGAGATGCCTGCGTTCACAATCGGTTAGTGGATGCTGCAGTTGTAGAGCTTGGTCTGCATACCCATCTGGTGATCGCACAGGAGAGTGCATAGCGATGCCATCAGCCCCTCATCCTCAACCTTCTTTGGCTTTATCCCCCGTCTTCTCGGCGCGACGACCACTTTGTGTTCCTGCAATTCCGCAGTGTGCGCCTTGTTCAGAGTGGCGGTGCCATTTGGCGGCGCTGTTTTGGTTGCCATGCTGAACTAGTCTCCGGCAACGTAGATGTGGTTTCGACGACTCTGCGATGTGACGGCGCGATTGTACGTGTTTGGGCAGCCAGCGAGCGGTCTGTCTACTCGGTTTCCGTTGGCGCAGGAATCGACGCCCTCAAGCTAGTGCTGCCAATCAATCGTGCGCTTCGTTTCGTCGTGATGTGTACGTATGCAGATCTCGGTGCTCAATCGCAGGTATTCGCTTCGTGGCGGACTTCCAAGTTCTTCGATCCTTCTCAGGAAGGACTACGCATTGAGACGATTTACAGAAAGAATGGAGCTGTCAAAGTCTCTCAGGAGGCGACGGCAATGCCTCAGTGGGTGAAGGCCGCGGATATTTCGACGAGGGAGCGGTGTGATGCCCAGAGATTCGGGGTGCCGACGTGATGGGCAAGCGCGAATGCCACCTCTTCAGCTTTGCCGATTTGCTCAACACCGCAGATCTGTGCGTGCTGGTGGCCAGGCAATTGAGTCCTGCTTGGGAAATTCTGGACAAGTGTCGCGGAAGCTAGGTACCGCCTTGGTTGCGTTTGTGGAGCACGCCAAATACTTTTCGGGGTACGACCAGGGGTCTCGCGTAACCAACAACGCTGATCTGGAGGGAAATGAACAACAACGGAAAAAGGGGGTCGGGAAAGAAAAAGGGAGGCAATTGTCGTGCTGTGATGCTCAGTGGCCTTTACTCCGCCTCCACTCAAGCGGCCATTGCTGTGTTTGTTTCATCTTTCATGCCAAGGATCCCGACAACATTCCGAAACTCAGGGTTCGGGGTGGCTTGGTCTTGATGGCCAATCACTACCCCGCAATATCAAAACGAGGCTTCATTGTCAGGTGACATAAGAAAACGCTCAGTCGATGGAGCGATGTGTATAGTTCGATAGCCACAACCGACTGCATGACGCAGTCAGGATGGAGATCCACGTCATGCGCCTTGCCTCTAGAGGGTATAAGTCACCACAAACAACGCCTGTCTTATCCAAAAGCCAACCTATATACGCCGTTCCGGGTTGCAAAACGTTGTGCAACATCTCGTGCCTTTAGATGTCCACGCAATAACGACTTGCCAGTCATCAAACTTGAGTATGTACTCCCCTACCGATCAGATCAGTTTCTAGTCGAGGTATCGTCTCCACCCCTCCCTTTCCACGGCTCTTCGCCCAGAGTCGTCAACTCCCACATTGAACTTTTCCCACCTTGCATCTTGCCCTGCACCTATGACTAGCAGCGTCTGTTCATCCAGCCAGCCAAGCAGCCCCTTCGTCGGTCTGCCCCCAGGTACACCTGGAATCCCAACATTGAAGGTTGCGGATTTTGAATGCGGCCCCCAACCAAGCGGTTCGTCACCCATTTCGAACCTCGCAGAAGCTGTCGAGTACGTGTCTGAAAATTGGCGGGGTAGAAGTGGGACCTTCGAGAGTATCCCCCATTTGTGCTGTTTAGGATCAGCATCTGCTGTCGTCCCTGCGGGGAGATCAAAGATATGCAGAGTGGACTTGTCAGAAGTCACGGCAAGTGTAGCTCCAGACGGTGAGAAAGCAAGCGAGAAGATGACTGCAGGATCTACGCCGCGACGAAGCTCCGCAAGCTTTGTGCAGGATGGGAAAGACCAGAGGCGGATGAGTGTGCCCTGTTCGCTGGCAGTGGCTACCAGGTCCCCGTTCTTGCCGAGTGCGAGAGCGCGGAGCGGAGATTCATGAGCGGGTATGATGCTGACGTTGCCTGATGTTAGATCGAACAGCTTGACTTGTCCAACTGTTCTTCCTGGGAACGCGACAATGTTCTTCCTCAATTCGCATAGTCCAAATGGGTTGTTGACTGTCTCGTAGTCTGCGACCTTCTTCGGCGGCAGCTTCATCTCATATATCCCCACTTTATTTAGCAACACAACAATCAGATGCGTTTGCGATATACGAACGCGCTGCACCGGCGTCTTGAACTCAAGGGCCGTTGAGATGACTTGGTTGGCGTCGTTCCAGATTTGGACCTCGTATGACGTGTCAGTCTCGTTGACCAAGTGCCAGTCAGAGTCCTCGGGACAGACCTTGTTTTGTGGGAACTTGGGCTGCTTCCCTCCTCCGACTAGGGCGATGTAGCGTGTGGTTCCGAGCATTTCTGCGCAACCGATGCCACCGCCGACCTCTGGTGGACGTTAGCGATGAGAGGTGTGGAAGTGTGAGACATGATAGTACCTCGTGCCAGTTTTTGATCACTCGTCTTTGCGCTGAACACTGTGGTAGTTAGTGTATACTCACGATGCATACACGCGACGAAGCTTACCACGGAACCCTGATTCTAGGGCCACCGAAAAGCAAGAGTTGTCTGCGTTGAAGGATGCAGAGAGGGCGAAAGGCCCCGCATTCGAGTCGAGAATCGGTCGTGTATTCATGGTTGTTGTCGCGAAAGAGAGTCGACGTGGAGGATGTGGTTGTGGGGTGTTTCACTGTTCAGGTAGGCTACCTCAACGCACAGCCGAGTACTGATAAGGTGGCCAGCTCTCTGCAAGGTAGACTGGCAAGCAGCGCAGTTGTCGTTGTGTGATGCGGTGGCATACTAGACCAGTACTCTCAGCAGCGAGAGGCTACAAACAACGTCTGCATAGAGTGAGTACCTTGGGAAGTCGTCTTTGAATCCAGGGTCACGTCACTGTCCGAGCTTCCTCGCCTAGCGGGAACTAGGAACATTTGGAGGCAAGGCTTACACACGTGACCCTCCACAGTTTCGTAGTCAGGACCGACTCAGTGTCACACAGTGTTGTTGTCATATTGGGCTGTGAAGCCAGGCTTGTGTATATGTGCAATTTGGTAGCTCTCTGAGTGGGCATGTTTTCGGTGAGACACCTTGTCAAACAGGCAACTATATGCCATGCTACCACCGTCTCGTCACAGTTGAGTGTGTTCAGGTGCCGGGGCCTTGAGTGCATGCTGTGTTCTAAACGACCATCACCAAACGCAAACCATCTCTTGAGCATCTGCAACTTCACTTCTCGGTTTATCGCATCACCTGCAACCACTTCCCCGTCGTTGGTGCGTCCTTCCCCAAAGCGGGCGTAGCGCCAGGCGGATGCGCCAAGAGGGAGCAGCGACCGGGGACACAAGCGCTAGCGAACCCCTTTGCGCAGGGAGCTGCTGCCAACGTCCCCAAATTTCCTCGACGACACCTCCGCAACATCACAGACAGCCCGCCCGTCTCACGACACGCTCCGTCTCATCCTCTTCACGCCTAGCCGCCTTGCTTGTAGGCCCAACCTCCACCAACACGTACCACACGCACCGCTCGGAGCCAAAGATGTCTTCAGTATGGCCGCCCCAAGACCACGTCTCCCCTTACAGCCAGCGATGTCACTGTCTCGCCCACGACGCCCGTATCAAGCCATTGGCCCCTGCTAACACGCGTACAGATGCTCAAGACGCGCAGAAAGAAGAATGTCAAGAAGGGTATTCAGTTCTGCCTGATGGTGTGTGGTGCCTCAGGAACAGGTGGGCAGCCCTTGCATGGCGAATGGTATCGAACATGACTGATGTCGTGATTCTAGGTCGGACAACCTTTGTCAACACGCTCTGCGGCAAGACGGTTCTCGAGCACAAGGAATCAGACGACCCCACAACTGCACATGTCGAGGAGGGCATCAAGATCCAGCCCATCACAGTTGGTACGTCCTGTTGAAGCTCCCAATGATTGAAACATCCTGGAAGCAGTCGTCTAACATTGCACGTCAGAGCTCGATGAGGAGGGTACCCGTATCTCGCTCACCGTCGTGGACACTCCCGGATTCGGTGACCAAATCGACAATGAGAGCAGGTAGGCAGGTCCAACAACGTCCCTTACATCAACTTACAATGCTGCAGCTTCTCGGAGATTGTTGGATTCCTCGAGCGACAGTACGACCACATCCTGTCAGAGGAATCGCGTATCAAGCGTAACCCTCGATTCCGGGACAACCGCGTGCATGTTCTCCTATACTTCATCACTCCAACTGGTCACGGGTGCGTCAGTCCCTTTCACTCTAGCTGGCTCAACTCACACAAGACAGTCTCCGCGAACTTGACATTGAACTCATGAAGCGCCTGTCGCCTCGTGTCAATGTTATCCCTGTCATTGGCAAGGCTGACTCGCTTACACCCGCTGAGCTTGCCGAATCCAAGAAGCTTGTGATGGAGGACATTGAGCACTACCGCATCCCCGTGTACAACTTCCCATACGACATTGAGGAAGATGATGAGGACACAGTCGAGGAAAATGCCGAGCTTCGTGGTCTCATGCCCTTTGCGATTGTCGGATCCGAAGATGTTGTTGAGATTGGTGGCAGAAGGGTACGCGCCAGGCAGTACCCATGGGGTATCGTAGAAGTTGACAATCCACGTCACTCGGACTTCTTGGCAGTGCGAAGTGCACTCTTCCACAGCCATCTTGCCGATCTCAAGGAGATAACGCACGACTTCCTGTACGAGAATTACCGTACCGAGAAGCTTAGCAAGAGCGTTGAAGGTGGTGCCGCTGCGTAAGTCAAAGTTACCCCACCCTCACGGGTGACCATACTGACCATATTTACAGTGATTCGTCAATGACATCTGATGATCTGGCCAGCCAGTCCGTTCGACTAAAGGAGGAGCAACTACGACGCGAAGAGGAGAAGCTGCGCGAGATCGAGGTCAAGGTCCAGCGAGAAATCAACGAGAAGCGACAGGAGCTCTTGGCGCGCGAGAGCCAACTCAAGGAGATCGAAGCCCGGATGCACAGAGAGCAAAGCGGCCAGATGCAGGATCACGATGGCGACGACGCATAAGTTATTCCCGCTCAAAACCAGCTTCCATTCTAGGTCCTCATCCCGTCACTGATTATGGGTTACTGTGGGTAGCGCGCTTGCGTATGTAACATTGGAGCCGACGGAGCAAATACCACGTATTGCAGCTGAAGGCGATTCCAATGGCTGGCTTGTGCATTGCAGATGTTGAAGGGTAGGACAAGGGACTTTGAGCTTCTTGTCGTCTCGTCTCTGGAGGGGATCGGACAGTGACAACTTCTTGGATCCTGACTGCAGCCATCACAGCCGTCTTGACACTATTGCTTCTCATATGTTTCTTAACACTTCGATACTTATTCCCCCGCCTTTTGGTCTTTTCATATAGGAAGTAGTAATCCAGTTTATAATATCGCTTTGGTGATCAAGGTCATAACTAGTCTTATTTTGTCAATCTTGATACGTGTTTGTCGTGATCTCAGTGTTGAAACGTGTGCTGTATGCACGTCATGGACCTTTGCGTCGTTGCCCTCCTTCTTTCACATCTGCTTGGACCGGGCTTGGGCAAGCATCGTGCCCCCAATCGTGCTCATCGGCTTCTCTTCCCTATGCCAATAGTGCAAGCTCCTTGAATTCGGCTCCCGATCTGCACGTTGCTCCGACTTATCTACTTACCATGTCCAACGTTAGTGTGTTGACTTCTCTGGAAAAGCATTGACAGGAAGGTGCGCTTCACCGCATGACAACCTATCAACAATTGCCAAAACACCATCTCCCATGCACCCACAACAATCTGGACAGATCTGGTTTGAGTTTGACGTGCGCTGTTGGCAGTGGGCGTTGGGCAGCAGCAGCAGTCCCACTTTTTCGTGGTGAACGCCTAGGGACGAGTTCGATGCGACCATCCTGGATCTTCGATTGGAACAAAGCGCGATGATTGATGGATCAACCAAACCCATGCCCACATTCGACGCATGTCCGGCTGAAGTTCTCGTCATTTGATTCTGTTGCCGCCATTGACGGTGGAAATTGGCCAGATATGTTTTGTCTGCAGTCACTTCCACACAATCACCAAGCGGACTCTTTTGTTCTCATGAACTCCGGCTTGGCAAACATGCATAGCCGGCCCGTCGCCCTGCTCGTTGAATTAAGGTTAATGCCGCATCTGCCGACACTTGGGAACGGGGAAGAGCGCAAGGAGCTCGATTTCGGTCAGCCTAGATGTCCGTCTTACGCCACCACCGCAAGGATTCTTTCACACGCCTCAGGTTATCTTGTTCGATGAGACTATGCAAGACATGTTCCTCGGTTCGTGGCGGGCCGCATGATGATTCTCTGATTGATCCAGTATTACGCCTATTTACCTATCGGTCTGTCACTCGCCGAAGCTGATTGATAGAGTGCATTATCCGGACATAAAAGATATGTACATGGCGTGACAAACGTATTCTCCCGATGAGGGTTGTTCATTACGGCAGGCATCGGAAGTTCGGCAGCATGACGAGGCACCTTTCGTTCAGCAGTATCCATCGTCCCTTACCACCAGCCAGAAGGTGGTTTGTTCAGGATACAGCGCATGTCTCCAAGGAACGGGCCTATCCTTTTCGTAACCGCGGTGTTGAGAGCGAGGTCTACCGTTCAAGCAGGGATCCTGGGCCTCGATCTCAAGTCACTGGCAGTCGCTCCTCGAATTCTTGAAGAGCCGGTTTAATCCTCGGCATACAAAAGCTCCACAACATACAGCGTATGGGGCCGGGAGAACCACATGAAGCTGCTCTGCTGCAGTAATAAATCGAGCGAAATGCAGTAGCGTCTGAAGATTGGCGGATGGATCGTCATGGAGGTTACTGTCCTTGGCAGTATTCACGGTCGACGTTGGCCAGGATGATGTCGACGTTGCTCGCCTATCCTCTTAAACAGATCCACTATACACCATTGACTCTTCACGTATGCCTCAAACGGCACATTCTGCAGCACAGATTGCGTGGTTGCGAATCACGAAGGACGCGCCCGCAGCAACTTTGCGCCTTAGGGCTTATCTACAGCATTCGGCATCCCGAGGGATTTTCGATTCTTAGAAGGATTCCGTCGGGCCGCCGCGTCAGTCAAGATTAAGTTTCCGCGAGAAGCCAGTCGTTGGAGGTTGCAGCGCTTGTAGGGCCCATTTCGGTGACATTCAGGGAGTTGTATGCAGGTCATTGCGCGATGTTACTGGAAAAGGTGCACGGCACAGAGTACACACCAGTGCACATTCAGGAGGCAGAATGGCTTCAGTCCTGAGCTCTTCCTACTACGCATCTCATCAGATAGCGAGCAGATCGAATACCAGAGCGAATGAGGTCGCTGAAACCGCTTGATCTAGGGTCAGCACTCACTATCTCCCAAGTGTAGGAGACCCTCATCGATTCCCCGAATCCGAGCGCATCGTATCGTCCCTGCATGCTGTACAGCCGATTATGTCATGACGTTGTGGAACATTCAACAGCAGTTGAGGTCATGAAACGAAAAGCATGATAGTCGGCGGCAGCGGCGGCGAGACATAGGCTGCGCGGTAGCCGATGAAACAATCGCGGACATCCCCATCCTTTGATGAAATGCAGGCGGACAAGGGCGCAGCAAGAGATGTTAAGAGGCAGACGGAGAATCGAAAGCCTTTCGGCGGTTGGCGGCACTTGTGAACCCAAGTTCGTCGATCGACAAGGCCTCGATCCCTTCGCCTGCCGCGGCTGCATGCTGCACTTCCGACCCCACCTTTCGTGAACGACCCGACGCCCTCTCTCCTGATGCAGCCATGAGTAATGGGGGTCTACCGCGCACTGCGCGGCTGACACGATATACAGGCCCAAAGTCAGTGCATGACCTAGATGGGTCCTGCATCCAGGTATGGGGCATTCCCAGCTGGTGGCGCAAGCTAACGCCTGGTCAACCATCAAATACCGTGGAGAAAGTGGAACTCTAACAGGTCCCCATGCACCTCTGTGGATATAGCAGAGTCTATTTGCGGCAGCTTGTCCGCTTTGGCTATACTTTGACTCCATCGTTACAGCATGACTGCGAATGGGAAGCCTGGTGGCTGCCACAACGGTCAAGGAGAACGCCACATTCGGGGATCACTGCAGGCTGTCAGGCACAGCAGAAGTGGGGAATAAAGAAAACCCCCTACTGTATACAGTCCCTCACTAAGCATCTCACGATGCCAGGTCGAATCATGAATTGGCCAAATTAGGTCGAGGCTATGTCAGACTGGGACCCACTACCATGGCTTGGGAACGCCAGGTGATGCATGGCTGGCTCGCCTGTCCGCTCCAACCGAACGTTGACCGTGTACGTTCAGAGTTTTTGGGAACGTCCCTGCACCGACCGATACTCGGCCCCTTCCGGTTTCTTCGAAAAAGTTCAAGAACTTGGCCGTGCAGAGCACGGCCCTCCTAGCTCAACGATACTAACTATCTCAACGATTACAGCAAATTCTGGTGAGAGCGTGCACGGGCCACAAAAATCAAGAAAACCACAACAACAAAGTTGCTACTACAGCGTTAAAATATAGAAATCCAAAGAGTACAAAGTGGCTGCAAGGCCTTTTTCTAGACTTGTGCCGAATAAAAATTTAGTATTAGTTGTTGTAGATAGCTCTTTCTGCTGTTAGAATCGTTGAGGTTGTGATTATCGTTGAGCTAGGAGGGCCGCACTTTGTGCGGCCAAGTTCTTGAACTTTTTCGAAGAAACCGGAAGGGGCCGAGTAGGTGCTCGCCGGAGAGCTGACCTACATGCTTTTGTTGAGATGGGTGAGGGATTAACTCCTCGTATAACAGTGTTTAGGGCCCGAAAGTGTAACATGTGAGTAGGTCCTCAGTACCAATAAATCCTATCCTCTCTCAACCTCATATCACCTAGCTTGGTGGTGGTACACGCGTATCGTTGGTCCTGATGAGGACCACGCGATTTGCCACCCCGATCAATGCAGGGACCTTGGCAAAAATATCACCGCGATGTGGAGGATCCCGTTCTTGCCTCCAGCATCTCTCTGCATTCGGGCAGACCTTATGCTGGACCCAAAAAATGCACGGATGGACTAGTCTCGCCAATCGGGTTGCATATTGGCTAGGGGGTGAAAGCATCCCTGCTTTGCCATCTTAGCCGTGTACCATTTACCAAGAGCAACACGCTTTTCACTCTGACTCCAACGGCGGCCGGATGCAGGGGAGTGTATCCCCCGGCGCCCAACCTTTCTAGCTGCTCTCCACCACTTTGCCATGTCGCCTTGTCATTCCAGGCACGCGACTGCGGCGGCTGAGCTAGTAAACTGCGCCTTCTGACAGCTCGTCATCACACAACATGTAGCTTTTACGCAGCGGCCATGGCACCACGATTGCCTTCCGGCAAAACGCATCCGCTGATCCCTTATTAGTTGAAGCCTTGAATTGCATGACTATCTAGCTCCTTTATAACATCATTGGAAAGGTTGCACGGCCGTTGGTCGGTCTCCATATATCATCGGGAGCTTTAGATTTACAAAGACCATACTTTTTACAGCATCTAGCTTTACTGTTCCACACTATTGCCAACCTATTGTCTCTCACCATATAACCTTTGACGATTCATGCTCTTTTCTCGCTGTCTTGATTGAGACATTCTCTTACTTACTTACATCATCGTCCCGGCTTTGCCATCACTCACTTACTCTCCTCAACACACATCATCACTCGCTGTCTCTCTTCAATCACACCTCTAACCACTTCATAATGGACAGACCACAAGTCTCAATACCACCTGTAAGTACTGTCATCTCTGGAATCAGCATACTGTTTTGACTGACTTATCTGTACTAGGCCGCGACCATCCTAGGCGTAAGTTGGCCCATGCAGATCCGTCTGGAAAGATACTAACATGGCTCTCCTCACGACAGACATTAGGAACTGGTAAGTCGAGCAGTCCGTTACCATCGTAATCCACACTAACAATACTGCAGTGTATGCTCTCCCTCATTCTGTAGATACAAGAACGAAACACTAACGAGTAATCGTACATAGCTGCTGGTGTATTCAAGTATGTCCTTATTCCTATCTACGCAGTTATCAACGTTGCTAACAAACCCCAGATCATCCCACAGTAAGCGTTTTGTTCCGCGGTGTCACTACCATTTGCTTACCTTTCGAAGAATATGGCACAACTGGCGGCTGAAAAGCACCGAAGGCCTACCCGCTTTAATGCTGATATGCTGGTCAATCTGTACCGCTTCCCCGCCCCACAGATTCCCACTCACGACTAACAACCAACAGGCGGTGTTCCCTTCGGCGTCTACGCAATCGTCCAGGTATGTCGTATCCACACCCCCAGCTCGGAAAACCCCCGTCTAACCCGCCCCAGAACTTCAACTTCGCTCTCAAATTCCAACCCCAGGCCTTCGCCGGCCTCACGCTCATATGCTGGGGCCAGACACTGTACTACCACAGGTGCGGCGACCTCTTATAGCGTTTCTCAACCAGCATGCTGACAAACAGCCAGCCACTGGAGGGCATGGACAGCCACCCTCGCGACAATCGCCCTCGCGGGCAGCTTCGCCGTGATGGAAGTTGTGCTCATCGTCACACTGCGGGTAAGCCTACTTATTCGAGCCACCCACGCATAATCCCCGGGGCTAACGCAACGTCAAAGGTGCCGTACAGCAAGGGTGTCGAGTGGCCGATGATGCTGATGGCGATCCTCGCGACGGTGATCCAGATCGCCGGTTTGATCCCTCCCTACTTTGAACTCGCCAAGCGGAACGGCAGGGTCGTTGGGATTAGTAGGTCTCACGCGTTCGGAGATGCATAAATTATACATGCTGATGATGCGTGTTTAGATTTTTGGTTCCTCACGATCGATTATGCGGGTGCGGTGTTCTCGCTCCTGGCTGTTGGTACGTCGTTACTTTGCGCTCCGCTGGGGATCCGCTGACCGAAGATATTAGTCGCGCAGGAATGGTTCGACGCGCTCGGCTCCAGCTTATACATCGCATGGTACGTAATGCTCTTCTCACTCCCCAACCCCGTCCCCAACGCCATTCCCCACCACTGAAAGACCCATCCACTAACACCCCCACCAGCATGCTCCTCGAAACCGGCATCTTCGCCTCGCACGCCATCTGGCTCTGGCGCGTGCGCCACGTCCGCGCCGAAGCCAAGAAAGCCAACCTAACCTACGACGAATACGTCGCGCAGCACCCGTCGAAGAAGCTGCCTCGGTCTGACTCGGCGGAGACGATTGCGGATGTTGAAGCGTGCCACGATACAAAAGTTAGTAATGAGAAGGAGGGCGCGAATACGACGACGACGGAAAATGTCTCCTCGCCACCTGCACCTGAGGATGCAGCGCCCGAGGTTGTTGCGGACGGGCTGGAGAAACCTGCCCCAGCTGTCGTTCATGAGGGGCGAGTTGTAATATCCTCCTCCTAGACGGATGCGGGAGTTTGCGTTTTCTCTTCCTTTCCTTACTCCTTTACGCGCTCTCCATGACTTACCATACCATACCCACCCATCCTCGTAGGGTGGCTTGGGTGAGTGTCACACGTGTACGATTTCTCACGATACGATGGCGCTTTGACGATCTTGATAAAAGCTGGTATTTCTTGTATCTCTTCCTTTCTTTGTTTCTTTCTTTGTCAATACTGGACTTGGGCGGAAAAAGCGATACCACGCGCCCTAATCTTTCTGCGTGGAATACTTTACTTTGAGCACGGGATTTGCGTCTTGTAAGGTGCTGGCCGGATGAATTCACTTGGTTTCTCGTGGTAAAAGCGCTGGGCTTGGATTGCTGGCGCTCTCTTGGATGAGTGCGGGGTTAGTGTAATGCCGGTGACGAAGAATCGAAAAATTCTTGGGTTCTGGGTTGTGGGTTTGACTATGTTGCTGTTTGACATCGTGATGGTGGAGATGGCGATGAAGAGCTATGGTGGGGCTCGTACACCTACCTAGTCGATCCAACAGCCTCGGCTCATGGATTGTTGTAGGGAGGGGCGGCGCGACGCGACTTCTCACTCACAAGGTCGATCAAATGTAGTCGGACCTGTAAACTTGGAATCCACCATCTAATCTCGCACAAACCAGACCCATCCCTTAACGAATCACACCTCCAGATCCACCCTACAAACAACTCCACACCCCATTAACACACCACAAGCAACAACCAAACCACTTCACCAAACCCCCCTCCCCCCAAACCCAACAATGACAACCCCAACCCCCCCAACACCACCCTTCCACCCTATCCCCAACATCCACAACCTCCGCGACCCATCCCTCTACCCCCTCAGCACACCCACCGGCCCCATCCGGCCCGCAATCCTCTTCCGCTCAGCCGACGTCTCGCGCCTGACAGCCCCAGATTGGATCTCCCTCCACGCCCTAGGAATATCCCACGTGTTCGACCTGCGCAGCAAGCCCGAAGTGGAGCGCGGGTGGACGTCTGGCCTCGGGGATGGCGGGGCGAAAAACAACGACGGAGGGGAAGGGGAAGGGGGTGGAGATAGAAATAGGGATAGAAATAGAAACGGAATGGCCCACGCAAACATATCCCACACCTGGACGCCCGTCTTCAGCGCAACAGACTACTCGCCCGCACGCCTCGCGTCCCGGTATGTGAAATACATGGACGCCTCTCCGCGCGGGTTCGTAGACGCGTATCGCGACATCCTGCGCAACGGGGGCGCCGCGTATAGGACTATACTGCTTTTTCTCGCAAGCGGGGGCCAGGGCGCACTGGTGCATTGCACGGCGGGCAAAGACCGCACGGGCATATTTTTCGGGGTGTTGTTTGATTTCCTGGGCGTGCCGAGGGGGGATATAGCGGGGGAGTATGAGTTGACTGAGATAGGGCTGAGGGGGGTGAGGGACGAGGTTGTGGGGCGGGTTATGCGGTCGGAGGGGTTGAGGGCATATATGGTCTCGCTGATGGAGGGGGGGGCTGTGCGGGCGGTGGAGGAGCAGCAGGCGACGGAGGAGCAGCAGCAGGAGGTGGAGGAGGGCAAGGCGGAGGGGCGGGAAGAGGTGCACATCCCGCCTGAAATTCAGGAGAAGGGCAGGCTGGCGGCGTTGAGGATGATTGGCGCGCGCAGGGAGAGTATGCTTGGGGCGCTGGAGATGGTGGATCGGGAGTGGGGGGGTTCTGAGGCGTATTTTAGGAGGGAGTGTGGGTTGGGGGAGGGCGAGCTGGAGGCGTTGAGGAGGAATTTGGTGGTGGTGCGGGGGTGAGTGAGTGGTTATGGAAGGGAGTTGTTTTGATATTGGAAGAGATGTTGGACTGTTTTATGACATCGCCTCGTCTCTATAGGGGAGGGGGTTCGCAGCATCGATGCTGAAGAAAGAATTACTCTGCGTTCAAAACGCAGACAGCAAAATCAACACTCAACTTGATGGGGAAAAAACATTAAGATTCATCGAGAAAATCCAAGCCGGAGCGCATATTCTACCGAAACGCCCGCTGAACCCCACAACCTTTTGTTACTTCATTTCCATCAATGTGCCCCCGCAACCAAGAAAGTATTAGTGATTAAGCAAACCACCATAACAACGAACCCATATATACTCAACGCCAGCGAAAGATGCCTGAGTAACCCCCTCCTCCAATCGCGGTTCAAATACGCATCACTCGTCACATAGCCCTCCACCTCCCCGCTCTGATGTTCGTCTTCATCGTCCTCATCCTTGATCAGTCGCTGGTGATGCGGCGAATCCGGGTCCGAGATCTTGTAGTAGAACAGTCCCGGGAGGATGAAAGAGATAGTCGTCGATCCCGTACTGCCAACATACGCAAGAACCTTTTCGAGACTGGAAACGAGCATCGCTGTGATGAAGGACAGGACGATGAGGCAGGTGGTTACGATTGCGAAGCGGAGGTCGGACATCTCTGCTTTGGCTGGCTTCGCGCCGTTTGCTATCAGTGTGGTGCGGGAGGGGCTGCCGTCGGACTGGGTACGGCGACGCGGCCTCCACGCCAAACACGCGTCGATGCTTGCGCGGCATGGGTGGATCTGCAGTGGGTAGGAGAACATGACGAGGATGACGATGGCGAGGCGACCGATTGTGCTGGCAACCACGGTAGGGTACATCTGGACGATGTTGCCGCGAATGTTGTCGCCGTACGAGAGGTAGCCTGTGATGCCGGTCAGGATGTAGAGAGCACATGCGCCACCAATGGAAGCAAAGATGACGGTGGTGGTGCGGAAATGTGAGTTGTCGGCAATCTCGTTGAGAATGGAGAACATCTGTGGGGTGTTAGCAGATGTCATGTGAGGGGTCGAGGTCACAAACGTTTTGGTGGCATGTGTACGCGAAGACGATGACTGGGAAAGCGGCCAAGGCGGGAACAGGACCTGCCCATTGAAAGACTCTGACAGCGCCCCGATCAGCCATGGTGTCGCCCCTGATGTAGTGGGCTACAACGAGGATGACTAGATAAGCGATTGAAAACAACGCGACGATGCTGGTGTACTTGAGGGAGTCGAGACGGCGGAGGAACGAGAGTGGGATGACGATGAGCCTGTTCCAGTCAGCTTGTCCTTTTACTTGATCAAAACTACTCTTCTCACATGAATGCGGTGATCCAGAACTGGCGGTCGACGAGGAACGTGACATCTCCAACACCTGGTGCGAATCCTCGAACGACTCCTGGCATCAGGTCCCCAATGATGATGAGGTAGCTGACGGCCACGCCAAAGCACTTGATGGCAATAGCAGCATCGAATAGGATAGAGAGGTTCGGGTAGGTGAGCTGGGACAGTGCGGCAAAGGATACGGTCCCGCGATCAACATAGCGGGCGCATCGAGTCTGGAGGTAGAGGCCAAAGCCTGCCGTGATGCCCGCCCATGCAATGACGAAGATGCCGAGGAAGATGCCCATTTTGGAGAGGGCCGAGGGCATGGCGAGGAGGCCAGCGCCGAGGACTGTCAAACATCATCAGCATACTACACATGGGATGGACATGCAAGAAGCGCACTGGTGTTGGCGAGGTTGATGACGCTCGATATCCACGATGCCTGGCCCTGAGACCGCGAGTCATTCTTGCCTCGACCGCGCCTACTCCAGTCAGTCCGTGTCCCGCAAGCTCGATGTGACAAGGCCTAACCGTCTCCCTCTCAGCGATCCGGTACTCGACGACATGGGGTCCGCGTCTTGGGGCTCTGAGGCGATGGCCGAGTAGGAAGCCATGGTGCGGGTCGCGCCGTGTGGATTGCGCGACCATGCGCTGGGGGTCGGGGGCAGTTGGTGATTACGTTGAATGCGTGGGAAGACAAAGCGTTCTGAAAAAGGACGACACGAGGTGCAAATGACGGTTAACGAGTGAATGGAGACGACGTCTGAGGGTCTGGGTCACGGTCTGCGCTGACGTTGGTGGTCCCCTACGCCAAGCGATAAGCGCAACGCGTATCCATTCAGGTACCGCACCCGGCAGACAAACACTCCCCCGCCGCCATGGACGAGTACGAGGAGGCCGTCTTGTTCACCTTTGCCCTGCTGGAGACGCGTCTGGACCGCCTCGAGTATCTTCTGAGCGGCCCCAAGAAGACCGAGGAGAAACCCAAGACGATCCCCGACCGCATCCACAACATCGAAAAGGCACTGCAGCAGCTGGCGGGGAAGACATCGCTGCTGGTTGACGCGCAGGAGCTGAGTGTGTTGCAACATCATTCAGAGTCTTGCGCCTGAAGCTCACAATTGCAGTAAACAAGCACAAGGACGTCCTCATCCCCGAACGGGAAGCCGACAAATATGACCTCCCCCTCGACACATCACAAAAGGCCGTGCTGGTGGTAGAACGCGCCACTGGATTTGCGACTACCGCATCACAGCTCAAAGTGCTCCAGGACCAGCAGGTGCCCTCGACAGATGGCTTCACCAAGCTGGCCATGCTGCGACCGCGCATTGCCGAGGCAGAGAACCGCCACCTTGAACAAGCCCTGAAGATTTCTGAGCTGAGGAAGAGGACCGGACTGGTGGTGCAGAGGTACAAGCAGGTCCATCTTGTGGGTGCTGCGAGGTGCTGGGTGAGCTGGCATGGGCGGTGTCAGAAGGCTTACAGGACGATGGCAAGGGAGGAGTTCAAGCGAAAGCCTGAGGAACACGTGGTGGAGGAAGCGGAGGCGGATGAGCCGCATGCCACGGGAGAGCTAGTAGGGTCGTGATGGGTTGGTTCGCGCACATCAATACCCAGAGACTAGGGAGGGCGCATCGAGGACCGCCGGTACTTGGGTGGGCATGCATGGTGTCTGCGAACCCGGCATTGTCAAGATGCACGCAGGACGTGGCTGTGGTTTGTGGTGACGATGATTTGACGTGGTGGGTTGGAGTATGCCGCCCGCTCATACACGACTGAGACGTTGTAGTTGCATTGCTAGACTACCGAAGAGGTACCTCTGGTTGCAACAGCTCAGGTACCGGCAACACCACGATCCGCGCGTGTTACAGCTGGACATGCAGGGCCCCATGCCATTTCCATAACCCCCTGAAGAGGCAAGCGTTGAAACAGTCAAGGCCATTGGCTTGTGATGGGCAAAGGAAACAAAAGTACCCCGGATGTTCACGTGGCATGATACCCAGAGAAATGACAACCATGATTTGTGTACATGCATAGTTAATTGTAGATGTGCACATGCATTGTGACGCCGTTGAGAAATGACGGAACGAGGGCACCGTGCGACGTAGTAGGAATAGTGTTTCAGGAGTGTTTCACGGCAATGTGAGGGCCACATTCATCTCACCGTGACTGAAGCTGGATGGAATGGGAAGGGAAGGGAGGGAACGTGTTTGGCGGGTACGTGTTGTTGACGTCTGCACACAGCAGTCGTGACAGGCCAGGAGTCGATGGTCCATGTCGTCAGTGTCGTCCATGTCGTTGTGCGTGGAAAAAGACAGCAAAGATGAAACACGACATGGCATTACTTCTTCTGCCATGATTGGCGGGCGGGGGTTTGCAAGGGCGGGCGCTTCAGAGACGCGCGTGTTGCGGTGCAGGTCGACGGCACAGGCACAGGCTGAGGTGCAATCTGGCAGAGTGGGCCGGGCAGCAGTCTGGCCCATGGATGGAGCAGCGGACGCGTGCAGGGCAAAGGGCCGCGAGGGGAGGCAAGTCCAGGGTCGCGGCCAGGGCTGAAACCAGCGCCCATCTCTTCGCTCAGCCAGTTCCTCGTGCTCGTCAAGACCACTCTGACGCTTCCGCCGAGCCCATCCACCGCCCTGCTACCAGACGCCTCGCCAGCGCGCAGTCGTCTAGTCTCCGAGAGAGAAGGCCGTCGTCACAACTTAAGCCCCTCGCCGCGCACGCCCACCTCGCCCATCGACGCTCGCCTACGCATTCACTCCTTTGCCCTAGGTCACGCCCCCTCGCCTCGCCGTCCGCCCTCGCATCCACCCTCGCGTCCACGCTCGTTTACCCTGCCCGGCCCCAGCCCTCGACACCACCACCTACATGCCCACGTACGGCGGCCTTGACTCCCCCTCGCTGCGCAAAATGGAAAACGGACACGGCTACGGCCAGCGCGCCTCCTTCAGCATCGGCCGCATCGTCGGCGATCCCTTTGCGCTGGCCACCATCTCCATCGCCATTGTCAGTCGTCGCCCTGGGGTGTGTCTGTGAGAGTGACGTGCTAACCGGTGCTGCAGCTCGCGTGGATCATCGCCTTTGTCAGCTCCATCCTGTCGGCCATCCATGGCGGCTTCCCCAACTTCGCCTGGTGGACCCTGGTCTTCATGTTCTTCTGCATCGTCGGCGTCACCATCACCGTCGCCTCGGACGCCGAGCGCACATATCATGTCGCTGTACGTCCCGCTGCACCGCGCCGCCCAGTGCACCTGCTAACTGTGTCAGATCGTGGGCTTCCTCTCAGCTGGCCTGGTCTTCACCACGTCGTCCGTCAACTCCCTCGTCTACTCGCCCATTGCCCCCTTCGAGGCCGCGGCTGCCGGCTACATTCTGCTGTCCATGATCACGGTACGTCGGCGCCCTGCACTGCACCTCCATACACCCAACACATTCACTAACGCCGGCCAGATCGTGTGGATCTTCTTCTACGGGTCCCAACCACAAGCCAGCCACCGCACCTTTGTCGACTCGTACGCCCTGCACAAGGAGAACCCAGGCTCGCGCTCCTCCCGCCCAATCTCCACCGGCTACACCAACCGCCCCGAGACGCAAATCACAAACAACCTGGCCCCCCAAATGTACACGTCAGCCCAACTAAACGGCTTCGAGACATCCTCCCCCGTATCCGGCTACCCAGGCGGCCCGACTGGCGCAATTGGCCGCAACTCGTCCGCCCAACAATTCGGCAGCATGAACACCGGCACACCGGCGCACGACGAGCCCCAGCAAGAAACCCACCTCGAATACCCATATCGCGCAAAAGCAATCTACAGCTACGAAGCGAATCCCGACGACGCAAACGAGATCAGCTTCCAGAAACACGACATCCTCGAAGTATCAGACGTCAGCGGCCGGTGGTGGCAGGCCAAGAAGCCAACAGGCGAGACTGGCATCGCGCCCAGTAACTACCTCATCCTGCTATAGAAGGCTGGTTCCTCTCTTGCGCGTATAAAACAACAAACAACAAACAACAAAATCTTGACGACCCTGCCACGACCTTTTCCTTGGGTGTCTTTCTCGACGTGTGTCACGACGGAGGGGGCTCTGATGAATTCTGAATCCCCCCCACCTTGGATCCTGCTTTCTCTTTTTTTGCTGGAGCGAGCTTGGGAATTGCATGGGCGATTAATCGGCTTGGGAGTTCACGCCGTTCTCGGCGTTCTTTTGGCTGGGCTGGGCGAGTGAGTGAGTGAGCGAGCGAGCAAAGCATAAGCTTCGACTTTCTCTCTCCCCTCCCCCCCAACACAACGATACCCGGATCTTTGAGCGATCTGCTTTCTTCTTTTTTCTACTTAATTCAACTCTTTTCTCATTTGATTCGCTCGTCATACTGCTTTCGTCTCGTCTCGTCATTCTAGGAGTGCGTTTTCTTCGCTTCGCTTCTACGTCACTCAGTCTGGAGGTCGAGTATATATTGCTGCATCATGGCAGTCATTTTTGTTTTTTGGGGGGAGGGGGGCGTCTTGGGGGGCTGGAGAAGAGGGATGGAGTTTTGCTTTGGCTTGCTTTGGCTTGGAATGTATAGTGTTGTGTGGTGGTGGGTTGGGTTGAAGTTGATGCAAAGGATCGAGGAAACGGATTGATTTAGACATTCAAGAATGAGAATTGAAATCGAGATCGGAATTGGAATTGGAATTGGAATTGGAATTGATACGCTGCTGTGCTGTACTGTGCTGTGCAATGTACGTCTTCAAGATTTCGTGTGTGTGTGTCTGGTCTTCATTCAACATTCGTGTTCTTTTTCTGCCATATTCCTACAGAATGTACAGTCCCCATGACGTGCTGTGGATGCTGGATGCTGGATGCCGATTCAAGCCCCCCCTCGCAAACCATGCCTCGAACGCCGTGCAATGCAATATCTCCTCCACTCAACGCGCATTTCCTCTCTGCCTCATTCGTAACCCTTCGACTTCTTCTCACACACATATCCCCCCACTAAGCCGCCCCAGACTCCGGAATAATCGACTTCGCCGCTGAATCCGCCCTAACAACCTGCCCCTGAATCTGCGAAACGCGATACTGCGGCTCCAAAATGCCGACCTAATTTCACATCAGCCCCCATCACACCCAAACCCCAACCCCCATCCCTCTTCCACCTCTCAGCGAAAATGGAAAAAAAACATACCATACTCAACAACCGCCACGCCGTATCCGACGGCTGCGCACCAACACCAACCCAATACCGCGCCCGGCTAATATCAAGCTGGATGTCTTTCCATGGCCGCCCGTGCGTGTCGCCTGGTCGTGGCGGTTGGGGGATGGGATTGTAGGTTCCGAGGACTTCGAGGGGGCGGGAGTTGCGCGCTGTTCTGGGGGGGTGGGTTAGCATGGGGGGGTTTTGGGGGAGGTGAGGAGGGTGTGGAGGGAGGCGTACCGCGCGTGTGCGACGACGATGTTGTAGAATGGGGAGTGCTTTTTTCCGAAGCGGGAGAGGCGGATTCGTAGGACCATCTTCTTCTTCTTCTCTTTGTTTTGGGAGGAGGGGGTGCGGAGGGAGATGTTGGCGGGTTTGTGGTTGTTGCGATGGGTTGGGTTTCGGTGGAGCGCGGAGAATTGCTGGGATGGACGGGTGGGCACGTGATGTGTGGGGTGGGAGGTTGGTGGGTTGGTGGGGGTGGATTTTGTAGAGTATGAGTATGCGGTATTATGGGGAGGGAGGAATTGATTGGGCGCGCTGGAGTAATGTTCAGTACAGGTTTGTGACGTGATGTGGGTGCTGCGTTGCGTTGCGTTGCGTCTCTTCTTGAGCATTCCCGAGCAGTGATGTAATGCCATCATCTATCCTGAGATTCACTTGAACAACTACAATTCAGAACAACGATCTGCATAACCAACAGTTGACAACTGATCATGGCACTCAGAGTAAATCGAGCCACCACAAATCTGAGAAATCTACTAACTACTTCACCCCAGACACTCTCCGCTAAGAGCGCTGCGGCGTTGGATCAAGAGCTCATGTCGACGGGCGCATTCTCCATCGATCAGCTGATGGAGCTTGCTGGTCTGTCGGTATCCCAAGCAGGTATGGTTTGCAATTGCTCATGTCAATCTTAAAAGTTTGGGAGAATCCAATTGACGCCCAACAGTCTTCAAACTCCAACCTCTCAACAGAGGCAAGAGAATACTGGTCGCCTGTGGACCGGGCAACAACGGTGGTGATGGACTTGTAGCTGCTCGCCATCTGTTCCACTACGGATACCAACCTACCATCTACTACCCCAAGCAGAGCAAGAATGAACTCTACCAGGTGAGGCAACACGACGCTGATAACACACAACTTCAAGTGTGACCCCAACTAAACCAACCCCAGCGCCTGAAGAAGCAGCTTGAAGACCTCAAAGTACCATTCACAGACAACTTCCCCAACGCACTAAAGGAAACCGACCACATCGTCGACGCAATCTTCGGCTTCTCCTTCTCAGGCGAGGTCCGCGAGCCCTTCCCCAAGGTCATCGAAGCTCTCGCCTCCACCTCAATCCCCGTTCTAGCTGTCGACGCACCATCATCATGGAACATTGAAGACGGCCCGCCAGACTCAGGCCCGGGAAAAGACTTCATGCCACCAGCGCTAATCAGTCTGACTGCGCCCAAGCCGCTGGTCAAGTATTTCAAGGGCAGGCATTTTCTGGGTGGGCGGTTTCTGAGCCCTGAGATGGCGGAGAAGTATGGGCTGGATGTTCCCGAGTATGAGGGCTTGGATCAGGTGGTTGAGGTGCCTGTTGAAGCGTGATGCATGTGTTGGAAGGCTTGCGAGTTCATGTCAGTTATGGAGTAGCTTGTCCAGAAATGTAAGGTGCGGCTTAATGTGGGCTTGTTCCGAGGTCTGGGGATGCTTTCCCCCCCACCCCCCCGTGACGCGGTTCGCGGTCCGGTTACATGCGCCTTCCCCAGGTTTAGCACTGCGACTACAATTACTTAACCCCGTGCTGCATTCCAGTGTTGATGTGTCGTGAATTTGCAGCGCTGTTCGATTGCTGTGAGCTCGTGTAAAGCTAGGTAGTGTTCCATTGCCTCTGAGCTCTTAAGCCGAGGCCTCGTTGTCACTCGGTATGAAAGATTGCTTGTAAGAGTTGCAAAGTATACTGATTTCTACCAGATAATCTATTTTGTTTCTGATCGTTACTTTGGATTCTTTCATATGGCTTCAAAAGCGCCTTCGCGGGAGGCTCTGGCGCTGCTCAAGCAAACCATCCGTCCCTCCATAGCTGCACGATCGCAAGCTCACTCCCGCCTGGCATCCACACCTCGCTCTTCCATACGCGCAGAGACACACTGCTACCCAACGCGCCAATCCTCGCGAACTGCAGCAACATTCACACATTCACATCATGCCGAAGCTGTGTCCATCCTGCCTACCACTGTGGACACCAACTCTGCCGACTTCAAAGAAAACAAGCGCCAAATGGATGAAGCCACGGAAAACCTGGTGAACCTGCATGCAAAGATCGCGCAGGGCGGGCCGCAAAAAGCCAGGGACAAGCACGTCCAGAGAGGGAAGATGTTGGTTCGAGACCGCATCACAGCTTTAGTGGACCCAGGCACGCCGTTCCTCGAGCTGAGCCAGATGGCCGGGTACAAGATGTACGATGTGGACGACGTGCCTGCGGGCGGGATCGTAACGGGCATTGGGACAATCAACGGCATTCAGTGCATCGTTGTTGCAAACGACGCGACGGTCAAGGGCGGCACGTACTATCCCATCACGGTCAAGAAGCATCTACGAGCTCAGCAGATTGCGCAGGAGAACCGCTTGCCGTGCATCTACCTCGTCGACTCGGGCGGTGCTAATCTACCGAATCAGGCGGATGTGTTTCCTGATGCTAATCACTTCGGTCGCATCTTTTATAACCAGGCTCGCATGTCTGCTATGGGCATCCCGCAGATCAGTGTCGTGATGGGGCCTTGCACGGCTGGTGGAGCGTATGTGCCTAGTATGAGCGACGAGAATATCATTGTTGAGAACCAGGGACATATCTTCCTCGCTGGTCCCCCGCTAGTCAAGGCGGCGACAGGCGAGGTTGTCTCAGCAGAAGATCTCGGCGGTGGCAAGCTTCACAGTGAAGTGTCTGGTGTTACAGATCACCTCGCAGTCGACGATGCACATGCGCTTGTCCTTGCGCGGAGGACAGTAGCCAACCTCAACTGGGATCGCAACCAACCCGCAGCCGCACCACCGGCCTACAAAGAACCCCTCTACGACCCCAAGGAGCTCTCGGGCATCGCGGGGACCAATCTACGCCGGCAGATCCCCATCCACGAAATCATTGCCCGCATCGTCGACGGATCCTCCTTCACCGAGTTCAAGCCCTTGTACGGCAACACTCTAGTCACGGGCTTTGCGAAGATCTACGGGCAGCCCGTCGGCATCGTAGCGAATAACGGCATCCTGTTTAGCGAAAGTTCACTCAAGGGAGCCCACTTTATTCAGCTCTGCGGCAAGCGGCATATCCCGTTGATCTTTCTGCAGAACATCTCTGGGTTTATGGTTGGGCAGGATGCAGAAAAGGGTGGTATCGCGAAGAATGGTGCGAAGCTTGTCACGGCTGTGAGCTGTGTTGATGTACCCAAGTTCACGGTCGTCATCGGCACCAGCGCTGGTGCGGGGACATACGGCATGTGGTGAGTATCGCAATTAATGCTTTCCTTGATTGAATGTTCACTGATAATGTCCTACAGCGGTCGAGCCTACGGCCCCCGTCTCATGTTCACCTGGCCCAACGCAAAAACATCCGTCATGGGCGCCGAGCAACTCGCATCCGTCATGGAAGCAGTCGGCAAGCAAGTCGATCCAGAGCTCAAATCCCGAATCGAGCACGAGAGCGAAGTAGTCTTCGGTTCAGCAAGACTGTGGGACGACGGGGTAATCCCTCCCGAGCACACACGGCGCGTACTAGGTCTGGGCCTGCAGATGGCATGTGGCGGGCAGAACAAGGGCGTGGAGAAGGAGAGCACCTGGGGCGTGTTTAGAATGTAGATGGACGAAAAGTTACTTTTTTGCTGCTGTTGGCGTGTGATATCATATGACATGACCTGCCTGTGCTTGTGGCTCATCACGAGATAGAATACCAATACGGTGTGCTACTATTTATAGATGGATCGCTCGGCAAGGCCCCCCACATTTCAGGCTCCACTACGGTAAACGGTGTCATCCCGCCGCAATTTGGCGCCTTGGTGCCCGGAAAATCAAGCACCGTACTAGCATTTCGTCTGCTTTGCTTGGGATGTCTTGGTTATCAGACTCGATGGACGTTCATTGCAAGATTCACTGTGAATTCACTGCCTTCTGCAATCTAGGTGAATCAATCTGATCAACAAAAGCACCGGCTCGGCCTCAGCGGAGTCAACATCTACAGGAAGGGTAAGCAGAACCACTTTTCCACCCTCGATCATTCCGGCGAGTTTGAAAGCAGTAATGGGGCCACCAAATCCCAAACACAGCACCCTGTCCATAGATAGTCAGGCCCGAATGGGGGGTAGGCACGGGTTATAACATACATGGTTACATTATTACACCCCCAACCTAGGTATATCCAATACGGTACACTTGTCGAAGGGAGGGTTTACTGAACCGCGCAGCCAATAGGGCGACGTGAGAATATTGTCTTCCACGGGCGCTCTTGGCCGGTTCCGGCAGGTTGTTGGTGAAGTTGCTCACGTTGATTTGCTGGACGCGGGCACACGGCTCAGCACACGATGTTGGGTTTGTTGTGCGGGCGCGTCGATCAGGATCAGGTTTCCCTTTGCCTTTCCTTGTGTCTTTGTCGGGCGGCCTGCGTTCCTCACTCACTCAACTCACTCTCTCCTCCACGCTCGTTGCTGCCGTGAAGTCATCTGAATCGAATCGAATCGAGTCGAAGCTCTGCCACTCGCTTTTGCTCCCGTCGCTGTTTCCATCGCTAGTCGTTATCGATACCGTCGGGCGCTCGCTCCTTCTCCAACTAATCGACTGGCCCGCACGCACATGTCGCCATCGTCATGAGGATGTTCAGCCCTGCGCGAGCGCTAGCGGCGCTCAGTCTGCTCTCCCCATCCGTTGTGCGACCCCACGTTGGAGCTTTGGAGTTGATTCCCACGCAGCCAGGTCAGTTTCTTTCCATTGTTTCGTTTGTTTCGTTTCCTCTCTTCTCGGCGACTCACGCGACATCGCAGACTCGATTAGAGATGTAGCTTCCAAGGTTGCGAAAGAGCTCGTCGCACAGTATGCAAGTATCGACGATGCAGGCGTGCATGTTCGAGGTGGCTATCCCGGTATTCTGTACCCGCCGTACTACTGGTGGCAGGCTGGCGCTATGTTTGGTACGCTGTTGGATTATTGGCATTATACTGGCGATGATCAGTATAATGGCTTGATCCGGGATGGACTGATACATCAGTTTGGCGAGCACAATGATCTGGTATGGACTTGAAAAGTAAAGATTCAGGAATCGAACCACGTTTGTTGACATGCTGCAGATGCCAGCCAATCAGTCCAAGAATGAGGGCAACGACGACCAGGTCTTCTGGGCTTTCTCCATGATCCAGGCTGCAGAGTACAAGTTCCCCGACCCGCCATCCGACAAGCCTGGCTGGTTGGCTATGACTCAATCTGTCTTCAACCAGTTCGTCACGCGCTACAGCAAGGAGGTAGAAGACGATGTTTGCGGCGGCGGAATGCGCTGGCAGATCTTCCAGTGGCTCAACGGTTGGAAGTACAAAAACACGGCTTCTAACGGAGGGTTGTTCCACCTTGGTGCGAGACTGGCCATGTACACGAGGAACGACACATACGCACAGTGGGCGGAGAAGGCTTTCGATTGGATGTCGGCAAGTCCACTGTTGCCGGGCGATGGACAGGTGTATGATGGAACGAGCATCAAGACCGACCCGCCCTGCAAAGACGCAGACACAACACAATGGACGTACAACTACGGCATCATGATTGCAGGAGCTGCTTATGTACGAGATACCCAACTAACACAGCCTAAGAAGAAAAATGCTGACAGAAACTAGATGTACAACTACACCAACGGTGCCGACAAATGGCGCAACGCCCTCGACGGCTTCATCAACAAAACAGACCGCTTCTATCCCGATGCATATAACAAAGTTATGACGGAACCCTGCGAAGCACGCGCAATCTGCAACGCCGACCAGGAATCTTTCAAAGCCTATCTCGCCCGTTGGCTCGCCGTCGCCATCCAAATGGCCCCTTACACGCGCGCTCAGATCCTGCCCGTGCTCCAGCACTCCGCCGTAGCCGCAGCGCAAACCTGCGCCGGGCCCTCAAACTACGGCGCGGGCAACTACGCATGCGGCATGAGGTGGTCGTTCACCGGCTGGGACGGATTCCAGGGCGTGGGACCGCAAATGAGCGCATTGAACATCATCAGTGCGCTGTTGGTCGACGAGGCCGAGACGCCATACACGAGTGTTTCCGGGGGAACAAGTCAAGGCGATCCGAGCCTGGGGTCGGGAACTACAGAGGCCCTGCCCACGCAGTTCGAGGCCGTTACGACGGCGGATAAGGCGGGCGCGTGGATCTTGACGATTGTGTGCATTGCGATGGTGGTGGGGGGTGGGTGGTGGTTGATCGTTTGAAACTTGCGAGCATGACAGGGATATACCCGTGGATACTTTGTTGAGTGGGGAGTTGGGCGCGAGATCTTTTTGCTGAGCGGCTTTCTGAGGAGGGAGCGACGGCTGCGGATTATGAATGTATGAATGACTTTATTCGAATGCTGGCTTGTGGGGTGGTGCGCGGGCGCGTATTTGCATGGGGGGGTTTGGATGGATTGACGCGTGAGGAGATGGAGATATCGTGAGTGCGCCGTGTGCTATCTTGAACCTGTTTGGATATACCGGCATCTTCGTAGGAAATGAAATATCGGGGATTGACTACCCCAGGATGAACTCATCGTTTACGACCTGATCTGGATTGCTAGTTTCCCGAACACTGTACGCATGTACATCTAATCATCGCCCGACTTATTAAGACAGCCATCAGTCTCCTCATCCGAGGCGTTGGTAGTCCTCTCCCTCAAGTCACATCTTCCCATATCGCGTGGGCATAGCTCCGCGTGGGCAATGTGTATGTGGACATATGGACATGATGCCCTGGGTAGTGAGGCTCCGATGGTGGAGGTCAATAAGGTCACTGGAATTCACACAAGAGGTTTTTCGACATGGGACTTGGGAATGCTAACTTTTTCGAACTCGACGTGGGAATGTAGGGGATCTGTTCTGGACCTCAATAATGCGGGATTTGAGCGCAGGGGGTCTGCTGTTGATACACTGTCCGTACGTATTGCTCTCATGATGTGCTAGTTTTGGTATTCGTGTTAGTTATGATGAAGAGAAAGATTGGAGAAATATGAAGGAGGGAGGGCTGTGGAAGTTGGTCTGTTGTGGTGGTGTGGAGGGGGTGCTGGGTGTGCAGTGGGTTGCTGCATAAAATGTGAGGCGTGTCCTTGCTTGGTGGTTGCGGGGGGTTGGGTTATGCTGGGGTTGTCTGAGGTTGAGTCTTTGACCAAGTGTGATTTCTAGGCAACTACGCTGGGTTGAAAGATGATGTGTCTTTACTCACACTTTCTCTGTGTTATAAGTGGTGTTTGCTAGGTTGGTTTACTACGGTTATATGTTTTAGACTCACGGACAACGTGCTCTTTCCTTAAAAGGTTTGGGCTTCTAGCTCTGGTGCTAAAAAAGGTTGCCTTCATACCAGTGGCCGACCTCTCCAGACCCTCATCTATTATCCTGTTGTCAAAAGTAGTCTTATGCTTGTAGCTCTCACGAATAGGACAACCGATATCAAAGAATATGTGTATCAGAAACTCGATTAATCAAGGGCTGAGTGTGATTCGCCTTAGATGTTGGGTATAAAATCAGTCCACTCCACGCTCACAAACGCGGTCGCACTGGCACATCTTAACTCAGCAAAGGCTCCGACAAACAGATATGATCTGGCTACACCATATATAATCGCCATTGGCGCTATCATGGCAAATTCCCAAGTCAGTGGTAACTCAGACATCTTCCTCTTGGGTTGCAAGGTTTGTCTTCGCTTCATTCTTGTTCGATGCTTCTCCAATCCTTCTGTGTCGACGAGATACAGATACAAAATTCTCCAGCGCCCCAATCTTGTCCATGACGCAACCGTCTCGAACACCCAGAAGGCAACTGTGATGCCGAATAGAACAAGTGACGAGATGCGCCACAGCAGGCGTTCGACGGCCGTTGGGAAGTCGGAATTCCACCCCGCCACATGTATTCCGGTGAACAGCAAGGTGGCGAAGCACAGCAAGTATTCTTGTACGCCATACGGGTTCATCGGAAATCCGTCGTTGGGGATGCGTTGTATCGGCCGCTCGGGCGGGATTACCGGCATCTTCATGAATGGCTGTACATTTACTGAGTATGCGGGTCCATTGAGATCGACGTGGTCAAGTGGAGTAAGTTCCCAATCCAGATTCCCTATCATGTCTTTCAGGGCTTTTGTCGAGTATATGTGCACCGGAGTGTGCACGTCAGCGGGCTTGTGTAGCCAGGCATACGATGTCATCAGCGAGCACACCACAATGGCCAGTGCGTTGAGCTCTAGTGTGGTGATGTCCAGTCCTCGTGCGGCTCGAGCAGTGCATTGGATGATCAAATAGCTGACTTGGAAGGCGGTCACGACTTTTGTGAATGTGTCCTGCTTCGATTTGTCCCACACCTCTTGCTTGGATATCGTCGGGTACTCGATGTACTTATGGTGAACCAACCAGTGGAGCTGTGCTGCGTTCAAAGGAAATGGCTTGCTGTCATCCTGTGTATGAAGCACGAAGCCGCCCATATCTGCGAAGAAGGCTTGTCGCATGTGCCAGTCGCCATATCCGGAGTCTTGAAATGCTTTGACGGACCACTTCGCTCTACTCCACTGGCCGGCGGCGTATGTGAGAACGAACTCAGGACCGAGAATGCCGAGGAGCATCCAGAGAAGTCGACGGCCGATAATCCTTGCATAGGAATCTTTCGGTGCTGGTATATTCAAGCACAACATGGTGTATGTGCTGATCCCGATCGTGGCTAGACAAGTCCATAGGATATCGAAGGTTCCTCGTCCGTTTGGCTGTTGTACCCATCCACTTACGCGTGTTGTTGAGGTAGCATTATCCGCGTGTTTATCCGAATCCTGACCGTAGTCATCGGTGCGATTTTGAAGATTCGACGATATGTTCAACGCACACGTTTGTCCATGGAAAACGGTGAACAGGAAAAAGAGGAACAGCACTTCAGAACGCCGAGCGGTCATCGTTCTGAACCCGCAGCGGGAAAACAATTTGAAAGATAGAAAACATATGAAGATAGGAGAAAGTCTCGGGAAACACTAGGACATCTACATGGATATCTGCGAGATAATGCGAGCGAGCCGAGTGTGAACGCAAGGCTGTAACAGCCATGGAACTCGGTAAACAACACAAAACGCCACTATCGGGCATGCAGTAAGCCACATACCACCTTCTACATACGCCTTAGGCGGTCTCTGTTTCGGTGCGCATCTGAAGAGTTCAGATGGTTCGTCGGTTTATGGTAGACGCAGTCTGCCACGATCTTTAATTAGAGAACGGGGTTAAGCGCTACGGCACGGATCGAACGAAAAGTGGATCTACAATGTGATAGGTCAGTTCGCGAAGCGTGAGAAGCTGAAACTTAAACATGGCGCGTACTTCGAGGCAGCATACGCTAGCTAGGAAAACACTACCCAGTCAATTCTCCCATATCTAGGCTTTTCTGTGCTCCGTTCCATCATTCTCTTGCTTGTCATTATGCCCGTATTCCCAACTATACTCAAGCCCCTCCTGGGCACGGTTGTTGGTGTTATAGGAATCTATGCCGCCTTTGTATCTCTCCTCACGATTCCCACGCTGCAGGACCACGTCATCTATCTGCATAGAGTAACACTCACATGGTCCCAAGACATCAACGTTCCGGAGCAGTGGGGTTTTCTGCGTAATCAAGTATCGCCTTTCCACCTCAAAACCCCAGATGGAGAGAATCTACATGCGTGGCATGTCTTGCCCCTCGAAACCTACCGTCAACATCAGGACGAACTTCGGAAAGAGTCTACAGGTCTTTGTCTGGACATAAAAGAACGGCTTTCATTCAAGCTGCTCAAAGATGATCCCACTGCTCACGTGGTAATCTATCTGCATGGAGCTGGAGGAACTTTGGGTTCTGGTTGGAGACCTCAAAGCTACCGAGCTTTGTCGGCAGCTTCAACTAATGTTCACGTTCTCGTTATCGACTATCGCGGGTTTGGGACCAGCACGGGGTGGCCTTCGGAAGCTGGACTGCTCACAGATGCTCTCACGCTGGTAAACTTCGCCATGAAGAGCGTCGGTGTCCCTGCGGAGAGGATAGTCGTGTTTGCTCAATCGCTTGGTACAGCTGTGGCGTTGTCTCTCACACACCACCTTGCGCTCCAGTCGCCTCCCGTTATATTCGCGGGCATTGTGCTTGTTGCACCGTTCGCCGACATAGGGTCCTTGACCGAAACGTATAAAGTTTCTGGGACTATCCCTTTGCTGTCTCCGATTGCATTCTTTCCTAAGCTTCTGGCGCTTCTCAACCGTTTCATAATCAGTAAATGGCCATCTAAGGAGAACTTGGCCGCTATGATCCGCCATCTAGACACTATCAATGTCGATCATCGACAACGCAAGTATGATATCACACTTGTTCATGCTGAGGACGACTTCGACATACCATGGATTCACTCAGATGTTTTATTCTGGCATGCGGTCAATGCTACACTTGAACCGTCATCAAGTTTGTCCTTCGGCGAACTAGAGAGAGTGAAGGCGAGAGAGAAAGTGCCGCTTGGTGCTGGTGGTTGGGAAATAGAATGGCGAGGAAAGGGTGGCGTAATACGTGAACAGATCGTCGAGCATGGACTTCACGACCGCATCATGAGTTATCCGGTTGTCAGTCTTGCGGTATCCAGGGCTTTTCACATTCAGGACGAAGTATGAGTATTGTCCTTCGAAGCAAACGTCTATCACTACTCTGATGACTTACTGGATAGATAGAGCCAAGTCGATTACTATTATTGAGATATTTTATGATACCAGAACGCAAACGAGCTGGACAAATTGCCTATACGAATATTTCTAAGATGATCTATAAGACGCGATTAGTCTTCATACGAATTGTAAGAATGTTCTGTACCGGATGGTGCGTAAGGTGAGTGGGTACGAAAACACCAAACAGGATCGGTGACTCAGGTGATGTAGTTTCTTCCCAAAAAGAATAGGTAGAACTGAATTGGTTTTGTTGGCATTGGATATACTAATCTTAATCTATGGACGGTTTGATGGGGCGCTCAGTTACTTGTGCGCCCGGTATGAGCGGTGAGAAACAGCTTGTTGACGCGGTCACTTGCATGCTATTCAATACATCCTTCCATTTCCATACTTTGTAACGGTTGATGTCGACTTAGTTTGCCTCAAGTTTGGAGATAGCAAGATTGTCTGCAGCAAGCTCTGCTTTCACTGTATCACATTACTGCCGCAGATCGGGGCGAAAACACAAACAATCACTCGGATTCTCGTGCTTTCCCTGGGCAAACTTTATAAGGCCTTCGCTTCCCCCATCTTGTCTTTCTTCCTCTACCCTTACCCTCACTTCTATCACGCGAACAGATTGCAAAAGTGCAACTGGCGACGAAGATGGCCGACTCGACCGAAACCAACTCAATCTTATGCGCCATGTGCACAGAAGTCGGAACCAAAGTTTGCAGTGGCTGTCATGAGATTCGCTACTGCTCAAAGCAGTGTCAGAAAAGCGATTGGCCCATTCACAAGCTTCTATGCAAGACCCTTGACGACTTCTCCGACGACAAGCGACCCCAAAAGGACGGCAGAGAGTACAAGCGCGGGATCTACTTCCCCAAGGCAGGCGAAACCCCACACTTCGTCTGGTTACCCTTCTATGGTGACCCTAACACCGGTACTTCGGTCTTAGACACCGCTGCAGTGCCCGAGCTCATGGAGGGTTTGGAGTCGATAGAGAGGTGGTGTATCGGAGACAACCAAGTACTACATCGTGAACTCGATCGACATCTGCATCTAGCAACCAGGGAGCAATCTTTCAATCGGGATCAACCATCATCAGGGACACCGAACAAGAGTCTGGAAAAGGTTGATCAAGAGCTATCGGATTGGTTCAAAGGGCCGATACTGGCCTTTGGCTCCGAGCACGGTGCCAAATGGCCGCATGAGTGCTACGATCTAGGACCTATGGATTTCCGTCATCTCGTCGACTGCTTGAGAGTGAACCACTACGGACTGGGCTTCGAAGAGGAGTACGTCGAGGGCAAAGGCGAGAAAGTCGTCGGTGTGAGACTAAACTGCGTCGGAGATGAGAACATAACGCTACGTGACTCACTAGAGTCGGTCGGCCTCTCGAAATCCATCTGCGATTCTGAGTCTCATATGGCCACCTCTGTTGCTGAGCGAGTCGGTGTCTCCCTCGTGGTGCGAAAGATTCCCCTCGCATTGGGCTGGCGCGACAGAACCTTCCTCGGAATGCCAACCCACCACAACTGCGGCGCTGCTGAGCTGGACGTCGATGGCGACAAGGGATTATGGCGTGCGGAGCGATTCATAGTCTCGCCGAAGACACCTCAACAGCTCTTGCGGAGCATGAGGAACGCGACCCCGATCGGCACCCTCGTCGTCGCTCGAAGAGACGGACAGCCGCTCAAACTGGCTCTGTTGATGGGTATACGGGACTACACTGTGTCCAAGGCCAGGACTACATCCACAGAGGGTATCAGCATCAAGGAGTGGACTGAGAAAGTGTTGGACAGTGTCTCGAAAGAGGAATTCCAGGTGTGGTACGCGGACTATGTTTGCGAACTTCTTAATGATCCTCATTTCGACCCTCAGAACGCTTGAGTTCCTCATGCTAGTCTTGGAATTGGATGGTCGAAACTGTGGCTGACAATCTTTGGCGGCTATATCGCAGAGAGAATCGGTGGACTTGTACTTCTGAATGTCAGAAATTGCGCCTACTTGGAAACGGATGGATACTTGCTGAAGATCACTTATGACAAGGCGCCAAGCATTGGAATTCGAGAGAGAGGCAACCTGTAACAACATCTTTCAATGAATTTCAGCTTAGACTAGATGGACATTATGTGATGCAATGTTTTCAGTCGGCTCCTCGAGTATTGTTCCTTCGTAAAATTTGCATTCTAGTGAACATGGTAATATCTATTGTCGTAGTTATATCTTACGTTCCTATATGAGGAAGACGCATGGTTGTGGCAAAATGAGACAAACGTGAAAAGTTATTGCTTCGTCCGTCGTAAAGATAAGTTGCTGAGGCATCAGAAGAAGAGCTGTGCAACTCGTTCTCACTTCAATTTAAACATACACTTAGGCACTCAAGTGATGGCAGCTGCATAGATATGCTGCTCTTACAAATTTCCTATGGAGCCTCAAACGAACGTAGTTGAGGGATATGGAGCTAGGCACATGCAAGCCATCAACGACCGTGGTATTATGAATCGTAGTCCACTGTGTTGGACATATTTTCCACCTCCGTGCATAGTACGGGACCATCCGCAACCGCAGTCTACCCGAGTCTCGACATCTCATGTTCGACTACCACCGGTCAATGTTCTTCGTTGAGCCATGGTGGTTTTATTCGTCATCCTGTGTTCCCTCGAATCCGCTAGTTTCTGCCATTCCCTCGAACTCTTCGTCGTTTGTATATTCTTCGTAATCGAGCTTGTCACAGCCCATGTCCCTTGTTTCTTCAGATTCAACACTCCGATAGCGTAGATTGATCCCGACATCATGTAAACCGTCAAATAGCTGCTTGCTGAACACGTCGAAGGCTCTGATGATGCGAGGAGGATCAAACCGAAAGTCGAATATGATTTCTCGCAGTTTCGGCAGTCTATTGCGGTCCTTTAGGATGCCATCAAGCCATTCAATGATGTATGGATCAGGGTTGTAGATAGTCAGTTTCTCAAGGCGTGGAGGGAGAAGGTCGAGAGGGTGGATGTGAACCTGTTCCGTGACGTCGATTATCGCGTCATGGGGTAGAGAAAGGTATTTCAAGCTCGTAAACTGGTTTAAAGGACTCGATGGGGTGAGAGCGTCCAGCACCACATGACGTTTGTTGTCCACGGGCATGATGTTGAGGAATTCCAGAGAAGACGATAAGGGTTGTAAGTTCTGCATAACGTAGGCCAGGGTTCCCGAACGTCTGGGCATGAACATATCCCATGTTGCGCTATCGGGGCCAGTGAACAGAATCCTGAACTCCTTGAAACTCTGGAAGCATCTGATGATCCTCGAAGATTCTGAGAATTGATGTGTGAGTCCGCAAGTAAAGAAGATCTCAGGAGTACATCTCAGTGTAAGGCGTTCCAGAACGAGCTTTGTTTTCCAAATTGGGAAAGAATACCGCTTGTATGAATATCGAATGCAGTCCAACTCGAGGATGCGAAGTTTTGGAAGCTCGCTCAATTCTTCGCCGAAATCTTCGCTGGGGATGCTCAAGCTCACTAGAGACTGCAGAGCAGGAACTGAGACCATCTTGATGCTTGGGATGTCCCACGGTCGACAGTACAAACTCCCAAAGGAAGCACCTATATTCAACTTTGTAGGGAGGTTGAAGTGTTCGAGGCGTGGTAGAAGGAAGAGTAAGAGTCCTGTACACGCTGGGTACCAGGTACGGTATGGTGTGAGAAGGCTTTCAATCATCTTGATATTAATGATTCGATCTGCAGGTACAAAATCCCAGTTTGCGATATTGGGCGCCTCGAGGCTGCGGACACAGCGTGCCAGGTTGGGGTGATGTACAAGTGTCCTAAGCAGCAGGGGGATGCTTTGAAATCCGTTTGACAAGCGAATATGGCGATAAAGACCTTCTTGCGCAATGCCATGGAAGTGCGTTACGTGAGTTAGAGCTTTGAGATCCGCCGTACCTAGCTTGTCGACGATTCGGAGAAGCAGTTCATCTGGAAGGTCCGACAGGTGCGCCATGGTTGCGATCTGGGCGAGAGGTAAGGCTCTCCGAAGAGGTTTGCACAGTTGGTACGATAGTATGAGGCCGAGCTGAGGTTGAGGTTAGGGTTGATGGTGGGGATGATGTGGAGGAAGGTGTTAAATAGTGAGGTGGTAGTCCTGGGGTCTTGGCGTATGCGGGCTCTGGCTTTCACTCTCTAGTGAAAGCATCTCGAGGGTTTCTTGGGTGATAGAATAGGCTTAGCTTATGCGCGGCAGTTCTCTCTCTCCTAATGCTGCAATGTGAGCCAAAAACCACTCTTTTCTACACACAGGCAAGTGTCTAAGGGCACGCCAAACGAGGGTTGACAAAGGCACTTCGAGTGTGTGAAGTGGGTGTAGAAGGTGATAGCCGCGTGAAGACCCCAGGGTCTAGTAAGAGTCAGAGTTAAGATAGCAATGGCTACAACGTGGGTCAAGATGAGAATATAGATGATACTTTAGATTTTCCGTATCTACATTAACATCAGGTTGTTTTGCTCTACTGTGTAAAACACTGTGCCTCTTCTAAGCACTCCCAATTCCTGTACCAACTGGGCAGTTGGGCACGTTAGCCTGCCACGCAACTTTCGCATACGCAGGGAGATAGCTGTTAGTAGTGAAGCTCTCATCCATATAGTATGAAACCTGGCTCAACGAGTAACTTCCACCAACGTCTGGCTGGTTCAGAGCATTGACAATGTAGCTCGCGATGAAGTCCAAGAACACCATGTCGACGGTTTCCGGCACAGAGCCGTCAGTGGGGAAGGAGCCGTTTGCTTGGAGATCGTTGGGCTGTGAGTAGTTGGGTATGCGCGAGTGAATGGTGTCGTCACCGTCAGTGCCGAAGTCGTCGGTTGTGACGGGACCAGGCGAAGGGGTAGTGGACTGGCGCCTGATGAGGCGACCGCCCTGCTTGGATCGTCGGGTCATGCCTTCGTATGAGTGGGTGATAGGTGGATCGAGGCAAGTATCTTTGTCAGCAAGAACAGGGGTGAAATCAAAGTCGGCGGTTGTCATGTCCCTCTTCTTCTTCTGGAATGGGCCCGCGTTTAAGATGCCGAGGACTTTTGAGGCTTGCTCATAGGGAACGTTGGGGATATACTGGAAAGCATCCTTGAATGGGGAAACGATGAAGGAATCATCGTAGGTGAACGGACCCTTAGCAAGGTCAAATCGAACGCTTCCAGTGTTGATGATGATGATGCGGGGAATATCTTTTCGGGTCTCGTTCACGACGACAGTGGCGAGAGCAGTTTGCAACAATCCAAAAATGTTCCCTTCTGCGAGGAATGGCTTGCAGTACTGGCAGTACGTTGCTGGTGCACATCCGTACAGGCTCGTAAGGTTCAGTTTTGCCCGATCTGATGTGATCTCAGAAGTGACTGCAAGGCCTTTCTCGGTGTCAAAATGGGCGTACGATTGACTACCCTCCGCGTGGTAGGCGAAAGTCAAGCGGTTCCAGTCCAAGTATCGTCGAGCATAGAGAAGCGAAGAGTTGGAGGTTGAAGTCGGGAAATGTACACTTGCAGTTGTCGTTCCGGAGCTGAGAGCTGGGACTGCACTTCGAGTTGGATGAGGAACGCCCTTGGGGTTTTGCTTGGCATTGTATTTAGGGGCGTTGATGCCAGTCATGGCTAGCCAGCCTAGAGTTTCACAGTATCGTCCTGTCTCAATATCAGTCGCTGACGTCGTGTGAGATGAGACTAGCAAGACTTACCAGACTCGAGTCCTGTCGCTTTGTTGTCGTATACCACGAAATCGCGGATATGTGTGTGACCACCGAAAGCCTGAATAGGCACATCCGGTCTCATACTGCGAATGGCGCTGAAAACAGTGCCGAATGTGCTGCTAGACACATTCGTGCGAACAGGGTTATGTCCGAGCATCACGAAGAGATCAATTGGCTTAGGAGAGTTGACAGCTTCGCGAAACCAAGTCTGATTGACCATGTCAGCAGCTTTGATGACTTTAGAAACGTTTGAGTTGCCGGTGAAATCAAACAACACTCCAAAGGCCATGACGTGGAGCCCTAAAACATTGTAAGTATTCGCGCCGAAAGAGAGGCTACATCAGCATACCTTGCTTCGTCTTGAAGTAACGATACTTCGATCCGATGTATTCAAATTGCCCGGTGGTAGGGTTTCTGATCTGGACATTGCTAGTGATGTATTTGTCTCCGTAGACCTTTGCAAATTGGCCGAATGTCTCATACGCAATTTCGGTAACATAGAGCTCGTGATTGCCAATGGTAAGCAGATCGTAGTCGACGTTCTCAAATATGGCATTGGAAACATTGCCGTTGGGGGTTGTCGCGTCGCTCAAGCCCGCGCCATCATGAAGGTCCTGGTCTGCATTAGCGACTAATCCCCAAGTTACGACTGTTCACATGGTAGGTAGAACTATGATTCCAGGACTCCGATATGCAGTCACTCACCCCGGTATCAACTAAAAGCAGATCTACACCAAGCTTGTCGGCTTTCTTCTTCATGTGCTTTGTGAAGCTCACGTAGTCTCCCCAGTCTGCACCGTAATTTTGCTCTTTGATATGTCCTTCCAGCCACCCATGCGTATCGGTGGTGTGCATAAAGTTGATCTGGCCCCACTCGAGAGGTCCTTTGGGTCCCGAAGTCGCATTCTGCGCTTCTGGCTGCATCCTGCGGACGTTTCGAGTAAGTACGACGTCATCTTTCAACGGGCCATAGCAGCTGTGATCACCCTCACAAGCGGAGGACACCGCCAGGAGAGACGCAGTCGCGCCTAAAGTCAAAAGTCGCATCTTGAAGGAGGTCGGAAGACAAGGATGATGAGAGATGCTGGGGAGTGGGAGCTCGTCGTTTTAAGCACGCAGCAATCCCTACTATTGGTATCGTGCATGGCATATGCATGGGCATACCAACGATGGTGATTGGACAGGAGATAAGCTTCTTGAAGCTTGATAGCAGGACGCTAGCAAAGCTTGGTCATGATGGGCACCTTCCCGATGGATGGTTAGTGTATCGTTCGGCGATCTCGCACTTCGACCATACATCGCGTCTCTCCGCTCACGCATCCACGGACTTGGTGTCTCCCGCGTTGGTAATCTCCACTTTATGAGATCTCGGTTATGATTGAGTGCACGGCTGGAACCCTTCACATTCTGCGAAGGCAAGTGGTCTCTGATTCCCGTCATCAAGCTTACACGCCGCACGGTCAGCTCCGAATACTAAAATGTGACATACTCTCGGTCTAAACTCTCGCTTAGTACTACCTACCGAGAGTTATCATACGCCTATCATTTGCATGTTGCTTGATCAGGACTACTCATGAGCACTGACCCTTTTTCGCCACACTCCCTTCCTAGGATATGCTCAAGTCAGCAATCTGACTTCTCATGAAATTGGTAATTGTCTCATACAGCATTGAAGTAAACGTGAGTAATAAACGCTCACACCCGAACGATAAAATCTAGGATGTTCTGATCTTGGAGGCTATGTAAGGAAAGGCACAACCCAACCTCCCCGCGGCCATCCATCCCGCGGAGTCCCACTCTCCAACGACGCAACCGCAAAACCGGAAGCCAATTCACGTATGCTTTTCCCAAGAAAAGCAAGGTTTCCTGGAGCAGACTCATAATTCGAATGTTGGCGCGCTACTTAGTTGCAGCATGGCCAAAAAGAGCCTTGAGTGTGTTCAAGGGGTGTAGCAGACTATTATGCCCGTCCAGCTTGTACACATCATCGAGAACGAAGTAATCAAGCCCACTGTTTCCCCGCAACTCAAACAACGCGTTGAAGGCCGAAAAGCTGTTCTCTTCGAGAGTAAGAACGCGTTTCTCAGCTTTCACTATATGCCTAACTGGTCAATTTCTGCTGGTATGAAGGGCGCTGGACTGGAATGGATAATTTACGTAGACCTAGTAGCTAAACACGTTCGGGTTGTACTCGTCAGGCATTGCAGAGTACGAATCGGTAACTCTTGAAGCGTTTTTTGCTCCGAGCACGGTGGGTTGAAGGTGATGCTGCTCACCATTGGGTGCTTGTACTATAATTTCTAAAAGTCATGGCTTGAGGCATCTTGGTGAGTAGTAGATGAGGGTTCATTTGATTGTATCTTTGGTTCGGAGGGTATGGGATTAGAGAAGTGTTGGCGATGAGGCGTACCGGAGGAAATGATGTTTCAAAAAGAACCTTCTGGGATTGACGACAGTGGTCAAAATGCAAGACATAGTCAAAGGCGAAAAGACACAAATGAGATAATCGTTAACCAGCAAGAAGACGAGAAAAGGCGGAACAGTGGAGAAAAGTATTAACAGAGTTGCATGAAGTAACATGCATCCTATCCTGTAACTCCAAGCCACAGCCGGGCAGACCGAAGTAGCCAAAACCTGCATAACCTAGTCCTTGAAGTCATCATCATACCGTCTCTTCCTCTGCGTTTGTTCCTCTCCGTTCACTCCGCTCAACACGTCTAGTAACCAGTCGCGCCAGGTGCTTTCTCATCCTTTCTCAAGCTCAGCAGCAGTTCCCTGAACCGCGCCTTCTCACTCCCAGATGCACCGCCTTTTGTGCCCTTGCCGCTCAGATCCACCAGTTTGGCAATTCGCTCCCAGCTCGTTCCACCAGCGGTCGTATCGTCTCGGTTGGCAAGGAACTCCTCAGCATCTTTTCGTGTCTTGGCAATCTCCTTGTCCTTCTTGTTGTTGTAGTTGTCGTAGAAATCGTCAATGTTCTCCTGGGCCTCTTTGATGGTTCGGTCCTTGCGCTCGGCGGAGACTTCGTCGCGGTGCTGGATCTGGAGATCACGGCGTTCGCGCCATTCTCGGATGACGTCGGGCTCTGGAGAGTCTGATCGCAGGGGGGTGAACGAGGGTGCGGGTTGGCCGGGGAGGAACGGGAGTGAGGAGCCGGTGATGGTGCCGCCGGGGGCCATGTGCTGCTAGAGTTAGCATGTCTTGTCCGAGGAGTTGCATCCACTATCGCCCCGCGTCCTGCACTTATGGTGTGGACCTGCTCTCTCTCTATTCTTCATCGGTGACACGGGCAATGGCGAGCTAACTACTTGTGCAGCACAGGTGAAGGTGGTGGAACCGGCGCATTGCTTACGTTGTTGGAGGTGTCGATTGCGGGGAAAGAGCTCTCAAAGCCGCTCATCTCCTCTCCGCCAACGTTGGCCTCGTAGTCGTCTCCACCAAGCAAGTCATCATCCCCATCTTCGACTGTTGCCAGCTTGTCGTTGTCCGAAGTGAACAGGTCCGCGTCGTCGCCGAGCATTGCGCGTTCGCGTGAGAGAAAGTCGTCGGTGCCATTTGAGTCGCCTACGAGGTCGAAGTCGGTGGCATCACCGCGCGCTTCGGTGTGACCTGGGGAGATTCAGCAACTTGTCCGGAGCTCCATCGGGGGTTCAATAGCGGCGCATACCAGCGTCAATCTCATCCAACGACGGGAATCGGTCAGCCATGGTGAAGGTAAAGTTTATGAGAGACTTGGGGCGGGAAGAGAAGGTGATGCAGGCAGCAATCGATTGTCCACTATTGTTGTCGTTACACGTTGCTGTCACTACCAAGGAGACAGCCCGCCAAGACGACGGAGACACCTTTCGCCGACACCATTAGCGCCACAGCTGCCAGAGCTCCCTCGAGCTCTTCCCATCAACTTCACCAAACACACGTCATCAGACTAGTCACGTCGCAGACCAATATCTCTTCTGCAAACTGAAGAAACGCGTTCCAACTTCATCATTGCAGTGCAATAGTCGCGTGATCGGCTTGTCAGGTTACTCGCGTGAGAGCTCGTCACCAGTAGAAGCCGTTGTCAATTCGTGAAGACCTCGAACATGGCTTTTACAGAAGACAGCCTGAAGGCGAAGCTCTCGTCGCTCAATGAGACGCAAGAGGCAATCTGTACCGTGGGACAGTGGATCCTCTTCCACAGGTAAGGCTTCCCATCTATCCATGGACAATCACGTTTGTCGAACCTGGCGCAAACAGCTTGCCTGCCATCTGCACATGTCTGCACACTCGCGCACCCTTGCACTCCAGTCACAATTCACATGGCTTGAGACGCGATACTAACATGATCTTCCCACAGACGACATGCCGAGCGCATCGCGCAAGTCTGGTTCCAGCGCGTCAAAGAGTCCGCGCCCAACAAAAAGTTGACCTTGATCTACCTAGCAAATGGTAGGTCCCTCTCAACTCTGATATTCAACGCAACTAAAGCTCACTTTAACTACAGAAATCACACAAACTTCAAAGATGCGCAAGAAGGAGGAGTTCATTCGCGCATACGAACCACTCATCGCCGACGCGACGGCGACCGCATACAAAAGCTCACCCCACGAGATCCAGAACAAGATCCGCAGAGTAGTTGAGGTCTGGCGACAAAGGCAGATTTTCACTCAGGCTGTTCAGCAGAGCATCGAGAAGCAAATTGACGGTATGGCTTGAATCGACTATCTATGCGTGTTGGATTTCCTACTGACGGCTCACAGAACTTGATCGAACGCGTACAAGCAAGAAGCCTGCCCTCGGTGGCTCCCTCTTTTCTAGCTCTTCTGTACCACCCGAGCTCACACCCGTGGCACCTCTCGCGATCTCTGTCCAGAAAGCGGATCTCCATGCAAAGCCAGCTCTCGCAACCGCAAACCAGGACTACGAGAAGCTCACCAATCCGAACAATGCCATCCCTACTCCGCCGATGCACGCAGCTGGTCTTGCAGCGCTTGTCAAGAAACTCGCCGTGGCTGAGGGCGCCGTGGCTGAAATCATGAAAGCAAGGCAAGCTCTGATCATAGGGCTCGAACAACTTCTCGAGGCAAACAAGTCGAAATTGACGCAAGAGGAGGCGCAAATGCTGGACTTGGGGACGCGCAAAGACGCCATAGACAGCCGCAAGCGCGAGGTCGAGCAGGCCATTCTTACGGGCATGTCAGCCGCCGACACAAATAAGATTTCTGCCGCGCCCTTCCCAGTCGCGACGACATCTCCCGCCGCACAAGACCGTCCGAAAGTCGAGGAACTCACGCCGCCACCCATGGAATCCTTCACACCCGTCGGATCGCCCCAGCAAGTCGCTGCCGCCGCTGCCTTTGAGCCTGTTCCCGACATTGGCAACGACGTAATGCCCGAAGCAGCTGCAAACCCCATGGAGCCTGAATCCGTTCCTGCCCCGCCTGGTCACACCGCGCTATCCACCGCCGACACAACCACGTTTGGAGACCCAAACCAGCACGTTGCGCTTGATCTGCTGAAGAGCCTACAACATGTGCGACCGGACCAGGGCGGTGTGTATGGGCAGAACGCGTACCAGGCTACGTACAAGAAGCGGAAAATGAGTGGTCACAATGTGCAGGAAGATGAGTTTGCGGCTTTTGAGGGAGATGGCGATATGGAAGGAATCGACGACAACCTCGGCGAGCTGATCTGAAGACTGTGGGGTGTCTAAGATGGGAAAATGTTGGAGGGTTAATGGTTGGGCTGTTGTAAGGAAGAAGCGACCAATCTCACGACAGTACCAAACATACTCAGGTTGTTGTACGCGAGCAGAAAAGTACTGGCGACCTTTGACGGAGTAAGGATAAAGCATGCGAAGATCGCATTCTATAAGTAATAGAAACTGGAAAAAGTCGAACAATTCATCATTTATCATTCAGCCGATACCATTGATCTAGGATATTATACACTCATCCACCCTTCGCGTAGTCTTGAACATAATCATGAAACTCGTCTCCCATAACACGCACTCATCGCAGAAATCACTCCTGTCCCGGCATCTTATGCGACTTCTCAATCTCCTGCATAGCGCGCTGACCCTCCTCAGTCGTCGCATCGATGACGCCCTCCTCGAGACTCAACATACCCCCATTCCCCAGCTTCTCGACAATCTCCTCGGCCTCCTCGACGCTCATCTTAGCCAGCACCTTGTTGACCTCATCCAGCTTGCCCGTCTCGAGCGCGCGCTGCAACCCCGGCGGAAACGTATCGAAGATCTGCCTCGACGCGACTTCCGCCTCGCGCTCCTCGGGGTCGGTCGATGTGGGTTCCGCCGCCGGGACGACGATGTTGATAGTAGTATTTGGGTTGACGGCGTGGAGTTGGATCTGCTCGACGCCCTCTGCCGACTGCGGGTTCTCTGCGCGCTCCTTGAGGATTTCCGCAGCGCGGATGCGGATGCGGCGATATGTTGAGTCGACGTCGTCTGTGAACATTTTGCTCGCTTGGTGATCTTTGCTCTGGATGCGCTTGAAGAACAGTTCCACGCCCTGGCGGCCGCCGAGCTGGCGGCAGTACTGCAGGAGCAGGCCTTGGTGGACGCATTGGCGGGCGTGTTTGGGCTTGCCGTCGAGTTCCGAGTTAAAGGCTTCGACGAGGAGGCCGTCGGTTTCTTTCTCCGCCATGACGGAGGGGTTCGCCATGAGGAATTGCAGGCAGGCGTACCAGTCGCCGGTTTTTATCTTTGCGAAGGATTGTGCGAGGGGGGAGGCGGAGATGTCCTCGTCGTCGGCATCGTCGTGGGTGGCGGTTCCTTCTTCGATGTCGGCGTCTGCGCCTGATGATTGGTCTGTGTCTGTTCGGGAGGGTGAGGGGCGGGATGGGGCATTGAGGAGCTCGGTTGTGGTCTCCTTTGCAGGGACGAGTTTGGAGGATGTTGAGGAGGAGGAGGACGGTGTGGGGACGGGTGCCTTTTCTTCTTCGCCCTTCTTTACGCTAGAGTAGCTGAAGCCTTCGTGGATGTCTTCGCTTGTGATGTGCTTCTTGTCTTCCTTGTCCAACTCGGCCAGTTTCGCGAAAAGTTGCTTCTGCAGGTCCACAACCCTCTCCTTTTCCCTCTCCAGACCTTTGATGAATTGCTCATATCGTGGTTCCTCGCTCTTGCTTGCATCAATGTCCTTCTTCACTGAATCGACCAGACTCGCCATCATCTGCGGGTACGATGGTTTGTCCTTGATGTGCTCATGCACGCCCTCTGGCGGCGGTGGTGGCCTCTCTCCTCCACCGTCCTTGTCTAGCTTCATATCCATCATGCTCTCCATCATTGCCTGGAAGACCAGCTGGTCATCATTCCCACTTCCCTCTGTCTGCTTCGCCCTATGCGACTTGAGAGCCGTGAGCAGGCGGTCGATGCGCTCGGTGAGGCCATCGTTGATTATGCGTTCGTATTTCAGAGTCTTGATTTGATGGCGTCGGTGGTCGCGTTCCTGGTGGATCTGGGCTTGCTTTGCGCGGATGAAGGACTTCTTGTCGACGTTGGGGTGCACTTCAATGTCACTATCGTCGGAGAGCTCGAGAGCATCCTGGAGGATCAATTAGTTACTGCTTCAACAGGTATAGTGTCCGGTCAGTAATTACTCACCCACTTGCTGTAGTTGATCACCATTGTGTGTGTGTCGTCGTCTTATTGCTGCTTGATGCTGCTATCGACGTCAAGCTCGCGATTGCCCGCGGGGTAGGTTCCTCGTCGAGGTGGGATGCCAAGCTTTCTCGAGAACCTTCGAGTAGCCTCATCTCCATTCTGTCACTGCACCGTCACTTCCACACTTCTGTGATATCTCCATTGCGTCGTCACGGATTTTCGTACTCAATCACAACACCTCTTCTATGTCTTCAATAGGCGACCTTACTCACAGACATGCAGTCGGAACTCTCCCGGGGATTGCCAGACACGGAACATGGACATGGCTGTAGAAGACGATGTAAACAGACTTGGTAGTAAGATGAAAACCTTGGTTCGCCAAGAAACAAACATTCAGCTACGTGAGCTAGGGGTAACATGCTCTCTGTAACACAAATGAGAGATTTTGCGCTCATTGCGGGTGACCAGGGGAGCTGCGACTTCGATATATATTCGTCCTGCTACTCCATCAAACATGTTTATGCTACCACAGCACGCAGGTTACCTCGTTTGCAACATTCACTCCTACTTCCGCCAAGGTCTTGGCCTCCGCAATCCGCAAATTACCTCCTATATCGAACCTCAACTCGCCTGTTTCAGATGTTCCAGGGATGGAGACGCTCTTCTGATCACTTGAGAGAACCTCGTGCTTCTACATTGACTTATTCATTAGTATGACCCTCAGCAAATATGTTCTCCCATATCGATCAATCTATTCCCGGGACGTCCTTGCCGGCAGACTAGATGAGATCACGTGTGATCTACACTCTGAGACGTCTTCCGACTACTCGAGTCGGGTCCACCAATCCCAACTCTTAAAGAATTCACTATTGCTTGTCATCTCAGTCAATGCCTTGTTTCATGAATCCACCATGTTTCGTCGCGAACTGCCGGCGTCAGCGTCTCGCTTTCGCACCCGGTCCCAGATGTCAAGGACTGAATGTGCCGGTTCCACCTGGGGAGTTCATTGGAAGCCTTGACCGTTCTGGTCCTTACTTGCAGACGCCAACTCAACAAGACACCACTTTGACCACCACCGGGGAATTGTGGAGATTCCAAGATCCACACTATGTGCTGTTAGTGCGTTTCGTTTAATCAATTGTCCATCCTTCATGATAGCCTGCAGGCATAATCTTCATGGATGTTTCAATCTGTGTGGTGCAGAGGTGTCCTGACTCCAAATATTAGATGAAAATACCATATAAGAGCAGCCTCGCGCAATATCTTTCGGCATTCAGGTCATTCAGAACCCGAAGCATCGCATTCATACTTTCGTTTCTTGTGTGACTTATATTCTCCCACTTCTTCACTTCTACACTCATCATACGCTAGTCGTACATTTTTCACTCTTTCATCATGAGGTTCATCATTCCCGCTCTTGGCTTCGCCACGGCCGTTGCTGCCCACGGCTACGTCAACAACGCCACAATCGGCAACAAGGACTACACTTTCTACCAGCCATACACAGACCCGTACACGAGCCCCACGCCTCAGCGTATCTCGCGTGAGATCCAGGGTAACGGGCCCGTTCAGGACCTCACCATCTCCGACATCCAGTGCGGTGGATACGCTGCTGGAGGCATCAATGGCTCCAAGCCTGCCGCTCTCCACGCTGCGGTCGCTGCTGGCTCCGAGGTCGAGCTCTTCTGGACTCTTTGGCCCGAGAGCCACATGGGTCCTTCGATCACCTACATGGCCAAGTGCCCTGATACAGGCTGCAACAACTGGATGCCCGAGTCAAAGTACGTCACTCACTTCGATTCCTACTTCCAATACTGACTATCATCCTAGGGCTGTCTGGTTCAAGGTCCAGGAGAAGGGCCGCACTGGTACCTCTGATGTCTGGGGCTCCGACGACCTCCAGGTCGCTGGTGGCTCGGTCAAGTACACCGTCCCCAAGTGCATTGCCAAGGGCAACTACCTCGTTCGTCACGAGATCATCGCGCTGCACGCCGCGTACGAGTACCCCGGTGCTCAGTTCTACCCAGGTAAGACTTTCCAGACGTTAAACCTTAATGCACAGTAGCTAACGACGTGAAGGATGTCATCAATTGACGGTATCATCCACTGGAACCACTGTTCCCACCGGTCTTGTGTCCTTCCCCGGTGCCTACAAGGCCACGGACCCTGGTATTACGTACGACGCTTACAAAGGTATGTTTATGGACACTTCCCATCCATTACTTGTACAGAAAAGCAGCTACTAACGTCATACAGCCTCTACTTACACCATCCCCGGTCCCAAGCTCTTCACCTGCTAGATTGGTCGACTGATGGAGAAATGATGATCTTTCATGTATATAGTTGCCTCCTACATAACCTTCACTTCGAATGCGATGCGTGCGTCTGCTCTGAGCTTGTTCCTCTACCTTGTTGCTCTGTGTGTTGTGTTCTTGATATGTGATATTCGGATTCGGTTTTGTGAGCTGTTTTTGATGTGATTTTCTTACGTCGCAGTGAATCTCCATTTGGACTGCGGTTCCTAAGCGCTGGCCTTCTGTAGTTAATTGATATCTTGATTGTGTGCTCTACGTTTAACTAGGTGAAGATATAGGGACGTATCGATATAGAATAGCATTGTTCTTGTGATGTGACGGATTAATTCTTCTCTTACAGATCAAATAGTATACATCCATCTCCGACTGGTTGGTGATATTGACTGCATGGGCTATAGGCGGTGATGCTTGGTACGTTGGAGCATCCCCAAGAATTGATATATATTTGACTACTTGCAATCTCTGGAATCTGTTTTCTCTTGGCAAATATGATCTACACTTCAGTTCGGGGTTCAAGTATGGTTTGCTTAGTCCGCTCCACAAGGCACCTACCGAGAATCCTCATGCTAACTTTGACGCGTACTTGGCGATGTCTGAAGCATACATCACCACGTCAAGTTAGTGTAGTAGGCTACTTGGGACTAGTGTATCAGCCAGCTCGACGCAAAAGATGGTAGAAAGAGCCCCAAACACCTGCTGGACAAAGTGATGAACTGATAATGAGACCTGTACAGCTATGGCCCCGAGCGTCTCGAAAGACAGCATGTGCAGATTTCCGCGATAAGCAAGTCACTCGTCGTCTTAGGTGTCTTCTCGACGGTAAAGAATATTCGGATATTGAAACCGGCGCATACAAGTAGCACAACTATCGTCTTTAGTATTCAAATAGGCCCTTTGATCTATGAGAAATTATGAGGTATGCTGTGTTAGAATTGAGGACTATTAGCAACCCGTTTAACTCGCAAGCTCATCGATGATGGCGAAGATTGGGATTATGCCCTGTAACGTTAACAGAGCATATACAAGCACATCCGGTGGAGATACTGTGTGAGGCAGCAATCAGGCTGGAACACCGCCCAGGTGCAGAAGCGTGCCAAGAACAAGAGTAGCCAGGCACCCGCGGAGTGGCCCGATTCAGAGTATACGCTGGTTGCTAAAACCAATGGAGAATGAAGATTTTACGGATTTTTGGCTGACGTTTGATTTTCAATCTGTCGTCGAAGATACTGATAAGGAATAATCTATTCTCAGACCACAGGCGTGTACTTGAACGGCGACGATACGCGATACGCTGCAGCCAAGATTTCCAACAGTGTGATCGAATTTGAGTGGAGATATACTTGGATGGTTGGAGAACATCTGAGTGGGCGTTTTGAGCCTGAGTGTGCAGCCATCGTAGCTCAGCCTCCTTGCATCATCGCTCAGCCTTACCAGGCAAATAACTCACAGCAACGTCATTTGTCAACACTATATTTGGTGACTGGAGGAGATACAATTAGAACTGCCACTGACGTATGTAGTCTTATAATGCATTGGAGCCTGATCCGGTGATTCTAATACCCAAAAATAGTGATACAGCCACTGTGTCACTATAGTAGAGATGTATATACCCTTGGATGGGCAGTACATTTGGGAAATGATCAAAGTACAGGAATACTAGTAAATTCAGCTTCGACGTTGTTCTTCCCGGTGGTCGACATCGACAATGGAACACCTTCCACTTCAGGAGACGGAGCTCAGAGAAAGGAGCGTTGGAGGTCTGAGCAAGGAGCTGTCACCTAACCCGCCAACCACACGTACGTTCAACAGTGAAAGAACATTTGGTTCTTGATCTGACAGCATGCTAGCTATCAGCCTTGCTCTATGTCCGATATCCGAGCAAGAGGCCAAGGACAAGAGCCTTCCGGCGTTGAAGTCATTGCCTCTCATACTACGCACGCCTTTCATCTGCAGTGCGCTCGTTTTCAACCTCCTGGTCCTCGGCCTCCTCATTTCTTTATTATTCTACGACTACTTTAGTTTCAGCAACCGCTGGAGCTATCTCGCCATCCAAATCCTGCCTCCTGTTCTCGGCACAATAACTGCTTCGCTTTGGCATGCCATTGCTGTAAACCTCAGCCGCATGACACCCTTCATGTTGGCCGCGGAACCAGAAGGATCTGCTTTTGGCAAAACGATCCTGGGCGCGTATTTTCCGGGACTCAGCCTGCGAAACGCAATCGCCAATGGCAACGGACTCCTGGCGTTTGTCTGGATTTTAGAGATTATCTCCGCGACGATCTTGTCGTTCAAATCATCACTGCTGAACACGGCGAATTACGATGATTATGTCGAGGCTGTGGTCACCCCTTGGGCACTGTACTCGCTCATTGTTATCTATGCTCTGATGTGTGTACTCATGGGTATTCTGACATGTAGATTGTATGATCTTGTTACCGGCTTGAGGTGGGAGCCAGCGTCGATAGCGGACCATTTGGCTCTGTTCCGTCACAGTGACTTTCTTGACAAGTTTGAAGGCACGGATACTGCGGAGAGGGATTCTTTATGGGACCGTCTGCAGAACGATCATCTGAAGCTTGGGTATTGGAAATGAGGTAAAGAGATCTGGCATGGCTTTGGAGAGATCCCAAGACGGATACAAGGTGCGTGTGACCTCGAGTAGTCTACTTCACATTTTCTGACCTAATGACAGCGACAAAGGCAATACCGGCACCATCAGATAGCGACGGACAAGAACAACAACCACAGCGAACCGGAGTGCAAGGCACTCAAAAGGCATCCCAGCCTCCCGCTACCAAAAAATGTATGACTTCTCAATAAGAGTACTCCAGACGACGAAGACTAACATGAAATCATAGTCTCCTTACGAGACATCGCCGATACTCGTTACCGCTCTGTAGCCTTGAACATGGAACATTGGATGGCATATATCTGGATCAGCCTCACCCTAACACTACTAGCCGCCTCCATAACCGGCCTGGCGATCGGTCTCGTGGGCGGGCAAACAACCTCAATGTCCTACAACTGGGCGACCGTGGTCTTCCAATTCATCCCCGCGTTCAGCGTCAGCCTTTACACGTGGTTTTGGCAAGACGTAGACCTCTTCGCCCGATCGACACAACCCTTCAGAGGCATGTCAAGCCCCAAACCGGCTTCCGAAAACCTTCTCTTGGACTACAACACTCTCCCTCCTTTTGTTGTGACTTTCGTGGCTCTGAAGAACGGACACAAGAGAATTGCGTGGACATCGGTCGTGGCAATTGTCCAACGATTGCTTCCCGTCCTCACAGCAGGATCAACAACCGTGGTCCCTGGAGACGAATCAGGATCGATTGTATACGCGTCCATGCCACTCTTCATTTGCATCACCATCTGGCTCGCTCTGTACTGCTTCCTCATTCCACTCGAGGTCTTTGGCCGGAAGCTGCCCCAACATTACGTCAAAAGACATCTACCACGCTCTTACAGTTCCATCTCCGACCTCATCTCCTGGGCGTATGCGAGCAAACTCCTCCGTTCGGACGACGGCGATCCGTTTGACTTCCCCATCTCAGGACCGAAGAACGAGCGATGGTATATGGAGGCGCGTCTGAGACTCAAGCTGAATCATGACAGATCGGAATTCGCGACGTATTCGTTTGGTTTGTACGAATCTGTAAAACACAAAGGTGTCATGTGCATGGGGTTCGATGTTGCTTCGAATGCGGTAACGATTCCGTGCGGAAGACGTGTCAGCAAAGAGGGTAAAGAAGACGTGGAAGCGACGCAGGAGTTCACAGTCATGTTGGCACCAAAGGACTCAAAGCATGTATTGGGCGCGACGAGAGAGCGGCCGACGGACTTGAAGACGTTGGCTGAGCAACAACCTCCGCATCAAGCAGAAGAGGAAGAACCCCAAACTGAAGCTATATAACTAGGATATTATTTTGGGGATATAGCGTAATCATGCGTGTTGTAAGCAGATAGACGCAACACAGTAAGACTCTAGTATAGTAACTCAGTGTAGAAGCTAATACCCAGCCTCTTTGCACACAGTAAACATCAGTAAGAATACACAATGATAGTGACAGAGAGCTAATAAGCCCTCTCTTAACATTTAGTTGCTACATGTACCAATGTAATGTTGAAGAATATAGTACGTGGGAAGACTTCATTTGGAAACAAGATTGTGTGATCGAGTTCTTATTAACGATTCCTGGAATTTACACGACAAAAGAGTATAGTATTCCGCCCTTGGCCATCAAAGAACTCTTAGTAACAATCAGCTGTATGTCCTTAGAATCCAGTGTTTCTAATCGTTCGTTTTCGACTTCCTCCCATCTTCCTTCTTCAGAACAAAGAAGTGCGCCAACTGTGAAGAGAGACGAAAAAAAGAACGAAAATGTGTTTGGAACAACATTGCAAAGTCCAAAGGAGGGAAGTCATTACCCTTCCCTTTGCGCAATCAGCAAGTTCATGATCTTCTTAATCGAAAACTAGATCCGTAATAGCCTTTGCAGATATATAAATCTTTCAAGCAGCCCCAAGATCAATCACCAGCACACTTCAATTCCAATTTCGATAATCGATTCATTCCTACACTAAATACCCAGAAGCCACTTCAACAACGCTCAAATTCCACACCACAACACAACAATTCCTCATTGCGGATAAACAATCATGGAGACGAATCTCTTCTTCTACCCACCCATCCAAACGCCATACCCATATCCTTCTTAAACAAAAGACTGTTGCCGACCCAGACCGCATCCCAGAGAAAAAGTATATCTCAGACCTATATGCCTGCTTGTGCGCATCTCATCTAGAATTGACGCCGTTTTTGCTCAACGCCTGGCGATGTGATGATAATGATGGTAGCATGTACGAGAAGTGAAAGAATCAACAAGGCAAATATATACAAACACAGTTAGATGCAATAGCCAATTTACCAGGTTTCCTGTCATGTGGGTTAGCATGTGCGTCCTCAAATACTCATGTGTGGTTGCTTACAGCAATGTATTGGCCATCGTCTCTCTTCTTGGCCCAGAACTCCTTGGCTTCAGCCTTACTGATACCACCCTTCTGCATAGCAACGTCCATAAGAGCATCCTCCACGCCCTCACCCATGCCCTTGCTGCTTCCGCAGACGAAAATGCGGCCGTCGAGGGCGTTGATGACGAACCAGACAATGTCAGCCTGTACGCGTACCTCATCTTGGACGTATTTGACTTCATTATTGGGGCCACCGACTCGGACCTTGCGGCTTTGCACAACCTTTTTGATCTCGCGCTCGTGGTCGCCGAGTTCGCCGGAGTACAATTCGTCGAGCTTGGAGTCGCGGACACCCTGGATGAGCCAGATCTTGTTCGCGCAGTTGGCGTTCTTGAGGCGATTCAAAATGAAGCCGCGGAAGGGAGCCATGCCAACTCCAGCACCGATGAGTACCATGGGGCCCTCGCCACCAAATTGCTGCGAAAGGGGGTTGGCCATAAGTCCTCGGAACATGGGCACCCGAAGGTCGAGCACACTGGCAGGGTCGATGCCTTCGTTCTCCGCAGTGACAAATGCGTGAGCCAGGCGTTCCATGAAGCCACTACCAACGCCTGTACGCACAGCACCCTTGGCGTGCCAGTCAGGTGTCTCGTGGATTGTGACAGCCATTTCAATGAGACGGCGGGCGCTGTGGAGGCCGGCGCGGTCCGAGGAAATGTGTGGATCGTTTGATAGCGAGTAGAAACGAGGCATGAGCTGGTTGAGGACAGAAAGCAACGCTGGTAGAGGGGGCTTCGACGAGGGGAACGCGCTGAGCATCTGAGGAATGGTGAGGTGGGAGTCGGTTCGCAGATCACAGAAGGCTGCTTGACCTTGTGCCGAGCAAAGGTACTCGAGTATCTTTTTCTCGTTGGGTGCGGTGGCGTATTCGGCCATGACGCGGAGGAGGTTCTTGGTAGGCGGGTTGGACTGAATGTCTGCACACCATGTCAATAGCTCGCGACGTGTTGTGAGCATCTCGCGTGGCTGGTCTTCGCCCCAGATAGTGGGCCATCGTCCCGTCTGGGTTTTAAGAGTGACTGGCTTGTCACGAGCAAACTTAGGGATGCACAGGATGTCGAAGAGATCGTCGACCATGTCCTGCGAGTTTGGTGGGCAGATGCCAATGGCGCCTCCAACCTTGAAATCGACGCCTCCCTCGTCGGGGTAGTCAGTGACGTCGATATCAAAGTGAATCGTCCTCTTCTCGGCACCGGGCTTGGTCAATTCGCGGGCGTGGTATAGTGGCGCAGAGTAGACCTGGTACGGTGGATGTGGCTGCACGTACTTGGGAGGCGTCTTGTGCACCTCTGAGACAAAGTCGACACCCTTGGCAAATGGCTCGAGGGACATGTTGACTGGGGGCAGATCGGTCGTCTTGGTGAGAGGAGTGTCGAGAGCAAGAGGGCCCAATCGCAGGTTGAGGCTTCTGAAGGCGTCATTGTCTGGAACGACGACAGGCACATAATTTGGCGATGACGTGTCGGGGGCCAATGTCTTGAGCAGACAGCATCCACCGCCACAGCAGCTGCTGATGAGCTTGGTGGCCTCTTCGCCCTCGCCCAGTATGCGTCTGATCTCCGAGGGGCTGTCTGAGATGAGGGTTGTCGAGGCGCGTCTGGGACGCGCCTGCCCTGTGAAGTTTACGGCAGCGGTAGGGAGGTCCTGCAATTTGTCGACGACCTCGTCTACAGCCTGGTCGGGCTCAGTGTTGGGCGTCATGGGCGCCTCGGAGCCATCGCTGCTCTGTGAGCTCCATGGTATCGACTCACCCGAGGACTTTGGCGAGTGCTGCTCGAGCTGTGACTCTGGCTGTGACTGTGTGGGCCGCAGGGTGAGCTGGGGGATGTGAGGCGGTTCCGAGGGAATCGGGTCATTGGGGTGCGATGTCGCAGTCGTGGGTATGTTGTGGTTGACCATGGTGGATGGTGAAGAGGCCATGAGGCGATGTGATAAGAGATAGTGAGGAAGGTGGAAAAGCGGGCGACGTAGGGACGCAAAAGGAGCTAAAGGAGTGAACCATGGTTAGCAAGACGTTGCTAATCAATTGAGCGGGCATTTCCAATCCAGCTCCCGCGACAGACAATGCAGCGTGGACGCGCAGGTGTCGCAATCGCTTGTGTAAGCCCGCGCAGGGGCGGAGGTGTAATCTGATGTGGATTTTTTATCAGATCGTGGGGTACTCACCACTTCGTGGCTGCACAAGCGCTGCGGGCGAACGAGCGTGGGAGAGCGGCAGTCGCCTGCTCGTCTGCAATGCTCGTGACGTCGACACGGTGAATTGATAATAATACTTAGGTAAGAGAGGTAGGGCAATGCTTCAGCAGGAGATTTGAAGACGATGATGGGGTGACGCTTTGCTCGAGCCCGGCGGACTCCTGATCTTTTGGGGATTTGCCGTCAATGCTGATGCCGAATGACACAACCGATCGCGGAATACAATCCCTGCAACCGGCTGGACTTCAGCCTCCTGCCTGAACTGTCTTCCGTTCTCCTCCGCTATTCACTATCGTGAATTTTTCCATATCTCCTTTCAAAATTACTCTCACCCGCCTAGACGTGAGCGCATCTGAAGCCGATATACAATCACTGTGAACGCAGCAGAGCTCCGCTCGCATATCGTCATAGTTGCTCCATTTCCAGCATGATTCTCCACCCCTGACATCGGCTCCTAGTGATCTCCTGCAGCCTCGTAGCCTTATTACGTAGGCGACCGCCAAGCACTCTCAACCCAACTCAACGTCCGTGCACGCTCACGAGTCTCGAAACACCTTCTATTTATGCAACCAACCAGACCACCGACGACGCGTATGTACCGCCGCTACGTCTGCGAACACGCAAGGGGTCTGTGTTGATGTGCGCGTCCACAAAAGAAGCGTCCAAACGGTCGGTAGCGGCCCCACACGGTCGTCAGGCACGGCTGTGTGTTTGGCTACACTTCAACACAATGCCTCGTAACAATGTCGGGGGTCCCTGACTTGTTGTGACACCATTCGTCTAGAAGTCTCCTCTAATGAGCGTTATCGTGTCGGCTGTGTGCTTCCCCGACCTGTGTCTTTATTGTGTAGAGATGCCCCTCTACGCCCTCCCACTGGATTCCTCCACGGTCTTGACCTCCCATGTCAATACCTTGCTCAGATCTACGAATGCTACAAAAACACGCGTTAAGGATGGTAACCATGTATGCCGAGAAGCCTCCTCCCTGATGTATGGCCTCAATACTGGTCCGTTTCCAGAGAGGATGCTTCCACCCCGAACAATATCGTACCAGTGAATAGCGACAAAAGGTATAGCATATCGTGGTTTCATGGATCATCACATGGATACCCCACCCCCACAAATCGTCAACCTCCCTGGTATACCTCGGCATTTTGGGTCGATCTCTTCCTGCAGGACCAAGGATCGATAAGCATGGAGCTAGACATGGTGAGCGATACCCATGGCAAACGTGGATGGCACATGACCTGTGTCGTCGCCCTTGTTCGTACCGGAGTGGGATACTGCAGTACAACGAACACAGTTATAGCATGGCGCATGCAAAGTGTTATGGCGCACTGCAAGACGCTATGTATTTAGCAGCTGAAAGGTGGGCTTGTCGACACAACACTCAATCAGCGAAGAGTTTTGGGACCTCGTCAAACGTCGTTTGTTATGACATACTCTAGACGCAAAAAAGATGAACTTGGGTGGAAACCCAATATAACCCCAGAAAATGCGAAGGTCACCTAGGTCGGACAAAAAAACCGCAAATGAACCAGAACTGATGTTATTCATCGAATTCAGTCAATACAGAGCGAGACTGCGGAGGGGTTGAACAAACACAACATGTAGGAGAGAGTGTAGAAACGAAAAAGGTTAACAAGACTATAGACCTTTCGAATCTAGCTAAGTTCTATTCATTTTAGCAACCGACAATCTATTTGCCAAATTTATTCAAGGCCTATTGAACAGCCACCACCGTACTGCCGGGGCATGAATCATGACTCTATCCAATGTCGGTTGCGAGCGGCGGGGCACACCATCCTATCACCAAGCCAAAGTCTGGAACGTCTGACCATGGTAAAAGTAGCAAGGTGATGATACAGGAGGTTCGACCTCGGTCTCCAACACACTAGTCTGTAGTCAAGTAACAGACTCATCAACGACGTAACATCTTACGCTACACTTTCCACGAGCCTTGTGTCTTTCCCAGGAAATAAGTAGCCGCAGTGAGGACAATCGAACCAAGAAGACAGCTAACTCCCGCGAAGATAGTCAACCCCGAAAAATCGTGGTTGCCTTGTCGGTTTAAGATTGCACCCATAAGAGGAAGTCCGGTGAGATTGCTACAAAAAGTTAGCTACAACGACACGCAAACTGCACGATTGAAATATGTTACCTGATTGACATGATAATCTGGAAAGTTCCGAACCGTCGTCCCAGCGTCTGGATGTTGCCGGCTCTGACCACACAAGGCATCAGCAAGGAGATGAAGGCCCCGCTGAAGAACCCATACGCCAATGCAAAGACAATGATTCCTGCATGGCTGTGGTGGTGATTGAAGGGTAACCATAGAGCAAGCATGCATACTCCACTCATACCAGCGCTCATGGTAACAATGTTGAAGGAGCCAATCTGATCTGCGAAATACGGAAGGATAGTTCTCCCGAAGACTGATGTTGCGCTGATCACCTCGTTAACACTCAAAAGAGCTTTAAGCAGGGTTGCGAACCGGAAGGAACTCACTTAATGATGGAGAGGAGGTAGATGGCTAGCGAGGCTGAGAAGCCCTGCTCTAGTGCCATGCCGGGAAGAAAAGTCAGAGGCGCAAATATGGTCCACCTGGATTGGTTAGCGTTTTCATCGTTACTTGACTGTGCGAAACTTGACTTACATGGTAAAGTATGCTCCAATCGTGAACAGAGCAAACTGCCTCTCCTTGAACAACGCCAAGTCGAACCATTTCGCTTCCCAGTCCCACTTCTTGCGAGGAAGTCTTGAGGTGATGAGGAAGCATGACGCTGCCAACAGAATGCCTATCAGGAGTGCTGTGTACCGTATAGCTCCCTGAAACCCCACTCTCTGCATGACACGATCGAAGAAGATGGGGAAGATAATACCACCTGGACGATGTATCAGCCTGACCCACAGCATAGGATACAAGTTTACTTACCAACACTGCTTCCAGCAGTGGCAATCCCTATAGCTAAGGCTCGACGACGAATGTGCCACTGACCAACGCACACCATGGATGTTGTGGAGACCCCCCCGGCACCGATCCCAAACGCAAGACCCTGCGCCAAGAAAATCTGATAGTATTTGTCGGCCAAGCTCGTCATACAGAGCGAGAAGACGCATAGAAGTGAGCTAGGGTAGAGTACCGGCGCCGGGCCGAAGGTGTCGATGAGACGTCCAAAGATTGGCCCAGGCGCCCACATAAGAGCAAGTTGCGTGGCAAATATCCAGGAGATTTCTGAAGGGGTGTATTCACTGAGACTTGTCTCTTGATAGGTGGTTTGGAATAAGCCAATGCTACCGCTAGTTAGCTTTAGTTCATTAGGAGGGTGTGAGCGAGAAGTACGCGTTGAGGAAACCGAATGTGCAGAAAATGCCTAAGAAAGCGCCCGTAACACAGAGCCATCCCCGAGTGCCCCCTTCCGGAGCGAGCCCAGGCTGCTCTATGAGCGGCTTTGCAGGTGGTACGCTTTCTTTTATGGCTGGGCTGCTCATGTTGGTAGGACACAGTTGGCAACGAGTATGATTCGAGGAAATCGAGCGTGGGATAACCGGAATCTAACATCACTATCGTTTGAATGTACTTATAACCTTTTCATGGTGCCGATCTTGTTGCTCCTTCACATGTATAATCCCAATTTGGATTAGTGGCGGCCGCCAAAACTATACATACGATTGGTTGACTACATGTAGGTGCCTTTCGAGACGTTCGTGATTGGTCTGAACGGTCTCGATGAGTTATCCTGACGAATTGGAGCTTAGCGCGTAAAGTGGAGAAAGGACTTCAAGTGGGACCACAGTAGCGGCGGCCGCTCCCACTAAGGCACACGACATGACCTCCTCCATGCATTCCGGTCGACCTGAACCGTCTCTGACACCTCGACACATACCTGATCCATTAATCAATTTTGATGTCTCCTGCAGCCAATCTCCTCAACCATTCGTTCAAACTAGAGCTCCGCTGCAATGACCGCCTCTCAAGTGTGTTTCACCTGCAAAGGCAGGAAGAAGAAGTGCGATAAGCGAATGCCACGATGTAGCTACTGCGAGCAGTATGCTCCCCTGATATTGACAAGCATCATGAAAATGATCGTTGTCGGCGGCCGCTCGTTCATTAACCGTGGCTAGGAAAAATATAGCCTGCTGTTACAATTATGGCCTGGAAGTGAATCTACACCCATCATTCCACTCGATCAAAGGAGCTTTCGATCCAACTCCTTTGGTTTTCCCTCTCAAAAACTTACAGAGTGACGGATGGGAAGCCAGTCATGGCTACAAGAAGTCTTCGACAACGTTGAACCAGGCAATCCCAATTGGGCCAATGCTCGATCTTGTAACACTCGATTCTACACGATCACTAGAGGTGATGCAAATGATACGGGCGTCCCACCAATCAATTGACGACATCAGTACGCGATATTTCAAAGGGTTTCATTTGTGGATCCCTTTCCTTTGCCCGGACCGCTTCCGAGAAGATCTGGTTCGATTTCAATCACTTCCAACGGCAGAATTCGCTCTGCTTCTTCTTTGCATGTGCTTACTCACCTATGATCCGCCGCAGAATCAATCATCGCCAGTTGGACATGATACGCTCTACTTGCATGCCAAGACATTCTTTGCTCAGATCCACGTATTGCGGCGTCCGTCGCTTCACCTAATCCAAGCAGCTATCTTCATCTCTTCTTACGAATATGCCCGTGGTCGGCCAGATTCGGCGCTTGCGTCTATTGATACTTGCGCTCGCATGGCATACAAAATAGGATTCGATCGGAAGTCCGAAGGCCTAGGTTGGAGCGAAGCATGGAATACATGGTGGGCAATTAGGATCTTTGAAAGAATCTTCTACTGCGAGACATCATTGACCGGCCTGCCATTGATTTCGTCTGCGCCAAACGAAGCAGACTTGCTCCCTTATGAACTCGGTGACGCCACATGCGAAGACAGGTCGGAATTGAGCTACTCGGTTGCCCCGGTGAAGCTTATGGGAGTAGGTTGTTTGGGTCGCGCAGCTCAAGCCACGTATCTCCTCGACCGAGTATTTCAAACGATAAAAAACACCGCCACTACCGATAAGATATCTAGCTTGGTCGATATAGACAGTGAACTCCAGCGGCTACTTTCTGCAACGATGGACAGGTGTCATGGCTACCGAGGAGGGCATTGTGGCGCTGTGAGCATCTTGATCAGGTTTGATTATACCCTCGTAGTCGCTCGATGCGCAGACTGACCATATCGACCAGAGCTCTTTTCCTACTGCATCAGCATATCCTTCAGCTCGATACAACATCCATCGGATCTCAGTGGCGAGAGTACTCGGAAGCAGCACTCGATACCGTTGTTCAAATGGTTTTGGATATTGCGCGAAGTCATCGCGTGTATCATGGCGCCAATATCGACATCATCTCTCCTGCTTGCAATTACGTTGTTCGCCATACCTTGCAGTATTTCTATGAGAAGCGCGGTGGAGATAGCAATGCGTGGTTCCAAGACTCCGATACCCTACGACGATCATTGGACAAGTTGAATAGTCGCTGGCCTATGGAGCCTGGTATATTTTCGGACCATTAAGACGGATCGTATATTTTTCTGACGACGTTGTCAAAGCGGACGGCCAGAATTTCATGGAATCCTATCACGTCTTGAGCAATTGGAGGGAAACCACTGCCGACCTGGTTGAAAGATGATTGAACGTTACGCTCATATGTGTTATGTTCCCTACGTGATGTTACAACTCTCCTCGTGCCATTGCTTTCCTATGTTATCATTCCACCGCATCCTGGACCACATGCGAGACCAGGCATGTGATTCAATCGAATTTTGAAAGTTTTCCTGCTTTATTTTGTCCTCTTCTGAACCTTCAGGTACCGAGACCTACGAAAAGGAGAAGAAAAGGCAAACCGTTACAGAGGCGAGATATAAACATACCACCCGCAGTACTATACTATCTTTGTCTCATATAATACCACGTCCTCAAACCTCTCAGGCCTTGCCAAAAACCATCGACCGATGGAAACATGCTCCTCGACTTCGACAGCAAGGCTTGGAAGCCAGTGATGTAGGCGAGAATAGAGTGTGCGGTCGAGGCATGACCAATCTTTTTCGAAGTATTTCCAACCTTCACATACAGTGCTGGATCCATGAAGCCAACCTGAAGTACCTCACTTCCAGGTACCTGGGATAACAAGGTCATGTAGTAGTTGTTGTAAGCTACATTGCGATGGTGATGGCCCTTGTCCTTCGGGTCTCTGTACCACAGCGAGTCTGGCGATGAGTAAAAGACGAATCGATCACAATCGAACATAACATCATCGTCGATGTTAAGAGCAGCGCGATGGCGAAGAGATATGTCTTTTGCAATACGCTGATGCGTTTCTTGCGCTTGCGCAACGTCAGGCGATGGGAATACGTTGGCAGTCTTGAGAGAGATGCCCACGAGGCTCGAGATCGATGAGGAAACACTCGTGAACCATATGCCTTGTGGATAAACGGTACACAAGAGCTTATGAAGACTGGTGTGGAGGCGACTCTGCAGGCCCTGACGTTGCTTCTCGGGCAAAACACATGTCAGTCCGGTGTGTATTATAGTGTCGAAGCCGTCAATGGGTAGTAGGACACACGAGACGAAGCCTACGATACGGCCGGTGGAACCTCCTTCCCGAGCAAGCACAATGACCTTGTCGTCGAAAACTGAGGGGGAGTCGGAAAAGCACTGATAGTTTGGCACAGAGGGGAGTGTGGCCTCCCCGACGATCCGAAGCTCTTGTCTGATATGATCCTTCTCTTTCGTCGTCCAATATAGACCTGGTTGGTGGTGGGGCTCGAAAGTATACATAGAGGCAGCTATGATTGAGGTGAATGTCGAGAAGTTCAGAAATGAAACGAAGATGCGTGGTCGAACCCTATATTTAAAGTGCAATGGTCCGTAATCGGTCAGGGACTTTCAGTTTTACCAAACTATTGTCTTTACCGAGGAATCGCACTTTACCGTTTCGTTACAACCCGAAACGTCGACTCAGCCAGAGGCGTCCAGTTCAGCCCTACCCGCTTAGCCCTGTCTTGGAGTGTGAACGCTAGTGGGGATAGTGCCACCACAACACCACGCGAGCATACTAACCGAAACCTTCTCGGTAGTTGCTGTCCAATTGATACTGAGCTGAAAAAGCTTCAGCTGCGCCGTTTATACCACGCAGACGATATGGCTCATGGCGATGCTTCTAGGGCTTTGACCAAGCCGCCTCATGCCTCACGCCATTCGTCATGGTCACTTCTGCACATAGAAGCAACGTATTCGACGTTTCTGCACCTAACGACGATAGGCGTTTAGCCGGGTGTTGTGGCAACTCTCGGGACAGTATCTTCATGGCTGGCGCCACCTGTCTCTACTTCAGCTGACATTTGCGGCTGCGTACACCGCTACATCCCTCCACCACGATGATAGAAAAAGGCTCAATACACCAGTCCAATCGCACAAGAGCCTCAGCTGCTTCATCTGCCATTATGTCAACTACGTTATGCATGAGTCTGGACCTTTTCTCTCTGCATATGCGCCCAGCAGTGCTGGCAATACTCCGTATCGACATCAGACCATGAAGTCGAATTCCGGTTTTCGGTATCGACTATTGATAACATACCCATGCTGATCTTGGTCATGAGCATCTGTAACAGTCGGCTCTGAACCAGCGCGTTAACTTCTTGTTCGCCATGTCCGAGTCCCTCTTTCTCTCTTGAAAGAGAATTCTTTGTGAATCCATACCCATGCTAGGCGAAGACCGTGGTGCAAAAATGAGTGGGAATCAATCCATCACACCTAAGAAGGGGAACCATGATGAACTGCCAAAAGAGAAGACGTACGTGACGGTTGAGGAGAAAGACGTAACAGCAGAGGAAGATCGGAGTTCAGTAAAGCCACCCTCAAACTTCCCAAACATAGTACATACTCCATAGTAGGAAACCTACACCGACTCTCCCGACCCCTCCAACCCCCTCACCTGGTCCTTTCGCAGACGCCTCTCCCTAGCCGCTATAATCTCCCTGCTCGTAGCCCTCCCACCCATCTCCAGCACCATGCTGGCGCCCGCGAACACACTGCTCCGCACCGACTTCAACATTACCTCCTCGACCAAACTACAGCTCGTCTTCTCCATTTACAATTTAGGCTATGGCATCGGGCCTCTAGTCCTCGCTCCCCTCTCCGAGATGTACGGTCGCTTGCTCGTGATACACTCATGCACTGCCGCTTTCCTTGTCTTCAATACTGCGGCGGGCTTCGCGAGATCGGGTCTTCAACTCGGCGCGTTTCGCTTTTTGAGCGCGTGCGTGGGGTCCACGATTATGAGTGTGGGCAGTGGCGTTCTAGGCGATAGCTTTGCACAGCATGAGTTTGGTCTTGCGGGAGCTGTGTATGGGCTAATGCCTCTCCTGGGGCCAGTGATAGGACCAGTGGCTGGTGGGTTTGCGGTCGAGTATGGGTCGTGGCGGTGGATGTGTTGGACATTGTCACTCGTTGGTGTTGTTCTTCAATGCGTGGCACTTGTGTTTCTGCGTGAGACACATAGACCGACGATTCTGCGGAGGGAGAAGGCAACACCAGCTCTGAAGTCTGGTAAGGACATCCCATGTGACGAGCAAAACACCAACGAGCCATGGTCATGCAAGGCCATCCGCCCACTCAAACTACTGGCCACGCAACCACTGATACAGTTCCTCGGACTTTACCTCGCCTTCCTCACCGGCGTCTGCTACATCATCGAGTACACCTTCCCGACGCTCTGGACGGAGCGGTACAACCAGACCACTGCAAACGGCGGGCTAAACTACATCGCCATTGGAATAGGATTCGTCGTCGGAGCACTAACGTGTTCGTATCTCAACGACCGAGTGTACAAAGCGCTGACTGCCAGAAATGGAGGAACTGGCAAGCCAGAATTTCGCATCCCCGTGATGCTACTCGGCGCACTCTTAGCTCCCGCAGGCCTGTTCTGGTACGGTTGGACTGCGCAAGCTGGGGCGCATTGGATCTTGCCTGACATTGGGATCGCCATCTACGCAAAGGGGTTTGTTATCGGGATCGTCAATACACACATGTACGTCGTGGATTACTATGGAAGCTATGCGGCCTCGGCGGTAGCAGCTGTCTCGTTTGCTCAGGCTCTGTTTGGCTTTCTTCTGCCGCTGTTTGGACCTGCGCTGTATACTTCGCTGGGTTATGGCTGGGGAAACAGCATCATGGGTTTCATTGCAATATGTATTGGATGGCCCTTACCAGCTTTGTTGTGGAAGTATGGCGAGGTGCTCCAGAGCAATAGCCCATACTCTGCGAGACGTCAGCCTTGTAGCGCTGATAAGAACGCCCATGTATGATTATTTTGCATCTCTGGCAGATTGATAAATCCAAACGTTGCACTCAGATTCTGGTCCCCATACAGAAGCCAGAAAAGCCCAGCGAGAAGTTGAAAAGTTATATTTTGGAATCTTTTTAGAATTATAGCGTATTCATGCTTGTTGCACCAGCAGATAGACGCAACACAGTATGTACCTAGTATAGTAACTCAGAGTAGAAGCTGATACCCAGCCCCTTTGCTCACAGTAAACGTCAATGAGAGTACACAGTAATGGTAACAGAGAGCTAATCAACCGTCTCTTGACGAGTGGCCGCTGAATGTACCAATGCGGACGCATGTTCGAGAGCCCAGGCAGCTATTGCTCGAAGTTTGGTTCGATATTTTGGTATATTCATTTCTCCTCAACCTCACGGTTCTTCTAGTACTTAGCATCCTCTCTAACTTCCCCACTCTTCTCATTCTCCGCCTTCGGCTTCAAAGCCCACTCAGGCGCCTCATCAATCTCATCGTCTTCAGCCTTGTCCCCCTCCTCCTTGGTCTTGTGCACACTAGTCGGCAAATGCTCAGCTGGCGAGTAAACAGTAATCAGCTCGAGCGGCTGATCCCCCTTAGTAACAAACTGATGCTGCGTCCCCGCGGGCACAACAACTACATCGCCGGCTTTGACCTCCTGATCCTTCCCTGCGACGGTCGCGAGGCCACGACCAGATGTGAAGAGCAGGATTTGATCGACGGTGTGGACCTGGGAGGGTTATTAGTACACAGGAAGGCGTTTGATATGGGCTTGAGTGTGGGAAGGGCTTACTTCGTCACCAATATCTCCACCAACGGGTACTTCCATAGCGACAATCTGGCTGTACAGCCCCGTGTGCAGGACTGTCCTGAAGTCGCCAAAACTGCGCTTCTCGCTCATCAGCCCGGGGAAATGCACCATCTCGTGTTTGGGTGGCGCGTCGGCGCGGTTTCCGGCTTTCTTGAAGCCTTCCATATTTTTGGCTGGCGTGGAGTAGGCTCTGAGTGTGCGGGAGAAGATTTGTGGTTGGGATTTGCGTGTTAGGCGAAGGGAAATGTTGGAGGCAGTTTTGAACATGAAGAACAATGGAAAGATTGGGATTATTTTAGTTCAGATGGCGTTTGCGGAGCTGTTTATGTATGTGCATTCGCGTCTTCATGATGACGTCAAGATCGCGTGGAATCGCGCTGATCTCAATGCGGATGTGTAGTGGAGTATGAATCACTCTAATTGGCGATGCGGGGGAGCGAGTGGTGTCGTACCTGATATGATAGTTTGCGCATGGTATGTCGGGCGCTCTAGACCGTCTATAGCACCCCTGTGTAGAACGGTTTGTCAGTGTCGAAGGTCTTTACAGAAAAGATGACGTTGAGATGGAGATTGATTTACTACTGAGTTTACTGATCATCTAGAGAGCTTCTCGCGATAAAAGATATAATGTGATGTCGTTTCCAAGCCTCGTACTCGTCGTCAAGCAGGTACTCAAGAAATTCTGTCATACCCATGCTATGCCAATCATCCATACAACTACATACGTATTCGTCCACCTGGTCTATGGTCAGATACGTCTGGTGGGTTGGCTCATCAAAAATGACGAAGTACAAGCTGACATCGTGGAGAGCATCCAAGAAAACAGTCGTAGGATGCTGTATATATGCAGCAACGCAGATACTCCGTCATTGGAAACTTAAAACTTCGTTGCTGTGATTAGATGCGGGTGCAGGGAGTCGGTGTTTGTCCGCTCTGACAAATGTCAAGACCTTTCATTTAGACGCTGTTCTTCCCCGCCTGCTCGGCAGTCTCACGTTGCAGTTCCCGCTCAATTTCCTCTTCCTCCGTCGGTTTGGGGTTGTCCTTCTTCGTGTTTGATTCTGTCTCACCACCTGACATCTGCCATTCCATGAGTTTGTTGAATGCGCCGTCTGGTCTTGAGGAAAGCTCTTCATACGTGCCCTCCTCAGCCACTGATCCATCTGCATTGATACAAATGATACGATCGGAGCGTTTGATCGTTGACAAACGATGCGCAATACTGATTGTAGTATTCTTCTCCCTGAGCAGTTTACTCAGGGCCTGATTGACAAGAGTCTCAGACTCGGCGTCTAGGGCGCTCGTAGCTTCATCAAGAATGAGAATGTCAGGCTTCTTGATGAGGGCTCGTGCAATGGCTATGCGCTGCTTTTGACCGCCAGATAGCGCGGTGCCACGCGCGCCAACGTGAGTTTCGAGACCGTCAGGCTGTTCATGGTTAGCATGTATATGAGCTGTAGGCGAGAAACACTTACGAAGTCACTGATGAACTGGCAGTTGGCCTTTCGCGCAGCTCCTACAATCTCAGCGCGGGTTGCAAGGGGCACTCCGTACGCGATATTCTCCGCAATGGTTCCGGAGAAGAGTACAGGTTCCTGGCCAACGAACCCAATCTTTCTTCTCAATTGCTTCGCATTGAGTTTCGTGATATCGCGTCCGTGGATAAGAATTTTGCCAGAGTTTGGAACATAGAAACGTAAGAGCAGGCTTGCGACTGTAGACTTTCCAGCTCCACTTGGTGCGACGATGGCGACGTTTGTGCCCTGTTCAATCTTGAAGTTCAGGTCTTTGAAGATAGTGACAGCAGGCCGGGTGGGGTAGCTGAAAGTAACATTGTTGAACTCGATTGGTCCTTGCGCAGACTTGACAGGCTCACCCCTTGTCGGTGATATCGTTGGTTCGCGGTCCTGAAGTTCGAACAGACGACTAGCTGCTCCAACACCCTTCATCATCTCGCCATAGAAGCCTGAGAGACCCACCATGCTTCCACCAGCATAGGCAGTGTACATCAAAAACGAGGAAAGCTCGCCGATGGAGATGACGCCGTTCTTCACCATGCCGCCTCCGACGTAGAGTATAGCAATGATAGTCAAGTTGCCCATCAATCCAGTGCTACCATAGAACGTTGCAGCGACCATGGCTTCCTTCTTCCCAAGACTAAAAATTCTTTTAATCTGACGGTTGTACCGTGATGCTTCTTGGATTTCTCCCGCGAACGCTTGACTTGTCCTGACGTTCCCTAAGCGCTCTTCAGCAATCTTTGTCAATGTGCCGAGATTGCTCTGGATCTTGCGACTCAGAGTTCGTAGCGATCGTCCAGAGAAGAAGGCAACTATCGCAACAGGTGGAGCAATCAGTGCGAGGATACCGGTAAGCTTGAGACTGACATAGCCCATCATGACGAAGCCAGCAGCACCACTGACCAACGAACGCAGGCCGTCAGATAAATTCTGCGTGATGCTTTTTCCGACAATGATGGTGTCTGAACCGAGGCGAGAGATAAGGTCACCGACGCGGTTCGCGTCGAAGAACTCGGCATTTTGGACGAAAGTCTTGCGATACAACTGTGATCGCAGGCGGGCAACGATGCGCTCGCCGACGATGCGCAGGATGACGATACGTCCAAAATTGGCGGCGGCACCTCCTACAAGCACACCAGCCAGAACGATGTAGAAAGTCCCCATGTCCATGCCAAACAATAGCCCATCGCTTTGCTCGGCCTGTGTGGCAGCATCAAGAATTCTACCAATAGAGAAGGGAATGGACATGGAAATGGCCGAGGACACAAGCAAGAAGACAAAGGCCCACGATAAGGTCCCCAGCTCCGGACGTGCGATTTTGATCAGGCGCCAGATCTCCTTCATGCCGCCTGTCCCACCGCCGCCCCCAGAGCCGTCCTTGCTGAGCTTGGCACTCAGGTTGACCTGGCGAGCTGCTGCTGCCTTTTCCGACTTGACGAAGCCCTCGCTCTCGGGCTCAGCGTCGCGCTGCTCTTCCGAGTCGGCCATGCCCTTGTCCGCCATCTCATCTTTATACGACCTGCGCTGCTTTGTGGGTGTCTTGGCATCGTTTGCTACTTCTGCCAGGATTCGTGATGAAGTGAACAGCCTGAATGGATGCTGGAGAGCATTGCGACGCGTGGTGCCCGCAGGCGCAAGACGAAGAATGGCCGAGGAGGGAATCAACGCCGCCACGCAGCTCCTCGTCCGTTGTCCCTGCGCGGCAGAGACATGTGTGGGCAATGGCTTCGCCGTGAAGGCTCTCGATATCGTTGGTGACGTTCGTATGTGTGGTTGTATGTGGGCAAACAGGGCTCCGTTGCCGGCGCCGTGCCAGGCCTTTGCGGAGAAGGCCAGCGAACCGCGCATGGCTCAACGCGGGCAGACTGCGTGTCTACCTGGTTTTACGTGTGGATGAACGTTCAATGCACGCGCTCGACATGGCGCTGGATGGTGGTACTCGAGATCCCGGCAAAAGTTCGCGGCCTCGGTGATGACGAAATGAATTAACACACGACTCCAGCGGAGCACGTGCCGACACAAGTGGGCGACATCGCTGCATCATTATAGCTTCAACATGGCCACCAACACACTGCATCGCCTCTGCCATGAGAAACTGCAATCTGAAGAGATGCGCAATCATTCTCTCTTGTCGAGATTGACGCTGCGTGTACGACGTCACCAGTTCTACGCCTCTCGCAACCCCACATCAGATGACAATGCACGCCCTTGATCGCAGCTGGGACTCCAGCAATTGTGATGTTTACCCTGCAATGAATGCCCATTCAACAACAACATGTATTCTCTAGATTTGGGAGGGCAACAGGCCAGACAGCCAGCACAGCCACATCCACAACTAATGGCGGCAATATGAGTTCGACTCATCGTCACTCAGATCTTCTTGACCTCTTTTGAGCACGTCTCACCCACTCTCTTTGACTCATTGCACCCTATATAGGCAGCTTTCTCATGTCGCTCGACGTTCAAATCTAGCATACCATCCTCGGTTGCCCTAAAGAAAATGTCCATCGCCTCAGTCACAGTCCACCTCGAAGGCACGACCCTCGAAGGCGGCGGCCAAATCCTCCGGCTGGCTCTCTCTCTGTCAAGTCTGACCAGGACCCCAATACACATCAGCAACATTCGCGGCAAACGCCACGGCGGCGGTGGCCTCAAATCTCAGCATCTAACGTCTTTGAAATGGCTTGGTCAGGCATGCAATGCATCAACTACTGGTGCACAATTGAAAAGCAAGGAAATCACATTCGCCCCTGATACTGCCCACAGAAACGACACCGTCAAGACTGGAGCCGTGGAGATTAAGCAAGATACACCAGGAAGCGTGAATCTCGTCTTCCAGGCAGTCCTTCCATACCTCCTCTTCTCCGGCGCAGAAGAGAAAATCAGACTCACGATCACGGGTGGAACAAACGTCTCCAATTCGCCCTCATACGACTACATCGCCCAAGTCCTCATCCCAATGCTGACCCTCATCGGTGCCCCTTCCATCGAGACTGAACTCCATGCACGCGGCTGGTCGCAAGGCGGCACCTGTCTAGGGAGAGCAACATACACCATCACTCCCCTTCGCCACCAGCTCCCAGCCTTCCACCTTATCGAGCGGGGAGCCATGAGAAGTGTAAACGCGACAATCATTGCCCCAAAAGACACGGAACAACACTTCCGCGACGAGCTAGATGTCATGTTCGACAACCTCGAGCCTCGCATCTCCACACCACCAGCAACCATCACCTTTGACACCACGTTCGAAGACTCCCATCATCCAAAACGCTACTACATCCTCCTTGTCGCGACCACCACAACAGGCATGAAACTCGGCCGTGACTGGCTGTTCGACCAGGCTATCCGGCCAGGCAAGACCGAGCACATTGTGCCAACGATGGTGAGGAAAGTAGCTGGTGACTTGATGCGGGAGATTGAACATGAGGGTTGTGTGGACGAGTTTTTGCGAGACCAGTTGGTTGTGTTCCAGGCGCTGGCGTTGAGCGGGAGTCGTGTTGAGGGAGGGAAAGGGAAGCTGAGTATGCATGCATTGACAGCGCGGTGGGTTGCTGAGCAGATTCTGGGTGTAGAGTTTTCAGATGATGGGAGCTGTGGGGGGGTTGGGTATCATCCTGGAGGAGCGGGGGAGGATCGAGACGTGAATGAAGAGTTAGTTGGAGAGTTGGAGAGGGTGACTTTAGGTCGTGGATAGAAGATGATTTGACCTAGTGAGTAGAAACGCAAAATTATCTCAGTTACTTACTCTGCATGTATAGAACATACTTTCTGAGATGAAAATTCATCATCACATAGAGGAGGTGCAAATCACTGTCCAACATACATTGGAATATTCACCCAGCCACCCAAAATTCCCTCTCATCTTGTGTTTCATGTCCCTGCAAACTATCCCTACTCTCCGCATTCCAGCATACGGTATACATACTTGCCATATCGTCTAACTGCACTCTCTAGCTGTAAGGCGAGTCTATATATGAGTGTCGAGACGCGTGACGCGTTGGTCTGGTGTATCGACCTTTGGGGGTGGATTGGCTTATCGTGAAGTCCTGGGGTTGTCACTGTAGTAGAGCGAGGAAGGAGATGCGTCGCATGCTTGCTGTGGTTCCCGGGTGTATAGTTGTAGAGACAGGGTCGGAAAGACGTGAGAATGAGTGCAGAAATGGTAGGTAACAGACTCACGGTGAAGGTGAGTAGAAAGTCGCTTACCTGTCGCGGACGTTCAATCTAAACCACCCGCTCCTTTCTTCCACATTGACGCTACATCACACCACCAGCCAAGCCGCGCGACAATCAACAAAAGCTAATCTCAAAGAATGGCAATGAAGCTCGATCTAAACAGCGGCGACGAGGCGCAGTTAAGGGATGCTCACATGTGTGGAGAACTCGGCTACGCCAGGTCGGTATTGTCTTGCGAGAGATCTCTGAAAACCCTCACTGACAATGCACGCAGGTACTGCGATGTCAAGGCACTCTCCGACATCACCGTTCGCTATGGCCAAGAGGGGGAGAGAGTATTCTATGGTCACCGCATTATGTTGTGTAGTGTATCTCGTTGGTTCCAAGCTGCCTTCACCGTAAACCTCCAGGTATGTAACTGAGCCTAGAGTTCATTGGATGGCAACTAACACTTTCAAGGGAAATGAACTGCAAGAGATCACACTGGAAGACGATGACACTGATGCTGTCCAGCACATGCTCTATCACGCTTATGGGTTGCCATCCCCGTCGTTACCAACGGCTAGTGAATGGCTGGACCATTTACGGTATAACCTCAATCTTTACCAAGTGGCAGAAAAGTATTCTGTCCCGTCGCTGGCAACTATGTCAGTCGGATGTTTCAAGCGACACTGGGACTCGTATCTTGATGACATCGATGTTGCAGGGGAAGATGTTTATCATTCCTATCAAGATGTGGTTCAACGCGTATACATTGTCGCAAGGGCACAAGATGGAGAGCACAGACGAGATCATCCACTGGTCAAGATCCTACTAGACGGCACGATTACGCATCAGCGTATATCGATCACAAAAGATCACGATAAGATTCTTGATCTTTTCACCAAGGCCGCCGATGATGTCGCTGAATTTGGCCGAGACATCTTCGTTCACATGATGAACTCAACGAAACCAAAGACGGATACTACGGGATGCATTTCGATTACCTGGACAAATAAGTTCACGTGTCCGGAGTGTGAACATGCATGGATAAGAACACACGATCCCCATGTTAGTGAGGTCGTCAGCGGCCATTGCCCGGAATGTGATACGTATTTTAGCGACTGGAATACTCAAAGGGCTAGTTAAAGTCAGGTCAGGATGCGGCTACAGGACAAAAGAGGGCATTGGCGGAGAGATGGAAAGCGAGCTGAACCATGGGAAAAGGTCTTGCTGCAATTGCAACTCTAGGACTTAGTGATTGGTATTGTGATGTCGGCACCGTTTGATATGATTGCGCAACCAGGTACAGGAGGCACCATGATAGAAGCGTGGTTACTACCAGACGATAGATAGAAACACGAATCTGGCATAATGATCGAAGGTTGATCATGAGGAGATAGTGGAGGTGAAGTATGCTTCCGAGATTTCGCCGGCGCTACTCGCGTTGTGTTTCAACTTCATTCGAAAGTCGTGTTGTCGACATCGCGTCCACGCGACTCACATCAAAATTCACGACTTTACGACCCATAACGACTATTTCCGCCTCGTTCGTTTCCCATTGTGACTTTCTGCTTTTGTTGTCATCGTCTCCTGAGCTAAGACTACGCTCGCGGTACCCCACTAGTGCGACACCGCAATATCGCAGATAGATCACACAGTTCTCCTGTGTTTGCATCTCACCGCCTTGGACTCTTGATCGCAGCATCTTCATTGACGCAGCTGTATATATCAACGCAACCTCTGTTTCCTACACCACCCTCGCCACTCCTTAGACGTCAAGATGCCAGAGACTACCAAAGTCGTGCCCCTCACTTGCCATGGACACTCCAGGCCCGTCCCGCATATTCACTTCTCGTCTATCGTAAATGAAGACCAGTACTACATCATCTCTGCTTGCAAGGACGGCAACCCCATGCTCCGCGATGGCGTCACTGGTGACTGGATTGGTACCTTCCTCGGTCACAAAGGCGCTGTCTGGCAAGCGAGATTATCTTCGGATGCCTCTCTAGCAGCTACAGCTTCAGCTGACTTTTCTGCGTATGTCTACAAGTTTTGGCTTCATATGAAAGTTTCTGACGTTGCATAGAAAAGTATGGGATACACACACCGGAGAAGCCCTCCATACCCTCTCGCACAATCATATCGTTCGCGCAGTCGCATTCCCAAATCAACCTCACCCACAAATCCTAGCGACGGGTGGCATGGAGAAGAAGCTGCGCATATTCGATTTGTCACGAAGTGACTCCGCGACGAGCTACGAGATTGGCGCCGGCGTACACACTGGGACTATCAAATCCATCGTCTGGACATCAGATCCTAATGTGGTGATCACGGCAGCGGAGGATAAAAAGGTGCGATGGTGGGACCTGCGACAGGAGTCTACCATTGGGGAGTACGCAGTCGAGGGCGTTGTGGGCTCGTGCGAGTTGGATAATACTTCCTCGGACGGCATACTGAGTGTAGCTGCTGGAAACAGCGCTTACTTCTTCAACAGCGTTTCGCCTGCGTCGCTCATCAAGAGCATTAAGACACCGTATGATATTGCGAGTGTAGCGTTGCACAACGGACAGCGAAGGTTCGTCACCGGTGGCAGCAACCAGAACGATACCTGGGTCAGAGTGTGGGATTTCGACGAGGAGAAAGAGCTCGAGACGAACAAGGGTCATCACGGTCCAATCTGGTCAGCGAGCTTCTCGCCAGACGGAAAGCTATATGCAACGGGCAGTGAGGATGGCACCGTCAAGTTGTGGAAGTTCACGACAGGCGCTTATGGATTATGGAAATAGGAATCTCCATGACCAAGACAAAATTGAGACCTTCAATCCGACGTGCTGATTTAATGGCGATGCATGCATGCTTGCGGAGATGAGTGTTCAGAAGTCATTTTTCTTGCGAACATCGATCACACAATACCAACTTTGCAATAGTAGTCGACTCATCAACTCTATTCTCCCGTAATGGATAGGTAACGTCCAACTTTTTCATGTATTTAGATTAACTTGGGGCAATTCGAGCCGGGGATTTCCCGGTTCAAACTTCCCGAAGGATCCGCACAAGCCTCAACTGCAGTATCATGCACTAGTGCTGCAATGCTACAATAAAGATAGGCAATGATAGACATGGATTCTCAACCATGATAAGAACGATATCGCGATAGCGATGTGTAACGCCGTTGAGACGGCTGCCAAGGGTGGGAGATGGTTGATCGTACATAAAAGAATGCAGTCCCCGCGATAGGACGACAAGACGTCACTGTACCACAAAGCTGTTCATACGGACATCTCGGTTGGTGGCTATCGCACTTCCGACCTCGCCTTCGAAATTCAACGCCCATTGCCGGGATATTCAGAGATCACCATGTCGGAAAAGAAGAATGACATTTCACCAGTCGCGGAGCCCAGTGTACATGAAGGTCAGATGGCTGCCGAAAAGCAAATGCGCGATATCGGCGCCGATTTGTATCTTGAAGTGCAGCAATATTCGAGAGAAGAGCTGGATGCCGAGAGGAAAATCGTTCTGAGGAAAATCGATTGGGTCATTATGCCAATTGTATGTTCGAGACGTCACTTTCAAACCTCAACACAATCCTAAAGCTCACCAACTGGCAGGTTTGCATGACCTACATGATACAGTTCCTAGATAAGTTATCATTGAATTATGCTTCAGCCTATAACCTCATCCCTGATCTTGGGCTCCAGGGACAGAGGTACTCATGGGTTGCGGCAATCTTCAACTTTGGGTATCTATTCTGGGCCCTACCCGCGAACTATTTGATCCAACGACTACCAGTCGCCAAGTACACCGGTACTATGATTGTTATCTGGTCCGTCCTCTTGTGCTGTCACGTCGTAGCGAGGAACTACGCTGGCATACTGGTACTCCGCTTCCTGCTCGGCATGTTCGAAGCCAGCATCTCTCCCGCCATTATGAACATCGTTTCCATGTTCTATACACGCGAGGAGCAGCCGCTACGCATGTGTATCTTCCTCTCCTTCAATGGCATGGCGACCATGGTCGGCGCGCTCCTTGGATACGGACTAGGTCATGCTCACGGTTCCTCCCTCAAGACATGGCAGCTCATTTTCCTTGTCATTGGGCTGCTCAACTTTGTGTGGGCATGGGTGTTCCTATGGATCATGCCCGACAGCCCCTCCACGGCAAAGTTCCTCACGCACAAACAACGTATCGTCGCTATTGATCGCATTGCTGGCAACATGATTGGTGTCAAGACAAAAGAGTTCCACAAGTCCCAGGCTATCGAAGCACTTCTGGACGTCAAAGTGCACTGCCTTATCCTCATTGGCCTTGGATGCGGCGTCGTCAACGGCGGAGTGTCAAACTTCGCCTCCTCGCTCATCAAAGGTTATGGATTTTCAGGGATCTACACAACATTGCTACAACTCCCCACCGGCGCCTTTGAGTTCTTCGTAGTACCAATCTGCGGGCTTGCCGCTGGGTATTTCAGAAACTCGCGTTGCCTCATCCTTGCCTTTATCTGTCTTCCACCTCTAGGCGGCCTCCTCGGTATCCGCCTCACGCCTTTATCGCACCGCTGGTCTCTCGTCGGCTGCACATGGCTACAATACCTCGTCGGCGCGCCCGTCATCCTTTCATGGAACTTGCTCACGACCAACATCGCGGGTCACACGAAGCGCAGCACTGCCAACGGACTGTGGTTCGTATTCTACGCTGCAGGCAACATTGCGGGCGCGAACATTTTCTTCGCACGAGAGGCACCAAGGTACTATTCTGCGCTTACGGGTCTTATCGTGTGCTATGCGGTGGTTGTGGTCATTGCACTGTTCTTGAGGATGTACATGACCTGGGAGAACCGGAGGAGGGACCAGAAGTGGGGCGCTGGGGAGGGAGAGCAAGCAATGGAGGATGGGTTCAGGAACCAGACGGATGGGCAGGCTAAATGGTTTAGATATGCGTTGTGAGAAGTGATTATGAGCATATGACCAGGTCACTGTCCACTTGTTGAGACTGGCCTTCTAGAGCATACATGACGTAAAATATCTTATTTTTGCATCCACTGTCCTGTTTATGGTTGTCAGTTCCGTGGTTCTGCGACCCGTCGCTGCCTAACAGAAATTCTCTGATGATCAGCAACACACATGCACCTGAACACGCAAAGACTTCAAAAGAGAACCTTCCGCACTTCTCAAATTCAGCAGAACTTCCACCATTGTCCATTCCCAACATACCATCACAACCACGATACCGCAAGCACTACAACGAGCCACACGTTCAACATGCTACCCCGGGCACCTTTCGTATCGGCAAGCATTCGCCGTGCATACCATCTCCGCGCTCAAAGCACGTCTCAAGCGTCCCGCCGGACCACGAACCAACAAGTACTGTCTTCAATACACTCGCTCCGTTATGGATACGAATCGTTGAATCGCAAAGTGAACACCATACAACTCGAACTCGCGGGAGTCCGCAAACAGGTGGACGTTATACGTCTCGAACTTGCGAATATCCGTGGACAGCTCCCAACTTTGTCGATCTACAAATACTTCTTGATGTCGGCGCTATTGGTGGGTTTTTCTGCGGGCCTTACAGCAACATACCCAATCGTTGAGATGGTTAGAAGACGCAAGGTGTCTGCCTCATCGTAGTCTCAGTCAGTCATGATTGTGTCAAAGGCTCTTGAGGGGGTTCAATAGCTAATGGAGAAGATAGGTTTAGGAATCACACGGATAGAGACGCTAGATGGTTTGAGTGTGCGTTGTGGGATACACTCAAGAGAACGAAGTGTTTGGGGAAACGGTGAATACTGATAGGAGAAAATATTGTATGAGAGCCTAGGGCTTAAGAGTACGTTGTTGTCTTGTCGCGCTCAGTGAATTCGCTACCATGCTATATCAGGACAGTGATTTGCTCTCTCTGCGTGACTATATGAGTGTTTATAGTACTGTGTACCCTTACTGATACCTACTGTGTGTGTGTGTGGAGGAGTTGGGGTTTAGCTCCTATAATATATAGGGTAACGGACTCTTATTGTGTTGCGTCTATCTGCTTCTATGACAAGCATGAAAACGCTAAACCCCCAAAATGAAGATTGTGTATAAAGAAATCGGAACACATAATGTTGATAGGAGCTGGGATTGGAGTTACTTGTTCAGAAGGAATCCATTGATACACGCAATGAGCATATCCTTGCCAAACTCGGCCACTTGTTCGGCAGCCTCTTTGAAAACATCGGCCACATGTCCCCGATCCACAAGAGTTCGAAGATCCGTGTCATCAGCCATCAGTTCTACTAGGTAATCCGTCAAACGGCGTCGGTCGTCGTCGGATAGTTTGTAAATCTCTCCAATCATCTTGCAGAACGGAGCATGGTCCGGCTCGTCTTGCTTCGCCAACTCGTGGATATATATAACGAACCATTTCTGGAACCCTAATGTCGCCTCGACTCGAAGCAAAGGAAAGTCATACTTGTCGGCGACCTCGAGAAGCCTGATGCAATCAAGGAGGAGTTCAGATGTATGTTTGTTGTCCCAGAAGAGACCCATGGGAGTCCAGGTGTCGTATGCGTACTTGAGCATGAGTTCGACTATCTCAGGATCGTCTTCTTTGAGTGTAATTTCCTCGGCATTGGCTTCCTACAATAAGATGAGTTCTTATGATTCCTTTGCTTAATAGCAACATAACCAAGGGTACTCACCATGAAGCTTCTCATGAACGCAGCGCGGAACCAACGTGATCGACTAGCCAGCAGGATTTTGTGGCCGTAGAACGTTCTCTCACCTTCTTTGCCGTAACGAATTATCACGTCAGACATTGTTTTAGAATTATACCACCTACTTCAAGTCAATTGAATTCATCCAGCTGAATATCGCCTTACATGGTGAAGCCATCACTGGACCTCAATTTAGCTTGGTCAGTCATGACGATCTCGAAGTTTTGCTTCGGGTTCCACCAAAGGAAGATGTTATGGTTGAACGTGTGTTGTATTTGAAATAAAGGAATCGGTGTGGAGTGGGAAAAAAGAGGTTGTACAAGCTTTTATATGAGATGCGCGATCACGTACTTTCACCTACCCGACCGTTTGTACAGTAGAGTGAAACTCGGAGCCACGCAAATCAAGACAGGTTTCATTACGTCAAAGCACTAGGAGTTCGTCAGTGAACCCGTCTCCATCGAGGTAAAAGGAGGCTGGGCTTGCATTTGTAGATCGATTCGGCCGACTTCACCTGCTGATGAAGTTGAGAAGCTCAAGTCGCTCAGAATTGTCGAAATGGATATATTCCAATCAATGCGCTGCAGGAGTGGCCGACCACACTAGCATATTTTAACAAGAATGCCAAAAGATGTCCGACTCAATCGCGATAGCCCTTGCATTTCGTTGTGTTGTCACTCGTCGCAAAACTGTATCTGACTAGTACGAAGAAGCTCGAGAATTGGTGTAGAGACACCTTGTCGTTCAACCTTTTAAACTACACCCTAAGGATGATACAATTGGCACGAGTTAGTAAAGTTGGTTGTTCTGTACACTACGAGATTTGAGCGTAGTGTACCTAGTACAGACGGGCGATCGTGACTCTATCAGCTTGCCTTCCGGGATGGGCTAGTTCAAAATACTGAAGGCATCTGTTTGGGTCTAGTGCTTACGGATTATGAGTGATTCTGACTCATCTCGTTCGACAGCATTGAACCTTCAGGTCTCGTATCTATACTTATCCAGTACGTCTCATACACCAAGTTTTTGAACACATCCAAACGTCCAACAATGCCTGACCTCAACCTCTGTATCAGCACTCCACGCTTGAATGTTCACTTTTTCGATCCATCCAATGACGCGCACTGCGACTTCGTCCTCGAGCTTCTCGACAGGCCAGACCCGCAAGTGCCAGATGCGGCTATGGACCGGGAGGGTGCACGTGCAATCCTAAAAAACGATCTGGAAAAGGTGTCAAAGACAGGTTACGGTCGCTATGCTATTTCACTCAAGCCCTCCATCGCCTCCGGTGACCAAAACCTCGATTGTTCTCACGACGGTGTGCTCGTTGGTCTTGTCTCTATGCAGCTCAATCGATTTCCCGGTGCGCCGAACATCCCGGATATAGGATTCGGCCTTCTCAACAGAAACTACGGCAAGGGCTATGCGACGGAAGCAGCGCAGGGTTTACTGAAGTATTTCGAGGAAGAGAGAGGACAAACTGAGTTTGCAGGGTACTGCCAACTCGAGAATTTGAAATCGAATAATGTATTCCGCAGATTGGGGTTTGAAGAACGAGGAGTTAGGGAAGTAGGTGGAATAGTCACTGAGACGAAACTCGAGGTAGTTGTGTGGACCAAAAATCTTGAAAGGCAATTGGATGAGTACGGATTTTGAGGGGGTCGAGAGCGCGTCAGAAAGTATGCTTGTCAAGACGAGTTCTAATAGAGAAATTGATTTATTACCAGCTCGATCCAATCAAACATGTGTCTGTGTTGCTGTCGGCTCTGCACGCCAATATGCAAATACTTCTACTGCTGGTGTTGTCTTCGCAGGCACTTCATCTCGACATCTTCCTATCCAGTTTTTGCTTGTGCAAGTTGTCGGTGCATCAGTCGAGGAAGTAGAAACTGTGGTTGTCGTCTTGTCTTTGCAACCGAACCAACCGGGCTATTACAATCAGTGGAATACGCAAAACACAATATGTCATCACATACCGTCTGACAAGTACTTGTGCTTGTACTGCTGGATATGGTTGTAGTTGTGCTAGCCGTGGAAGCAGATGTGGTAGATACTTGTGTTGAAGTAGTCTCGTCGCGGCAGCCCCACCATCCAGGCGTCTTGCAAGTCTCTGTACGCGTTAAGGACGACGTCGTGCTTGTCGCGATGGTCGTGGTCGTTGGCTTTGTATGCGTTCCGTCCTCGTATTTCCACAAAAAGCAGTCGACACAGTCAACAGCCTCATCTACACATGTAGCTGCCTTGTCGTACACCTGGTACACATTGTCGATAGCGTATCTCAAACGATGGGTCGATGTGCTTTGCCTCCAGCCCCAGTCTTTGACGACGTCGTACGCACATCTCTTCCCCGTATGACAGACCGTCTCAAATGCATAGCCGGCAAGCGTACAGAAAGTCGAAGCACCATTACAAGTTCCCATGTAAATTGGGTCCGCGGTGTGGCCAAAGTGAAAACCACCAGTATTCTTTCTGAGAGGGGCTACATCACCCGCAGTAGGGAGCCCAAGCCGTTTTGCTGCCATGGCTTGGGGATACGCCTCAAATGTGACGGCGGGGATCCCATGTTGCAAGCCCATTAGCGAGGCTAGAACTCCTCCTAGACTGTGTCCAGTCGCAATTATATTTGCATTCGGATAAAGCTGAAGGACCTCTTCGTACAACTCTAGCGTCGCGGCATAATACCTGTTTGGTTTCTTCAACTCTTCTCGAACACACTTGTCATCACAAGAGTAAGTTCCGGTTTGGCAGTCGCAAACTTTTTTCCAAAGATAGGAGCCGCCTTGGCCGCAACAACAGGATCCATAGAGGTTGTCATTCTCTTTGTCACGTCCGGATGTGCCATTTCCGTCAAACATTGCAATTGAGGTTCCCTTTACTGCAAGTACAATGGTTGAGTTCGTACTGTCGGTAAATACGTGACCTCTGATCCCGCTGTCGTCCCAACCAAATGGCACCGAAGAGTTATATTTCTCGTCAATATCAATCCAGTCTGGATCACTGCGTCCTGGCTTGTACGCGTCTTCTGACATGGAAGCAAGGCTGAGAATTGTCGCTTTGTCTTCGACATCCGGGCCCTGGACATCCTCGGCGATCCATAAGGAGGACATCGGAGTTTTAGCATCATGAGCTTCGAGTGCAGGTCGCTCAATAAGAATGGGAGATGTTTTAACAATAAATGGTCCGAGTTGGGACTCAGCATCAGTCTGCGCTACTCGCTCCGGTGTTACGTCCAGTCTTCTCGCGCGTGGTCCAGGTTGTCCAGCACCATGATGGAAGACGTGTCGCAAAGTCAGACCATCAAACGTATTGATACGGACTTGTTCCGTCGTGGCGAGGCGGGAATCGCGAAAGATGTCGTAACCAGCAAAGGAGCAAAAAACACCAGGAGTGAATACAGAGATACTAAAGGTCAAAAGTAGTCGAGTGATGGAAACTCGTGGTCGATTTGTCGATACATTTAACGGCATGTTGTGTAGACATGTCGAGAGCGTTGAAAGGAGGAGTGTTATGGTCCGTCCTCGATAAACACGCACGTGGCATAACGGCGCTAGTCGACATTGGTCTAAATGAGGGTCCACTTTTAAGTGAGACTCCACGTCACTCACCTTATCACTTGAGCCATCACGAGGCAGTCGATCATAACCGAAAACCTTCATAGGCTTCTGCCTGGAAACTGACATAGGTTTTTAGTTTACGTATCTCTTCAAAGAATGTCATGAAATATAAGATCTATTCGAAAATGGCTCTTCAACTCAGGGTCTCTTGAAGATCTACCCAAATGAAAACGAGCTTGGAATATACATCCGAAAAGTTCGCGAGATATTATGGCATCGCGAGAAGCAATGGGCAAACCGACGCGGATCTGAAGACAATGCACCAACACATAGTTTCAAGATCGAATATTCAACCATCTAGGGGAGAGAAAGTCTTGGATGCGAGGAAAAGGCTCTGACGACCACATCTTGTTCAACGATAAGGCATAACGGCTGCTTAGGATCTCGTTTGGTCCAAAATCTTTTGGGAGCCCCCCCAATGTTATAGCGGCCTGTCTTTCGGTGTTGGGGCTGAGTGTGGACACCATTTCCATCTGACGCCTCACTTTTAGTAGGCTAAGTACGTTTCATGCCTCTGCGAGGAGGTTTCATGCCTTCAGCTCGATCCTTCATCAAACATAACTGTGTTAAGTATTAGGAGGGTCGCCGATACTGAATAGCTTTCATTTTCCAAATGCCAAACTATCATAGCCTCCGTCTCCCCAGCTCCCTGTGTCAAACAATTGTTCCATGTCAAAATCAGCACTTTGTGAACTTGCCATTGGATACTCATGCCCTTCTGCTCCTGGGCCTGTGCTACGACTCGCCGAATCTATAACGGTAGTCTGATAGAATAAGGGTGATGGTAGTGGTCCTAATGTCAGGTCGAGTGTAACTTTTGCTGCTGTTCCTACAGTTGCTTTTTGTGTGTTTTGAGAGGGTTGACCGGCTGCCTTTGCGGAGTTGATCTTCTCCAAATACCAGGTCCGCGTCAGATCAACATTCAACCGTATCGCCTGCCAGTAGTCCGGATGCGGCTGGCTGACTTTGTCGTATGTGGTCAGACTTTGCATGCGATAGCAGAGAGACTCGAGGCCCCGGTCAAGGTGCACTCGATCTTGTGCTGCCATCATATTCCACCCGTCAGCAGTTTTGGCTTCTATAGGAATGCATAGGTGGGCCACACTCCTGATAACAGCTGGTAAACGCATCCAGTCCGCGAAAGATATGAGATGATATTGTTCCGGCGGAAAAGAAAGCAGAGTATCCAGAAAACGCTTCCCAGCCTCGAGTGCGGATAGTCTAGCTTTCATCTGCCGGTAGTCATGTGTTGGCTGTTGCTCGGTGTGAGACTGGTTACGTAGAGCAGCGCTGTGAAGCATCATATCCGTGAAGGAAGAAGAAAGATCGAGCACTAGCGACTTGTCAGACCGTAAATACGTGCTCACTTCAGATTCACCCACTGCGTTTCGAATCGGGACCAAATGACACTTGTTTCCACACAGCAAGCTGGGTTTCCAGGTGTTCAAGCGTCTGTGTATCCATGTTTACCACGCCACTACTAGACAGAACATCCCGAACCTGTTCATCGAGTTGTCGCAAGGTGATGAGATGGCTAATCACCTCGTCATGAACGTATTCACGCTTTTGTTTTAGATCCTGCGTCCATTCTGTCATAGAGGGTGAATATTTTAAGAGATTCGGCGTTCGGAGTCCCGTGGCCACCCTGCAATTGATTCAGAGATAAACGCTTCTCCAGAAAGAGGAGTACTGACGCGGACGCAAGATAATAACAGCCGAGAAACGTCCGCTGCCGTTCTCGCTGGTTTTCGACGCTAGGTGGTGTACGTTCTGGACCATATGGGAAGTTCAAACATTGGTAGTCCTGTTGCAACCCAATATCGAGAGCAAGCCCAATGACGAGGTGATGTAGGAAAAAGATCTGCTGCGTCTCATGACTGAATACACAATGGTACCTGAGTGTGTGAGTCCCATGCTTCTAGTAGTCCTCAGAGTACTTGCCATGAAAGATAGACTAGCAAACTTTGCACAAGTCCCAATGTCTTCTGAGGCTTCACGATCGTTCGGATGGCGAGTTCTTTGCGGTAGACTGCATCAAGCAACTTTTGGCGATTGCGGTTCCTCCACAAGGCTACAGTGATTATAGCGAGAAAAAGCATGGGGTTCTTCGCATATAATTCTTGACCTGACATATTTGTATGTAAAGGAACAAATGGGAAGATGTTCGACATGTTCCGATATCCATCCATCAAGGTGTCCGCTTCTCTACTTGCAAGAAGTTGCTTTACAAGGTCATCTTCAATAGGAGGATCGCTTTGTCTTAGAGTTGGAGATGATTCCTCTGGCGCATCTTCTGTAAATGGGAGTTTACACGCGCTATGAATGGCATCGTTAAATTGGAGGTCTGCTCCGGTATCGTCCTGCACTTGTTTTGTGTTGGGACAAGGTTGCAAAATCTCGAACGAAGAAGGGACTCGCATCCAACTGCCAGGAGCTGGTACTGACCGCCGCTTTTGGCATGTACGAGAGGCGTGATCGTCGATGACATTGGACGCAGATGGTACAAATGTTGGCACTGGTGGCGGTGGCGGTGGTAATGTTGCGGGAGGTGGATTGGCAAGACTCGCAACGAGACTATCAAGCTTGTTTTCAACTTCGGAAATACGTCTGGGAAGTCATGAGCTGTATAAAGACATGTGATTATGGAGAGACAACCTACGATGGTGCTTTGAGTTTCCTCTCTCGACGTGACGATTCCGCCCATGCACACTCTCGTCCAACAATGACGCATCTGATGGACCAATTAGCTTTGATTGGAAAACACTATAAATGTAAAGTATCCAGACTATACACGAGTTAGGTAGAGTTACCTCTGACACCTTCCAGTTAAATTACTAGGCAGACACTTTGTTTTAAGACTCCGACATTGTTGACAAGCCTGTGATGTTCGAGGTGCCGCTCTACTATCGGTTGTCTGATCTTCTCCATTCATTGGGTTGTGGGTTTTCGTGGAAAGTTCGAAGTTGGTGGAGGACAGCAGATTACCGTGCAACAGAACGGAGAAAGAGACGTGAGTGTTTCTCAAGATACCTTTGCACAACATGACTTAGTGGCTGATAGTAGACCAATGAATGGTTAGTAGATTTAGTGCTTACATCTACCGAGATTATAATTCTCCTCGGACAAGGGTCGAATTAGGGTCTTGAATATCTTACCAAACAACAGAGTGCATATCGCAAGGACCCATGATATCGCGTCTGCTCTTCTCATTGCCTTACCAAGTTACAGGGAAATCCATTTAGTTTTCATCAATGTATCGACTTCTTCTTTGGATAATCACGTTATCCGCTGCTGGTGACAACGCGACGCTAACGTGCAGTGAGTCCCAAGATCATCAACATCTCCTCGATATGCGCTACCCCTGCTAGTCTGTCATGGGATGCGAGTTCCGCTCTCTGGCTTTTTCCAATCTGCATTCTATGCTCTCTTGCTCTCGCTTTCTCTGTGCAGTTTGACACATTGCCCAAGCCGGGCGAGAAGAGTCCATGTTCACGCGCACGAAATCGATGGCCGACGGGTAGAACTGCTACACGACGATAGAACCAGACACGGAAAGCAAACATTGCAGTGGTTGTAGCAGCGACATTCAATGCTATCCAGTGGTTGCGGAGACATCTGCCGCCCTCTTTTAGACGGTGCGATTCCAGCGACAATTTGTAACTAAATATTACCTTGGGTTTCGCCCCGCGTCAAATTGCACGCGCGCCGGATGCAAAGTGTTGAGTTGATCCAACATCACATCTCTCCACGTTTGCGAATTGCGGTGTCGAGTTTAAAACATCACCTTTGCTTATCGTTTTTTCCTATTCAACCTCCCATTCAGTGTGTGTCTTTGTCGTCTGTTCTACAGAGCTCTATTCAAGACTTCACTTGATTCCAGTCTCACGCTTGTATAGAGATGTATGTAAATGTTTCTTTCGGTCTAAGATAACGCGAGTGTCTTGTCGATCATATTGCACCCCACATTATAGATTCTCCATATGTGAGCCTCTCCGAGATTGGACTAGGTTGAATTTGGCATGCGGGTTATCAACTCTAAGATCTGATTCGTGGTACATTGCGACATAATTGTAACGTGTGGCATGTCTTCACGATCGCGGAAGGCTTACCCGAGTTGTTAGATCAGACCAGCGTTTGACACTGATGATATTTCTCAGATTAATTGTTATGCACATTGCAAGGCTATAAAAGTCCCAGATGCTAGATCCCGACTCCATGTTAACCACTACAGTTGACTTCGAACAATACATACTATCATTCAAATCTCGCCATGCGCACGACACTCCTCTCTCTCCTCCCAGTTGCTCTCGCAGCGCCAGCGACCCTCTTCCACCGCGCTGAAAAACCAATTTATTGGGCTCTAGTTGGCGACTCAACAACTGCTCCCGATGGCGGTTGGGGAGACGCGTTTCTCTCCACTACCGTTGCGGAGCCTTCTTCAGGCAAGAATTTTGGGCACAGCGGCGCGACTACCAAGTCATTCCGCAATGGAGGCGATTGGGGAAATGTCATAAAAGATGTTGCAGCACACAAGAACGAAAGCCGAGTGTATGTGACTATCCAGGTAAGTGACCTACTTTCTCGCCACTCAAACATTTCCAGAAAATATGGCTTAATTGTTACAGTTTGGTCACAACGACCAAAAGCCCGCCAACAACGTTTCACTCGACGAGTACAAAACCAACCTTGCAAACTTTGCCTCCGAAGCCTCTGGTGCAGGAGCAACGCCCATCCTGCTGACCCCGCTGACTCGCCGCGCATTCAATTCGACAACTGGAAAAGTCATCGAAAACCTCTCTGTTGAACGCGCGGCAACTATCGAAGTCGCGGAAGCGAACGATGTACACTGGATCGACCTCAACCGAGCGAGTACCGACTATGTGAATGCCATCGGTCAAAAAGCGGCGGACATGTACAATCTTGCATCGGGAGATCGCACACATGTGAACGTATGGGGCGGAGTGGTATTTTCGAGGATAGTGAGTGACTTGTTGGTGGAGAAGTATGCGGGAGAGTTTGAAGGAGCGACAGTGAAGAACGAGACTTTGAGTGCGCTGATTGCGGACGGAAAACCTGCTTAAACTTTCGAATGATCAATTCAGAATTGTTTACGAAGCGTTCATCTTGACAGAGTATTTTCTCAATCTTTCTGATCAGTAATTCGTAACTGAATGAGACCTCAGAAATAGACTTCAATTCACAACTCGAACAACTATTTTGCAATGATCCAGTCTTCTTCCTCTTTCTCCCTTCTTTTCCCCTCCCCAACCACTACAATTCCCCACCCGTCCGAGCAACCTAGCGCAAGCAAACACCTCTCGCACACGGCTGACCCGGCCGATCAATGCATCTCCCTGCCCACTCATAACTCCACGGCCCAACGCACCTGAAATAGCTACGATAGCAAAGGTACGTACACTCGCAGTACCCGCGACTGCAGCTCTCACAGCCCATGGAATTCGGGAGAAGTCTGCAGTAGAGATCGCCGAGATCGCCTGACTTCCAACCTAATTATTGTTAGATCAAATACCTGTCCTTAAGATGAATGCATACCAAGATCATTCACAATCTCTCCAAAACAGTACAGTTCGCCGATGTTGCACGCACCAGCATTGGCGGCTGCGATCTCGGTGGTAGAATTGGCGATCTGGATGGAGATTGTTTCCACTGGGGTTGCGGAGGTGAGGAGGAAGAGCGACGCTAGTGAGAAGGCTGTGAGAGACTTGGAGAAGTGCATGTTTGCGGTTGGGTAGATTTGGAAATTGCGTCGAAGATGTAAGGTAGGCTGGACTGATGACTGAAATAACTGAGGGAACCGTCCTTTTTATTGCCGGAACTGCTCATAAACACATGTACATCTGCATCACAAGTATGCCAGCGATCTATTGCTGAGACATTGTTAAGACGCATGCAGTGACGATGGATCTGCATAAGATTGGAAGCACGAAGTACTAGTGACGAATCGATAGGTATATTCTCGTTGTACAAGACCGTAGAGGTTAAGCCTGAACAAACAAGTGATCACTGACAAACACCTTTCCGCAAATTTATCACAAGTGCTTGTACCGCACTATAGAGAGAGAATTACCAACGTGGACGTGGCAGTGAAGATAGCCAGTTTGTAGGTTACTGGTGTATGCGATTATCTAGACTTTGTAGCAGTGCCGAGCACAACCCCAAATAGTTACCATGTTTTCGGAACTCAGATATATGCACATGACGGACTTTTGGGTAAAGTCAACGATCTTACGACAAGGTTGCGGCAACTTGCATAGTCTTGACTAGAGAGACCTACGGCTTCTCTCACTCAAGTGTCATTTCATCCAAAGGCAGGCATTGATGGTAGAAGTTCTCGCGTGCAGACGAGGAATTGATAGAGAGTCAGGTGGGGCGAGCTAGCCGCAACTGCCTTAGCGACGGATCCATTGCACTGGCACGTCGCTCCAAGATCCGTCCCGCAGCTTCAGGAGCAAGTTCACCTACTATCAGATTCACGAAAATATCTCAAAGATCGTGTAAATGCGATGTTCGAGTCCTTCGGACAAGCGGGCAGGAAGTGCAAAAACGTCATGAGGCTGAACACCGAGGTACCCCGCCCGCGCTCCGATCAACAACAGCAACAATGCCATCTCATCCGAAGTCCGCAAACTCCTCTGCATGAAACCTAGATGTAATCCCTAATCTGGAAGTTGTCAACCTTCCCCAACCAAAATCTTCCGTTCAGGTACTCGAAATACGCCACGCTACTCGCTCCTTCCAACTAGCCATTCACCATGCCGTCCAAATCCCCCTTCCCCGACATCGACATCCCAGATGTAGACCTCTGGGGCCTCCTCTTCTCGCGCCAGAACCGCGACTTCCCCGACGACAAAGTGATCTACCGCGCCGTCAACTCGGACCGAAAATACACCTTCGCGGATGTAAAAGCGCACGCGACTCTATTCGGCGAGGGACTGCGCGACGCATGGGACTGGCAGAAAGACGACATCCTGGCGCTATTTGTGCCGAACGACATCGATGTGCCGCCGGTCATATACGGGACTTTTTTCGCGGGCGGTGTCGTCACGCTGGCGAACCCCGCGTACTCCGCCGACGAACTGGCGTTCCAGCTGGAGAATTCTGGGGCCAAGGCACTTGTTACGACGAGGGGGTTTTTAGACACGGCGCTCAAGGCGGCGGCGAAGGTGGGAATTGATCGGAATCGGGTGATACTGTTAGGTGCGGAGAAAGATACATCGCATCGCGTGAAGCACTGGACGCATATCCGCAAGACGTCGGGCGCAACGCATTATGGGAGGCGGAAAGCGGACCCCGAGGATCTGGCGTTCCTGGCGTACTCGTCCGGCACGACGGGACTGCCCAAGGGCGTCATGCTCTCGCATAGAAATATCGTCGCCGATCTGCTCATGATACAAGGCGCACCGGGACAGTGGTATTCCCCCGCGACTGACAAGTTCCTCGGCGTGCTGCCGTTCTTCCACATCTACGGTCTGACAGGGTTAGTGCACCAGATGCTGCACCGGGGCATTGAGCTCGTCGTCATGCCCGCTTTCGACATGCAGACGTTCCTACAAACTATACAAGACTGCAGGATAACATGCATATACGTCGCGCCGCCCATCATCGTGCGGCTCGCCCGCGATAAAATGGTGGATAAATACGACCTCTCGTCCGTCAAAATGATCACAAGCGGCGCCGCGCCGCTGACGCAGGAGCTCGTCGACGCAGTGCACACGCGCCTCGGCATCAAAATCAACCAAGCCTACGGACTTAGCGAAACAAGTCCAATGACACACGCACAAGTAAGTCCTCCCCCCCACACATCCACCCCTGACCCTAACCCCGTACCCAGCCCTGGAACGAATGGCACACCTCCATCGGCTCCGTCGGGAAACTCTTCCCCAACATGACCGCAAAATACATGTCCCCCTCGAACCACGAACTCGGCCCCGGCACCCCCGGCGAACTCTGGCTCCGCGGCCCCAACGTCTTCGCAGGCTACTGGCGCAACGCCGCCGCCACAGCATCCTCCCTAACACCCGACGGCTTCTTCAAAACAGGGGACATCGGCTTCCAAGACGCAGCCCAAAACTTCTACATCACTGACCGCGTCAAGGAGTTGATCAAGTACAAGGGTTTTCAGGTTGCGCCTGCGGAGCTGGAGGGGAAGTTGATGCTGAATGAGGGGGTGGCGGATGTGGCTGTTATTGGGGTTAATGATGAGCATATGCATACTGAGGTGCCGAGGGCGTATGTTGTGCTCGCTGCGGCTGGGGGGAGGGGGACGGAGGGTGAGGCGAGAAGGATTGTGGAGTGGGTTAGGGAGAGGGTTGCGAATCATAAGAGGTTGAGGGGGGGTGTGGTGTTTGTGGATGAGGTGCCGAAGTCGGCGTCGGGGAAGATTTTGAGGCGCGTGTTGAAGGAGAGGAGTAAGGGGGATGTGGCGTTGGGGTTGGAGGTTAGGGGGAAGCTGTAGATTCTATGTAGTGCGTAAGTGTCAGTTATAGCGTCTAACAGAGGTGTGCAACTCAGAAATGTAACATTGCGATTACTGTGTTGTACGCATGGGATGATGTCGGATAAATCTAACGTGCACTGTGTTACTTCGTCTTCTCCGTATACATGGACGATACGATACGCTCGGAAGACTTCAACCTGTCGAAGAATCCATGTCATATACATCCTTTACTACATGTACCATACATAAACACACATACTACGCATCAGGGGGACATACAAATGTATCCCCACATCCACCCATCCAATCATCATAATTACCTCATTCACCGCCCATCGCATCTCATCTCATCGCATAACCCACCCCAGCAAACGCCCCATCTACTTCACCCCACTCCAGAAACGAGAAAAAAAACACCATATCATCGGTGTATAAATCCTTCATAAAAAATTCAAATCATGAGAAAAAAACCACGCACGCGCGCCAAAATATGCCGTAAACACGCCCTTAAATCAAGGCCCATGATATAAAATCCCGTGTGCCATTGGAAAAGGAAAACCTCCCCTAGATCATGTGGGGAGGAAGCAAGGAAGGAAGGAAGGAATGAAGCGAGAGAAGCGCCCAGTATGCAAAACCCGCCGAAGCCGCTGGACTTTTCTTTTTTTCGCAGACCGCCGTAGAGAAAGGGGGGAAGATGCCGAATTTTGGTTGCCGTGAATGATGCTGCTAGGAAAACGAGGAGGGGCAGGTGGGTGGATGGGTGGGTAGATACGGTGGGATAGATTTGCGTCATAGATTTGCTTGAGGGTCGTTGCTCGTGCATCGTCGTGAAAAGGTGCTTGGTAGGCACTGCTGTCGTGGATGTTGACCGAATCTATGCATTGCTTCCCCACGGCCCAGCTCCACGTCCGAGACCAGAGGTTCCCGCAGTGCGATGGCCGCCAACGGGGGCTAGACTCGGGCTGCCCTTTCCACCACTGCCCCAGGATAAACCGCTGAGGCGTTTGTTGCTTGTGCTGGAGGTGGTAGACGCGCCATCTTTGCTTTTTGCCAGGTCCTCCTCTTCCTCCATGCTGAACAGGCCCTGCTCTTCCTCAATCCTTTCGCGGCTGATACTACTGCTGCTTACCGCACGATCAATACCGAGACGTCCGCCGGCGCTTCCAATGCTGGAGGCCGAGGTAACGCGATTGATACCGGGGTGGACGGGGTTGCTGGTGATACTAGGTTCTTGGGGGGTCGATATGCGAGTCCGCTGCAGTTGCTGGCTGATCATGCCCATCGAGGCTTGGCGAGGGGGCGAGGACAGGTAAGAGCTCGTGTCTCCAAATGTTGGCCTGTTCATAGCACGTAACGACGGACTGGCTCCAGGGTGCAGACTCGAATTACGGAGCGGCGAGCCAACATGGCCAAAGGCGGAGGCTCCTGGCAATGAGCTTGGTTCGTACCCCGCATCATTCGTGGGACGCGACTTGCCCCAGAGTGACTGGAACCGTGACGGAGATGCGGAGAAACCATTTGGCGACCCTACCTTCATATCCGATGTTGTTGGTGATCCTCCCAACCTAGAGAACGAGGCACGATGTGAGAGCGAGTTGCCGTCGTTGTCACCTTGGTCGCGGGAAAAGCGGCGCATCTTCTCTTGTGGAGTAAGGAGGTCGCTCAGCGAGTTTGGCAGCATGTCTTCCTCGAACTTGCCGATCATGTCGGTGTCGTCCCACTCCTCATCCTTGAAAGACGGGCGCGCGCCAACGCTGGAGGACATGGTGCCCTTGGAGCGGTTCGCGGCCAGCTCAGAGTGCAGCATCCTGCGACCAACTGGCTGCCCCAACGACTCTGGCGGAGAGGACCCCAGGGCTGCAGCCCTACTTCGAGACCCGTCGCCAAAGGCAGAGTCGTGGAGATTGCGCAGGGCGGACGAGTCGGCGTGGTACGACGAGGGTGGCGAAGTGGCGAGGAACTTGGCGGGTACGGACGAGGCCATGGCACCGTAGCGGGCGATGTGGGAGATGCCCTGGCTGTCGAACGAGGCGGGGAGGGGCACGTCCATGACACTGAGGCCCTTCTGGATGGGCGAGATGGGCAGGCGGCCATTCTCGTTGGGCGGCGAGCCGTAGTTGGAGCCCGGGTGCGAGGAGAAGGTGGTGTCGATGGTGGGGATCATGTCGTACTGGCTCTTCTGCGAGGCGTAGGGCTCGTCCTGCATGGGGTACGGGTAGCCGGGCTGCATCGGGGCCATGTGTGCCTGCATGGTCAGCAGCGAGCTGTTCATGGGCGGCTCGGGGTTGTGGGGGATGTTCATGCGGCCGAACTGGCCGACCATGTTGCGCCCGTTGACGACATGGCCGTTGGGCAGGATGTGGGCGAGGGCGCACTTGTGGCCGAACTTGCAGTTACCCTGGGGAGTTAGCTGGCAGCGACTCGAGTGGCTGCGTGTGCCTGTCTCACCTTGGTGAAGTACTTGCACGGCGCGCGCTCCGTCAGCGGCTCGTCCGAGTGCAGGAACGGACACGCCTTGCCCGCCTGGCAGGCGCCTTGCCGGTAGAATTTGCAGGGGACGTGTGAGGTGTCTGTCGCAGTCAGCAGTGGGCCCGGTGCACACGACGAGCGTCGCCTACTCTTGTTGTTGGGCGGGCTGCGCGGGCCGCCGAAGCCCATCTCGCGCAGGTTGGCTCCTCCATGCCCGTGGCCGTTGGCCATGCGCCCGCTGGGCACGGGTACCGGCCCATTGCCGTTCGCGCCTGCCATTCCGCCGCTCGCAGCCTGGTTGCGGAAGTCGCGCGAGGGTCGGTGGGTGATTCGCGGCGTGTCGGACGAGTAGGACGGGTTGGGCGGCTTCTCTTGGTGGGCGAAGGGTGCTTGTGGCTGTGGTGGGGGAAAGTCGTGGTGGGGTTTGTCCGCGACGTCTTGCGAACTAGTGGCAGGCGCAAACACGGTGCTCATGATGGTCGCGCAATGGTGACCCGTCGTTCAACAGGGCGGGAAAACGTCGCAGCAGCAGGCTGAGGACCTCCACGCGATATCTCGACTAAGAGACGGCTATCACTGGAAGGCGAGGCGGCAGAAAGAGGGAACACTAGCCTGCACTCGGCTTAGGTTGGGAAGGAAAAGCAAGCACCTGGTCGAATGGCAGCGAACGAGCAAGACGCACTCGGCGGGTGAGAGGCAAGAAACTGGAATCTCACGCAGTGATTGGAGACGCATGCAGGAAGAAGCCCATAAGCTCATAACCATAGATATGATGCGCTGACTATGTATGTCCCAGTCCTCGCGGACAGCAGCCTCAAGACCCCACCATCTTGTGTCACACGGCCAAGACCATCCATCATGTGGGGAGCGCTGAGGCAGAAGTGGCGGGTATGGCGCAATAGTGGACTGGGCGAAGCTGCCCTACGCGTCGTTCGTGCCCACCGACGCGTCCAAGACAGCTGCACCTAATCACAGGGTCTACGATAGTTGAAACACTTGTCTGCATTGCACACTCCACGAAACATTACCAGCCAACCGGAATGCCACGCCTCATCTCCAGCGCCTCGAAGCAGCCATCACAGAGTCATCTGAGTCGGAGCCATCCGGTCATCTGCAGTCGTGACAGGTACATATCTTGTATAGCCACGCAAGAAGTTATTGACACTGAACTCTAAACTTGCCACTTCCCAATACATACTATGCTAATCTATACACAGACGCAATGTCTTCCAGTATCAACACATGGTAAAAGCTGTTTCCCTATGAGATGATGACCTCCAATCCATTCCTAGTCCATCAAGTGCCCTAGCGATGACCGATCCTCAGTATGCCCGCCGAACACGTGTTATTATACCACTCCATCTGCAGGTCGTCCATCATGTGCACCTGCGGAATCCCAAGGTTGTATGTGTACGCGTTGAACTGGATACCAGAGAGCGCCCTGAACTGGTCGTTGAAGAAGACCTGCATGAGGCGGCAGTTGATGTAGCCCCAGCAAGCCGGTATCGTCGCGTTCTGTTCCGCGACAAGCACTTCTTGCTTGAGCACAGTGTCGTAGCGATATCCTGAGATGCGGAGCGTGCAGGGCGTGAGGCCGTTCAGAGCGCAGCCGAAGAAGCTCGAATATGCGTTGAACCAGTATGCGCTGACTGAAGCACGCGGTCCTGCACCAATCTCGCCTGGTAGGAGAGTGCCTGCGAACGGTGTGTTGGGCAGGAGACGGCCTGTGAGTGGCAGGAACATCGCGATATTAGGTTGTGAGACTGCGGGATATGGCTCCCACTTATCGGGTACGCTGGCAAAGCCGTTTGCGTAAAAAAGATGGTGATATGGATTCGTTATGCCATCCGCGATTATCAGATTATCGTCTTCAGGACCAACCACCGTATCGTCAAAAGTGAGCGTGAAGTTTCCAGACTCTCCGCACAGTGTAGGCTGAGCTGCGGCTACCACCTTGGTTTGTGTCTGTGTCACTTCTTCGCTGACAAGTGTAGTCACCACTGTCATGAATCCGGTTGGCGTTGGCTTGAACAGCTCAAATGAGGGTAGCTCTGACAGCGGCGTTTGACGGATTGTCCTCGTGGTTGGGGACACAGACAGGAGATCGGATGGCAAAGGTCCGGTTACGGTTGGGTATACCCCTGTCCAATACGACACTGTCGTTATGATCTCTGGCGATGGGAAGACGAAGCTGATGGATGTGTCTCCGTATGATATAACTCTCGTTGTGAGACCGCGAGCTTGGAATGCAGACGTGCCGCCAGAAATGGGCGCAGGTGTAGTGCTTGCCGAAGGGATTATGGTCGGTACAATCGTGGACGTCAAGAACGAGCTAGAATTGGCTGAATCCATAGAAGTCGACGAGAAAGAGACGTTGACCAAAGGAGTATCAGTCGAAGAAATGGCGGCAAAACTAGTCGCCATTGTGACGGTAGAGGTATGTGTAGTTGATGATACCGACAGAAAGTTTAGACTGTTTGGAGCAGATGGTGATAAGGCTGGGCCTGATAATGACGAGTTTAAAGTCGAGACAGAACTGCTTGGAACCGACGAAATTTGAGCCGAACTTGGATTGCTCGAAGACAATGACATGGAAATAAGACTCAAACCATTTGAACTACTCGATGTCGACGAAGTGTTCACACCAGGAATTAAAGAACTAAAGGTACTCATCGAGCTGACGGTAGTCGTGACACTTGTGGTAATAATCGAGGTAGCTGATGAGCTTGACGGAAAATTCAAACTTGAACTCGGTGTGCTGCTCTGTGTGAGGTTTGACCGGGAAGAAGATGACAGCGGTAACGAAATTTCAGTTGTATTCATAGTGTATGCTGGTGGTAGCGTTACGCTCGATGAAGAGCCAGTTGGACTGAGCGGCGAAGTGAATGCCACAGACGTGATACTTGCCAAGGATTCAGTTAAGGAACTCTGCAGTCCACTGGGCGAGCTTGAGCCCGAAATTGGTGGGCTCGAGGTGTCCGACAGCGATACGAAAGAGGAGGGGGATACTCTGCTGGGGATCAATGAGGTTGCGAGTGAAGAAGAACTTGTGGAAGGAACCCCGGTTGGCGAAGTAGACTGAAAATCGGGCATAGAAGAGCCTGAAATAGTGCCCAGACTGCTCAAAAACTGACTTGAAGCGGTGAATAGTTCTCCGGGCGTTGTTGAGGGATCGCTGGAAGACGTGAGAGATGGGAACAATGTCGACGGTGTAGATGAACGGGACAGATCAGGTCTTGTGGATGGTTTTGGCAGTGAGACTGTAAAGCCATCGCTTCGTGTAATAGTTGGTAGGCTTGAGGGTGTTGGTTCCGAAGTACCAGGTGTCCTAGTGAAGTCTAACGATGCTGGCAAAGAAGGTGCTGCACCGACAACAGACGTCGAAACGATGGTGATGGTTGTCGTTTGCCCACCAGATATAATACTTGTGATCGTTGACACAACCCTTGAGGTCATAGGCGAAACAGAACCAGGTGGCGATGTCGGTACTCCGCTGACCGCAGTCGTCGAAATACTGGTACTTGTCGTAGCCACAACGCCGGAGAAGGTGTCTGTAGGTGTTGCCAGAAGAGACGAAGGCACGAACAGTACAGAACTGGGTGATGCACTCGAGATCATAGATATCCTGAGATCAGACGTAGAACCAGAAACCGACACACTAACACCGGTCTGGGAAACAATGGTGACAGTCGTGATTTGACTCCCAGGCAAAGTACTTGTGAGTGTTGTCAAGACACTCGACATGGTTGACACAACTGGGTCGGTGGAGGCAGGTGGAGCCATTGTACTAGAGATCTCAGGAAGATTAGAGCCAGATGTGGTTTGTGAGGATACATCGTTCGAGGTTGCGGGCTCTCCATTGGACGACATGCTCGTCAGTATGGCCGCTACGCTGGACGTGAGAGGCAACGATGAGCTGGAAGAGGTAAATAAAGATGCCATGTTCGAAGGTTCAGACAAGCTGAAACTGGATGTGGTTCTCAGCGGCACACCGTTCAAGGTTCCAGGTACGCCAGAGCTGGATACGGTGATTGGCGTCACTCCACTAACGATCATCGTCGAGATGCTAGTCAGAGTGGTGGGGGTTTCGCCAGATATAGTGATCAAGATGATCGAGGTTGAAGGGAACCCTACATCAGATGAGGAAGTATGTGTTGTAGCCGAAGTTGATCCTGACGGTGCCTCTGTAGAAAATGGTTGGCCGGGTAGTAAGAGAGTCTGTGTAGACAATGACGAAGGTAGTAATCCACTCCAAGGGGGCGACACCGTGATGACTGTCGTTACCAGAGTTGTCCCAGATAACACGACAGTCGTCAAAGTAGATCCCAAGTCAGAAGATGTTGGCGTAAAAGGTGGTGAGACTGGAATTGTCGGAGTCCAAGTGGGTATTACGTAGGGTACGCTTGAGGGGGTTGACCCTGTTGCGGGCAGTGACGAAATGATTGAAGCAATTTCGGGAGTCTTCGTCATGAGGGTGCTGAATCGACTAGGTGGAGCGATGCTGTTCAACCACTCCGTCGTCCCATTGACAACCGAAAAGTAGTATGTACCCCGAGCAGGATTCGAAGGTGTAGCGCCGATAAGTGAGACAGTGATGATAGGACCCGGAATGGTGACATAGACAATACTACAGTTGGCGTCTTGAGCAATGTCCTGAGCAGCGGTAAACTGGAACATCCTGAGCATAAGTTCCATGGCTATCCAGCCGGCGAATATGGAGACTCCTAGCATGCCAATAGTTAAGATTACGTCTCTGTTCCCGGGACCGTGGGCAACTCGATAGAGGGCGGCGAAGAAGTTGTATATCCATCTGTAGGTACGGCATGGCCACCAGCCGTAAGGTTTCAGGCCCCACCACTGACGTCGATGGACCGGCTTGGGAACTGACTTGGTATCAGGCTCCGGACCTTCCCAGTTGCTAGATATGACCGAGTCTCGTTTCTGTGCGGGAGCGTCTGGCTTTGCTTGTTCGTACGATGTAGTGGTAAATGGTGTCGATGACCTGGAGCTGCCATCGAAGGACTGGATGTTTGACGTCGATGATCCAATACCAGAACCTGATGATATACTAGTATCAGTGTTGGCACGGAGGTGTGCTTGCGTGTTGTGATGGCTGGTAGCCGTCGTGAATCCGCCCTTCTTGTTCCTGCTGATATTCTTGTTTCTGCCCATTATCGAAGATGGGAAAATGTTATGGGTATGATGCAGCTGCGAAGATGTTCGCAAAAGTGTGTTGTGCAAAGATTGTAACGGTCTTACAAAAGTGTGGTGCAAGTGAGAGCGGCAAAGCTGCGAGGAACTCGTCTAGGCTACCCTCATGCAAAGGGAGCCTTCCTTCCATGATTGCTGTGCAGAACAGAGGCAGGCAATGAGTATGAGGCTGAAGACAGTGCGTTCCATGCGAAGCAAGGTTTGCTCAGGCGATGATCGCGCCTGCCACGGGAATGTGCAGTACGCAACTGCGCTTGCCAGGATAATGAATCAACAATCAAACACGTAGGATGAAGAAACAAAATGAAGGTGCTGCAATGCATTATTACAACACTGTCGCGAACCGAGATGAATACCTAGCTATACTTCATCATCAAGCAACCCTCAAGCTCTCACCTCCCACAACCTGATGTGACCGGTCTCGTTAGCAACAGCCACGAGTGCAAGACTGCCTTCTCGCTCCTCCTCCTCTGAGGGCCTACCCCAGGCAACAGAAGTAATTCTTCCAAGTGGGGTCTTTTCTGTCGGCCAGTTCTTGAACACTGTAGCAGAAGGCAAATGCACCAGTCTCATGGCGTTGTTTTTCCATCGACTCGCCATAGCCATTACCTGTCCATCTGGGGAGAACGCCAGATGAGAGATCGGCGTTGTGAGGTTCTGCAACGCGCGCAACGGTTTCGGTGCCTTTGGTATGCCATTGTTCGACACAGCTGCGTTTTTGACGGTCGGGTCATTTTCGCTCCATGCTCTCCGATCGTAAATGTTGACAACACCAGACGAGCTTCCGATGGCAACCCATCGATCCCCACCTATCCACGATTCCCTTCCACTTTTACCACCAAGGGCTATGACTGTGGTACCAACAGCACCCTCATCGTTCCATCGTCCAACTACACCCTGTTCAACACTCCATTCGGTAACCTCGCCGTTCTTTCCCGCGATACTGAGGCCACTCCCATCTCCCCACCACACAAAATCTGCGACACCGCCCCGGGATTCAATACGAGCCTGTGTGACCCACTGGAGCGTTTTAGCATCGAGGATGTTGATTACACCTCCACCCTTTCTCGAGGAGCCTCGCAAAGCCATGTGCTTGCCATTTGGCGATAATGAGAAGTATTCCATTGTGCGCTGTTCGTGCTGGTGGCCATAAACACGCGAGACCTTCTCGACGCTGCCTGTTGCAATATTCCAAACGTGGAAATAGCGGCGACGTGCGCTGAGGAAGATTCTTGAATCTGATGCCGAAGGATGGAAGGCAGTTGTGGTGAGAGGTGTGCGCTTGATGTGCAGAGATGTAAGAAGGGGATTCGGGTTTGGGGGATTGGGGTTGACGTGATGGAGGTGGAGAGTCGAGCTGGGGCCAGAGGAGAGGAGGAGCGGGTATGCAGGGTGAAACGATAGAGAGGTTATCGCAGACTATTACGCACATGTCAGTGAGATGTTCAGAGAGGAACAACAGGGTAATGCTTACGGGACCCGCTTTGGAGACGTCCTTCAGCCTCTGAATGTCGACTGTGCCAGCTTGTAGCTTTCTTCTCTTCGCAGGACCTCTCGCGTTGCGCGAGAGAATGTCCGCTTCTTTCAGTAGTCTTGCCAAAGGCTGAGTGGACAGGTCTTCCTCATCCACGTCCATGTCACTCGCAGACTCCTCGCCGCTGTCCTCCTCATCGTTGATCGTGCGTCTTCGCTTTTTGTTTGCCTTGCCGGTCGCATACATTGCCCAATCTGGTGTCGGGTATAGTCTCTCGTACTGCTTCCTCAACCTGCGCGCATACTCCTTGCCGTTGACCAAGTCGTCCTCGGCCGTGTCTCTCAATTTCCTCAGCTGCGGTACTGACGCCAGGCTCACGACCAGTCGCTCGTCGTCACTATCCTCCCACGCTGGCCTGTCGCCCTCGTCCTCTGAGTCTTGCGTTTTGGTGATAGCGACCGAGCCAGCAGGCGCCGCGACCGGGCCTGCATCGAAGAAGAACAAGTCCTGGTCCGCGACATTGTCCAAGTCTGCGTCCTGGCCTTGTTCCTCATCTGAGCTGTCTCCGTATGCGCCGGCCGTTCCTTTGAGCGAGAAAGCTTCCAGACCTTCCTTGAAGCCTGCTGAGTCGCCAAAGATCATGCGCTCAAGCTCCTCTTCCTCCGCGTCTTTTGGCAGGATAATCTTTTCCTTTTTCTTTTTTTCCAGCTCGATTACCACGCTCTCTGTATCACTTTCCTCGTCCTCGTCCTCGTCCTCGTCCATGTTCTCGTCCTCTTTCTTGCCGTCCTTGTCTTCATCCAGCCCTTCAAAGCCTTCCCACTCAGGCTCTTGTGGTTCGTTCACTGTCTGCAGCGCTCCGGCTTCTGCATCGCTGCCTTCGTTATCGAGGTCGAACTTCGGGAAATTTGGCGCATCTTTGGGCAGATATCGCTGATGACCATTGGATTTATGCGGGGTAGTTGCTACTGGAGCCATTGTGGCGACGCGTGAAGTTATGCGGCTTCAAACGGGCGTCGCGAAAACTAAAGTTTTGAGGAAAATTGTTCGGAATTGGAAAGGACGCTAGTTACTAGTGTCCAGGCCGGTACTCGGTCTGCGCAAGTGGTATACACTGTACGAGACCGACCAATACTTCCACCATGGAACGAATATTTCCTGTCACACGATACAAGCTTTGGAAGCCGTATCACTAGCTGGCAATGCAAGGGCAAGCGATTGTCTATAATCGACGGTTTTCCAACTGGACGGAATAGGAAATCTTAAATCATCGTTTCTCGAAACTATATGCGGGCTTTCGCCTCCACGAACGGAGGCGGCGTAAGATGCAATTACTCATCAATCTGCTTGCTATTGTTGATGTATATTTGTACGGTCTGCACGGTACAGATCTTGGTGAGTCGGTGAGCCACTTTTTGCATGTTCAATGGCTATAGCATCACATGGCTCAGGAGTCGATGCGTTCTCAATATGGTATTTTGTAAACAGCATCACATTCTTATGGGACTAACCCGGAAGCTGGACAGCAAATGCATGTGTAGCGTGCTGTAAGGCAGTACGCGCTCATACAACTAGAACATCGCGTACATGAGAGTGGGTGCAGAATTTTCCTACTTTACACATCGAGAAATGCTTTCCAACGTGAAATGATATCCCAAATATCAGTTCTTTCCGCCGAGATAATGAAATTGCTGCGATTTCAGCGCGTCTATTGCGGTAGGTCTTTGTTTAGAATCGACTTGGAGCAGGTAGCGAAAGAAATTCGCGAGCGCCGGCGGTATATCCAGCTTCTTGAGCTCCTCCCCAAATGAAAGTGTTTCAAAACACTTCGAGTCTGTGCTGTCACCATATCCAGATTTTTCGATCAGCTTGGCAATCCTGAAGTACCCTTGGTAGTTCGGGTCAGTGGCGTGAATCGTAACGGAGCCAGGGAATATTCGTAAAAGCTTTGCCATTGCCCACGGCTGCGGCCAGTGACCATCGGGCATGTCATTGATACCGAAGGTGCAAGGGGAGATCCAGTCGAAAAGCTTCCTTCGTTATTCCGAGTATGCACACAAAGCAATAGGGCAACTAACTGCAACAGCGAAAGCCCACACATCAGAGCAAGGAAAGCAACCTATCCCTGACCAGACTTCAGGAGCGCGCATTGCGAAGGGCTGAACAGGGTACTCATTGAAACCCTCCGAGCGCACTATTTTATGTCAGCGTGACTATTATGATCGGGACAAGACGACTACCTAGTCCTAAGTCTCCAAGCTTCACTACAGGAGATGATCCGTCAAGGCCAGAGATAAGGATATTATCATTCTTGATGTCTAACTCAGTCAGTATGTGTTCGAGCATCCGGTCTGCAGGACGCAGGGCATACCTGTATGAACGAGTCGTTGCGACTTCAAAGTGTCAAGTGCCCCTAAAATAGCTCTGGCTATGCTTTGGTGCAACACGGAATCTAGCCTGTGAGATATAGAGCAGACATCCTTCAGAGTACAGTCCATCCACTCGAAAGCCAGGCAATATGGGCGCTTACTCGCAAAGCTACCATGAACGTCAATGGCATCATACATAGCGCGGATATTTTGAGACGAGCGAATAGCGGGATTCATATAGCAACCGTGCTCATGCTTCAGCAGATCCAGGGTTTCTTTCTGGGAACTTGTTTTGACAAAAGCCCTAGAGATGAAATTAGCGGTAGTTATACAGGCGTCCCATATGATAGACCAGCCATTTCCCCGGAAGCTGCGATTGAGCCCGCGGTAGAATCTCTGCTTTGAAAACATTCGAAGTTGTGGTTTTGTGGCCGAGATCATCGACAAGAAGGTAATTCCACCTAGCTCCACGAAGCGTTTGCCCGAGACGGAACGTCATTGGGGGATGGAGTGCTGACCAAGTAAACGTCTGGGATCGATAGATATAAGAGTGATTGCTGTTTCATGTTGTCTTGATGCGTCGCTCGTGTTTGTGATATGGATAGCTTACATAATCTTTTCTCTATGAAATGGCTAGCCTTTGAACCAGCAACCTTCTGATGTAAATTAATTTGTGTAATGGAACTCAAGTTCGGTGGATATGAGCAGTCACGCCTTCTTGTTTGTGTGGAATTGTATGACCACATGTCCTCAAAGTAGGCTCAATTCGAGTCAGCACTCTCAGCGGAAGGCCAGCACAGCTCCGCGGACGGACAACAGATGTGAAAGCGCCTATGCTCTTGCCGTGGAATGTCTTCGCAAAGGTTACCGACCCCTTCGGGTAAGGCCACACATGTGATAGTCTCATTACAGTTACCTGTAAGTCACAGCAACGATGGACATAAGATTTCCTGGGATACAAGGTGAAGCAGACACTCTTGTAAGCTTTACAATCGCACAAATGATGATTGGCCATCGAGGTACGTATGGCGATCCAATTGACATCATAAATCTAGGTAGGACTGGAATGCCCAGTACGATGTTATGTGAGAAGAGAAGGCGGCGATAGCAGTTGCGGAGAACGGGGAGCAGCTGTCGACATCATTGTGCAGCGGCGCAGTATTTAGAGCGGATAGAAATTGAGGAGTGGAGAGAGACGGGAGGTTTGTGGACAAAGAGATGAGTCTGTTTTATGACATAAGCAGACTATGATACATAACCGTTTGATTTCAAGACTCGGATCTACGGGCCGAGGGTGACTGGGCAAACGTCTACAGAGTAAACATCTGCTGCAAGCGTTCTTCTGCACGACCTTAAGACCAACACAGACGTATTTCAGCCTGGCACTGACCTCCTATCAATTCTACAATTTCTAGCAACGTTTGTGTAACCTATTTAACAGCCATCTTCCGCCATCGTGACCATGTTGAACCGAAGGAAGCCGTGCACGGGTTTCCCCAACTTCAGGTGGAGCTGACCGCCCTTCGTAATGAGTTCGCCTGCCCTTGTCTCTTGCCGTCGATCCTGCATGCTGGCCGTTGCTCATTGGAGCTGCGTTCGATTCACTTACCCTCGGATTGAATCTGGTCTAGCCGTTATCCTCATTCCGACTTGTATTCCGAACACATAAGGTAAGAGCTCACCCCGGCTTGTTTCCCAACATCATCCTACCATTTGTCTTGTCGGAATCAGTCATAAAACGTAGACTTTGCCCAGAGAAACTACTACCCCATAATCCCACGAAAAGGCCGTCGTCCATCTCAATTACATTTCGCAACACCACACCATATTTGCGTCTGTAACCTCAGCGTTGCCTGACTCCCACTGCCACCAAAATCTTCAAGATGCCGGACCCGAAACTCCAAGTCTCACTGCTGAGGCCAGAAGAAGCAGAGCAGTACATGCGTATCCGACACGAAGTATTCGGCCCTACTATAAACAAGGTCTTCTACTCCCGCGGCGAAGCGTCACAGAAAACGCTCGCTAGAGTAACCGAAGAAATTCGCAGCGGCATCGTCAACAAAGGCATCCTTTACCTCAAGTGCATCGATACGTCTACTGGCGAGATGATCGCAGGAGCACGTTGGCGTCACATGAAACCTGGGAAAGAAGGTGCAAAGGAAAGAACGTGGGAAGAAGTGGACGCCGATTTCAAGATTCCAGAGCCGTATGACGAGGGTGATCCGGAATTATCTAAGGGTCTCCATGACCTCTTCAACGTGAATAAGAGAGAGATCCTAGGGAAGCGGCCATACTACGTCCTGGATACACTAGTCACACTTCCCAACCACGAAAGACGAGGGGCTGGGAGTATGCTAGTGCGTTGGGGGTGTGGTAAGGCAGACGAAGCAGGGTTGGAGGCATATCTTGAAGCGAGTCCGATGGGAGCGCCAATGTATGCGAGACATGGGTTCGAAAAGGCCAGAGAAGTGGAGTTGGATTTGAAGAAGTACGGAGGGAATGAGGTTCTGCATTTCATTGTGAGTACACCCACCTGACAGATAAGGTGGACAATGGCTGACTGAACTACAGCTCATGTTGAGGCCGGCGAAGCGCGAAGGCACGCCATGAACTACCTCGTCAACCTTAATGATCTGAGGATATGCCGTTCTCTAAACGAATACGCTGCGATAGATTGGACATTTGCTGAGCGCTTCAAACAATGCTGCGGTCTAGAGTACGGCGGAACGGCCAACCTGTTTGGGTCAACTAGATCTGAAGGTCTTCCTAGTTTCGACAGCTTTAACAACACATAGGATTTCGAATATGGGAATCAATGGAGATTTCATTACCCCTGTTGGTTTAGGTGGTCTGAAGGGTTATTAGGCTCAAACAGGACAACTTCGCATGATGAGGTGACAAATCACTACCAGTCTCTTGAACTGTTGAACACTCTTCATCATCCGAGTGTGGCGATTACTAGTGAACCATGTACTGCTTCCTGGCGCGTGGAGCTATATCCACAAGCATTTTGTGGGACTAGGCGAGTCTTTCCGAACGTTCAGCTTGGTAAGTACATAAATATACAACCTGTGGTCATTTCCTTCGTTCTGTCAATCACATCTCCATTGTCATATTCAAAAACTTGTAGCTTCAGAAGCTATGGAGCTTGGTTACTGAGATGACCCAACACCTGCTCAGATGTTATATACCTCTTTCATCGTCTGCCTATCATCTTCCAAAAGCTGCCTTCATGGCTCATGTGTTGAGAGTCTTTTTGTCAACCCCACATACATTTTCTCTAGCCGTGGTCACGTTATAAAGCCCAAACAATGAGTTCTTCATGTGAAAGAACACCCGGCCTGGAAAACTAAATACACAGACCATTCGTATGTCAAGTAATCAGATATACCCCAATCGCCGATTCAAAGTATTGGTTATTCTGATCATAACGATCAGGGAAATTTTCCAAAACAACGTATCCTCAAACAGACACACCCTGGAGCGAACTACCTTCGTTGCGTTCTCTGGATCCAAAAAGCCAACTTGTTCACTGTCATGTTCTGTTGGTGAGGAAGCCAGGAACCTATCTAAATACAAGAAGACAAACTGCATGCGTAAATCCTCTCGAGTAATATCATCTCTGCTCCCGGCTGGCTTCTTCTTCTTCACTCCGAACATCTGGCACATAGAGATACCGAAAGCCTTCGAGGCATTGTCCATGGCACTTGTCTCTCCTAATTTTCACTATAAGTTGTAGATCTCTTTGTGGACTGTACTTTCCTTCTTTCGAACACATTTTAAACTTTTGCAAAAATGAGAAAATGGAAGATTTCGGACAGGTGTGCTCCGGTTTCTGCAGTCAAAATACCATTCAGCTCATATTGTGGCTAGAGACTAGTAGGCCAAACACTTTATCAACCGAAAAAAAAAGTCTGTCTGTTGTACAAAACCCTGGATTCAATGTTTGAAACTTCTTTATCGAGAACTACATGTCTGCGAGTACGATCAGGCTACGGAACACATACTAAAAACCTCAAATCCCAATTCTTATCTTGAAAACAACGTCCGATCCAAGTATGTGGTCGGGGAGATGTCCCGGCTTGAAACCGCAGTTCGAGGGACACATGGAAGTAACTGCTAGTTGGAACCGAGGAAGCAAATTTGTGTATTCGAAAGGCCGAAAACTGGGTGCCATGTGGTTCCCCTCAACTTGAGGTACCTTTCTAAACAAAGGTCAAATCCGCACACTCTGAAGAATCCATGTTGATGTGAAATTGGCGCACTTCCCTGCAATCTGTTCGTATATAAACTCTCTACTCCCCTCCATCGTTCTTTATAACTCAAACCTCTGTACTTTGTTAAAATCGACTCTGATTCGCCGACATGTGCGCCTTCTCTGGTCTGACTCAAAATTTGTGCGAAACATCAAATCCTCAAAGAGCAAGACGTATGACTGTACTCCCTCCACCAGTCTTCAACCCACCACTTTCTCACAGCAAAATCCCATGATCGAGATTCCCGACTTCTAAGAAAGATACTCTGATGCATATACTATCAAAAATGACGGCATGGTTATTACATGTCGTGGACAAAAACTCCCAGTCACTGCTACAATGTTCGGTCACGAATCCAAAAAATGACTATTCCATCCCATACAACAAGCACTCACCTTCACTCTATTCTCCAAAAACCAAGAGAATTTGATGGTATGGACGGACCAGCCGCTCTCTTCCGCACAAAAATCCGATAACTACTGGGTCCATGTCGGGTGCGCCCTTTCGGCCAACAGCCAATCTCTTCCTCTCGCTCTTCTTCTCCAGCTCCACTATAACACGTTCGACTGCTATTATATTTACCACCAAAACCAACTGCTGGTATGGTGATGTGTAGGGAGGAAATCTGCTCTACTAGTATCATTTACCAAAAGGTTGTGACATGTTTCGGGACTCTGTTCTTCCTACTCTATCCACTATCGAAAACTACGACGAACCATTCGATGTTCTCCTTCGCGCTCTAGATTCTTTTCTTCTACTTCTCATCATACCACCTTACACACCAAAACCACGATGCCCCAGAGGATGTCCTGTACTCTTCTCTGTCCTCGATCCATTTATCCACAAAAAGAATTCGAACCCGAACCCGACAAAGTATGTGTTTGTGTTCCGCATAAGCAATCTCAACTCGACTCACTCCATGTTATGCCTACAACCATCAAAACTCAAAGCATTATGTGACATGTCTTCAGACTCTCCTCTCCACCCTGCCATCTGCGAAAAACCAACGAAGTATTACTCATGTCCTGTGTCCTGGACTCTTGCTCCCTCGTCATCCTTCTTTCATGGCCGATACTGAAACCTAAGTGCCAACTGATCATGTCTGTGTACTCTCCTTCGCGCTATCTACTACCAAAAAGAATCAACAATCTCAGACATGTTTTTGTCTTCCGCACTCCGTGTGCAAACTCCAGACTTGGACTCTTCTCTTTCTCTCTGTCTATCTATCCATCAAAAATTCCAGGACTATATGTACATGTCTGTGCTCTCTCCTTCCGTCTGTCTACCAAAATGCATCTGACGGCCTGCTGATGTCTTGCGTTCTGCTCTGCTTCCTCCATCTACCAAAAATCAGCGTACGACAGATTGATGTCCTGCGCTCTGCTCTGTGCTCCCTCCCAATCCATTCACAAAAAGACTGATAAACCAGCGATCATGTCCCACCCCATGTTTGGAACCACTGTTAATTCACTACCAAAACCATGACTTCATCCTGAAATGCTCTGTTCCGTCTTCTCTTCTCCAAACATAAAACCATCGCTCGAAAGAACATGGAAAGCCCTTCTATATGGAACTCAAAAAGTGATGACAACCTTGACGATGTGTCGGGGCGGAGGAGTGCCGTTCCAAACCCAAAGTAAATCCAAATTTGGCAAACTAGATGACAATGGAGAGGTTTTGTTTCGTTTGGTTGGAACTATATGGAACAGATTGGGTAGACAGGGAACGGAGTAGTTCGTGTATTGGATGAGAAAAGGTGAACGTCTGGATTGCGCATGAACGCATGAATGTAAATTATGAGATGAGATAATGATTAAAGCTCCATGTATCATCTATTCCATGCCATTCCACAGAAGAGCATAATATCATTTCATCGTCGTGAGTCTATCATCATGCCAGGCCCAATCTAGTGCTCTGCATGCCGCCAACGCAGTGCTTTTCACAGCCCCGATGAAAGTATCGTACAGCACGCACGCTGCACTTCCGCAATCCTCTGCCTCCCATCGCTCTCATCTCTCAAACAATGGTCTCCAACTCCCTCGCATAGCCCAGCGTGTTCTCAATGACCTGATCACTCGTGACGAGGATGTCTTTGGTCTGGTAGTCGTCCTCCTGCTGCGGGAAGTATATTCTCCCGTCCTTGACCACCCAGCCCAACTCCTTCGCGAAGCTGACGACGCTGCCCTCCGAGTCGAGGAAGAGGAGGGATTTGGCGTCGGCGATGGGGATGGAGGGGTATGCGCGCTCGCTGCAGGACGCGATTTCCTTGCGGATGGTGCCGATGAGGATCTAGTCGAGTGTTAGCGCTGTGTGCATAGAAAACTGGGTCGGTGAGAAGGTATGGTAATGTGCAGATGATGACGCACCTCTGAGAAGATTCCAAACTCCTCACTCGGCACCCGCTCGCCCTTGAGCTCCGCCCACACCTTATCGTAGCTCCCCTCCATCAGCGCCTGCTCCAACCGGATCGGGTACTGCACAAACGCATCGTCGTCCAGACGCCGCTTCTCCTGCGCCGCCGCCACCTCCAGTGTCTCGAGCAGCGTGTGGAACCCCGCGTAGTCGCCGTCACTCAGCAGCAACAGCAAGTACAGACCCGTGACTTTGCTCGCGTTCCCGCCATGGCGAGGCAGCGCCGACTCGGGCAGGGAGTAGAAGGGTTGCAGCTGCTGGAAGTAGCGCGTGAAGGAGACGGTGTCTTTGAGGCGGATGGAGATGATGGCGCCGAGCTCGAGGGTTTCGCGCGCCAGCTGCAGGTTTTTCCGCGAGCTCTTTTCCGAGGGGATGAGGGCGTTGAGTTTGAGCAGCGCGACTTTGGCTTTGGACAATAGTGATGTGGATTGGTGGTAGTTGTGTGTTTGGAGCGTGTGGCGGAGCTGCTGGAGCACGTGCGAGAGTTCTTTTTCGGCCATCTTGTGCGGCGCTGTGAGGTCGGTGAGAGAGAATGGGGAGGTGGTGCGAGGTCGGAGTGGTTGGTGGGTTGTAGGCGTGGTTACGGTTGTCGTGTTTGTTGGTGGGAGCTTGGGTGGAGCTCGATATGGAGTCGCCGCCGCAGAGCTTGGCGTGTAAGCGTACGCCGATCGCCAGGGCGCATCATAGCCTTCAAACGTTCTGTGCCTTATGTATGCCATTTGCTGCAGTTTGGATTATCACATCATTCAAAGAGGACAAAGTGTTTATATGTATCTTGCAGCCTGTATTTGCATGTGTGGGCGCTACCTGGTCCGAATGACCCATGTGGTCACACAGTCTCGTGCTGTCTCAGAGCTCGGAGAACAATATGAACAACAGGAGTAACAAACGCGGCGTCCCCTATCTCCCTGCAGTATTGCGGCTGATTTTTTGATTGTCCTTACTTTGCAAGGGTTACCCCGTGTAATCTTGTTAGGCAGCAACTCGCCATTCTGGACTGCAGTACGACTCTTGATTATGTTGATTCCTTATCCACTACCTATTCTGCAATCATCTCCTCTTGCCAAACTTTCCCTTCCCACCATTCCCATTCCCACCCTTACCCCTAATCTTTAGTCTCTGATAGTTCGCATGCGCAGTAGCCTTGATCTTACGCGCCGCCGTCTTAACAATGCCCTCCTTCTTCGGCGCCTCCACCTTCTTGGGCAAGTCCCTGCGCTTCTTTGTGGAATGTGAGACGTCGCTCGCATACTCCGATTCATCGTCGTCCGAGCCAAAGTCGTCATGACCGTTAGACTGTACCTGAGTTTCAGGCACGGCTGATTGTTCGATCTTGTCTTTATCATCATCGTCTTGAACTTCAAGGAGCGGGGGAGCTTGGGGTTTGACAAAGTTTGGCCGCACTGGGGGACAGTCAGTGAATGCACATGTTGCTGCGCAAAGGGGAAAAACATACTAATGACGCGTCGTGTCTGCCTTTTGAGCCCCTTCTTCTTCCACACCTTTCTCGGCTTGCCATTCGGACCCAGCCCGGAATCCGATCCACTCTCTTCCTCGGATTCCTCGCCTCGATCAGGACCCAGAGGCATTGCTTGGCTATCCTCGACCTGGACTTCTGGCAATCTAACCTTCCTCGGCATGGGATAATCATCCTCTTCCATCTCTAATTCGCGCATAATGTCTGCTTCTTCGTCGAGCCTATCGTCTTCATCTTTCTTCATAGCCTGGATCATAGAGCTAAGACTCCTCCCCATACCCAGACCACGCCTTTTCCACGGTGCTGGGCGCGGTGTCGCCTCGTCTGTCTCATCAATCACAGTCAAGGCGTTGTCTCGTCGCAGGAACGCAGGGGTAGCCAGCCCTGGCAAAGCAGACGTCGGCGTGCCCTCGTCATCCAACCTTCTCTTCTTCGGCGTGACAAATTGATTGAAAATAAACCTCTTCCCAGCAGACAGTGGTGTCCTGTCCCCTCGCGCTCTTGACTCTAGTGAGCCCTCGCTCGCTGCCTTATGTATCTTCCTACTCGGTGTTTGTAGCGCGTTTGGCTCTACATCCACCAAGACAGCCCTCTTCTTGCTCGGTGTTTCTGCTGAAATAAGGTCGAACAAGCCGAGTACTATGCCGTCGCGCTGCGGAGTCGGTCCAATAACAGTGGGTCCTTGTGGTGATAGAAATTCAGCTGCATCGTCTGCAGCTTCCGATTCCAGGTCGTCCTCCCTCTTCCGCTTGAGTGGTGTGAATACAAGGGGCTTGGGTGGTGCTTTCGGTGTTCGGTCACCATCGTATGCGAGTTTGCGGCTTGAAGTCTGTTTCGAGGGTGTCTGAGGCGCTGCTTTGCCGGAGAGTTGGTCGCGTAGCTTGTTGTATTCTTTGTATTTCTGGGCTGGAAAGAGTCAGCTTAGAGTGCATTAGACTGCGAACATCGCGTGCATACAAATGGTAGCATCCGCCTTGATATCTCCACGCCCAGCTTTCTTGCCATTGTTCTGAGACGCGAATTTCTTTTCCCATGCTTTCAAGTCGTTTCGTAGCACATTGCAGCGCTGTTCGATCTCTGTGTTGCTCATGGCTGCAAGGTCGAGGTGTGAAGGGTGAATGTGGAATACGGAGGTGACCGCATTATCGAAGATCGCGGGACGCGAAACGCGGTTGCACGCCACGTCCACGCGATGGCACTAGCAGGGGTATCAGCCTTACCCAGCTGACGGTGAAAACAACTTGAACGGGTAAAGCGCCGGCATCTACTTGAAGTGCCACTTCCCAAAATACGAACATTGCGTTCCAGAAATCATTTCACATGGTGCCAGGAGCTTTGAAGATTCCAATTCCATTAGAAATGGTAGTCACAATTCTCCACCTGACTTGCATTCTTTCAACCGAGCATAAGGCATCAGATATATGTTACAGGATACTATTCACAAACTCCCCGCTCGGAAGCTCGAAGAATCATGCCGTTGGTGCTGAAAGAAAAACCTCAAACCAAGAAACTGGGAATCTAGTAGTGGACGGCCTTGTCGTATGTGGCCATGGCAGCCTCCTTGAAGGCCTCGGCGAGCGTAGGGTGGGCGTGACATGTTCGTGCGACGTCTGGAAGATCATTAGTAATGTGCTTTGAAAGTGGAAGGCGGATATAAACTGACCCTCTGAGCTGGCACCATATTCGAGCGCAAGGGTACCCTCAGCAATCATCTCACCAGCGTTGGGTCCGATGATGTGAATACCCAATATCCGGTCAGTTTCGGCGTCCGCGAGGAACTTAACCATGCCGTCGGTATCGAGGTTGGTCTTCGCTCTCGAGTTGGCGGAGAAGGGGAAGTTTCCGACCTTGTACTTGACGTCGGCGGCCTTCAGCTCCTGCTCGTTCTGACCAACCCAAGCGACTTCAGGGTGAGTGTACATGACGGAAGGAATGGCGCCGTAGTTGACGTGACCGTAACCCTTGGTAATGTACTCGATGGCAGCAACGGCCTCCTCCTCAGCCTTGTGGGCCAGCATAGGGCCGAAAGTGCAGTCTCCAATGGCGCGAATGTGGGGAACCTTGGTGCGGTACTCCTGGTCGATGATCAGACGGCCCCTGTCGTCGGTCTCAAGACCAACGTTGTCGAGACCCAGACCAGCAGTGTACGGGCGACGACCGATAGCAACGAGAACGACATCAGCGTCAAGCTGCGTTTGTTAGCCACATGTTCCCGGCTTGACATTGATATTCGACTTACAGTCTCCTCCTTTCCGCCCTTGGCGGCCTCGACGCTGACCTTGATGCTGGAGTCGGAGACCTCACCAGCCATGACCTTTGTGTTGAGCTTGAATTTCAGGCCCTGCTTGGAGAGCAGCTTCTGGGTCTGCTTGGCGATCTCGTTGTCCATACCAGGGCCACCAATCTGACCCAAGAACTCGACGACGGTGACCTCTGAACCCAGGCGGGACCAGACAGAGGCCATCTCGAGACCGATGATACCACCACCAATGACAGCCATCTTCTTGGGCACCTCCTGGAGCGCGATAGCACCGGTGCTGGTAATGACCTTCTGCTCGTCGATGGTCAAACCGGGGAAAGGTGTTGCCTCGGATCCGGTGGCGATCAGGATGTTCTTGCCGCGTACAGTCGTCTCTCCGCCCTCGACGAGGTTGACAGCGACGGTGTGCTCGTCCTGGAAAGCGCCAGTGCCCTTGATGTACTCGACGTTGTTCTTCTTGAAGAGGAACTCGATGCCCTTTGTCAAGCCGGCCACGGACGTGTCCTTTGCCTTCATCATGGCGGGGAGGTTCAGCTTGACATCGCCGACCTCGATACCGCGGCCCTTGGTATCGTGGAGAATCTGGTGGTAGAGTTGCGAGTTGTTGAGGAGCGACTTGGAGGGGATGCATCCGACGTTCAGGCAAGTTCCGCCGAGAGAGCCGCGCTTCTCGATACAGGCGACCTAGAAACCGACATCAGATGGTGCTCTCGTGCTTCAGGAAGTGGCTATGGCTACCTTCAGGCCGGCCTGTCCAGCTTTGATGGCTGCGACATATCCGGCAACACCGCCACCGATGATGACGAGATCCTTCTCCTCTGCTGCACCGTCAGCGCCTGCTCACACCTAGTCACCCCTACGAATGCGCCTGCGACTGCGACTGACCGGCTTCGGTGGCATAGCCTCGTCGTGACCTCTGGAAGTAGATGTTCTGCGCGCAGAATGTGCTTTGCGAGACGGGCCGTGTGGCCCTCTGGAGGGCGCGGGGAGCAAGCGACCGGAACATTGTGGCGGGCGAGAGAGCTGGAACCAAGAGAAGTCGTGGATGGCACGACTGGGATGACAGGCGTCAATGGATGGGGTGGGACTGGAGACGGCGTCGAGCTTTGGGATGCCCTTTTTCCCGACTGCGGCCGAGAGGCGGCTAAGCTCGGTGTAATTGGTCACGTCGCAGCCAACCCACTTGGACATGTTACTACCATACACAGAACACCAAGCACGGAACATACTATTACTGCATTTCATTACTACCAGCTACAAGCACCCTCCCACATCGTACACTCAATCCTCATCCAACGTCGTCGTCGCCAGCACCCGCGTCAGCATATCCATGATAGCCTTGCACCCCCACTTGACCGTCTCCTTCTCGCCCCCCTCCACAATATCCGTCTTGCGCACCACCTTTTTGACGAAGAACTGCAGCCCAGCAATCATTTCCGGCGCCTGGTCCACATTGACAAAAACTTCCAGCAACCTCTTTGACTCTCGTTTGCCCTTGACACCCTTCTGCGACTCAAGGATCGCCGTGACCAGCATGATTTCAATAAACGTCTTTGTCTTTGGTTGAAGATATGGAAAGTTCAGGTTCTTGAGACTGGTGACGGGAAGGGCATCTTTCGCAATCAGCGTGCCGTAGAGTTTGCCTTGGTTGACGAGCTTCGGCAGAGACGTTGCATCCTTTGCCTCGTCCTGCTCATCATCAGAGTCCTCACCCCCGTCCTGCCGTTCGCCCAGGCTCTTAAAAATGTCCCACAGCGCAAACTGGAACGCTTTCCGTGTTTTGTGGTCGGAGCACACTTTTCGCGCCAGGACGGTGTAGTATGGGTTGTATATCTTCTCAGAGCCTGCACAATGCACAATGACCCTAGGAATCTCCGTCTCTTGTGACTTCTTGAGATTGAGCTTACTGAGACGAATTTGTGCGTCTTTGAAGTCGCTGGCGGACATGATGGACACGAAGATGGCCCGTCTAACGTCTGTGTTCATGCGTTGTTCCCGAGCAAGTTGGGCGAGGTCGACTTCATCGTCCTCGTCTTCGTCTATAGCAGCCTGCTTGCGACCAGACTCTTTGTTATCTTCGCCAGTCTCTTCTTTGCTAGCGGTGTTACGCCAGCTCGCTCCAACTTGCCACCACTTGCCCTTCTTGTCGGAGTCTCTAATATCCTGCAGGCCTATACGCAGCGGCTCCGTCGCCTTGAGGTTTCGCGAGCTCAGTGTGCCCAGTTGTTTCTTCATGCGTGTCGTGTGTTCTCGGGCTATCGCAGAAGCAGCGATACCGGTCTTCATCTTGTTGTTCTTGAGATCGTTAATTGTCTCTATCATAAACTTCGTTCGAACGGGCAGAGTAGCTTGGCCCACCTTGGCCACTGACTTCTGGAGTAGAACAACGATATCCTTCAAAGAAGTTGGGTCATCTTGTCGGAGTTGTGGACCAGCTGCTCGCACAACTCTTAGAAGGAGCTCCGTGTTAATCTCTGACAGCTCGTCAAGGAAGAACCGAATGTAGTCAAACACCAGATTGCTACCAATGACTTGAAACGTGTACAGTTCCGCTACTACCGACATGAGATTCGTCGTGTGTTTCCCAGATCCGTTCTTATTGTTTGGGTAATGCAGGTCAAACTCAGAGACAACGCGCTCCACCATCTGAGCACCAAAATCAGACCCAATAACCTTGTAGACAGCCGAGATGAATCCAGCATGCAGAATGAGGAACGTATCCGGAAGTCCTGTCGGATCGGAGAGCATTTCGACAAGCAAATCAACAAGGGTTGTGTTGACATACCCTCGAGGGTTGTTCTGATAGATCTGTTCAAAGTCTCGCAAGATTGTGAGGATGTTGGCCTCTGAAAGTCGATTGAACAGACCCTTCATTTGCCTCTTTAAACGTGATAAAGCTTCGACATCCGACGAGGGTGGTGCTCGCAAAGCTGGAGGGATGTATTTTGTTGGTTGTGCATTAGGAGCAACAGGCGCAACATATGGATTCTCCCGTATTCGAGGTTTGGTTGGTTGCACGTCGTCTTCGCTGTCCTCTTCTTCTCCAGAGCCAAGATCCCCGTCTTCCCCAGAACCGAGATCATCGTCTTCGTCCTCCATGTCATCTTCGTCGAAATCCGCCTCATCAAGGTCCAGATCTTCGTCAGAGCCCTCTTCTTCATCAGAATCGAATCCTTCGAGCTCGTCAGACTCAGAGTCCTGGTCGCTGGGTTCCTCGGTGGCAGCCCCGAGAGCCTTCCGCCTCTTGCTCGCAAGCCAGTCGTCGTCTTCAGTACGCTTTCGCTTGGAAGGTTGGCTCTCCAGCGCGTCCTCGTCACTAAAATCCCCTAGATCGCCAAATATAGCATCCAACCCATCGTCTGCATTCGATCTCTTCTTGCTCTTGACACCAAGCCTCTTTTCAAGCGCTCTGATTTCCGCATCATCCTGGTCGAGTTTGGCCTTGACGGTGCGAGAAACTTTGGCAGGCGGCGGTGAAGGCTCTTCGAACTGTTGAGGTTTCTTCTTCATGATGCTCTTTGGAGATGTTTGGCGCTCTTTCTTCACGGGCGCCGGCTCCTCATCGCTCTCCTCCCAGTCCACTTCCGACTCTGGCTCTTCGTCTGGTGCATCGCGCCTGCCGTTTCGAGCTCGAGCGGGGAACTGAACGGGTGGAGGTGCCCTTTTGACCTTTTGAGCCTTCTTCTCTACGCGATCAGCCTTGCGCCGGTCTTTGCGATTCGACTGGCCATTGCGCGCGCCATTGTTTTTGCTGCGATTTGCAGGATCTACATAAATTAGTAACGTCAAAGCCTTCAGATCAAGTCATATTCACCTCCGACCTGAGCTCGAAGCTCCTGAGGCAGTTTGGGTCCTCCGTAGGCTTGGCGCATACTGACGCGTTCGAGGCGAGGGATGCTGTAGAAAAAAGTTGAGGAATGTCGGAGGTTTCTTCCCCGCCCGCGCCTCCGCACCGACGACCCACCCGCCGAACATCCCACCACCACTCATGGCGCGCATACCATAGCACGCACATCCACACACATCATGGGTCGCGACCACTTGAGCAATGACGAGGTATGGCACTGTCAGCACAGCTATACATATGTACTGACTCGTGCAGTTCTTCACCCAACTCGTCAACCTCTTCGAGCACAACCGCAAAAAAGGCCACGGCAGCGTCTACCTCACACAAAAGCGCCTGAGCTTCGAGTCCTCTACACCACCCACGCCGACAAAAGTTGCCGATGATCCGCTATGGGACACCCATCCTACCGAGCCGCTTCCCATCTTGATTCGCGCGAACAACAACGGAAGCGATAAACGGAAAGGGACTGAGAGAAAGGACGTTGAAAAGATCACAGTGAGCACGGTGGTGAAGCCAGATGATCTGGATGCCTTCTTTGTGCGGTATGCGGAGGCGTGTCGGGCGGGGATGAGTGCGCTGAAGAAGAGGGATAGGAAGAAGGGCAAGAAGGACAAGAAGAAGAAGAAGGTTGCTGCGTGAGAGGGGCACCAAGATCATTGAGGCAGCATCTCATCAGCCATTTTGAGTGCGCAGAGAAGTGACGACTACCAACTATAGACCACGATATGCGCTTCGCAGCCATTATGTACCGTACAAGCTGCGCAAAGGAACAGGTCAGAGTTACAAGACAGGTAATTAGTCTTAAGGAAGCAGTGGAGAAGATATGCCACGACAGCAATCTAGAGAGCCAACAAAGCCCTAATCCAGGGCATCATACCCCCACGAAATACTATACAACTCCCAAATGACCATTCTCATTCATCTCAAGTCACTGCCCTACTCTTTCTCCTCACGCTCCAGCCTGTCTCCTCTTGAACAGCTTCAGACTTAGCGGCAGCGGTGCTCCCATCCAAGTCGCCCTCTGCGTGTGATCCCTCTCCTCTTCATCCGTGTTAGGATGTATCAGCGCCGATAGCGGGCCCCTATTGATCACCAACCAGGGAATAAAAGCCCCGAACTGCTCTGTGCATCCATCAGTGGGAGTTTTTAGGTTCGAGTCGGACATCGTCGTACCTGGCGTGAAGATGTTCACCTCAAACATGCCCACGGGATGCGGCCCAATCGGCTTGTCCCACACTTTGTATATGCGTAGCTCGGGGACTGGAGATAGTTATTACTTGTAAGGAAGGATGGAAGGGAAGGGTGTAAGCATACATTCTCGCCGTATGCGCTCCCATAGCGCGGTAGCAAAGCTTAGTTCCTCGGTGTCAGACTGCAGGAAGTAAATGTGCACACTGAGGTCGTTGTTAGCCTTCTTAAAATCTGTGCCCCGGGGTTAGTTGCGAATTTACTCGAATCCTCCACGAGTTCCGTTCGTGATTGGGGCGGCGAAAGAAGTATATGCCTCGCTCTTTTGCGCGGCTGGTGGGTTGACGAAGGATTTGCCGTCTGCGGCTTTCTCGCTGGACAAATGTTAGGGGTTTGATGGTTGTGAAGTTTGGATGGGTAACTTGCTCAGGGAGAGGCTCAAGACCTTCGTAGCCTGAGAGAGGTGATGGGTATGTGTAGAGACTTGGGTCTGCCATTGTGTATCTGTGGGTGAGTGCAGCTGAGTGATTGAAACGGCTGTAAAGTGGATTTGATTGAAAGTGTTTATTTTGTATGCGGTGCTTTGTACACGGATTATATATCGGAGTTTGTCAGCGCGGAATTGTCGACAGCTTGATTTGGCATCTTGGACGCGACTCAAAGTTGAATTGTCTGAGCAAAATCTTTGGTATGAAGGTCGAAAGATTGTAATCTAGGTTGCTATTGGGTTCATACTAGATTCTTGAGAGCAAGATTGGGTCAAGCATGATTTCTTTTCTTCAAAGTGTCGTCTATCGCAATTCCGTTCAAACTGTTCAGTCGAGAATTTCTATATGCCGCGACCGTATGACAGGTATCATGAAAGACGCGTTTCATTTGTCTGTTCCACGAGATACGAGCCCAGAACAGAAGCAATATATCTTCACCGACAGATAACGGAAATTGTTGTGGTCGTTCCTGGCTTATCGATGCTTTGAGTGCTCGGCCACCAATGAGGGGCTGCCCCACTATGACTCTTGAGCAATAAACTACCCCAAATACCACGCTCCCCCACGTCTTTTCTCCTTCAATCACAGACACCATGGCGGACGCTACCTACTACATCGACGAAGATGTCGGTCACGACACTCCAGAACAGACGGGCGACGAGTCATTGCCATACAAGTCTCTCGGATACGCCGTCTACACGCGCGGCGAGACTGCAAAGTTCAAGACAAGAAAGAGCGTGACTGGAGATGTTCCAGAGGGCGCAGACGCGACAGTGCGGTTAGAATGGAAGGACGTGGCAAAGGCCGCCATGAAGAAGGCGGTCAACTACGCGAAGACACAGAAGAAGAAGGCGGAGAAGGAGCACGAACAGCTTGCCCTGCGCCAGAAGGAGGATGCAGCCAGGAGCAAGGTGCTGGAGGAGGCCAAGCAGATTGTGCTCGAGGAAGACACAAGCCTGGACAAGGCGATCAAGATCAAGCTCGACGACACAGATTCCAAGAAGATCACGCTGGGTGACGGTAAAGAGACAAAGGGCACACGCGTGAGGGTATTCGGCAGGGTACACCGAGAGCGAAGGCAGAAGGAGGTCATGTTCATCACTCTAAAGGACGGTTACGGCTACATGCAGGTTCTTCTTACCGGCAAGCTCGCGAAGACCTACGACGCACTCACACTGACCCGCGAGACGAGCATGGAGATTCTGGGCGAGCTGAGACAGGTGCCAGAAGGCGCGCATGCTCCCAACAACCGCGAACTACATGCAGACTTCTACAAGATCCATGACGGGTGGAAAGCAGCGGGCGGCGACGATGCCATTACCAACAGGGTGTCCAAGGACACTGAGCATGCGACACTGCTGGATTTGCGACATCTTACTCTGCGTGGTGAGACAGCATCCAAGGTCATGATCGTCCGAGATGCTGTCGAATTCGCTTTCAACCAGGTCTACAAGGAGCAGCGATTGCGCAAAGTCAGCCCACCAGCCCTCGTGCAGACCCAGGTTGAAGGTGGTTCCACGCTCTTCAAGTTCGGCTACTACAACGAAGAGGCCTATCTCACCCAGTCGTCTCAACTCTACCTCGAGACATGCCTACCATCCATGGGCGATGTCTACTGCATCGAGAAGTCCTTCCGCGCAGAAAAATCCCTGACCCGCCGTCACTTGGCAGAGTACACGCACGTCGAAGCCGAGCTCGACTACATCAACTTCGACGACCTGCTCAACCATCTTGAAGAAGTCATGTGCCGCGTCCTCGAAGTCACAATGTCGGATCCCGCCATCAAGCAGTACATCACGGACCTCAACCCGGAGTTCAAGATGCCAGAGCGCCCCTTCATGCGCATGAAGTACCAGGACGCCATCGACTGGCTCGTCGAACACAACATCCCCAACGAGGACGGCGAGACGCACAAGTTCGGCGACGACATCGCCGAGGCTGCCGAGCGCAACATGACGGATATCATCAACCGACCCATCTTCCTCACACACTTCCCTACCGCGATCAAGGCCTTCTACATGTTGAAGGACAAGGACGACCCACGTGTGACGGAGAGCGTGGACTGCCTGATGCCCGGCGTAGGAGAGATTGTCGGCGGAAGCATGAGGATGGACAACCACGACGAACTGATGGCGGCGTTTGCACGGGAGCAAATCGATCCCGCGGCGTACTATTGGTACACTGACCAGAGGAAGTAAGTCCCCCCATCTCCCATCTTCCCTAACACTTCAACATACTAACACACCTACTAGATACGGTTCCTCCCCCCACGGGGGCTACGGTCTCGGCCTCGAGCGCTTCCTCGCCTGGTTGTGCAAACAGCACACCGTCCGCGACTGCTGCCTGTATCCGCGCTACTTTGGGCGCTGCAAGCCTTGAGTTGAGCAAGGCTCTTCGCACCTTTTTTCTCCCTGGCATTTTCCCGCCAGTGCAGTTGTAGCTACACGACCTGGTGACACGTACGTCTTGCATCGAAACCAAAAGGCTGTCCTTGTCGCACTAGGTGTAACAATATACAAATCACTCACATCCAATGAATACTGCACTTCTCGTGAGCAGCAGCAGCCCTGTCCTGTTGATCGATCGTCGGATCTTGTATTGACACATAAGTCGCTCACGCATTCTGAACAGTCGGCAGAGTGAACCTAGTCAGTCAGCCCAGTCCCTCCGCCAGGCACGATCACTTCACGGCAATAACTGCTATTGCTCAAGGTACAAGTCCTCGCAGATAAGACATCATCTCTCTCATAACATCACAAAGCAAGCTAACCCCCAAACGTTGAAGAATGTGCACCAACTATCCATTTGCCAATCTGCCGAAGCCTACATATTTCAATCCCCTTCCCCTCCATCCCTATCCTTTTCTAACATATGCCCTCCCACCCCACCATATCCCAAGACACAACCACAGACCCACTCCCAAACTGCCTCGCACGTGCACATACACAAGCAGACAGACAAGCCAACCCGCACCAGCCTAGGTAGTAGTGAAGCCTATTGAGCACTCACCCATCTCACCACTTAGGCCCGCAGAAAAGAAAAGAACAATGCGGCATAATTTCAAAAAGCAGAAAAAACTCCTCGCTATGCAGGTTTTGTGTACAATGAAAAGCGACAGACCTCCTTTCCCGAATGTAAGGAAGAGGAGCGACGACCCCCCCGAAATAGGTGGTAGTGGAAACGTATTGGGGAAAAAGAGCCCCGGAGTGCTGGACTGGGGTGTGTTTGTGTAAAAATGATTTAGCCGGACAAGGCGCCGTGGTGGGGAGACGTGGAATTAGAGGGTGGGGGGGGGGGGCTGGGTGATGATGACGCGTGTCCGGCTAGCAGAGTAAGAGCAAGACAGGTGTTTACATCTAGGGAGAAAACTTTGAGGGAGGAACTGAACAAATATCCAGCAGGCGAGTGTGCAACAATTCAAAACTACAATTGTTTCCAGTTGCGAGTCCAAAAAGGGTGGTGGTAGTGATGGTTGTTGTCCGGGGAGAAAGATAAGTGGTGTTGGGGGTCACGATGGTGTTTTGAGGTGGTCCAGACTCAGGTCTGGGGTAACGCGTGGCGTCGCGAGCTGGGAGGCTGGGAAGTGAACCTCGCAAACGACCACTCAACCATTCAGACGGCGCTGAATAAGTTCCTGGAGTAGCAACAATTGAGCGCGCTCGTTCTCGATGACGGGCGGAGGAGCAGCGGTGGAGAGGGCCGTGATGACATCGTTGGGAGCTTCGGCCTGTTTTGCGTGGATTAGCGCCGATCGATCGAAAAACAGTCCAAGTGGGGCACATAGGAGAAAACTTACGGTAAGGCTGAGGATGAGCGCATCGATATTGCCCTCGCTCAGGCCAATGTCCTCCTCCTTATTTGCTAGCCGTGCCAGATTGAGTGCTGCCTGTTGTTGCTTGATGGGGCGAGAGACAAAGTCCTGCATGGACGCCTTTCGCCGTGCAGCAGCAGCCTTTGAGACATTTCGCGCTTCATAATCCCTCACAATACGAGCCCTGGATGTAGAATTAGTTGCTGTCTTGTTGGCAGGCTGAGTCTGAAACGTACCGCTTGACTTTGCTGACGAAGTCGAGCACGATGCCCTTCTCGGGAGCGCGGAAGACCTTGGAGTTGAGGTCCTTAGAGTCATCCGGTCCAAAGACGTAGTTACCTTCGCCATCAGTATCATCGTCAGGATCATTAATGATTTCTATCAGGCCATTGTTGCGCATCCCACGTGAGAAGGTAGGCTCGATGACCTCAGGTTCCCTGGGCTTCCGGATCTTGCGTGCAACCCGGATAAGCGGCGTGACACCGTCCATGTCAACATCATTATCCGGCTCATTCAGATCTTTCTGCATCAGCAAGCCGCTGCGAAGGTCATGTTCGATGTGGCGCGGACATCTCCACGCGTCTCGCTGCGATGCTTCAAGACTGATGTGTGGCGGGTTAGCGAGGGGCGGGTCAAGACAGTCCAAATGCCAGTGGGCAGGACAGAAGTCGCACTTGAGCATCTGGCGCTTATTACCGCTCGACACACCACACTGGACGCACAAGATAGGCTTGTGGTCGCTGTCAAGCGCTTTTGTGTAGTCGGGCCGCTGATATCCATAACCACTGTTTTTAGCCCTGTGTCGTGTCAGTGATGGATCACGCGGCATCACGCGTCAAACTTACAACGGGAACTTCTTCATCTCCTCAAAGTACGACCCATCAGCTCGCGCAGTGACGTTTTCGAAATGCGTCTGAACATCCTGTGGCAGGGCGAACGCGCGCGGATTGCTGCGCTCCAGTGATTTGAAGAGTGGCCCAAGACTTGAACGAGATTCGGCGGTTGGGTCTTCGGGCGGACCCAGCTTGGCAGTGCATTCGTAACAATAAAATGACCCATCAGGTACTTGGATACGCGGTGGATCGCAACATAGAAGATGGAAAACGCGCGGACAGCCTTCGCAGCAGACAAACTCGCCTGCACCTCTGCAGGCAGAGCAAAGGTCGTCGCTCTCAGACTGTGGCGAGTTCTGGCATTCGGTCAGAGGTGAAGACAAAACCGAGAGCGGAGGAGAGTAAGGGAATTTGAGCGGTGTGAGATTTGTATTGAGAAGCATTTGTGATGGGTGATGAAAATGAGTGATCGTTGTTGATGAGTTGTGTGGTGGAAGAGGAATGGTGTGGTTGGTTGCTTCGGGAATTTGAGTGGCACTTACTGGATCATTGTCATCAGGCCCCAGCTGTCTCGGACCGCCACCACTGTTAAACGCTCTTCCAGCAATAGGTTGACCCTCACGATTCTTAACCGGGCTATACGTGAATAGAGTTAGTCTTCTGGTCATCTGACAAAAATAAGGAAAGGTGCGCTGCAAACAGGTGCAAACACGTAGAGCTTGCTCAGTCGATGCGGAGCCCGTGCTGAAACGGGTGCTGGCTTCGTCCAACGCTTTAACTGCAAGTGGCAGGGATGGATGGAAACACGAAAAGAGAGATACATACGATCGCTTTGTTCTGGCAGCCTGGCCATGGGTGAGCTTCAGCCGTTTGGGAGCTGGAGCAACAGCTGGCGTTGACGGTCGCGTCACTGCAGCTGATTCGAGCTGAGGCGATGAGAACCGGGAAGCGTCCTCTCGCAGGCGCTTCGTACCATGATGAGGAACTCGTCCAGCGCGTCTCGGTTGATCAGAATCGACAGGTGGTCCCACCGCAATCTGCGACTCGGTCAAGGATTCTGTTTCGAGGATCTCGTCGTCAAAGCGAACATCAGATATTGGAAAAGCATGGTCAAACTTGCGCAACGGCTGATCCAGTACCATTCGCTGGCGCTCTTCATAGACTCGCTCATCTTCCGCAATTTGCTCGGCTGTCAACGGCTGTGGTTTGTTTGCATGTTTGCCGAAGAGCTTCCCTGCGTTCCCCTTAGGTTTCTTGGCGGCACGGGCAGCCGCGATATTCTTCCCTTTCTTTGGTGCGGTGGCGGGCGTCGTGGTAGTAGTCTTGCCGTTGACCTGCACAGGCTCTGGTGGACCTTTCTGGACAATTTCTTCGTTGACATCCGAGAGCTCAGAATCGCTTCCAGCGCCTGTATCTGGCGTCTTTGCTGCTGGGGTTGGTGCTGTAGTGGATGCGACTCCATCGATATCCATCTCGAATCCTGGCGCCAGATGGCCGTTTGTGGCCGGTCGCTTCCGGGGTGATTTCGAAGGCATCCTTGGCGTTGATTCGGCTGAGGAGTCTATCATGGGAAGAGCGGGAGCGGTAGAGAGCGGGTGGAGTGGCGCAGGCGCGAATGCCCGTTCGATAGACGACTGAAGAGCTGGGTACTGGTCGCCTGCTGCGGAGGCTGAGTCGTCAGGCGCTAGCTCACTGCTCGCCCTCACCGAGGGCTGTTGGCTCACACTCGATGCTCCATAGATTCCGGTAGATTGTTGACCGTCGCGGTCTTCGCGTGCTCTCTGTAATTTATCCCGGTTTCTTAGTTGCTTCCTGATGCCTTTGATGCATATGCGAAAGGTGTTCCACTGCTCTTCGGTGAATTTCTGATGGATGACTGCCTCCATGATAACTGCTAGCGACGCATCTGATTTGCTCTGCTGAAACATCTGCAACAGAGCAAGACCAACGTGGTGCTTATTGTCCATGTTGGCGCGAATCACGGCGTCGTTGACAGCAGCAGTCATGCGCTGCGCGTCCTCCTTGACGGAGTACGGTTGCTGAGACGCCTCCACTGCTGGGCTAGGCGGGACCGATGCAGCTTTACTGGTGCCGTTCTTGGCAGGCGATTTGGCCTTGACGGGTGTCTTGCTGTCGCCGGGGGTCTTGCCCCTGACTGGCGTTTTGGACACCTGCACCTTCTTCTTGCTCTTCGCAGGCACGTAGTCGTCATCCTCGTCCTCGTCATGGAGCACAAAGTCTGGCGGCAGCTCGTCCTCGTCTGGGCGCTCCGAGTCGTCGCGCTCGAGCTCGGGGGCAGGGGTGACCTCTGGCGTCGACCCAGCCTCCTCGCCCATGGCCGTGATGCCCTTGCCCAGGAACGAGCGTCGTGCAGCCGGGTCGCCCATGGCGCGTGCGCGCTGCTTCACCTTGGAGGACGGCGGCACGCCGAGGGGGGCCATGGTCTCCAGCACGCCGTGCCGCGCAAAGCCATGCTCTTCGAACGAGGGCGCGAGCAGCTGGGGCGTCGGCTCAGCCCACTCCATGATGGATCGCTGCGACTTTTCTCTCGCCGGTTCGCCTGGAGTGGCCGTGGGGGAGGCGTACGGGGTGGTGCTCGTCCTGGGCCCGGCTCGGCCACTTTTGCGGAGGGCCGGCATGGCAACGTGAGAGACCTGCGAATGTGTGAGCGCGCTGGTCGCGAAAGACATCGTGTTTAATACTCACCACGTGTTCTATCCGAGAATTTCACGCCCAGATAGCGCCAAAGAGCCGTCCCCGTCGTGTCGCGGGCGGGTGGTTGGGGTTGAAGCAAGGTTGTAGAAGTGTGCAAGTTCGAGATCGAGGGAGACTAGCGAACTTGGAGGACCACCCTTTCAAGTCACCCTACGCAACCCACAGCTGTCGCAGGGCCTCAGAAAGCGAGGGGGTTGCTTATCAGGGTAGATGGATGCGATTTATCGAGTCGATTTGGATTTTCAGCGAGATGAGTGGAAGAGTGTCCAGGAGGTCATGACTTTATCACGGGTAGGGTTCATATTGTCATCCGCCCCATGCCACCATTGTCTTCACCTTCACCCTCTCCGCGCCGGGAGCCTCTCGTACAAACCACGCGCATCTATATAGTTGCCAGAAGAACTCTGAATAGCAGTGACTATAGTGTAATGGCAAGATTTGCGCAAGCTCGACCGATGGCTGCAGACTCAGGGGCCAACATCTTTCTCTCGCTTTGGCTCTACCTTTGCGACCCTGCTTGAAGATCATTCAATCCGAGTGGCTCCCATTACTCGTGCGGCTCGTGCATCAGCGATGCGAAAGGTACTAGCCGTGTCTAGATGACTCTGTACGAAGACAGTAAATACTCATCGTTTCTCGACAAAGATAAGCTGCCTGATACATACTAGACGTGGAAAGAACGAGGTAGAACAACCTCTAAAGAACAACCGGACGTTAAGCACACTCGCAGAGCCAAATCATATCTCATTACTCTGAAAAAGCAACGAGAAATCACAACAGAGAACGACCAAAAGCAAGGCTGTCGGCATTGAGGTTCATTTTAAGGCTGCTGTCGCCACTATGTTATGTAGTTTTTAGCCCATACTGCATATATGGGCTCCGGCAGCTGCAGTCGTCCCTCTCGGATATCTGACGAAGATCAGGCCGTCTCTGTTCCAATCCCAGTGTAGAGTTGGATGTCGCTGGTGGCCTCCTTAATCCGGAGACACGCCTACTCCTCGTCCTCTTCCTCTTCCTCTTCCTCCGCAGCGGCCTCTCCTGGCGCAGCAGCCTTCTTGGAGGGCTTCTTCTTCTTCTTCTTATTCTTCTTGGTGGTTGCTTTGCCAAGGGGTTGCTCAAGGATCTTGAGAATCTCCTCGTCCTCGATCTTCTTGTCAGACTTGTACTTTGAGGTATCCAACGCTGGGGGCTGAGCCAGACGCTGCAGGCCGTTCTTGGTGATGGCTGTTCAAAAGTTAGCTTATCATACTAATCATATTTCAGTAGCATAATCTTCTGTCCATCGTCGAGCGGAAGAATTGACTCAAAAGCTATGGTGCAGCTGGAACTTACCAACAGTGCTGAACAATCTCGCAACAGGCTTGCTGTCCTTGTCGACAACGACATCGTACTGGCGGAATACACCAGTGCGAACGCATTCGACAACACCGACCTTGGCGGCCTTCTCGTCTTCGAGCTGTCGCAGACTGAAGGGGAAAGTGCCGAACTTCTTAACGACCTCCGACAGAAGGGACCTCGAGGTGGGGCGCTTGAGCTGGTAAGTCGTGGCTGTGCGTCGGTGGAGCGTAGTCCTGTTGCCGTTGTTCTTGACCTTGCCGCTTCCTAGACTGACACCGATCTCAACACCCCACACATCGCCGACTTCAGGCAGACCATCGCCCTTGACGCCATCACCTGGCGACAGAATAATCTTCTTCTTGGACTCAATCTCGTTGTGCTCGAATTGCCAGATGGTTGTGCTCTCGACGATGTTGCACTCGTATGCCTTGGCGACCTTCTCGAGCATGTGGGTAATCTGGCTCTGGGTGTAGGGTTTTTTCGCGGAAGCCTTCTTCTGTTCCTCCTCATCACCTGAAGCGACCAGCCCTGGCGGTACCATCAGCCTCAGCAGAAGCTCGTTCGCGTAGTATGTGGCCAAGATGAGATCTGCCTCCCTTCCAGTGACCTCATCGGTGCTGCCTACGATCACACTGTCGCAGACGATTGTGCACAATCCATCGATCTGGGCGCCCAGTTGGATCTTAACGACCTCTCCAGACTTCAGTGCGGCTGTGGACTCCTCGGCGTCGGACTTGAGCGGCGTGTATGGGGTGATGTAGGAGCTCGGGGAGACGGTCGTGCAGTGTCCAACACCCTTGCGCACCTTCTTGCCCTTGTAAACCTTGCCCACCTCCTCTTCCAGAAGCTTGTCGCCGCGCTCACAGAGCTCGACAATGCTGGCGCCTTCGGTGCACCATCCTGAAGTGGTGGTTAGTTTGAGTCACACAGCAGTCGCAGAAGCTTTAGGGAACGGACCTGAGACCTCTTTGAGGACCTTTTGGGAGATTTCTGCGGCTACCTTGTACTTGGTCAAGGTATCCGGGTTCGCGAGCGTGTAGTCTGTCAACCAAAGTTAGCATTTCTGACACTCTGACGTAACCCCTCTACAAGCTCTATTTTTTTGCGCATATAGCTGCAGGAGAGGTTGCCATTGAGCTTGGGAATGAACATGAGCATACCGACAGGTGCGTTGTCGGCCATATTGACGGTTGATGAACTCGAGAAAGCGAGTTTGGGAGTCGTGTGTTCGAGTCCTCGAGCTGTTGTTTTGAACCTGCCCCACACCATGCCCCTCTTTCTCTCGCTTATTGTTCCAATGACGACTGCTGCTCGACGACAGCTCGTGGCTTTCATTACTTGAGGACATACCAAATCTGGCAAACCGGTCTGCACAATTGCTTTACTTTGGGGTCGTCATGCTGAGCAAGTATGAGTAAGTATGAGTCCAAATTCTTATATCTCGTACTACACCATTCTGTAGGATATCAACTTATCGACAATATACTCTCAAGCAAGCAAAACAGCTGAACAATCTATTGAGCCTCTTCAACCCGATTCTAAAATACTATGAATGCTGTCATAATACCGGTTGACATTCTTCCCATACACCTACCTCTTATAAGGTATCATATTCTCAAATTCTCAAGATTGATGATTTGCACCCGTTTAAGTATCACCTCTCGCCCAACATCGAAGTAGTCAACTACCATTACATGAAGCCTAACATCCGTGACACAATACTAAATCACTCCCCTCCCAATCTCCCCAAGTCCCACTCACCTCACCTCACCCCCTCAGTCCCCACCCCCCAAAACAGCATCCACAACCACCGCACGATGATCACTACTCCAAACCCCCTCATCCCACCGATTCGGCAACACCCCATACCCCTCAACCCCCCACCCCTCCCCCAAAAACACATAATCAATAACCGTCATCTCCTCCCCCTGAAACCCCGTACACGTAGCCCCCTCCCCATACCTCCACTCCGCGCCCACCCTCGCATCCCTAAGCGGCGACTCCTCCGCACTAAGAAGCCGATGCGCATCGCCATCCGGCTCGCTATTCAGATCGCCGGCCAGGAAAACAGGGAGCGCGTAGTCCGCAACCAAACCGAGTATAATCTCTGCAGACTCACGCCTTGAAACCTCCCCCTCATTATCAAAATGCGTAGACAATCCCAAAACCCTATTCTTACTCTGACAATGCACAAACACGCCCACAGTAACAATGCGGATACTCCCCGCATCCCACCCCCTCGACGGCACACCAGGCGTAGGACTCAACCAGACCGTCCTCCAAGTCTCGACGCTCCAAACAGCGGTGCGGAAAAGTATCGGACTGTATTCGCCGGCTTGCTTGCCGTCGTCGCGCCCGACGCCGATGTAGCTCCACGAGGGGCCTAGGCCGGCCATTATGTCGAGGAGCTGCTCGTGCAGGACTTCTTGTAGGCAGATGAAGGACTGGGGGTTGTGGAGGGTGTGGTAGTGCAGTTCGGATAGGATGAGGGGCTTGCGGTCTGGCCAGGGGTTTTCGCCTTTGAAGGGGGAGGGGGTGGCGTAGCGGATGTTGTGGGTTAGGATGCGGATGGGGAGGGGGGTGGCTTGGATGTGCATTGTGAGGGTTGTGAGGAGGATGAGGAGGAGTGTTGACGTGGACAACATGCTGGAGATCTGGTGGTGATGATGTCTGTCGAACCGAGCACGTGATGGTGTTGATTCGATGGGGATGTTTCAAGGGCGTTGAGCGACGACGATGAGGGTGCTGAGGTATATATCAGTTTGTGTGTGAATACAACAGTGCGTAAAAGCTGGAAAAGTCAATCTCGCTACCAAAGACTGTGCTGGAGAAAAAAAAAAGGCTGCCCTGCAATTCGAAGACCCGATAAAAACTCACCATTCCTTAAAAATACAAAGAATTCCAATTCGGGCTCTACCCGCAGAAAATGAAACAAGGCAACACCATTCGAACCACGAGCCAAGATATGAATTGTAGCATTGCTCAATCGACGATCCAACGCACGACAAAATACTACTGCTTTCCCAAACGCAGCCCGCCAGACAAAGACGCAAATGCAGTTTCCCTAACCCCCCCCCCCCCAAGATCCCAAGTTGATCTGTTGTTTTGTTGTACAAAGAAGTTTTCGGCAACCATTCTCCATTCCCGAACAAAAATTCCCAATGATACCGATTATCAACAGTGCCAGTCCCCCAAAACGACTCAATTCCCCATGCGCTTACGCACATTGTCCACATGGATGCGGTTCTTGAGGTGCAGCTCAAAATTGCTGACCGACTGCTCTGGACCCGCGTTGTATAGTTTCCCAGGACAGTCCATACAGCGTATTCGGGGCAGGAAATATGCCTTGTGATTTGGTGGAAGAGGAGAGTCCGTCGATAGGTGATCCTGCTTGACAGGTCTTGCTTCCACTCTCTTGGAGACTGGATTTTCGAAAGCCTCGTTCATGACGACGTAACGCATGGTGGACTCGAATAGTTCGCCTGGATTCCTGTCGCGCAGTTCTTGTAGGGATTGTTGAAGCCATGTTGGCGGGGGAGGCTGGACTCGTTAGTCAAATCGAAGGACGGTTCAATGAGGAAGTACTCACGTGTTGAGAAGTGGCGGGCGATGGCCACGGCGCGTCGAGTGAGCCATCAGCTTTGTATTGCCACTGCCTTGAAGCTGGGGTGGGTGTGGAAGGCGGGGTAGGGCGAGGAGCCATAGCCGGAGAAGGCGGCGGAGGCATCGAGTTCGCAGGTGTGCCTCGTGTGGGAGGCGGTGCGGGTGCCATCATGGGTGTCGCGGAAGGCCTTGTGAAAGCCTTTGGATTCCGCTGAAACTCCCTGAGTTTGGCAGACGAAATGCGGAGTTTCACGATCAGAGTGTTGGAATCAACAACACTCTCATCTCGAGCCTCGTATCTCAGTTGTCTCGTTGTCCGTATCTCGTGGTGAGTCTGCAGAGCCGAGATTTCTGGTGTCGCTGATCGTCCCATGGCTGATCTCATGGCAATCTGAGCCGCAGTAGCGGCTCCGCGCATGCCTCTGGTTCGAGCGGTACCTCCAGTCATCATCTGTGTTGGCGCCGGGGACTCCGCTACCGACTCGTCACTATCTGAATCGTCTGAATCCTCATCGCCAACACGGCGCCGGCCTTCTTTAGTTTTCCGCGTCGCTTTGAACAGATGGCTCTCCTCGAGAGAATCAGCAGCTCCAGGAAGAACTGATGAGACCACCAACGTACGGACCGTTCGCTGACGGTCTTTGAGATCTGGTAGTGCTGGGCCACCACGTCGGTTGACAGAGCGCTTCTGTCGCCGTTGCTCTCGCATGATAGACAACTCGGCGCGTTCCAGTTCAGTATGGCTGAGCTCATACAAGTACGGCTGGTAGTCCTTTGTGGATTGCATGGGTCGGAATACGGAAGGTAATGGGGAGGCCAGGAAATTGTCTTGAATGTCGGCGTCCTCCACCGGTCGTCCGTCGAAGGGATGGCCTGTTATGTACAGACTCTTTGTGAACATCTGACATTGCTCCCGTATCGAGTGCGCGATGGCTGTTGTGAATTCCCCCGACAGTGAGAGATCCGCAGCCATTGACGCCGCAAACTCCTCTGGCGAGTTCAGCGCATTGTTGATTTCCCATTCGAATTGGTCCACCAAAGTATGCTGCCCTATCGTAATATTCAGCTTGATGAGTACGCGCATCTCGTCGTTCTTGTATGCAGAATATGGTAGGTGGGTGTCGAGCGCTTCATCGTCGAAGAATGCATGCGGGTAGAAATCCTGAATCTGCTCGTGTATTTCGCGCTCGACCTGGTGCTTGATGTTCTGGCGCAGCTCGGGTGGGATCTGGAAGTCCTCGACGAGGGTCTCGGCGAACAATCTAGGGTCGGTGACGCGGTCGTGGATGTTCCAGGTAAAAGTGTCTCGCAGCTTGAGCCTATCCAGTTCAATATCCAGCCGTACAGGTACCAGGTCTTCCATCTGCTCTGCCTGCTGTGCACTCTTTTCCCTCCCCACCTTCAGCTGCGGCGCGTTGCGCTTGCCCGCGCGCTTGGCCTCCTCGGGGTATAGCAAATGCGGTCGCGGTTGGGGATCCCTGGGATTGGGGGGGACGTCTGTTATCCCGTTGCCGTAACCAGCATAGCCGTATCCAAACACTGCGCCGGGGTTCTGTCGGCGGACGGCATAAAGTTCCTCGCGGTAAAAATGGCGAAGGTCGTTCAATTGGCCGTAGACGTTTTCTGAATGTTTGTTGCGGTCGTACTTGTTGACGCTATCCAGCAGATCGCGCGCAATGTACCGGTTGAGCAGGTGTTTCTGCGAGCTTGTCTGCTCGTCGCGTTCCTGCTGGGTCGACGTGCTCGACAGCTTGCGCGACCCAGACCGCGAGCGCTTGCGGGACGGAGACGCGCCATTGATGTTTTCTGCGGCGGCTGGCGATGCCATGGTAGCCCGCGCCCGCTGCGTGTCTCCCAGACTCACGCCCGAGGCGGCCAGCACAGCCTTGGCCTTTTCTTTGCCGTCGCGGATCGCGTAGAAATCGTGCGACGCCGTGTCGGGGCCATTGGCATCGCCGTCGGCCTGATGGACCGTGTCGTCGGTGTTGATGCCGTTGTGGTAGGGGGACGCGTCGTAGTCGTGGGATTGCGACGAGTCGGCGTCGCTGTTGGAGGAGAAGGACATGGTGGCCAGCAAGAGTCGGCGCGCAGCAGAGCAGCCTGCTACAGAGGTGCCCTAAACAAAGGTCCCCGCGAAGAGGGCCGAGGCATGGAAGCGCGCTGTGGACAGTCAGCGGGTGTCGCATTGGGGCGCGACTCAGCCATCAGGGGGCAGCGTGGGCGGCAACCGACCGCAGCAGTGCGCCGCCATCTCCGGCGGCATCACCACCCATCGCGATGCAATCACAGCCAACGGCAGCAGAAGCAGAAAAAACACATACCTACGGCACCATGCAATCTGCGCGTCGTCACTGGGCTGGGCTGGGCTGAGGGCAGGAACAGCCGATCGGGGAATCACGCGGCGGAAGGGCAAGCGCGCGTGCAGGTCGGTAAAACGGTCAGGCTTCGAGATATTGGCACTCTCCCGAATCGAATCGGCGGCTGCTTGGGCTACTGCGGCGCGGGGGAGGATAAGCTCGGAATGCCGTCACGTCGTTGTGTGGTGTCAGTTACCTAGGTAAGGATCTGGGGCTTTTGCCGCTTGCGCAGCCCAACCTAAAATATTACGCTCTCAACTCGAGATACGGGGCCCACGGCGCAGGACACGCGGGCCGTCGCTCATGCGCCGTCTGCATCCTTTCTACATGCCTACAGAGCAGTTATCTGACACTCACTAAGCATCCCACGATATGTGCAGTCTGCTGTCTCCAGCTCACGTGATTGCCAAGATGGTTGATCACGAATCGTGAGAATGACGCGTGTCGGGCCTCCCCCCAAAACCTTGCTTTTGCATCTCCACCACAGACGATCCACTCCAGCCAGCGTGGTCAGTGGAAGGTGATCTTTTGTAGCATTAACATGTTCTAGAAGAAGAGAAAGTCGGCTATACGGCCATCGTGATTTGACCCAACCCCCCATATGCCCCTCTCAGACTAGCCGCTGAGAGCAAGACGCTGTGAATAATGACATCCGCCGCAGCGTGCAAACCCGCCTCGTATATCCATCCGTCTTGTTCGTGGGCCGTAGATACTTCAAATGGACAACGCCTGCTGTAATGGGACAAGATGTGAAGATGACAATTTGCATGTGTAGAGTTGTGTCGTCAATAGCGAATGTCGGTAGTTCAGAGGAGCGAGTCCAGCCTCGTGAAAACACTCAAACACGCAGAAACCACCTGTGAAAGAGAGAGGGTCAGCACACCGCCATAATTATGTTGCTCGGCCAACTTACTTCAAGCTGCAGCTCCTTGTCCTTGGAATTGTTGACTTCGTCCGTGATGACCTGACCCAGATTGGCAGCTATGCCCTGGCCCCCACCAGATCTCCTCGCAAACGGCCATTGCGAATATTCTGCCAGCATCTCGTCTACCTGAGCAAATGCACGTTCCCTCGCCTCGTGTCCAAGAGTCGTCAGGGCGTTCTCGAGCACGTTCGCAGCGTAGGCGGCACAGACCATGGTGATCGTTCGGAGATATCTGAATTCCAGCTCTTCGGGGAGGAACTGGCTTCCTGGCAGAACAACGGTGCGGTTCGTGAGCACGTTCCTGACTCGGCGCCTAATCTCCTCCTTCGCACCGCCATCTGCGACGGGATGTGTGGCCATGTCGAAGAGGAGGAAGTTCTTCTTTTCTGTTCGCAGGATGCCCTTGTCGACGAGCCCTTTGCACAGGCGTTCGCGTACTTGCTTCAGTTGGTAGCCAATCTTCATCAGATTCCATGTCTCGCCTAGGCAGTGTCAGCTAAGTCCAGGGCATTCATATTATGCAGCCTGAGAGACATACCGCTCATGAGGTCGATCCACGAGTTGACGCTCATCTTCTCGCTGGACTTCATCATCTTCAAAGCCTCATCCAGCAGCACCTCCCCGGTCAGAGTATCGTCGATGACCTCGATCAGCCGATCTGCGAGGGGGAACCGCCGCCGCGACGAGTCCTTCTGCATGCTAATACGCCCCCTGAAGGCCAGCTCTATGACAATGCATCCTCGCAACGCATACGAAATATTGTCGTTCCAAAACGACAGGTATCCCTAACCACGAGTATCAGCGGGCGTCCCAGAGCTCCCCCCATTGGCGCAACACACCTGCTTATCCTTCAGGCCCATGAGAATGATTTCCTCCATGAGCGTCAGCTTGGGCTGCTTGTTCCGCTCGGCGCTTTCGCTGATGTCCCGCGGGTCGAATGCGATCTTGTGGCCATTCTCCGAATCCTCGTAAGACGTCTCGGGGGCGCGGTTGTCGTCGTTGCGCCTGGGTGCTGGTGAGCTGACTCTGCTGCTTTCGTCGTCGCCATTGCCCGTCGCGGGGCCGGCCCCTCCTCTGCGGCGCGTCAGACCAGAGGTCGAAGCCATCGGGTGTGGTGGTGGGACTGGTGGGGTGTCTTGGTGAAATTATGGGCGGTGCTCCTCGGTGAGCGCAGGGACGCAGGCGCTCGGGCTGCGCGTACGTGTATGTGGGTTGCGCTTGCGGGGGCTGCTGCTAATACTGGGAGAGCGTCGCGGGTTTGGCGGTGAAAATAGGGGGAGTTGCACGGGGTTTGTACGAGCGTCGACGATGCTCCCCGTGCTGCGTTGCATTGCATAAGGCTGTTAGCGGAACGTGTCGACCTGCCAAGGCCTTCAGGCGCTCAGGCGCTCCACAGTCATCTAGTCATCCATCACCAAGCAGGGAGCAGGAACGACGACTGCGCGCACAGGATCAGACGCAGATGGACGTGGACAGCATCATTTCCATTGGAAGTACACGGTGCCGACCCAGGCGACTGTTTTACACGCAGGGAAATATTTAACAACGCCGGCAGAACCGACTACCAAGATCCACTCATATTCTCCATGTCAAGCACCCAGCCTTCTGATACCGTCTAGTGCGCTGTCTTGCAGTTAGTGTCTCGTGTTTGCAGACGAGTTGGTGTCGCATCCTTACCGTCAGGCTGAGCCTGGATGTAGTCAACCGCTTGCTTCACTATGATATCATCAGTATATTGGAAGGGTCGGGTAGTTGGACTGAACATACCGCTGTGGATAGCGTCGGCCTCCTTGTCGGGAATCTCAATGCTGAACTCCTACAGAGCTGTCAGAGCCGCTCTCTATGTGTACCAGCCTGGAAACTAACCTCCTCAATCGCCATGACCACCTCTACAGTGTCGAGGCTGTCAAGACCAAGGTCGTTGTGGAAGTGCGACTCGACGTTGAGCTAGAACATGTCAGCCCATGCCCCAGTGACTCGCCCTCAGTCGCCGTATCCAAGTACCTTTGATGTGTCCTGGACCTGCATACGAGTTAGCCAGAGCTCCACAACCCCATCGCCTTGCTCTTACCTTGTCGAAGTTCTTCAGCAGGTCCATTATCCTGCCCTGTACCTCGTCCTGAGACAGTCCTGCGCTGGCGGAATAGCATCTCGCGGCCTGGAAGTATGCGGAGGGCGTGAGGGCGCTGCGCGCGACCGGGCGAGCCATTGAGGCCTGGCATCGGGGTGCAGCGCGGACGGCTGACCCTGCGGACCTGAGGAGAGCTGTGCGGAACATGTTGGACGGGATTTGGCGGTATCGAGGCGGGACGGTGGGTTTGCGGGAGATGGTGATGCGAGAATCTGAATCGCCCAAACTAACGGTTATGTAAGCACAGCCCACCGAGGAAGAAGGGCACGGCGTTGCACACCTGTCAAACAGTCACCGTGACGACGAGAGTGATTATTGCGAGAAACGACGATGTGAAGGAAGAGCCGCGACAAAGCCTCGACGCCCGATTTTTGCTACTCCAGATTTGCCTCTGCTCGCCGTTGCCGTTCGTCATCGAAGTCTTGGCCAATCACAGCATCCGCGTTTGCACCCATCGACGTCGAAGCTCGAATTCGCTGCACCCGACCTCACCGCAATCGCCAACACGACCCTCACTCCCTTGCAGCGCCCACGATGGCCAGCACGAAGCCATTGACGATGCTGGCATGCGGCCACTCAGCCGCGACGCTCCTCAGGTCGTCGCAATTCGCAGCCGGACGCCTCCCCTCGCCCGCCACCGTCGCCTTCTTCTCGACGACCATTCCTCGCGCCGCCACCCCTGCGGGACCACCACCCCCGGGCTTCCGGTTACCGCCGCCGAAGAAATGGGACGAGGGCGAGGGCGCGCTGGACCGCGCGGGCAAGTACTTCTTGCTCATCGAGATGTTTCGCGGCATGTACGTGTCGATGGAGCAGTATTTCCGGCCACCGTGAGTAGCCCTCGATTGACGAGCCCCGTGCTTGCACAGTGTGTGGGAGTATGTTTTTCTGACGACGCTGCAGATACACAATCATGTATCCATTTGAAAAGGGTCCCATTTCACCCCGCTTCCGAGGCGAGCACGCTCTGAGGCGCTACCCCACGGGCGAGGAGCGCTGCATTGCTTGCAAGCTCTGCGAAGCTATCTGCCCTGCCCAGGCTATCACAATCGAGGCCGAGGAGCGTATGGACGGCAGCAGGAGGACCACACGCTACGATATTGATATGACAAAGTGCATCTACTGCGGTCTCTGCCAGGAGAGCTGCCCCGTCGATGCCATTGTGGAGGGTAAGCCAGACGACTTTCTATGTATTCGAAACCAAGACTGACACCAGACCAGGACCAAATGCCGAGTACGCAACCGAGTCACGCGAGGAGCTTCTGTACAACAAGGAGAAGCTGCTAGCAAACGGAGACAAGTGGGAGCCCGAGATTGCCGCAGCCGCTCGCGCAGACGCGCCATACAGATAACGGATGGTAGAAGGGTGCTCAAAGATCTGTATATATCAGGAAGAATCGTCATCATCTTCTGTTCAACAACCCAAATTTCCTTTTTTTTGTCAATTGTACAAGAATACAAAACATTGCACTTCTGCAATATCTTCGTGTTACGTGGATGGAGAAAGCCTAAAAATATGCGAAAGTGTTCAAGTGTCAGGTTTGGAAGACATTGTGGTCATGGTGTGATCCTAAACGCTCAGATAGGTGATGCCATCCATCCATCCATCCATCCACTGCATGGTATCAAACGCCAAAACGCTCGAAGGAATTTTGCGCGCCCCCCCAAAACACAATGCAGGAGAACCAAATACTCCCTCCCCTAGCACACCTACATCCCATCCCTCTCGATCCAATTGCTTAAGTTTTACCGCTATACCGACCCCAGAGCTCATCTTGCCTTGAACGTGCCCTCAAAACCCGGTCGCTTCTTGACTTTCTTTGCGGGCTTCTTGGACTTTTTCTTGCCCTTCTGGCCCTTGTCTTCTTTCCGTTTCCTCAAGTTCTCCTCTCGCCGCTTCTGCTGCTTCTCCTTGCCCTGCTCGACGTTCGTGAGCCTGTCCTTCCACTCCTGCTTGCTCTTCTCCTTCTGCTTCAATTGGCGCTTCAGGCTCTTCTTCAGCAGGCCGACATCGTCGTGTACCTTCTCGCCCTGCGCCCTCTTCTTTGCGTTGAGCCACAGATCCTTCTCTTCGATGTCCTTGCGCTTTGTCTCGTCGAGGCCGCTGATCCGCGCGTGCTTCTTCTGCGCAGCTTCCAGCGCAGTCTTCGCGTCAGACTTGCCCTTCTTTTTTCTGTTTTCGAGAAATCCGGACAGGCTGCCCTGCAGTTGTTGACCGTCCTCCCACGCGACTTTGCCAAAGTTGAAGCTACGCTCCGTTTCCGGTGACCTTGCTGGGAAGATTGAAGGCGAGCCAGATCCGCCTCTTATCCGCGCGAGTTGCTCCTCGGCTTTTTGGCGTGCCTCGTCCTCCTTGGCTTCTTGACGACTTGTCTTCTTGGCTGCTTTCCGCTCAGCTTCCTTCTTCCGCCGCGTTTCGATAAGCTCTGCGCGATTTCTTGCAGGTCGTCCGTCGGGTCCATCGGCCTTGCGCGATGCACGCATGGCTTCAAGTTTTGCATTTAATCGAGCTCGGAAATTGTCGTGACTTTGTTGATCGAATACGAAAGGCTTCTTCTCTTTCTTCTCGGGCGCTTCTTCCCCTGGCGGAGGAACGGTAGACGAGGACGAGGAATCGGCAGAGACGACGGAAGGCGAGGTGTTTGAATTTTCAGCAGTAGATGGATCAGTAGACTGGACCTCTTCGATGAGACCACTGACGTCTAGATCTTCGACACGATCCTCCGCGTTGTCGAGCTCGTCGTCATCTTCATTTTCATCTTCTTCGTCCATTTCATCTCCCTTTGGCGCTTTAGTGTCGGCGCCAACTTTGCCGGAATCTGACTGTCGCGCCTTCTTTGTTTCCAGTTGCTTCTTCTTCTGTGCCTGCTTGTCCTTCTTCTTCTCCTTCTTCTTCTCAGCCTTTGCCTCCTTCAAAGCTTGAGCCTTGGACCTCTTCACGTCGTCATTGTCACCCGCAGTGTCTGCGGCAGCGTCCTCAGTCTTCTGCTTTTTCGTTTTGATCTTGATACCCTCCAGAGGCTTCTCCTTTTCGATGTACATGTCGAGGTCGGACGACTCTTCCCCAGATAGCCCACCCTCACCCTCCAGCTCTCGCTTGCGCTTTAGGGCGTTCTCATCCATGACGTCTTTGGCGGTCTTGTGGGAGGCGGGATCCAGCTTTGCGCGTTTGGCAGCTTGCCGCTGTTCTGTGGTTTGCTTCTTCTTTTGTTGCCATTGTGTCTGCGGGGGCGTAAGCACAAAGTCGACGCGCTGGATCAGAAATCGCGTACGCTAGTAATACTCTCGTCTTTGCCGTAGTAATCTTTAGCTGGGATGAGAGACATCAGCCCTGCAAAAGCCTGAGCGTGGCTCTTCAATCGCGCCTGGGGCCCTCAGTTAGCGGCAAATGGCGTACGGGCGCCTTCCTGCTGCGTACCTCGAGGTCATCGCCCATGTTGGAATGTATGGATGTAGTCCGAGCTCTCGTATGTTGTAATGTCTCCTTTTGGAGGCTGCAAGGCGTCGAGTTGGCGGGGAGATGTTGCAGCACGGCTGTCGTGTGCGAAAATCAATTGGAGGCCAAGATTTCGCAGAGAACTTCCACGCTAGTAAGTCAAGACCCTCGGACCCACCACCGCCTTTCCATATGACGGACCAATAGGTAGACAGCCGCGACCAACCACCCGAAGTTGAAGTCCCTTGCGTGTATTACTCGGCGGATTATGCCAGGGTAGTCGGGCCTGTCAGTGTCTTACTTTTCCAATCAATCAGCTGGAGACGACGTGTTATCTGTCTGCTTGTCCAAGAGTCACGGACACGCGTGTGCACAGCCACACCAAGGCAAGCACGACCTCAGCTCTGCTTTGCCATTGCCAGTATATATGTCGTGGGGGTCCACATATCTTCACAACCTCGCCAGCACATGCTTAAGTAATAACCGTATCTCCATCATTCCGCCGTTTCTTTTCTGTCTCTGTCTCTCGCTCGAATGTCGTCGCAGGTCATCGAAGCCAGGTCTTTGCAGAGCCTAACAGCGCTTGCTTCCAACCCACCAGCATACCCAAGAAATCCGACTCATGTGAAGCATGAGCCACTGGTGCTGTATATTGCTCGCGTCCCTGGCAGTAAAGGTACGGCTGTCTTGACTGTGTCTTGTTAACATGCTTTTGACCGCGCTCTAGACGTGTTCCTTACGCCTATGAAACCTCGGGAGAAGGTAGTCACAGCGGAAGACATCACAAGCTCTCTCTATTTTGTCCATGTTGAGCAACCTGAGGATGCCCAACTTGTCAACTCTTCCGAGTTCCAAAATCGTGACTATTCGGAAGATACACCAGCAGTCCAACGCAAGGCCGTTCCTACAGCTGCGGCTCCCATGCGTAAACCTGTTCCTGGAAACCTTACGCCCATCAACAATTTTGAGAATAGACAGAATGTTAATGCAGGAAACTATGCTCAGAGGCCTAGGAATCTCGGGCCAGAGTACACCCCACGCTATTCATCCGATGGGCCTCAATATGGAAGCGAGAACGAAAGGCGAACGTCTTCCACGGCAAGACGCCCTGAGCATCCGCATCCTGTTGGCACAACTCTCACTCTCATTCGACGCGACCCTGGATCTGGCGCTCAATGGAACGTTGCTCGAATCGAGGACCCACCTGTCATTGAAATATCATCTACAGGGCTGAATGATTCTGCTGCAAAGAGGAGGATTGGAGCTCCCTTGTACATTGACGTATTCAACCCTGGGTACTCCAAATTCCTTCATTCGGACAGTGCAAGCAGGCCACCTTTACTGCCTCGTCCTAGTGACATGTCTGTTCAATCCTACCAGACCGGCATGACATCACGGCCACAAGCACCAGATTCATACCCAGGTGGCCCACCGGGAAGCGAAAACACGTTCCGTCGACGACTTTGGATGGAGGGGTCTCAACACACTAACGGGGGTTTTGGACATCGGAAAAAGAGCTCCTACGACGTCAGTTCTGAGCGACCGAGTTCCAGAGGAAATTACGGTCCGCAATCCGAGAGTTTTTCAACAGGCCATCGTCCTTCGTTATCGTATTCTTCTATATCTTCTGCCGATCAGAGGAACGGCAGCGCCATGCAGGCTGCTGACAGGCACTCATTCTTCCGCGGGTATGTGTTTACAAGTCCATGGAACGGTCGCTGTGAGTTTGTCACTGGGGTAGGCGGAGGATCTCTGAAAGTAAGCAAATACTCATGTCGTTCGTCTGGTTCCGCTCTAATTGCTATCGCAGTGTCGTCACATTGTCCCAGGACTCCAAGGAGCGCCCCCTTTTGCAATGCCAGTTAGCGAATTGAGATTCAACCTTCCATCAAGCCAGAAGACACCCATACCTTCACCCAGAGCCGAAGAACCATCTAAGCGATCGTCTTTCTTCCACCGAGGTCGACACAGTCGCAACAACTCTTCCATATCAGTAAATAGACCGGATACCGTGGACGATACTAGAAATTCCCTGGACCGTCTGGATCTATCGCTAGGGCAAGAGTACGCAGGAGGCGGAATGGGTGGCAAACACGCGAAGCTCGGAAAGCTGATTGTTGAGGATGAGGGTCTTAAGATGATGGATTTGTTGGTTGCAGCGAACCTTGCACTGTGGTGGAGAGCGTACGAGAAGACGGGCTCAGGGTGAGGAGATATGATAAGGGCTTCCAAGCTCAGTAATTGTTAGTCTCCAAGGGATTCGCACATATAGATAATGTTGGGCGCTCGAATAATACAGGGAAGGATAGCGCTGGTGGTCACATTGCTCTGAGAACAAGCAAGATAGTTCTATATGCGAGTGCATGAAGCATGTCTTCCGGAGGTGTGGCTTAACCCTTACTACAAGAGATTGCCTGTGGCTGTAATCTGTTGAGTGGATGAAGAACACACGCCCATCGCTCAGGTCATGAATATGCCAGCTCCTTCTACCGTCACATCGAACATCAAATGTGGGTGCATGTCACCCCGCGTCCGCACCTCGTACTGTAACACACACAATCAAACCCGCTGATACATGAACCGCAGCTGTAATATCAGGATTCACAGTGTTACACTCGCATCTAACAAAGATAGTTCAGGGGCTACGGGTCAGTTAATCAGAATGCATTCACATTCACCCTTTCTCTCCTTCACCTCGCTTTTGTCTATCTACGGTCTAGCTGCTTCCCGAGCAAGCTCAAGTCTTACACTACTCCCATATATTCCACATTTATGTACCCCTCTCATTCGACACAACCACAGCTCCACGCAATCCACCCTTCTACAATCCACTCCCCAATGGCACCCACTACCCGCACAACCAGATCAAAACCACCCACCAACGCCCAACCCTCACCCCCCAAAACCTCCTCCCCAGAACCCACCGCCCCACGCGCCCCTCCCAGAAAAAAACCCCGACACCCGCCCAAGAAAACCCCATCAGCACCCAACCCCCCAGCCAAAATCACCCACCTCATCCTCGAAGACGTCAACGACAGCAAAATCTTCCTAGACATGTTCTACTGGCCCGGCGCGGACCTGACCCGGATCCACATCCTAGAAGTCCACCTCGACGCGACGAAACCCGACGAGTACGCCGACTACCGCCTCGCCCGCGCGCTGAACGAACTCCACCCGCGTGTCGATGGCGTGAATCCGCATGCTTTGCACGCTATTAAGCTGGTTGTCAAGGGTAATGTGCTGGTTACGCGCCATAGCTATTATCTCGCTTCGCCGGCACTGTCGCAGCATGTGAGTGGGGCGTTGAAGAGGCTTGCTACGGGGGGGTTGGCGGAGCAAGAGAGAGCTGAGCTTGCGTTTAAGGTTCGTAGCTCTGAGAAGGTTGTTGCGAGGGCTTTGTTGGGGATTCGCGGGGTGGGGCGGGTTGTGGTTGAGGGGAAGGGGAATGGGAAGATGGAAGGCCGGTTTGCGGAGACTGTTAGGGCGACGTTGGTTCAGCCTGTTGGTGCTGGTGTTGTTGAGCCGGATGGGGAAATGGAGATGAAACTGTCAAAGGAGTTGTATGGTGAAGGGGTGTTTGCTTCTGCGGCGTGTTTTCGTGGAGAATACCGTATGTTTTCCGCCGAGGACGGCAATTTGAGTTACGACTCCGATTCTCTTGCTGAAGAGAAGCGCTACCTCGTCGACGAAAAGGAACAATCACTCGACTACTCTCTCCAAAGTACTTCTCGGTCCAGCACGCGAATATCCACACAAAAGTTCGACTTTCACGCTGATTCTGAGCACATGTCCGATGCAGCTCCGAACAAGTGGGAAAGAAGCGTGAACGATCTGGGGATGGAAAGTATGGTCCGAGTCAGGGCGCAAAAACAAGATGTTGAGGATGGGGGGTTGAGTAACATGTGGGAGGAGGCTGAGGAGTACGATCCTTCTTTAGTTGTGACTGGGAAGGGAGGGACAGTGGAGATGGGGTGGAAAGTGCGGTAGTATTGAGGATAAGGGGGTGTTGTATACCAATTATTCTTCATTCATCCTTCTGTGCTAGTAACAGTAGAATGGTTGGATACATGCCGTGTTTTGTGATGTCGGAAGTGATGGATTTACATGGGTTTGGCATCGCCGGTTATTTGCCAGTGGGTGTACTGAAAATGCCCAAGCTACTTTATCAAATCTATCTTCCAAGGTCTTATGCCAGACGTACAGAGCTTCGACTATACATCATCCCTCTGGCTCCAAGTCAGGAGAGTTTTCCATCGTGACTGAAATTCCCTCAGATAGCATCCTTCCAGGACTCCTGCTACAACCCGTGAGTGAGCAATGAGGAGAACAAATCACAAGGTACGAAAAACGAAACTATCTCCGAAGATGTAGATGGATTGGCGCAGTCCTTACAATAGCATTACGTCTTCGAGTGTCAAAGTTCGTTGATGGAATGTAGTAGGGGTGGGCGACGAATTAGAGAGCCAAAGGCAGAGAAGAAAATAGAGTAAACAAAGTCGATACAGTACACGAAACAGCATTATAAAGTAGAGTCATTTAGTGAGCTAGAAAAGCTACGCTACGACCAGGATAAAATAGTGACTCCCAGAAACACACCCCCAAAAGCAACGCACTAAAAAGGCACGTAAGAATCCCATCAACCCCAACTCCCCCATCGACACAACCCCACCCCAAGCCCCAAACACCCGAGAAACCCAACAGCAGCGATGAGTAGAACCCTTTCCAGTCATAGGAAACAGCCACAAAAGGCAAAAGAATATATGTACATGAATGCATGAATACATGAATAGTCGAATCCCCCCTTTCCCTCAATGCAACGTGCGATAATCCGGTTCCCTCGCCCTCTTACTCCTGTGGCGATTATTGACGGGCTGGCGCTCATACGCGTCCTGCTGGTTGGCAGACTGCTGGAATCCCATATGCATGTTCATATTGGGATTCATATTCATGTTCATGTTCATGTTCTGCGGGGCATGATGGTAGCCCTGGAAGCCTTGGGATTGCGCGCCCCAGCCGTTATGGTTGTTGTTGTTTGCCATACCATTTGCCATGCCGTTGCCATTGCCGTGTCCATAGCCACCCATACCCATGCCCATGTTCATCATGTGGTTCTGCATGGGCATCTGCTGCTGCATCATGGGCATGGACATTGGCATTGGCATTTGCATGCCGGGCATATTCATTGGCAAGCGGAACATCTGGTCCATCTGTGCCTGGAAGTCTGCTTGAACCTGTTCCTCTGTCGGCTGGCGCATCGCCTTTGGGGCGGTTGGCGGCTGAATTTCTGTTGGCGGTGACTTCCTCTTTTTGGAATTTGGTGAGTTAGCGTCGACAGCAGGAGCAGAATTGTCAGTTTGTTTCGAACTATCAGAAGCAATTTGTTCATTGTGCTGTTTAGCCGCTTCCATCTTCTCCTTTGCCTTCTCTGCTTGATATTCGCGGATTTTGTTTACCATTTCCTCATCCTTGACAAGATTGTCTACCAGTACTTCCTCCTCATCGCAGTGTGGGCATACCAAATCGCCCTCTTCCAGCGCGCTCTCGATGCACTGGCGACAAAATGTCTGGCCGCAGCATGGTGTTTTCATTGGATCGACAAACATACGCTCGTCAATTGAGCACTGAAGCCCCCGTTCACGCAGTTCCTTTATGGCGGCATCGGCACTCGCTTCCTGTGCCTTGACTGCATTGGTTTTTTGCTGAAACTTGTTCCACTCGTTCGCATCTGTCTTGACCTGCACGTACCGCCCGTCGGGAGTCTTCATGACGTTAGGACCATCCGCCTCCTCCGCCGTCACCTCCTTTTGGAAGGATTTGGGAATGCCGGTTGGGAGCTTGTACGATTTGTGATTGGGGTCGTCTTTGGTGGGACATTGCTGAATGTAGTGGCCCTTTTCGTTGCAGATCCGACAGGTATAGTACGCTGGTGGGGGGCCGCTCGGAACGTTGCTAGATTTCTTGTTGTAGACAGGCTTTGCCTTTGCCAGTTGCTCCTGTTCCCGCTTCCAAGCTTCACTCGACTCAGCCAGAAAAGCAGCCTCCGGGCTGGTGTCAGCGCTACCGCCGTCAGGTACAGTCGAGGTCGTCTTCTTGAACGCGCGTTGAGGGACCTTGCCATTCATGTAGCGGACGATGTTGCCGCGTCCGGACGAGGCGGGACGTCGTTGTGTGATGACGGTGCTTGATGGAGATATGAGCTCGGTATCGTCCTCGTACACGCTCTGGTCATGTTCGCGGAGGATGTGGAAGTCGGTGTTTGCCTCCTTGGCGAGGCCGCTGCGCTGGATGATCTCTCGCTTCAACTCGAACACTGTGATGGTAGTACCCTCAAAGTCAACACGGTGAAGCTCCTTCTCGTTCTTGGACCGGTAAAAGGCAGAGAACGGCATGTTTGCGGTGGGTGGTCGCTGCCGAGGCGCTGTGGTGGTTGAGTCGGCGCGTAGGTGCCTTGCTGCACGGTGGAGCTGCAGCAACTAAGTTGGCGCAGCAGGAGTTCTGATGCGGGTGTCGGTATTGTTACAGTAGTCCAAATCAGCGCGGTAGTAGAATCGGCGAAGCGTCGTGTTTGGTGAGTGCCGAGTGAAGTGGTAGGTGAGAGAAGGGCGACCGGCAATCGTTATGTAGCCAAGATATGCACGGACCACCAGCGTCGGCCTTTACTCAAACCATGGTTCCAATCCATGGGGGAGAAATTTGTCTTGCATCCAAAAAAATTTGATCCAATCATTCGTCTTAAGCTTAGAAATAGATCAGTTGTGAGCCAAATTCTACCGGAGAACCAAGCATGCCCACAACCTATTGCGCAGCGGCGTTGTAATCACTTTGCATCCTGTGGTACAGGGTGTGTAGCAATGAGTCAACACCAATATTATTTCTATCCTGATGTTGATTATATTAATTACGCGGTTCAGCATGTCGTAGTGCAACAGCTGCTTTGAGCTTCGGGCTATCTATCGATTGCAGGTCAATCAGACCTATCACATCTATATTATTCTACACATGCTTCCCAGCATTGCCTCACTCCCAAGCTGCAAAAGCCTAGGGTATATGAATACTACTACCCTCACACTCAAGTCCCAGTTATTACTGCACCCTACTCCTCACATACATCCCCTTCCGCAGCAGCCTCATCTACCTCTCTTGCTCCACCCGCCTCACACTCGTGAATAATCTTCTTCCACCCCAACGGCTCCGCACTGTCCTTCTTATACTCAATAGTCGGGAAGTAGTGCTCATTCTTCTTCATAGTCGCGACCCACGGCACGTTGTCAAACGTCATCACCTTGAGGCGGAAGTACTCATTATCGGCAATCTTCTTGACCTCGGTGAGGAAGGTGTCGAGATTGGGGGTTGGAACGTTGTTTACGTGTGTAAGGAAGTTTGTTGGCGCGAGACCTGATCTGAGGTTAGAAACGTCTCTTAGAGGGTGTGGTGGAGAGGAGTATTGACTTACCATACATATACGCCGGTGATCCACGGGCGCGAGATGAGATATACACGTCTGAGTGAATCTTGCTGATTTGTTGGCGCACAGCCTGATGCGGGCGATGGAATGTAGCACCACAGAAGCTGACCATGCGGTCTGTTTCGAGATCCTCTGTCGCAACCGTGGAAACCTTGATCACCTTCTCCTCTCGCTTTCGAACAACGATCGCATCGAGGAACTCGTTGTTGTACATGACATCCAGATCAGGCGAACGTGTAACAAGCTTTCCGTTCAAAGTGAGAAGGACATCACCCTCTAGCAGCCCATCTCCATGACCAGAATCGACTTTCCGTACCATGAAAAGCTGGTGACGCTCGGGATCCGCTTGCTCTGTCTTCTCGATCCATTCTTCCGATACGCCCATGACCCGCGCTTGGCTCATCTGGACAGTCTGGAATTCGACGTTGAGGATGCGAAGCTTGGGAGTCTTTCCGCTCTTGATCTCGTTCAGAATGGGGAGGAGGTTGGGAGTAGCGAGACCCAGATGATACTCAACGTCTTTCCCGCTGTGCGATGTTCGCTCGCCAAGGTATGACAGCCAAAGAGCTTGAACGGTACCATCTTCAGCGACAAGGACTCCAGAACCGCTGTGCGAGGCCTGGTTGGTGTCCACGGTGATGGCGTCGAAGTTTGTTGCTCGGTATCGTGGTGTAATCGCACTAGCTGGGATAGCAACTGTAGTGATATCCGTAACAACTGTCTTCGCCACAACAGGGCGGAAGTTCTGGTTAAGGCCGAAAAAGATGGTCTCGTCTCCTTTCTTGATGAACTCGGTAGCAAACTTCGGTGTCTTGACCGGCGCATTGACCAGCGAAGGGTCATACTTGATAATCGCATAGTTCTGCAGAGGGTGCATGAAAATGACTTTGCCATCGACAAATATGCTATCGGCAATGATCAAGGCAATATCGCAGAGGTCATATGGCAGAATTGCTCTTGAAACAAGAACCAAGCCCTGCTCAGCATCTACAACAAGACCGTAGCCTTGCTTGTTCATCTTAGGGAAGCCGTCAAGCTTGATTGGCATAGAGACGTTCACGCGTACAAAACTGCGTACAATGTCCACGGCGTTCGGGTAGCTGGCAGAGTTTAGCGTGACAAAGTTTGCGCGTCGTGGAACGGCTGGCACAGCTGGAATGGGGTCAGCAAGCGGCTTGAAATCCCACAGCCCTGTTGTGTCGTTGCGCGTCGCTATCCGTATCTTCGCGTGCCAATGCCTGTCTATAGCAGTGATACTCGTGTTTGCAGTGTGTAGGTCGCGGAGATGCTTGTACATGATGACAATGCGCTTGCGATCAGGAATGTTTCGCATGACTTCAACAAAAGCGGCAAGGTTTGGTGTAGGCTGGTTGTCGACTTCGTGGATCAACCAGCCTGAAGCATAACCATCGGCGAATCGGAACGAGCCAGCCGCCTCACAGACGAAGACACCTGCGTTCTTGAGAGAAATGGCGTACAAGCGAGCCTGCTGGTATGAGAGATCGTGGAACGAGGCTCCGGCGATTGACACAAACCTGTCTGGAGTGATATCGTGCAAGTTCCCTACGTCCAGTTCGACATCCATGTTCTCGCCAGCTCGCTGGATCGTGACCGAGATCGTGTTGCCGACATTATCATCGAGGATCGAGTCAAGACGAACGAAACTTGTGAGCAATTCGCCATTGACCTTAAGCAGAAGATCGCCCTCCTCAACCTTGGTCGATGCAGGTCCTTGTGGAAGTACAACTTCAGCGACCAACATGCCAGTTTCCTTGGGGAACTGGGTTCGAATAGCTTTCTCCAGTTCAGGCGAAAGACCTAGCCTTCGGCACTCGTCGAAAGGCTTCAGTATCCACTGCGTTTGGATAGTGCCCCGAGAGACAGGAGTTCCTTGGCGAATAAGCTCCAGCGCTCGTAGTGGGCGATCCAGGGGGAGGAAGTAATCCGTCGCGGCGCCATCTGCTCTTCCGCCAGCCTGCAATGCGACGGCAAACCCATCTCTGTTGACCACGGGACTGCCAGAACTTCCTCCGCTCGCCGCAGCCGCAGCCTGGATGTAGTTTGTGTTGAAGTCCGAATAACCTTCCCCATACCTAAAAATGACGTGTAAGCAGAGATGACGTACGAGTGTAGATGGATATTCTTACTCGGGCGCGTTTCGGTCCAACCGACTGATGACTCCAGACAGAATACTCAATTTCTCTCCAGCGTCGTTTCCGACCACACGGATCTCCACACCCACCTTTGCGAAATCTGGGCGGAGCTGGAGGGCCGTAACGGGCATGTACTTGATGGCCTTAGGGTCGAATCGCAGGATACCAAAGTCGTGCACAGGGTCGCGATAGACAGGGTGGACGTCGCACTGTACAATTGTTAGCTGATAGTCTGTGTCGCACTCAAGATGCAGCCTCGTACCTCTTCGTGATTGTCAAAGATGCAGTAGCCGATGAAAGGGCCAGCGCCGACGACGTGCTGGTCAAACGTTAGCATTGCACCTTCCTATTCCAGAACGATGGGTGGCTCTGCATACCCTGTTGGTGAGGATGTAGCCCTTCTCGGCATCAACGACGAAGCCTGTCGCCTCCGAAGAGACGGCCGCGTCCGTGTCGAAGGAGCATGTCTGGCAGAAGTGGATGGACACGACGCTCTTGACCACGCCCTCTATCGTCTTCTGCCACTCTGCCGTGTCGTGCACGGCGCCGACAATGTGCGCGGCGGCGGGTACCTCGAGCTCTTCGAGGCTGTAGTCGCTGTGGGCGTCGTCCATGTCGTCGGTGTTTGGCGTCGTCGGTGCGTGTGCGCCGTTGAGGGGAAGAGCGTCCGTCTCCTGCTTAATCTGCTTCATGGGGCGTTCGGCCGAGGGTGTTGGTGGTTGCTTGCGCTTGCTCGGGTTGCCATGCTGTTCCATGAGCGGTTGTGTGGACGTGGACGTGGACGTGTGGACGCGTTTGCGGTGAGAGGCGCTAGGATCAGGTTGGAGGTACAGTCTGTTGAGCAACAATGTGGAGCTAAGGAAGGGCTGTCGCGACGTGAGTAACCGTGGTGCGAGCAAAGGTATGGAGCAGAAAGTTCTTTTGCAGGCGGCGAAAGAGTACCGGCCAAACAGCATGCCAGAACAAGAATCCTTTTATGGACAATGCAGTGACGCTCCTGCTGCTTCACTGGGACAGTCAATGCGAGACACGCGCAAATGAATACGCGATGGACGACGTTGGAAGGCGTTCGAAGATGGATCGTGAAGCTCTTCGAAGCCCTGCATCCATCTGCATCTGCACAGGTCGCCTCCTGGTCCTAGTTCACCTCCGCCGCACCTCTCCGCCGAACCATCGACTTTGACTTCGTCCTTTTGCATGCATGTGTAACAGCATGTCGCTATATCCAGATGGCAATTTTTAATAACAATGTTTTCATGTTCGAGACCGGCCACCAACGTTACGTCATGGAATATAGAAAGTCATGTCAATGACAACGTATCAAGGTCACACGTCAAGACTCTGTCAAGCTATGTCTCGACGACCGTCAATTTAATCCTGGTAGTATCTAAGCTGCAGCCCCAGCCAAAAGATCAACTATCCCAAAGACATACCGCAAAGCGTATGAGGATATGTCCTAAGCCGCCATGAAGATATAGAACCTGCACGAATGTGTCCATAGCCATCACCGCCACATTCAAAGGGCATTACCCGTCATCCTCCAATCTCATCTCCCTTAACCCTCATCCTCCTCAGTCTTGACTTCCTCCTCAACCTTGACCTCTTCCTTTTCTCCCTTCTTCTTCCTCACCGCCTTCTTCTTCGGGCTGCCCTCTCCGTCCTCATCCCCATCTTGACCCTCAGCTCCACTCTTCCTCTTCTTCTGCGTTGCACTCTGTTTCTTCCTCGGCGTTGCACCCTTCTTCTTCGTTACCTCGCCCTCCTCAGTAGTAGGAGCAGCAGCAGCAGCATCACCCACAAGCGGCAGCCCAGCCTTGATCTTCTCAATATCATCTTTGTGTTTCTCTTTCAAACGCCAGAGCAGCTTCTTGCACGACACAACGGAGCGACCGGCAGGAATAGGTGCTTGCTGAAAGACGTTAGTATGAACAGCAACAGTGACAAGTAAACAAGCAGACTTACAGCGATCTTGGCCTCGACCTTGCCCTCATTCTCGCACAACACAATGAGGTACGCAATCTGTCATCACCACCACAGTCAGATTCTGTAGTGAGAATACAATGGATATGGATGAAGAAGGGGAACGGACCTTCTCGGCGTCTGACCAGGCGGCTCCACTGGCGCCGGTTTTGTTGGCGAGGACGGGTGCTGGAGGCGGGGTTTTGTTTGTGTCGGACATGTTGGATGGTGGTGTTGAGTTTGAGTTGTGGTTTGGATGATTGAGGGCGTTGCGGTGCAAGCTTGATGGAGGTGGGAGGTTGTGTCGAGAGTTAAATAGAGGGAGAGAGAAAGGTAGAGTGGGGTTGGGAGCGGTTTGGGATCTCACCTTCACGTTGAGTTTTGGTGAAGGTGATGTATCATCCAGATAGAGGGTGAGGTGAGGTAGAGGGTGAACGAGAAAGTGAGTCCCCCCTCCCGCCAAAAACAACAACACAACGAAGATAGCGAGGAAGGTCTTGTATAGAGATATGTGATGCATCCTGCTTTCAAGTCTATCGTATATTCTTAACATACTCCAGTGCCTCCTACTCTGTTGAGCTGTATATTAGAAAATAAGAATTGCAGGATCGACCCAACTAAACAGCATAACAGTCATCACGAGGCAAGACATCACTACAGAATCTATCGAGATCAGTATTTCTTACCGTCGCAGTCCTGCAAACGGAAAGTAACAACATATGTGCTTCGCGTTGGGCGGGTGGAGTGGAATGTCTAACGAGAAGGACGAACCTTGTTACCCAGTAATACTGACCGGCCGAGATATCCCCACGTGGAAACAACACATGTGTGGACTTACAAACGCGGAAACACTCCACAAGATAAGCGGATCTTGGGAGATACTAAACTTGCGCAACTTTGAAGAAGCTTTGCGCAACCATTACAAGGAGCAGGTAGAGCGAGGACATGAAAACAGACAGCCTTTGTGAACTTCTTTGATCTAGGTTGCTAAGAAGGTTATTGAAGACTTACGTTGTTGGATTAGCCAGGATAAAGAAGCTTTATCAGTCTGTACCATGTTTGTTTCTATGTACCTACCCCTCTTTGGACCGGCGCGTATCACTGACGCCCACTTGGGGAGATCGTCATTGCAGCGGGATCTGCTAATCAAATTGGGATGATGTGTTCTAGCTCTTTGGACCCCTACCCCTGACGTACACGCCGTGTTGGTTTTTCCTGCTCACCGTCACTCCCTTTCGGGCTGTGATAAATATTCTCTTTCTTTCGCTTTGGTTTTTGCACGCCTTGACACCTTACGCCGTTTTCTAGTTTCTTGTTGCGCGGCCCCAACGCGAATCAATCCTTCACTGCGCGTCGAAGATCGCCGAACCATAATTACCGACGCAGGGCAACGCACAGAACCGGTTTTCCCCCGTATTACAGAGACGAGTTCAGGAGCAGCCTCAGGCCTCAACAATGGCATTCATCAGCTCAAGATTTCGCCTTACCATACCAGTCACTGCTCTCATTTCATCGGACATAGTCATCAGCGCACTCCTCTCGCCACCAACCAGCATGCCAGACGCTACATCGCCTACGATTGAAATTGTGGACGCCCCATCAGCATGCGAAGACGCTCTTACAGAGAAGCTCGCTACAACTCCTGCCTTCTTACCCGACGATCCTATGGAACTCCTCTCCGACGCGCTCGTTAGGGATTTTGCGTACGTCATAACGTCGCCACGGTATCGCGGAGATCACAGCCCTGCAAACAACCCGGATCACGACCACGACCCACTGGGGAGTCCACAGGCGAAAGAGGCGGCAATGGAGAGAATGGAGAAGTCGTACGCGGCGTACATGGGAGGAAGAGAGAGCCCGAAGCCGCAGGTGCAAGAGGGGTGGACGCGGTACTTGCCATGGAAGAAGCTGGAACGGTCAGGTTGAGATTATGCGACAAAGTCTCGCACTACCCAACCAGACGCTCAGAGTGGGGTGGGATGATCGCTAGACCAACGTTTGCGCCGAGAGACGACCCAGAAGATCGAAGAGACCGGTGAAAATACTTGCGAGCAAGACTCGCAGAACGACTTCAAGATACCCCGAATCGAATTGCAGGAGAAGGCCTGCAATCGCGATTCAAAATTTCCTTCATGTGGCATGCCGCAACACGGCGGTCGGATCAGTCGAGACGAGTGGGGCTCAACTGTGGGGTGCGGGTAGACCCTGCCCTCGCGACTGCCACGGGCATTGTACCAAGATCTCACACGCACGTGCTGACAAGCATGGCCCGCCTTGTCGTTGATGAGATCATGTGAGGAAGCAGCCCAATCAGTCTGTATTTCATACACACCACAGGCGGTTATACGCAGACACAGAGATACCCAATATTAAGAGTAGGAGTTCCAAGGGTTGTTACATACATCAGGGATCTGCGATTTGGCGTTGTGGGTAACGCGTCATCCTTCTTGCTTTCAAGCGTCCTTTTCTTTACCGTGCGGTCTTTTTACGGCGGCATCTTACCGCTCTAAGCCAGCCGATATGTACACAACACACCGTCATTTGGTTTGGACACGCAAATAATATCTCCTTGAGTCGTTTATCTTATTTTAATCCTGTTTTTGATTCAAATTACTAGCCTTGTACTTCTCGCAGAGTTCGGTGCAATACGTTTCAAACACGCTCAAAAACAAAATGGGCTCCGTATCAATGAAGAAAACTATGCTGGCGCAGCAGTATGATCCCCGCGATAACAAACTCCACCTCAACGAAGTCCCTATCCCCTCACCGCGCGAACATGAGATCCTTGTCAAGATGGAGTGCGCGTCTCTGTGCCACACCGACGTAATGCTATTTGAACCCAACGGCCAAGGTCTACTCTTCGGAAAGGACCCTGTCACAATCGGGCATGAAGGCTCCGGTAGAGTTGTAGCCACCGGCTCTGGAGAAGTCGCCCGCAAGTTCAAGGAAGGGGAGCCCGTGGGATTTATTTGTCCAGTCGATTCCTGCTTCGACTGCCACGCTTGTAGGAATGTTCACAACTCGTTTTGTATAACGGGGAAGACGAGGATGCAGGGGTTTGCTGCGGATGGGTATTTTGCTGAGTATGCGGTGGTGGATGCTAGGAATGCGATTGTGTTGCCCGAGAATCGTCAGTTGTCCTGTGACTTGACTTCCACTGAGCCCGTAGTGAAGGCTAACTGTGAAGACAGTTGACCCCAAGTACAGCGCACCACTCTTCTGCGCAGGCATCACCGCCTACCATGGTATCGTCGACTGCGAACTCGCCCCTGGCTCCTGGATCGCCATCATCGGCTGCGGAGGCCTTGGACACATGGGTATCCAATACGCAAAAGCACTGAACTACAAAGTCGTGGCGGTCGACATTACAGAAGCAGCACTCGAGGAAGCAAAGTCGTGCGGCGCAGACTACGTTTTCAATTCCGCGACGGACACTGAGTATACGAAAAAGATTGTCGAAGTCACAGGTGGAGGCGCTCTCGCAGCTGTGAATTTCACAGCATCCAAGAAGTCCTACGACGACTGTCCAGCAATCCTCAAGCCTGCACATGGCTTGATCATGGTGGTGGGTATACCGCAACAGCCGCTGCAATTCAATGGCCTGGACCTTGCGACTGGGCGATATCGTGTGAAGGGGACAAACAACGGAAGTAAGTGACTGAGATGCCGCTTGTATTTTCTGGGCTGACCTGATAATAGCATGTTACAATCTGCGTGAGCCGATTGAGTTTAGTGCTAAGCATAATATCATGCCTCATATGACGGCGTTCAAGTTTGAGGAGGTTCCTAAGATGATTGAGCTGATGACCTCTCACAAGGCTCAAGGGCGTATGGGAGTGGTTTTCGATTGATTTAGGCTGTGAGAGTCTGAGTTGGAACATCATGGCTTGGTGTCTGGATGGAACAGGTCTACGATACTTATGACAAAGAATTGATATATTATAATATGTGATGCTTTATGCTAGCAATGATAACACGATTAACAGGCCTCTATTATAAATCATAGACGCCTCACGTGTGATGCGAGTCAGATTGCAGCCGTGTGGGACGATGTGAGGGGTGAAATCTGGGGAAGGACCAAGGAGCGATTTCACGTGCCTGTTTCCGTGGTAACGCGGATGGATTGAGAAAGGCGCGCCCAAGCGTCCATTTACGTGCGAACCCCGCCAACCCCTCGACACACGCGCAAACTCCAGCAACAACGACAAGACAGGCCTTTGGAGTTGTTAGTATTTTGGGATCTGGATTCTCGACTCCCCACTCTGATACCCCACCGGCGCCATGGGTTCCGACGACCTGATCGACTTTGAGATTATCGAGAACCAAAAAGAAAACATCCAATCTCTCCCCAGTGGGCGCTCTGCAAAGGCCCTCGCACAGCTATTCACACCACCTCTGACGTCTGGTGCCGGTCAAACCCCGTCGCCGTCGCAAACACAAGATGCAAACAACGCAGCCCGCCTGAAATTCGAGAAGGAGGTCATGGCCATTGACGACTCTGACGACCCGCTCGACGTATACGACCGCTACGTCAAGTGGACCCTAGACGCATATCCCTCCGCACAGAACACGCCACAGTCGCAGCTGTGTCCGTTGCTTGAACGCGCCACAAAGGCGTTCCTCTCGTCGTCGCACTACAAGAACGACCCGCGCTACCTCAAACTCTGGCTGCAATACATCCGCTTCTTCTCGGACTCCCCGCGCGAAACATACGCCTTTCTTGCGCGACACAATATCGGCGACGGTCTGGCGCTGTACTATGAGGAATTCGCGGCATGGCTGGAGTCGGCTGGACGCTTCACCCAGGCGGAGGAGGTGTACAACATGGGCATCGAGCGTGAGGCTCGTCCAACAGAGCGCTTGATCCGGAAGTATGGCGAGTTCCAACATCGATTCGAGAGCCGCCCACAGGAGGTTCCGGAGCCTACAAGCCCCGCCTTGCCTGCTGTTCGCCCGGCTTTGGCAGCAAAGGCTGATCCATTCGCGTCTGCATCACCCGTTGCTGCTGAGCCGCAAGTGCAGAGCCGGCCCAAGCCTGCTGGAGGCGCCTCGCGTTCTGGTAAGCCAAAGCTCGCCATCTTCTCGGACGGCGATGAGCCTGCAAAGGCTACTTCAAGCGGTAGCTCCCCAGGCTGGGACAAGATCGAGTCATTGGCAGACCGAAAGAAGGAGAACACAGTGGAGGCAAGGCCATGGGCTGGAGAGACATTGAAGGTGGGAAAGAAGAACACGGGTGTTCCGAAGATGGCCATCTTCAAGGATGAGGTGAGTCGGACTGCCTGCGAGACCCCTACACATATTTACGATCACAGGACTAATGGGTTGGCGCTTGCCGTACTTGTATTCAGACCAAATCCAATTATAATGACGAGAATCCCAAACCCCACCCGTCGCGTGAACATCAGCAAGCTGTCAATCCCAAGACAGGTAGAATAGAGATTGTTTTTGTAGACTTGGAAAAGGTATACCCAAGCCACCACTCGCTCGAGTCGGAAGAGTATTCATTTGAGGAGTTGCGAGCTAAACATAGAGGTTGGTTTGACTATGATTGGGCAACTATCCGTCGTGAAGAGATGGAGCAGGCCAAGAAGGCAGCAGACGCGGCAGCAGACGCGGCAGCCAAAGCAGCAGCCGAAGCAGCCGCCGCTCTCGAACAACCAAAACCCAAGGCCATGGCTCTAGCACCCAAACAGAAATCAGAGCAAGCACCCAAACCCAAGACCATACCACTAAAAGGAAGTCACGACGACGAGAATGCTGCCAACGACGAGAACATGCCACCATCACAGACCGATATCGACAAGGCGAGGGCAGCAAAGAGGGCTAGACGAGAGGAGCGTGCCAACCGTACCCGGAAGATCAAGGTCATGGACGTCAAAGAGATCCATGGCGAAACACAGACGAGTAAGCAATGGCAGAGTATCTTGCAGTTGGTGTGCTACTAACGTGCGATAGTTCGAACCAACTTGGACTCTCCTGCGAAGCCGAAGATTCGAAGGAAGAAGACTGGTCCTGAAACGACTATGACGCTCCATACAAAAGAAGCCATGAATGAGATCTACGACATCTTCAGCCAGCCGCTTAAGAATCCGGACGAAGATGTTGCTGGAGAAGGCCAAAGTGAAGAGGTGAGCAGTGACGATGATGATGAAGATGACTACACAAGCGGAGGCGAGAGCACTGGTACAGGTCGCATGTCTGGCGCTGCCAGTGAGTTTGGAGACGAGACAACAGCTGGAGACTTCACTCTAGGAACCACAGTCGGCGCAGACTTCACGTTAGGAACTACCATCGGCGACAACGAAGATGACGGTTCCGACGCGGATGACACTAGAAGCGTCTCGGCCTGGTCTGACTTCACAGAGAGCAGGCCCGCACCTGGCGATGAACAACGCGATGAATCTGACAGTGGATCGGAGCATTCTGTAGACGACTCACTCGAAGAAGTATCGCATCCAGAGGCGGAATCGGTGGAAGAGCTCCAAGACGATGAAGTTACGACGCCCACATCACCTGGAGGCCAAAACTCGCTACCTACGCGCTTTGTCCCAGTTCCACCAGAAGATTACAATCCCTCGATACGGCCATATCGGGATTCAGTCCAGGCTGCTAACAACCGCCTGCCGTTTATGACTCCAATCGTTGAGAAGACAGAATCATCATTGGGTATCACAACTGCTTACGCACAAAAGGAATACTTCGCCGCAAAGACACCATCACGTTCCAGGGGTTCGCCTCAAGCACTCGAAGAAGATGATGATCCTGGTAGTAGTCCTTTCCATGATCTGTTTGAGCAAGTTATTGATGGAAAAGTTGCGAAACTGACCCTGACGGAATCGAAACCGCCCTTGGAGGTGGTTGACGAGGAACCGACGCGAAAACCATTGGCTGCGAAGATGTCGATATTCAAGGATGCGAAGATGACCGTCTTCAAGGACACAAAACCTACCGGCCCGATTATCAAGGATGCTCAATGCAATCCTGTAGATGAGTCTATCCGTAAAGTCATTCTGCAAGAGATTCAACCTCCGCTCGACACCTACGACGGCTACTATGCGGATACAGAGGAGAGTTATGGCAAGGGCGCGGATATCCGCAAGTACACCAAGGCTATATCTAAGATGGGCAAGAACGCGGGTGACAAGACTTTGACTGGTCTGACTACGCCACCTACACTGGAGTTCACTGGATCCGATCGCATATACACAGTCAAACGCGAACTTGGTAAAGGTGCATTCGCACCTGTTTATCTGGTAGAGAACACGTCTGTTCAAGACGACGACGAAGACGAAGAAAAGCCTTCACAGATGGGCAAGGGCGAGTTTGGCGTCAAGCGTCAAGCTCTCGAGGCGATCAAGATGGAAGATCCTCCAACACCATGGGAGTTCTATATCATGCGACAGGCCAGGCGACGTCTCGGTGTCTCTCGAGCAGCTGACTCCATAGTCCAAGCACATGAGATGCATGTCTTCAAAGACGAGTGTTATTTGGTGGAGGAATTCCGAGATCAAGGCACACTACTTGATTTGGTGAACATCGCTCGCGCTGAAAACGGTGTCATGGACGAGCAGATGGCTATGTTTTTCACAATCGAGCTCTTCCGTACCGTGGAGGCGCTCCACGCCAAGGGTCTGATACACGGTGATCTGAAGTCTGACAACATCCTCGTCCGCTTCGACGCTTTACCAAAGGAAGAGCACTGGGACTCACAGTACAAACGCGATGGACGAGATGGCTGGGCCTCCAAAGGCGTCGCCCTCATCGACTTTGGCCGCGGTATCGACATGAAGGCTTTCAAGCCCGACGTGCAGTTCATCGCCGACTGGCCCACTACAGAGGCCGACTGCGCTGAGATGCGCGAGCTGCGCCCTTGGACCTTCCAGATCGACTACCACGGCCTGGCGGGAATCGTACACAATCTCCTCTTTGGCAAATACATTTCGACCGTCGCCGAGCGCGGCGCTACCCTTGGAGCTGGCGCGACAAAGACTTACAAAATCAAGGAGAGTCTGAAGAGGTACTGGCAGACTGAGATCTGGCACGAGTGTTTGGATTTGTTGTTGAATCCGTTGATGCATCTCGACGGCGAGGAAGCGAGCAAGATGCCGGTGCTGAAGGGGATGAAGGCGGTAAGAGAGAAGATGGAGGTGTATTTGGAGAGTAACTGTGAGAAGGGAGTCGGGTTGAAGGCGCTTGTCAGGCGGATGGAAGAGGCTGTGAAGAGGCGATGAGTGTGGTTAGTTTCGATGTGGAGTTGGGGCTTGGGTTTTGGGTGCATTGCTGGGAGTTTGAGGGATATCCAGGGGTAGATCAAGGTTATGAGTTAAGTATTAATTCCTCTCTCGTCGTAGAGTAGTCGTCTTTCGTTTGTTTATGTCAGGCTTTATTTGGTTAGTGATGGTGAATACCTAAGGGAACGGAATGAGGTGGGGTGTGGCGTCGATCCACCTCACCCACCCATGGCAGCCTTGAGCTACGCGGGAGAGCTGCATCACCTCCGATTGTTTCCACCCAGCGATTGAACAGCCATAGCAACCTGCTCCCTAGCCAGCGATTCGATCTTGAATTTCTAGCCTTGACCAACAGAGAGCCTCCAGAATCTAGAGCAAACAAGTCGATCTGGCCGGACGAAGGCAACGGCCAAACGTACACCTACCCCACAACGCCCTCCGCAACGTCGTCTGCCCGCACCACTCCCCTACCCAGACGCGACCATGTCGGCCGATTTGCTCACGACGCTGCTCCAGTTCCAGCCTGATGCCCCTGAACTCAAACAGAGACGCGACTACGACCATGCAGCCCGCGCCTTTGTCTCACAGCTCAGCAACATTGCAGCGACACATTGGGCGAAGGGCGCAGACACGGCGCAGGATGTACTATCAGTATGCCATGCTGTCCTGCTGCACGAGCCAGGACGTCGCTAATCGCTGCAGGTCCTCAACCCCACAGCCAACTCGATAGCGTACGCCTTCGCCCTCCGCCACCGCATCACCGCCATCGCAGGGAAGAACAACGTGCCCGATGCACTGAAGCCTGGAGGCGAACTGTGGAACAAACTGGTGGCCTTTTTGGAGTCGTTTGACCCGGTGCAGATGCGCTATGCAGGACAAGAGTGGAAGAAGCTGGTAGAGTTCACAGAGCAGATTGCGCGTGCGTCAGGATCAGTAAGTCGCTCCTTCTGCCCTGGCTGCTGCGATGTGGACTGACTGGCGTAGCCCTCCCTCGCCGTCGCGCCAATACGGTCTGCTATGATACAGCTCGACCCCACCACGGGCAGCTTCACGTCCACCCATCTGAGCTTCATAAGGCTGTGCATGGAGACGCGATCGTATGCCGCTGCCGAACCTATCCTTGATAACTACATCCACAGCCTGCCTTCCAAGATCCCCATCCAGGTCCGCGAAGGACTCGAATACTCGGTTCCTTGTTCAGATGTTGCAAGTAGTGCAGAATACATCCACCTGGTTTCGGGTCATTCGGACAAGGTCACGCTGGCGGATGTGCAGGAGTACTATGTTTTGGGTGCCATGGCTTACACCGGATTGCGACAGTTCAAGAAGGCGCAACAGTTTCTGGAGCACGTACTCGTGGCCCCTACGAGTGGTAATACAGCGAACGGCCTGATGCTGGAGGCGTACAAGAAGTGGACTCTGCTGAACTGTCTTGTGAATGAAACGGTATGTTTTGTGACGTGTTTCTTGGTATGGGTGTGTCTAATGTGTTGCAGGACAAGGTTGTCCCGCGAACAACAAACTCACAAGCGATCAAGCAGGTCAAGTTGGCGGCAAAGGCATATGAGGCGTTGGCAGAGGCTCATGCTCAGCTGGGCGATCTCACAAAACTGAGGGCTCAGATCAAGACAGGAGCTGATGTATGGGCAGAGGTAGGTTACAGTACCCATGCGAGACACTTGTTTGTGTCTTGGATCAGTGTTAACACGGTGTCTAGGACGGCAACGCTGGTCTCGTCAAGGAAGTGTTGGACAGTCAGATGAGAACCTACGTCTCGCGATTGTCACGGACGTTTTCGGCAATCCCAGTGTCGCACATGGCCAACAACGTGGGTGGTAGCGCCGAAGAAGCGGCACAGTATCTTGAGACTCTGATCGCGGAAGGCTATCTGAATGCGCGACTGGAGCAGTCGGACAAGTCTAACGTGGGCGTCGTTCTACGTTTCTACCTCGACCCCACACAAGGACCACTGGCCAAGACGGAGAAGCAGCAACAACAAGCGCTGTTTGAGCAGACGTTGCGAACCAACATGCTGGCCGAGCAGGTCAAGGACGCCGACTACCGGTTGTTACTGACCAAGGAGTTCATTGACAACTTGAAGAAGCACAACAAGAGACCGGGTCAGAGTGGGGAGGCAATGGACACGGCGTGGGATGATGGAATTGACGCCGAGGAAGACATTATGACGGACCTGCAGTGAAGACATTTGGCTGGTTGGCCGTCGGTAGAAATGTTAACATGACGAACCGAAGCGTAAGGCTAGGACTGGGGGTTGGCGTGTGCGGAGTGGAGCGGAGGAGGACATGACGCGATAACGGGAAGGCATGAAACGCGTCCATGTGGATCCCCGAACAGCAGGCCTGAACATGACACAACGTGGAAGTGGAAGGAAGGAAAGGAGGGGGAGTTTTTCTAGCAGGCACGGTTGGCAGGACGAGAATGCAGAGGCCCCCCAATCGAAATCCTATTGAGGGGTGACCATGACACATGGGGGGAATGGAAAGCTCGTACTATGATTATGATTATGATGATCGGTGTGTCGATTGTGGGTGGTTTTGTTTTTTTGGGGTCGTATGCTCCGGTTGCAAGTGTGCGTGTGCGTGTGTCTGTGTGCTGACCTGATGCATAATCCTCAACGTCGAAACGGGAAGGTTGCTGGGCTGCATGGGGAAAGCACAAAACGTCGCATGTGGCAGCAGATATTATCGTCGTACAATACGAACAGCATGTGTGTATGGGGAAACGAGGCTGCATTCTGCCGTGGAGAATAAGCTCACGAGATAGGAAACTGCCGTTGGCCGAAGCAAATATCGGCTGTTTGTTTGATTCACGCGGTCGTATCGTGTCGGTGCGTGCCTAGTGTGCTGTTGGTTGTGGTTGGGCCATTTGTTGCTACGTGGACTGTTCGTTCATTGCGAGGGCTTGTGTATTTGTCACGGAATGGGATGTTCGTCAATGGGAGGAGGAGGACGGTCGATACGTCTCACATCACGCAGTTGCAGTTCGAGGCAGACAGACAGACGCGGCTTATCCCCCCATGCTGCTGCAGTCCAAGTCAGGGTCCCCGCACTGCTGCCATGTCCATGCACAGCGCCCAGCCTGGCGAGTAGGAGAGCAGCGTGGATGCAAGGATCCAGCGTCGTTCGGCTGTGGGTGGGGTAGGCGTGTGTGTAGATTGAGTGCATTGGGACGAGAGGGAAAAAGTCCCCGAAGAGGCTGAGGCCAAGGCTTGGAGTGTGGGAAAAAGCAGCCTGTTTCCAGGGTTTGAGCACGTGGGCGTCGAGACGTGTTTTGCGACTCGACTTGGGCAGAGGGACGAGTGGCATGGACGGAATGCATGGACGGGTGGACGGATTGGTGCTGGGAGACGCGGCGCCAGTGTTGATTCGGAGCACTCCCAGGCGGCTAGCTGCTCTCGGGCGTGTGTGTTTGGGGCGGCCCCTGGCCCTTCGCAGCACTGCTCGGGCGTGCCATGGGCCATGTTTCTCCAAGGCTCCGCTCGCTCGGCTGCTCCACTGCTGCTGTCTCTCTAGCTAGGGGTCCTGTCCTTTGACGCACGACAGTCGCTGATAGCTACACGACCGCCGCGCCCTCTCGCTCTCGCCGCCGCGCTGCACTCCTCTGCCGTCCAGCGCGTTCCTGCATCGTCGGCCATGCGCAGGTGCATATCCGCGGGCTTGGCCTGACACCAGACGCTCCCCACTCTCTCGAGACGCCGCAGCATGAACACGCCCCGGCCAGCCTCTCCCTCCGCCGGGCCCTCGCAGCGCCGCCCCTCGTCACGCAGCATCTCGCTCTCGTCGTCGTCGGTCGTCACCGTCAAGCCAGCCGCCCCGTCGCAGACACACGCCCACCGGCCCGGCACACCGCCTCACTCGGCACGACGGCGCTCGAGTGCCGCCAACGGCGCAGCAGATGGCATTGGCGCGTTCCGTGAAGGCGTAGGCAACCTCAATCGCTGGTCGCAGTCGACGACGAGCAGCCGCGCCTCGACGGGCCCGCCGCCGAGCTTCTCGCGGAAACTCAGCGTGGGCTCCCCCGGCACCCTGGCCGCGATCCATGGAGCAGCGCAGTCGCAGTCTGCCGAGCCCTCACGCCTGCACCTCGCCCGCTCGTCGACGCGCTCGCCGCCCTCGAGCCCGCGCCGCCGCCCACGTCCGCAGGAGCCCGCCGAGCCGCTCTCGTTTGTGCCGCTCGACGCCCAGCCCGCTGCGCAGCCGCCCGTGCTGCTGCCCGCCACCGTCTTCGACCCCAATTCCCCCACGAGCGCCTCGACGGCCAACTCGCCCTCGACGGCCGGCCTGTTCACCCCGGGCATCTTCGCCGCCAGCCAGCCCACCGACTACTTCAACCTCAAGGCCCGCGTCGCCCCGCACCCGCACACGCACCAGCACCAGCACCAGCCCTCGCGCAGCAAGACGGAACGCGTGCTGGGCAAGTCGCCCCTGTCGTCGCCGGCCATCCTCGGCATCCAGGACGCGGATTCCCGCCACGCCTTCACGCTGAGCGCGGTCCGGCCCCGCACGTCGAGTCGCCCTGCAGCGCCAAGAGACACAGGCCAGCCGCCGATCCACGGTGCAGGCCACAGCAGACGGCCGGCGTCCAGAGACCACTCCCGCAGCGCCAGCAAGGACCACCACCGCAGCACCAGCATCGACCACCACCGCAGCGAGAGCAACGACCACCACCGGAGCATCAGCCGGGACCACTACCGCAGCCAGAGCAAAGACCACTACCGTAGCGAGAGCAATACCAGCGACATCCACCAAGGCTCCCCGCCCCGCACCCGCGAGCGGCGCGAAAAGGACAAGAAGACGATGCTGTCCAGGGCCTTGCAGAAAGCAAACACGGCCGTGCTGCTCGACAATGCGCAGAACTTCGAGGGCGCCATGGAGGCGTACGAGGACGCGTGCAAGCTCCTCCAGCAGGTCATGATCCGCAGCTCGCAGGACGAGGACAAGCGCAAGCTGGATGCAATCGTAAGTGGCTGCTGCAATACTATCGCCTCGTACTAATTGCTAATAGCGAGTCACCTACACCAATCGCATCGAGGAGCTGCGGCGGCTAGACCCGGGGTATACGAACAGTACCGGGAAATCACTGCCAGCGCGCCCAATGAGCGGCGAATCCCTAGACGAGCACCGCTCTATGCTGCTGACAGATGACGAGGAGCCGCCTGTTGTGTACAATGCCACGCCAAGGCTCCCCGATGAGCGCCCTGTGGCTGACCCCCCTGTCAGTAGACCAGAGCCCGAAACACCACCAGCCTACCCACTCCCCTTCCGCAGGACTGACTTTGAAAACCCACGTGAGTCGGTCATATCCACAGCTATCCGCGATGTGCAGCGGAATCTGCCGAGTGCGCAGTTTCACCTGCAACCGCCGCCTGGCCGGCTTGCAGATCAATTCAGCGCTAGTGCAGTAGAGTCGCCCATGGACCGAACATATATGCCCCCGCCTCTCTCCCCCAAGCGATCGAGATCGCCGCTGTTCAGTGCAAACAGAGACTCAGACACACTCGAACCAAGCAGATTACTCCAACCACAACCACCACCGCAGGCCAGGCATCAGCGAGTCCACAGCAACGAATCAACGTCATGGCTGGACACCATCGACGAGTCTGGGGGCTCTTCGTGCTCTTCGTCTGTACACTCCCTATCGCCAAGCGGACTGCGCCGGAAGCATATTCGAAATGCTAGCGGAGCTACAGAAGCAGAATTCGACGCCGCCCTTGACGCCGCTGTCGAGGCGGCTTATGACGACGGCTACGAACCATACGACGAGGGGGACATGAACATGCCAGCAGATCTTATCACGAGCCAATTAAGAAGCGCAGAATTAGCTAGGGAACGGACGCGGGAAGCGGAACGGGAAGAAGCGATTGCAGCGGCCAAGTTCCACTACAAAGAGACACAACTCCGGAATGAGATGTTACCTCACGTCAGAGAAAGTGCCGAACTTTCCTTCAACGAAGAGGCGGAAGAGGAGGAGCGGTTGCTGGATGAGATGACGCGCGAGTACATGCTCGATGGGTTTGATTTCGACCTGCAGACAAAATCCTCGTTACCGCGACAGTCGGATTCGAGCGGCTTTTCGGGAAACACGTACCATAGTTCGATTTCCTCGCACAGGACGACGGGTGGAACGTCGCTGTCAACCGTTGCGGAGGTGATGCATGCGGCAAACTCCAAACCACCGTCAACGCAGTTTCCTCCACCGGTACCTGCTCCCTCTGGTGCGCTGCCGTCGGTTCCTGAATTCCAGTCTGCCCAGGCCCTCGATGCTGCTGAAGTGACACCCCGGCCCTTGACTGCAACCAAGGAAGCTGCTTCTGTGAGAAGTAGGAGATTGTCAGGGCAGAACGCCAAGATGCTTAAGATTGAAACATCCTTGCCAGCAGTACCTCCAGCCCCGCAAACAGAGAAGCCCCCGGTCCCAGCAAAGGATTCGCCTACCGACGTACTCCCAGGACCAAAGTCAGCAGCTGCAGTTCTCGGACATAATAGCGCGCAGTCTAGTCTGGATACTTCGTTTAAATTGCCAGTACTCCCACCAGTGTCTCAAACAGCGACACTTGTTGCGCCTTTGCTGCATCCTGCTCTCCCCAGTCCTGCGGATACCACCGTCACTGTTTCACCAGCGACACCTAATGTCGGCCATCCTTTTAACGAGTCAGGTCTCGCTCCCGTACCAGGCTCACCGAAAAATGGCATCGGTGCAGTCATGGGCATTAGGAAGAACAAGTCATCTCTCAGTCTGAAGCCGCGCACGCTGTCCATATCAAGTCCAGACGGCTCGGACGCGTCGATTGGCACGCCCCTGAGCACAACATTCTCAATCACAGGGCGAAAACACAGCGTTGCGGCGATACCGCTCCAAACACCCAGTCTGTCCGCTGCATTCAGTATCGATGGGCCGGGCGGTGGAATGCACCTCTTCGAGAGCGACATCCACTCGCCCTTCTCCCCCGGCTCGCCCAACGTCGACGTCGCAAACGCCCCCATCCCCCTCGAACCATGTCCCGACTCGTACCTCCTGCGGCCCTTCTGGCTGATGCGCTGCTTCTACCAAACCATCGCCCACCCCCGCGGCGGCTACCTCTCCAACAAGCTCTTCATCCCCCGCGACGTCTGGCGCGTAAAAGGCGTCAAGCTGAAAAATATAGAGGACAAAATCGCAAACTGCGACCTCCTCACCGCGGCCTTGCAGAAACTCGCCGCCGTTGATACCCTCGACGCGGAGGCCGTGCTCGGCGAAATGCAGTCCCTCGAGTCCATCCTCGATCAGGTTCAGGCCCAATTGGTCAAGAAACTCGGCAGCGAAGTCGGCTCCCAATCTATATCCGCCCTCTTCAAAGACGCGAATACCGTCGGCGACAACGCTGCGTCGCAAGCTGATGCCGCTGCGGGCGGGAAGGGCTCTCATGCCTCGCAGGACCATGCGCCAAAGGGCGCAGTCGCACAGGGCAAATCGTACCTCGCGTCCTGGCGCAAACTGCGCGCGAAGAACTCGGGCGTCAATCTATCCACCGCGGCCGGTGGTAGTAATAGCAATAGCACCACCACCAACAACAGCAGTAATAGCACCAACAACAACACAGCCTCAGCAACAACAACGAAACCAGACCCCCAAAAAGACACCCTCGTCATGCCCTCCCTCCCCATGACCAGCCTGCCCACCATGCGCCTCGCAAAACGCGACGTCGCGAGCGTGCTCTTCGATGGGCCGAATTCGGGGTATATGGGGAGCTTGGCGAGGCTTTTTGATGCTGTGCAGATCCTTGGTGAGTTTATTGTCCCCTAAAACTATCCCTTTCCCCTTCCTTTCCCACCCTGAGATGTCACCCCCAGCTAACATTTAATGCGAATCAAAGACCAAATAGCCCGCCAAGTAGAAGACCCAGGCCTAAAGTTCTCGTCCACGACACACATCGGCCTGGAGTTCTCGGCGCGGCATGCGGCGACGTTTTTTGGGTTTTATATTTGTCGCTTTGTGCTGGCGGATGTTACGTTGTTGTTGGATAAGTTTATTAAGAGGGGGAGTGAGTGGGTGTTGGTTTGATTCAGGGGGTTCGGGGGGATTGGATGGGGGAAGGGGGATGGCTGGCATGGTATACCCGCCTTTCTTTTCATTATGTGTCGGGGTGAGAACTGGTTACGCTTGCGTTTGCGTTGTTGTTGGATTGATGGGTTCTGAGGTTGCTGTTGTTGAAGATATCCACGTTTTATTCATTTCATTTCATTTCATTATCTGTCTCTGTGTTTTCTATGATTTTCTTTTTTGCGCGGATGGGTGGGTCGGTCGGTGGGATGGAATGGGCTTGTTTGCATGGTACATGGATGAAAGGGTATGTCATTGTCATTGTCGTTGTTGTAGATAGACGGAAGCATATGATAGGATAGGATAAGCGGGTTGGCTGGCTGGAGTCAATCAAGTCGAGTAGTGTGGAACGAAGGAATGGAATCGAATGGACATGATGTTTTTCTGCATACACACATGTTTACTCCATGCAGTCACCGATCTAGCTTATACCGCGTCTTAGCTATCCAGTCTTCCAATCCCACCACGTCCTCAGAAACACCCACCAAACCAACCCCTACGCGACAAACTTCCTCCCCCAAAGCTCCTGATGCGTATAATACCCCCCCTTCGCAGGAAGCGGCCTCTTCCCCTGCCCACCCCCATCCGCATCCCTCCTAACAACCACAACCACATCCCCCGCCCCCGCACTCCCCCGTCCAGGTAAATTCAGCGACCTACCCCACGCCTCCTGCGCGCTCTCCAACGCCGCACTAGCGCGAATCGTGCGCAGCACGGCCGCCGTCCCCAGAAGCTCGCTCTGCAGCATGGCGACCTGCAGCGTCGAGATGCCCTGTTGCAGGCTGGCGATGGCGTCGCGCACGGGGCTGTTCATTTCGCGGTGCCAGGCGCGGCCGAGTGTTGTTAGGCTGGCGCTGAGGTTGGGGAGGCTGGATATGTAGTCTGTGTAGGGGGGGGAGAGGTCGGTGGTTGTGTTTGTGTTGAGGGTGGGGAGGGATGTTGGGAGGGTGGTGGGGAGGGGGATGGAGGAAGTCAGTGGGAGGGTTGGTGGGGGTGGGGTGGTGATGTTTGTTGATGGGGGTGTGGTTGGAGGGGGGAGGAGCCAGGATGTCTGGTGTTGATGGTGTTAGTCACTGCTCGGTATCCAAGGGGTGAGGAGCAGATGGGGGGATTACACACCTGATTCGTATCGAGCTGGAATTTCCCCCGCAAGATGCTCGTCGTGATGTTGTTCACTAGATCTGCAGTGTCCATCTGTCCACTGGCGCCGAACCCGAAGCCAAACCCTCGATTCGGATTGTTTGCGTCCCCGATCTGGGCCGCTGCCGCGTTGATGACGGTTCGCAGGTCTGCGAGGTCTTGGAAGGCGGGCGATGTGGCGAGGGCGAGCGGGGCGAGGATGATGCCTGTGGCGAGCATGGTGGTGAGGACCTGGCGAGGAGCTGAGAGCATGCTGCGCGGCGGCGGAGGTGGAGGTTTAGGTGTGTGGGTGAGGGATGATGGGTACTAAGTTTGTTCCAGGTAAGGTGTTGTGTGGAAGATGTGGAGGTTGAAGGTTGGAAGTGAAGAGGGAGTAGAGGTTGGATGGGGTTTTATGTGACGGATGTGAGGGCGTGAGATAGGCGCGTTCGGTGATGACCGTCCGTCGTGGCGACTGCCATGAGCCTTTTCATACCTCAATCAGTAGACACGATGGCTTGCCACGTGAGATTGAGGAAGTTGTGCTCGTGATGTGAGGAGTTGTTCCTTCTGCACGCGTCGCAGTAAGGAACTGTGGTCGACCGAGGCAGTCAGGCGAGGCTTGTCGAGTGATGTTTCCCAACCCATAGCCATAACAGTATCTTCACCCGAAACGTGATAGGAAGTCGTCGTATACTGTTAGGCAGTCCATTCTCTCCAGCGTAGCGCTCAACCCCAGGAAACCTTCAGCGAGTGAATGTAACCCCACGACAACCCACGCTGCCAACACAGAGCCATGAATCCATAATGACGAGTACATCGGTCATGGACGTTGCGTTTCTGTTCGTCGGTGCTGAGGAAAAGTGGCCGCGGTCGTATACTTGGGAGGACAAGTGGGCGTTGTGACCTTGTTGCTCTGGGAGTCCTATTCTAGCAGTGCGTAGGGTGTACTTCGGGTTTTCTTGTTGTCTTCGTTGCTTTCTTGTATTTCCCCACTTGATTGTACTCATTTCATCATCAATTCAAAATCCAGTCCATGAGCCCTTCCTCCCCCACTTCTTCCTGTACTTCTGCTACGCGCATGAACCACACACAAGAAACTAAGAAGTCAACACGCCTCAATCGTTGCGGTTACAAGGCCGCTTGGAGCGATCAGACCGACACCTCGCACAATGGTGACCATGCCGCCTGATCAGTTTTTGTGCCGCGCGCGTGTAGACCCAGCAAGCGCTGCCATTCCTCTTGCAGTGCGTGCAGCGCTGTTCAAGTGGAAGCATTTTACCAGCTGTGGTCTCCATGATGCGAGTTGCGTGCCAAAAGCGCGCTTGAGTCTGGGCATCAAGGCGGTGTTTCTCCTCTTCGGTCAAGGTCCAAGACGCACCAATGGCTTCTGGAATTTCCTCTGTTCGCCCCGGGATGACGGTTTTTGGGAATGGACGGCGGGTTAGCAGACCATCTTCTTCAGTCCATGGAGGTGGGGCGAACTCAGCGGGTTCGTTGTTATCGTCGCTTTGTAATGGATCAACCCATCGGTCGTCTTCACTGTTGTTATTGTTGAGGATCGTTAGCCTGTCTCTCATCCCCCTTGTCGCAAGTTTCCTCGCTCTCCTCCTGTCTCTTCTCAGTGTCCTCCCCTCTGACATCACACCTTCGCCAGCTAGAGAACTCAGCAAGCGCCGAGTTGGGCCGTTGGTGATGCTACGGTGCGCCATGTTGGGCGATTGTGTGGGTGTAGTAGAGCCAATAAAGAAATAAAATCCGAGTTTACAATATTGTCTGCAAGCAGCGAAGCAACTATCACGTACACATTCAAATGTCGTATACAGGTGTAACTGAGTAACGACGGGGGAACGCATCCAGTATTCGACAGTGAAGTGAAGCCACCCCACGTCGTAGTGGGATTTGACTACCAATCGCACGGTAACCTTGGAAAATGGCATGGCGGACTGGAAATAAGACATTGGTGAGCGTGTGTGTGATGTTGCTTTGGAAACAGAGTTTCGCAATAGAACGAGGGCATAGATGCCGATCGACTAGACTAGATCCGTCAAGCGCGGATATAGTACCAGAATCGCAGAGATGTTTGGCTTTGAAAACCTGCGAGAGTGAACTTGCAGTGGAAGGCTTGGTGAGCCGAAGCAGGTAATAATGACAAGGATACAGGGGTGAGAGGCGCGCTAAGAACATAGACGCGCTACTGCAACAACCTCGACGCGAACCGCAAGAACCAAACCTAAAGCTCGACCAAACCACCGACACCAACAACGGCGTGTGTAGTTATGGCCTTCTTTCAAAACCAAAACGATGTAGAAACGCGACTGTGTACGGCAGTCAACGATGCAATCCGAGTTCGCGATGACAACCAGCTTCGATCAATCGTACTCCTAGAGCCACCATTCCCGCCGGATCACGAGGAGCTTATTCAGTCTTTGCGAAGCAAATATCCAGCAAACGACCACAGCGCTGTAAAACTTGAGCAAATGGTCAGAAGAGTGGTGACTGAGACGGCTGAGTCTGAGGATGAGCAAGGAAGGCCAGTGCAAGGATGGGGCGCTATGGTTGTGTTTCTCGTGCAATGGATGACGTTTCTGAGAGATATGGACATTGAGAATTTGCTGCACACATATCAACAATTGAACGAGTTGCAAAAGTACGTTTAGTAATGGGTTGAGTCTTGCTCTTCTTTGCAACGTTATGCACCGTATGCTGATCTTCGAACAGACAAGCGCAGACTGCACTATCTCACCCCACCAAAGGCGTGCTCATGCTTCCCACTATTATCAGCTATGCCAGAGTGTTTTCTCGCATAGCAATAGGGCTGGACAAACGGCCTGAGCTCATTCAGCATTTACTCGCAGTAACTGAAGAGGGCAAGCGAGAATCCCTTCCAGAAAAAGCAGCCAATGTCGTTCGTGAAGCCTTCACCACATGCCTCAATGACCGGAACACTGTACCTGGAGGTGTAGATAGGAATGGTAAGCCTGACGGTAAAAAGATTGGCATCTACAAGATGGCCAACATTTGTCTGCGAATTCTGTTCCAAGCCGATAAACTGGAAAGCTGCGAAGGAATTTTCACAAACATCGACTCGACATCTCCGCCTCTGCATATATACCCAGCTTCTGAGCGTGTAACATACCTTTACTACCTTGGGCGGTACTACTTTGCCAACACAGAGTTTTACACGGCGCAGCTAGCCTTGCAAAAGGCCTATGAGGACTGCCCTTCCGCACCCCAATCCATCCGGCAGCGACGACTCATCCTAGTCTATCTCGTCACTGCCAACCTTATCCTGGGTCGCTTTCCAACCGAAGAAATTTACAACCTTCCCGAAGCGAAAGATTTTCGGAAACACTTCAAGCCCATCACAGAGGCCATCCGACAAGGCAACCTCGAAGCATTCCGCCGCATCACAAATCTCGACCTCACACATCCGAGCGCGGAATGGCTCTCTCACTACCGCGTCTTCTACCAAATCGGCAACTACTGCGAGGTTCTCGTCTGGCGCTCGTTGTTCAGAAAGGTCTTTCTACTCAGTGGACAGCAAACCGGCGGTGCAGTATCGAATCTAGCCGCGACCCTCGATCTCAATGCAGTGTTGTTAGCTTTTGAATTCTGCGAGCGTCGCGCAAAGATCAAAAACCCCGCTATGGCAGCACAAGATCTCGGCCCCGGTCGCAGCAACCAAGGCCATTTATTCCAAGACTATGCATCAACCACGCGGGCTACCTACATCGACCCCGACTTCGCCGGAGTCGAAGACATCGCGCCGTACGACCACGAGATGGATCTGCTGGAGATTGAATGCATATGCGGGAGTCTGCTTACGCAAGGTTTTCTGGGTGGGTACATCAGTCACAAGTCCCAGAAGGTCGCTATTGCAAGCTCGAAGAGGCTGGGAGGGCCGATGAAGGCCGGGTTTCCTAATCCGTGGGAGGTTATCAGGAGCAAGAACAACGATGAGGTGAAAGGGTGGAAGATGGATTTCCGTATCGAACAGCCAAAGGTGGTGAACATGAGTGGGGCGAGGCCGGCTGGGGCGTAGAAAGTTGCATGATACCCACTCGTTGGCGTTGGTTTGGGCTAGATTGAGCGGTTGTTGATACTACATGAAGGTTTATGAGTGCTCTACCACCTCATGTCAGGAGCATTAAGTCTCGTTGTTGTACCCATGAAGACACGGTCACCTCACGCCCAATTCCATCTAGAAGTAGAACGACCTCGTGTTCTTGTCTACACTTTCAGCAACCCTCCAAGCCAACAAAAAATTTGTCTCCAAACTCATGCCACCCTACAATCCCAGCCATGGCAGCATGTAGTTGGGGTGGATCGCGTGTGGTGAAGTAGCGGCATTATTGACAGAAGAATGGAAAGTTAATGCTAACATGTTCAATGGCCACACCAACGGGCACTCCGGCATGGATATCAATGCAAGGTTGAATCGTGTCTGGGTTTTGAGGATCTACACCACAGAAGTTTCCGGCCCCGCATAGAGACGAAGGATATAGCATGACAATGTATCATCTGAATGAAGTTTGTCGTTGATACAATAAGGATATATATTTCATCGAAGATGGAAGTCGGTAGATGCAGATGCTTAGCTATATATATGCAATACGACGGCTATCCTTCATCGAAAAACCAGGAAGCAATTCCTCAATATGGCGTGGTGGCGGAGTGGTTATCGCGCAAGACTAGAAATCTTGTTCCTTCGGGAGCGCAGGTTCGAATCCTGCCTACGTCGCATCTTTTTTGCTTTTCATGGATAGTCAGGCATGCAGTCATGAAGTATCTTTTTGCACTATGCAACAGGATCAGATTTGACTGTTCACATCTGCACAAGTCGCGTTTAGAAGACATGGATCTCACCCGACGGGATTACACGTATGTATCGATTTTGACAGTGTGATCCATGGATTCGCTATGAATAGTTGCAAACTACGCTAAACACTTGTCAGGGAACGACTTCTCGTAAACGGTCACTACGATATCGTGCAAATAACCTTGCCCTTTGTCTTGTTCTCCTCCAACAACCGATGCGCATCCTGAATCTGCTCCCACGGCAACACCTTCTCCACGAAAAGTTTGAATCTGCCATCATTGATCCTTGGCAGCGCATGCTCCACCAACTGATCTCTCAGCTTCCCTTGGTACTCCTCATCTCTACTCCTCAAGCTGCTGCCCACAAACGTACACCTCTTCAATACAAAGGCACTAATGTCTGTTCCCTCGGGGACCTTCGTCCCGCCCATGAACCCCAGGTTGACAATGATACCGTCTTTCGCTACGGCCTGGAGGTTCTGCTGGAAGTATGATGCGCCGATGAAATCGATAATGATGTCTACGCCCTTGTTGTCTGTCGCTTTCATGACTTCTTCAACCCAGTTCTGGCTTGTGGTGTTGAAGGCGGCAGTCGCACCGAGTTCCTTGACAGCGAAAGCGCATTTCTCGTCTTGACGCGCGGTTGCGTAGACGGCGGATGCAGAATCGGCGCGCGAGAGTTGGATACCAGCGATCGAGACCGAGGACGCGGCGGCGTGCCAGAGGATACTTTTCCCGGCGGCGAAGTTGCCGACGAGGTACATGGCTTGTGTGGCTGTTATCCATGTCTAGCACGCAAAAGGCATCAGTACTGGACGTTCGGAGTCAAAAGTGGAGGAGACTCATACCTCTGGGATTCCCGCACATTGTTCCCAGCTCAACCCCTGTGGCTTCCGGACCAGCATGTGCGTGCTCACTGCAATGTATTCTGCGTATGCGCCGCCATATGCCAATCCGAAGACCTCGTCTCCCACTTTGAAATTCTCCTTTCCGCCGCCTTCCTCGCTCAGCTCTGCGATTGTGCCCGAGAACTCCACGCCGAGGATCTTTGACGCGCCAGGTGGGACGGGGTAGTGTCCTTCGCGCTGGAGAAGGTCCATGCGGTTCAGGCCGAAGGCTTTGACTTTAACCATCGCTTGCGATTTACCGAGCTTGGGTTTGGAGACATCGGTAATGTGAAGGGCGTCGATGGGGCCTTTGCCGTTCTTGATATCTGAGAGGTGTGAGCAAGTGAGAAGTAGGAAGGACTTTCACAATATAGTTGTACGAACCTACTGCACGCATTGTTTCGCTCATCTTGTTGGCTGCTTTGCTTCTTGTTGGTTTGATCGGTCAATTTACAGTGGTAGAATGTAGTTGTGCTATGTTTTTCTCCTGAACATAAAAGCTTCAGAAAGACAGAGAATGGGCGAACAAATATATGATGTCAAACTACACTTCCCGAGGCTCTGATGATTGGTAATGACGTTGGTGGGGTTCTGTTAGCTACCGACCCCTGTACACGCAGGGTAAGTAGCACGGACTCACATGCATCGACGGCCGAGAAAACGAGATCGTTAAGAGAAAAACGTTCAACGTCTAGGTATATGGGAGCACATAGAATATGATAAACGAAAAACTGCTACCGATTGAGCGTATTGTCGACGTGGGAACACAACATCTTCGACTCCTCCTTGAGGACTTCACAGTCAGCGGGGAGATCAGAGAATAGGTCATCGTTGCAAGGATGCTCATAAACGTGCCTAATCCAGCGTTCTATCTTCACCTCGTCACAGTCCTCGATCTTCTGGTAGAGCTCGGCCACCTAGCAACAAACGGAGCGGCCGATACTGCCCGACCCGCTTACAAACTACTCCATCCTACAGCAGACACTAGTTTACAAACAGACTATCATCGCCTGTGTCATACTGCTTGATGACCTGGGCGAGTTTGTTGGCCTCTTGGGCGAAGTTGAGCGGATACAAATTCAGAACTTGGTATCGAGGCCTAGAACAGATGAGCGATTATTGCCAAATGGCGGTGGGGATGACTTACTTTGGCTGATCCTGATACGTCTCCATCTTCGCTCGTACTCGAAAGTTGAATGTCTTGCATGTAGCATCTTGCATGATGGTCATGAAGTGCTGGGTGTCGTTTTCCTCATCATCTAACTTGGCCTTCATTGCCTCGTTGGCTGACAGGCCAACAATGGCCTGTCCAGCCTCATCAAAGCAGCTTAGCCATAAGGTGCCAGTGTGATCTGCAACGTTCACGCTCAACACGTAGCGATACTGTGGCTCCGGAAAGCTGGTCTGGCACTTCTCACACCACCAGGATCCAGGATTGTCTTCAATGACCTTTTTGTTGCAGCCTTGTGTCGAGCATGCTGGATATGCAACCGTGGTATTCTTGACGTACACGACAGAGGCCCTGAGACTCAAGTACGTAGGTGTGTCCTGGAGATAGCTTTCTTCTTCGAGAATGGATGAGATGATCTTACTCTCGTTTTTCCCACCAGATCCAGAACTTGGCGCCATGTTTTGGTGAGTAGAAAACGTAGCATTCTGACCGACAGCGTTGAACCATCCTCGCAGCTTGTGCGCCTCGTCGATGTCCGGATCAACCATCATGGTGCCTGAACTAAGAAGACTGAGGCTTCGTCCGCCAAAGTCGGAAACTTTGACACCCTTGAAAGCAATAATCGACTCAAGCGGCGCCTCGAAACTTTCGGCAGTCTTGCCCCAGATCGTGAGTCGTACCGACGTTTGGCTGTCGTCTGCGAGCGTCAGTTCCCGCTTGCTAAAGTCTTTATTGGTGGTCTTCGAGGTGATGGTGTTGATCTCAGCGACTTCCTTCAGCACGCCGACAGTATCGATTGTTGTATCTTTCTCCACAGAGTTCAGATCGCCAATTTTGGTGAAGTTGAACCGTATCTGAGGTTTGTTGTCTTGGTCCTCGGCCTTCTCGACTTCAGTGTCTCGCTCGAACGACAGTTCGTAGTCATTGGGCAAATTCGAAAACTGTTTCTTTGCCAACGTGACTCTGCATGGTGCTGAGATGTAATAAACTGTGCCCACTTCGAAGACAGGGTACAGTCTCTCAGCAACCTCGTTGAATAATGTCGCGCGGATCTCTCCAGTATCATCCAGCAGATTCACACTGAACAGCTTGCCGGTGCCCTTTGCGTTGTGCCACTCCTTCATGTCTCCCTTGTTCGTGCATCGCGCTCGAATCGTCCACTTGTGTGCGTATGGAGAGAGTGACTCGATGGGGTACAAGTTCGGATGTGTTGATGTGGCTGGGTTACTTTGATGAACAGGAATAGACCTTTGTTGGGGTGCGGGCGCAGCTGCTGGCGCTGGCTTGGATCCATAGAAACCATCGCCCGAGATGCCACCAGGTTGTGGTACAGTCTTTGCGTCTGTCAAAACCTCAGGCTGGCCAATCTTCTCGTGTTCGCCGTAATGCTCAAGGACTTCGAGTTCCATGATGATGAGGATGCTGTGTATGTATTAGCATACATAGACACATAGACTGTCATAGGTCATACTTCTTTTCCTTGACACGCTGAGGATTGTACTTCAACAGTCGTACAATCGATCCCTTCTTGAGTTTCCCGGATGTGACGATATCGTTGGCCGCTACGAACCATCAGCATAAGATACCACCAAGCACGCTTGACATACTCGTTGCAATCATAGTCTGGATGAAGTTGCGAATGTCGCTCAGCACAACACGGAAGCGCTGCATTGGGTTCGCCTCGCCCGCCTTGGGCTCCATAGGCTTGATCTGCACGCATTGCAGAACAGGGTGCTCCACGAAGCAGCCGCTGGGTTCGAAGATGCTCCTACTCACAGTTAGCGCTATTAAATACACGATTTGGAGTTTTGATTTACCTAATGGAGCCCTGTGTGATGGCTTGTTCCGCCATATCGAGTCTGTGTATTTGGGGGCGTGTGGTGGAGAGGTGTTGTGCAGGTGGCGACGCAGGAAATGCTGCCTGGCAACGACGCGACAAGAACGCGTTCACGTACAGCACGTGACATACCGTAACTAGCCCCGCGATAAGTGGAACCTAGCGGTCGCATACGTAACTGGCCCTGATCAAACAACGCGACACCGGAGTCAACTCTACGATTCACAGTACAAACACCATGGCCGACAACGACATTGCCACACGGGCGCCCGAGAGTGATGCACAAGAACAGCCGGTGGAGCAGGCAGGACAGAGTGTCTTCCCTGGCGACACCACAGCACAAGAGGGGCCAACGATGGGTGTGAGTACGTTGCTACACAGGCTGCTTCTGGTTGCTGAGTGAACGTCCAGGAACACTGCACAACAGATCGGCCCTCTCCGCCTGGCCAAAAACCTACTGGCGAGTTCTCGAAGCTCGGCGATATTGAATGCTACATAGCAAAGCCTTCCGACTACCCGCACTCACCTTCGAAGCTCCTACTTCTCCTTACTGGTGGAACGGGCATCAAATCTACCAACAACCAGTTGCAAGCCGACAAGTATGCTTCCGAGGGATATGTAGTCGTCATGCCCGACCAATTTAATGGCAACCAGGCGCCCAACAGCGTCATGCCCGAAACTTCGGAGCAAGCATCGTGGCTAGAGCAGGCAAAAATGAAGGGTGCGGAAGTTTTGAAAGCACTCTTGATCGACAAGTGGCTTGCTTATCACACTCCGGAGCGCGTGCTTCCGGTACTACACAAAGTCATCGAAGGCGCCAAAGAAGAGTTCGCAGACGCCGTCGCAAACGGAGAAGGCATATACGGTGTAGGATATTGCTTTGGTGCCAAGTACATTCTGATCTTGGCTGGCGAACATCCCGATACTGCTTCAGGGGGACAGGCACCGCCCAAGGACGAAGAGCAAGGGACCGTGAGTAACGCACCTGTCCTCCGAGCAGCAGCAGTCGCGCACGGAACCATGGTGATGAAGGAAGACCTCGAAGCAGTCAAGGTGCCCACCTACATAGTCGCTGTCGAGAACGACTCGCTGTTCTCAGAAGAAGAAGTCCTGACACCTGGTCGAAGAGCAATGGAGACCAACAAGGTCGAGCACGAGGTCAAAGTGTTCTCTGGTGTGCCACACGGCTTCGCGGTCTTGGGCGACTACGAAGACGCCAAGATCAAGCAGTCGCAAGAGGAAGCTTATGGACTGATGCTGGCCTGGATTCAGGCACACTGAACTCCACTTCCCTTTCCGTAACTCTACAGGGATATGACATGGACCCCCCATGCTTCTTTCCATCACAAGCATGCTCAGGCGTTGAGGAGGAAAATTATCATTTCTCAAATCTTCTATACCACTTCCACGTACTTTGAATGGTTGCTCATCTGGTCTCTTTTTTCGAAAACATTATCTGACACCTCGTCTAGCAAAAAAACAGCATCTCGTGTTCATAGCACTTATGACCAATCCAGTTCATCCCTGTGATCCATTCAACCCTCCCACTTCCCAGATGTCGGTCATCTCTAAAAACCAGAAGGAACCAAGCCACAGCCAAAATCCTATAAACGTTTGTATTGATTCGCGTAGTTTATCGCAGTCACTATCAGGCGGAGCGATGTCTGATACGGGACCTTGCGGGGCCTGTTGTGTAACAGAGGCCTCTAAAATCCGCCCACGATCGATAGTTTCTCAGAAATCACTTGATTAGGATTGTTTCACGGTACTTTAGCGCGTAGACAGCTTGGTCTTTACTGCATGTCTTGTTGTTGGGGTAAATCTTGATAAATAATTTCATACTACAAGACGGTTTATATGTATAGGTCTTGGAAAAGCTTAGTGTGTGTACTGGAAGGGTACACAGTTAGGTTCATGTGAAGGTTGGACTGTCAATTATATGGTTGCATAGCACGTAAGATAGGCCCAGAGCCTCCGTATGTATCAGGTATCACTCCACTGAATAAAATTCTGACTCCATCGAATAGTGCCCGCCTAGTTCATCGCGCTTATGTGCAGAAAATATCGTAGTGCCCTCTCAATTGAACGTAAAAGGTGGAAGTGCTGGAAAGGAGTCGAGAAGAAGGGTTCGTAACATTTCCATTAGTTGTTCGTAAAGTCTAGCGCTATTCTACTACCTACAACCCACTCTCTTCTATCTTCTAATAATGTGCTCATTGCTACACACCCGCCGTTCGCGTAAAAAGTTGCTGGCCGGCAAGTATCCTACCGCGGCGCTAATATATGCATGGCACCTTCTTCCGTGAGGCCCCTGTCTAATTCTGCGTCTCTATGTGTATGTTCTGCGATAGCGGCAGGCACGTGCTTGCTCGTGCCTGCGCACCGCACATGTGTAGTCGCGGTTATACTCCATTGACTCATGTCGTATATAGGAGCCAAGCACTACCAATCTTCTCACCAACATGTTGATGATAGGTGTGTATGCGACCGTCCTGACGGTGTCCCGATATCTCGACATTCGATAACAACATCATGTCGCGAAGGCCAGCTCTGCGCGCAGTCCACACAGACTACATTCTCTAATCTCGTATCGCCTGCGCAATCAGTTCCCCTTTCAAGGAGCCTTCTGCGCACCCCACACAATAGACTCCATCAGCGCATACGGAGACGACTCCAGATCCAGACCCAGCAGCGGCGACTGCGAGAGTATACCCCCATCGCCGTTGTTAAGCGCCTGGTTGATATCCTCAACGGTAAAAGTATGCATAGTAGGCGAAGCCTGCGAGCCCGTTTCGCTCATCCTGCGATCGCCCGAGGACGTGAGTTTGAGCAGGCGTTCGAGAGCCGAAACGGAACGTGTAATAGGGGAAGCGAGCTCAGCAGGGTCGACGTCCTTTGTGAAGTCGCCGAGGACTTGGATCATATTCTGCAGCAGATTGCGTGCTCGCTCGTTGCGATTTTGCTCGCCGATGATGCCGAGGAGGAGGGCGGAACTGAGGGAGCGGTGCACGGCGGCCCAGGAGCGCGTGGCGAAGGGTGTCATGTTCTGCAGGCCGAGGAAGGCTTCGACTGTGTTGGTGAGGCTGTCGATGCATGTCTTTTTCAGCGTTTTGGACAGATCGAGGCCTACGGTGCTGGGGCTGATCGCGGGTCGGCAGAGCTCTGATGTGATGTATGAGATGTGTAGGTATAACGCCCAGTGTTCGAGCTGATCTCGCATCGAACGACAGCGTCGCGAGTCTTTTAGATAGTCGGCTGCATCAACCATGATCTCTTGAAGTTCCTGTCGGTGTTCTGTGATCCTGATCAAGGCGTCGTGGGAGTTCTGCGGTCGCTGGCGCTCACGAACGATGTCTAGTCCAACTTTGCAAAGGCGGTACATGCTCTCAACATATGTTCTCGTTCCTGGTGCTGTGTGCTGACTCAGGGGAACGGTATGATCGATAGTGGTTGTTGAAGATGCCCTGTCGTAGGAGACGGATAATAACGAATCCTGCCATAGCAGTGCCCACCACACTTTGCTTCGAGACACTCTCTGCTGTACGGGCATAGATGGAGGACACATACGATGGAGTCCCAGAGTCTGTGAGAGGCGGACTGTGAGGCCCATTAAACTCCAAGCAACACCAGCATTCATGTTGTTAGAAATGACGTTTCCGAGAATCAGAAGCGTTTGGATGTTTTCGATGTTGGCGAGTGAGAGGAAATTTGTGAAGCGCAGGCATTCGAAGCTGCAACAAATGTAAACCTGCGAAGTCAGCTCCCTCTCTCTCCTCGACAACGTTGAACATTGACATCCTGACGCCAGGACTGCAAAAACAAGCCCTATCCAATGGAAATCCTTGCCATAGATCTGCTGGTCTGTGATGCCGTTGGTCCCCTGTGCGCTCGCTCGATTGATCAAAAACAGCAGGAGATCCGACTCGATGCCTTCAATGTCAGAGACGGCGGGATACACAACATGGGCGGTTTCGCGGTAGCAGCGGAAAAAACTTAAACACTCCGAGTCGCTAGGCAGCGCGTTGGCGAGTTCATTAGCGCGCAGTATTGAGCCGTGAGGGAGCCCCCAGAGGTCGACGAAGGGGTAGGTGGCGCTCTCGTTGTCCAGTCCAAAAATGGGCAGCATGCTCTTCTTGCCCAGCATATCTTGCACACCAGGCGCCCACTGTGTGTCTCCTCGCCCCAGCGCCATGACGAGCGCGGGCACCGAACTGGGTCCGATGTGTATTGTCTGGCCTGTGATGTCGTTGCGTGTGTGAATGCCCTGGGTCCGGACGTGGCTCTGCTCGCCATCCATGGGCGCGACGGCGGCGAGTGGCGTAGACATGGCGGGATCGTAGCCGTTGATGGGCGGGGCCACCTCGGAGACGCTGCTGATGGAGTTCTTCAGCTCGCCAAGCGACTTTTCAGCCTGCTGCAGTTTGTCGCAAATGCGCTCCCAGTCCTGCTGTAGTCAGCACCAGTCCCACTCTCCCACACGACGACATGGATGCGCACCTCCCGCGGCAGGGTGACGGTGCCACCGTGTATGTGCACCAGGCCGTTGTTGAAGTCGTGTCCGTTCCCCAGCCCCATGCCCATGCTTATCCGTTTCGCGGGTGGGTGTGACTCGCTCGGAGGGTGGTAGGAGCAGAGCTCAGGATGCTCGCGGACGACGCATGTCTTGCAGGGCACTGTCTGGTCGCATTTGACCTTGCGCTGCCTGCACGGGTAGCAGGCCTTGTACTCCCGCGCCTTACGTTTCCGTCGCAGAATCTCGTCGACATCGGACCGCGGCGGCGTGTCGTGCATAAAGGTGGGCGTGGCATGCGAGTGCTGCTGCGACTTTTGGTGGTCGTCCATGATCGCGTCGCGTCGTAAAGCTTGGAGGTCGAGGTTGGAAAGAGTTTCCCCACTGCCATGCAGGGTTCTAGTCTCCGGTGATCCGCGGTTGGAAGAGCCGTCACTAGCACCGCGCTAAGAAAGCTTGATTACCTAGCACTGCGGCTCCAGCCTTCGATTCCCAATCGAGCTCCGTGTCGAAGACTTACAAACCAACGGCCAAGTTCTCTGTCACTTCCATCGTTCCATACCTTGTCGTGAGTTCATACAGTTGAGTTTTCATCAGCGTACTACATACTCCATAGTGCTCAGCACGCATGAGTCCGAGCACATGACCCAGCACACCCAGCCATGTCTGAGAAGGTCTCGCGTCAAGGCTAGACGATATCTAGCAATTCGTGCAGAACAACTCAACACATGGCTTGATAGACTGTAATGAGACATCTAGTCTCTTACATCTGATCGCAGCATAGATGAAAACTAGACAACAACCTTGAAGAGGCCTGCAACGGAAAAAAACCTTAAAACCAACCACGATGGTTGAAAACATGTCTCAAGCTGCTGAGTCACCCCGCACGAATTATCACTACCCCTGATGTCTATCTATCGAGTTCTGACATCATCTCTCCTTCATCTTTACCATCTATCAAGCGAAAGAGGAAATCTGGTCCAGTGACGGCAACCTTCATGCAACAGCAGAGAGCCTCAAATCACATCTCTGATCTATACGACGTATGACTCAAGATTCCTTGGACAACAGCGGGGCGACTGTTGAAGAGTTCTCGCCAAGTTGTTGGTGTGCGTGTTCTCGTGAACTCTAGTTCCGAGTGATCCCCGAAGGTCCACCTTTCCTGAATCGCTCGAGCACGCCACTATCTTCAACCCACGAACTCTTCAGTCGACTGAACACTCACCGTTTAGAATAATCCGAGCCAACTCCGTTGAATCTTGCTTGCTGCCCATCAATCGTGTTGGGCCCAAGATCTCGCCGATCGCATGCTGTATATAAACATGGGCGCGGGTCGCCCAGAATGCAGTCCACAGTATCCAGGGCGTTCGCTGCATCCAGCAATCCATTATCCTTTCGATTTATCCTGATCGGAACTCCTTGTCTTCACAAAACACTTAAGAGAGTTCTAATTGATAAGGGTCGTATACCCTAAATACCGACCTCATGGCTGAAGAGTCAATCACACAACCTCCCATGTCGAGGGACTTTGCTCGACCATCACACCCCACATTACCACACCCAGACGACAGCGCTTCAGAAGTTACACATGTCGAACCTGAAAAATTCCATGCTATTCGACGCGAACCTACACACGACGGAGAAGATGTGGTCAACCTTCCATACCGAACACTAAGCAACGATGCCAACCTCAACGAATACACAGAGGAAACCATCGATGGCCATATAGCGCGAATTCGAACCAACGCCACGGGTCAGATCGAACGACATGAGCTAGTTACTTGGAAGATCGATGACCCAGAGAACCCAAAGAATTGGTCGAAGGCTAAGAAATGGTGGTGTACAATGGTTGTGGCACTTACATGTTTCGTTGGTATGTCTCAACTATCAATACATATTCCTAAGGCATCCAGGGAGCTGTCTAAACTCAGTTGGAGTTTCGAGGCGTCTGAGTGTCATCGAAGTTATGGTGTTCTGTCAAATTGCACGCGCTAACCTGAATACAGTTGCTTTCAACTCCTCCGTCATCACGGCCGACCTCGAAGGTGTCTCTGAAGAGTTTAACGTCAGTGAAGAAGTCGCACTGCTCACGATTACATTGTTTGTCGTCGGCTTCGGTGTTGGTCCAATGGTCTTTGCTCCATTCAGCGAAATCTGGGGGCGCAGAAAAATATACGCGAGCACGTTGCTCCTTGCCGTCATCTTCACCATACCAGGAGCCCTCGCGAAAAATATCGGAACTCTCCTCGTAACCCGCTTCATCGCTGGTGTAGCCTTCAGCGCGCCAATGTCTCTCGTCGGTGGAACACTTTCAGACCTGTGGAAGAACGAAGAGCGCGGCGTCCCCATGGCAGCTTTCTCTGCAGCGCCATTCATCGGCCCTGGAGTTGGTCCTCTCGTCGGTGGGTTTCTCGGCGATGCTGCCGGCTGGCGTTGGTTGTACTGGATCCAACTCATCCTGAGCGCCATCGTCTGGTTCCTTATCACCTTCACCGTTCCAGAGACCTACACGCCCCAACTCCTCGCACAACGAGCCAAGAAACTACGAAAGGAAACCGGCGACGATAAATATGTCACGGAGCAAGATCTCGATCTACGGCCGTTTAGTCAGCGACTGATGCTTTTCCTCCTCCGACCATTCCAGCTGCTTTTCCAAGAGCTGATCGTATTTTTTATCTCGCTTTACATGAGCGTACTCTACGGTTTACTCTATATGTTCTTCGTTGCGTACCCCATCGTGTACCAGAAAGGCAAAGGTTTCTCTGCCAGTACAACTGGTCTGATGTTCATACCCCTAATCGTCGGAGTTTTGCTCAGCGCCGCATGCTCCCCACTCATCAACAAGCACTACCTCACCCTCGTAGCCAAGCACAACGGCCACCCACCAGCCGAAACACGCCTCATCCCCATGATGGCCTCCTGCTGGTTCATCCCAATCGGACTTTTCATCTTCGCATGGTCATCGTACCCGGATGTACACTGGGCGGGGCCCATGATGGGTGGTCTCCCCGTAGGATTCGGTTTCATCTTCCTGTACAACGCAGCGAACAACTACCTCGTCGACTCGTACCAGCACCAAGCCGCATCCGCACTGGCGGCCAAAACTTTCCTACGCAGCTTTTGGGGCGCGAGTGTCGTGCTGTTCACGAACCAGATGTACGACCGCTTGGGATACCAGTGGGCTAGTTCGCTGCTGGCTTTTATTGCGCTGGCGTGCTGTGGGATTCCGTTCCTGTTTTACTTCTTTGGTGCGAGTATTAGGGCTAAGTCGCACTATGCGTATAGTGAGGATGAGGAGAATAAGGGGACGGAGGAGAAGCAGGGTGCTTAGATAAGGAGACGTTTTATGATTTGGATGCAGTAATGTGTGAGGAAGCTAGATAATGTTGAAGAATATGACATATTTGTCTTGTTTAAACCGTTTCTACTCGGAAATGCTTGTAGTCGTCTTCACTTTCATGACCTACACCTCGAATCCCCTTAGCATTGATTATCTCTCTACCTCGCCATCTTGAAAGCACAAACAGTCTTAAGCGGGCGGAAGACCGTCACAGTTACATACCAGGCTAGTACAAGATCACAAGAAAGAAAAGAATGAGATGGTAAGGAAACAAGAAGAACATGGCATCACATCAAACTAGCCAACCTAGCATACCCCATCACCAAGAGACTCTCATCTCCAACAAGTGATACTAAATCATCCACAAAGCCTCAAGTTCCCGACACAAAGCCTCAAGTTCCCGACACAAAGCCACTCGATGCACCACACCATCAGCCTGTATCCCTAGAGATGTACCGCCGTCAGTAACGTGCAGAGCACTGCCCTCGTACCAGCTAGCAAGGTTACTTAACACTAACCAATACATGTTCAAAAGAACAGCGAAAAGATTTCTACGCCCCGGTGATGATGAGTGTGTTTTCGCGTGTGTGGAGAGGGAGATAAACGGAGCGTTTGAGTCTCGATAACCAATATACTCTCATGTTCCTTCACCCCTGAGTAGTATCAGCCACTTATGTATGTAGAGAATAAACACCCATCAATCAAACAGTCCATTCATCCAAGAACCACCCTTCACCCCCCACCATCCCGCCATTCAAACAGGACATGCTCGCATTATCCGCTGCGCAGACAAGTAGCCTCTCGATCGAACATGAAATCGAGAACAGAGCCAAACCACGCCAAAACCTTCAACAAATACACACAGACCACTGTGTTATTTTTGGGGGGTTGAGTGTACACATCTAACCCACCCGTCCTGTTCGTAGCTTCTTTTCCTACATATATTTGACGCATGTAAGTCTTGTTCATTTGTGTACATGTGGCATATAGCATATAGCCTACATATAATTCTATTCCCACTTGCCGTCTGTGGATGTACAAAGCGTTGTGTGAATATGTAGTTATGTATCTGTGGAAGGACATGGAAGTATATTTTGGATAGGTACGTACATACATACATGCAGTCAGTCAACGTACACAAGGACTGCGTGCCATCATCTGGTAGAGTCACGAACAACCCACTACACACACCATCTCACACACACAGAAAGCCAGGCGATGTGACATGTACGACCATCCAGAATGGTTCCATTAAGCATTACAATAATAAGCCACCTTCACGTGGGAGGTGACCCCACGTCAGGCTTCGTCCAAATCCCAATCAAAACATTCCATCCAATCATGGCAACACATATCAGCCCCCTCCCTCCAATCCTCCATCCCAACAGGTAAGCCAGCCGGCCCAAAGCAGGCATCAAAGAACCCAAACCTGGGGCTGACGTCCCAAGCGAATGTCCCAAGCACATTTTTCCAGAACGAATACTTCTAAAACCCCCCCCCCCCTCTTATTTCCCATTTCCATCTCCACTTGTAAACCGAAGCGAACGACTTGGGTATCTATAAAAAAAAGCAAAAGAAGAAGAAGAACAACAGCGAACAATAAAACTAATACTAAAAAACGGGTGATTGGTTGGGTTGGTTTGGCCATGGGGAAATTCCACAAGAAAGACATGTCAAAGTGGTGGTGGTGGTGGGAATCCAGGATAAAGCAAGCCTTGCCCCCACCCCCTCCGCCTGTGCTCTTTACGACGCGCCGTTAACTATATGCCGCCCGTCATCAAACGATGAGATTCGCTGTAAAATGCTGAGCAAATGATAAAACTCCATGGAATGCATTAATCGTCAAGGTCATCACACCGGGAAATGTGGGTGGTGTGCGATCTTAGGGAATAAGTAGTATGAGGAGCAATGAGGTCGATAAGGTGGTAAGCCGCGTGTTACCGGGACGTCTCAGTATCTGATGCAACAGTGTCGCCGTCCCAGAGGCTGTGCGTATCGTCGGTGGGGGAGCGTTCGCCGATGGGGCTTCTGCCGCCGGTTGAGTAGGATGAGGAGGAGCCGCTGGCCCAGTCGTCCGAGTCGGAGTGGGGTTGGAATTCCTCGTAGATGTCGAGCATGTGGTAACCAGCGCCGTCGGCAGGGTCGCCAACCTCAACGTAATCGTAGTCCCAGCGGAACTCCTTGTCGGCTTGCGGGCGGGGGAGGAAGTTGGCACGGCTGAAGAAGTAACAGATTCCAGCAACTAGGTAATGTTAGCAAAAGTTGTGTCATGGTATTGGAGAAACTTACGCAGACTGCCAGCAACCAGATCTACAGCGTAGTGGTGCGAGAAGTACATTGTGGACCACCACAGCCACATGGTGTAGAAAACGTACACGGGGAAGAGCCTGGGGAAGACGTGTCCCATAAACAGCGTCTCGAGGGTAGCCCAGCCAGAGTGTAGAGAGGGGAATGCGCCAAACACCATGGGGGAGGCATGGAATGTGGAGGCGTATAGATCCAGGCCGAACAGCTTGTCAATGGCCGATAACCCTGCAGGGTCTCCTATGATGGAGTAGTTTGCTGGTGCCAGGCCGTATGAGTTCTCGTACCACGGAGGAGAACATGGGAAGACAATCTGAATGAGGACAGCCGTGATGTTCATGTATCCAAAGGCCCGTGCCCAGATAGGGAGGGTGCCAGGTGGAGCCCAGATGAACATGCATCCGCTGACGATGACTGGCGAGACGTAGTGGACGATTCCGTAGGGGATCCAGGCAAGGATGTCGAGGACGGTGTGCTTGTGGGCGGATAGGATGTTGCTCAAGTTTGCGCCGTAGAGGATGTTTTCCAGGGCGGGCAGGACGCGGACCCAGATGGCGGGGCGGTGTTCGGGCGAGATGTACTTGCAGCTTGAGAATAGGTATAGCCATGTCAGGGTGGGGAGCAATGGGAGCAGGAACTGGCGGGTGATGGGCAGACACAGGCCCGTCATCAGCACGGCGGCGGCGAACGTCTTGGCAAAGGGCCCTGGCGCCTCGCTCACCGACAGCGAGAAGATGACGACGATGCCCAGGAACAGGTACTGGGCGTCGTATATGGACCACGGGTGGGTGCGCAGCGAGCGCAGCGTGTCCGAGGGCGACCACGACGTCTCGAGCGAGGCGATGGATGACGTGGGCGACTGGCGGCTGCGGATGCGCGACTTGGTGGCCCGCCACTTGCGGCGCACGCGGTGGGGGATGAAGCTGGGCAGGGCCGAGAGCCCGGGCACCTTGGAGCGGGCGAGCATGTCGCTGCTGGACGTGTCGAGGAAGGCGAGGTAGCTTTTGTTCGCCATGGCGGGATGGGTGCGAGGGCGGTCGGGGGAGGCGGCGCCGACGAGACACGGGCGACTGCTGGCTTCCAAGTGTGGCGGGCGGGGAGAGAGGACCAGCTGGCCGTGGACGGTTGGAGAGAGCAGCAGCAGCAAGAGAGGGACGAGGGCGGATTATGAGAGCGACAGTGGAAGCTTCCGGATGCTGAGGCCTGCATCGCACCGCTTGCAAATGGCAGAGGCGCTTGGCTGCAACGAGCAAGGCGCACGTCGACACAATCTCGTTTGGCTGCAACCCTGACGCAGACGCTATGCGATCCTTGACCGCGTGCATGAATGCTCCCTCGACGCCAGCGCCAACGCTTTGTGTGACTGTGTTGGACTTGAGCGTTTCATGGCTGCCTGGAATGCCTGGAAACAGTCGTGGCTGCCTCAGGCACTCCCTCTACTGCATGAGCTCTTCGTCTCGTCGTCTCTTCGTCTCTTCGTCTGTTCATCGTGACAAGTCAACGTGAACGCTATGTAAGCACCGCTTCGTCCGGCAACCCGTCCGTCCCAAGTGCAAAAATCTTTGTCTCCCACCGGCCGGATCGTGATGCATCGGCGGCAGTAGACACGACCCTAGCTCGTCATGACATCAACATACAGCTACCACATCGCATCGCGCCAACATGCAGGCCGACGAGCACCATTCATTCACTCCTCCATCCATGACGCTCATCACCACCCTGCAAAATCGTGCCCTGTCATATGTTCAAGTTGAGAAGATCACGTCAGATCAGCCTCGCCGCAGCATCCACGTACCTGCCCTAAGCACCAGCACGACCAATGTCTCACAAACGCAGCCTCACCGCACACCGAAACACGGCCCGCCTAACATGCCATTCCCACTCTGCCTTCCCGCCTAACCTTTCCCACTCGGCCCTCCGTCCTGCATGTCTCCGACTCCGATCAACCGTTCCCAACGCACCAAAGAAAAATACGCACCGACCAATCGCATCCCCTCAGCAACGCGACCCTCCAGCCTGGCTTGGGTTGGGCCCTCGTGGTCAGAATAAGCGCTCGGCAACCCGCAGGATCCGGACATCCGTGACTCTACTCTCTTTCCCACTCGCGTGCTTGGCACACCAAATGTCCTTATCCTTCCCGTGCCTTGCCTTGCCTTGCCTTGTCTTACAAAGCAGCGCAAAGCAAAGGCAGGTAAAACCCTACAAGGCGATTCGCAGACCCAGGACGTGCGCAATCTCCCAACAAGCAGCCTCGTTTTCCCATCATATCACGCTCACGCGCGCGCGCGGGATAAAAAAGATGACCACGCATCTTTTTCGGACGAAAAAAATACACGTGTGCAGTGTAAAATGAAGTATTAAAATGACCGACGCGCTGCATTGTTTGATTTGCCTGAGAAAAAAAAAATGCTCCGGTTGGGGATAAACATGCGAGATGGATTCGCTCCGTATGGCGAGATCTTTTCCACGCAGAAAGATCTGGCCATACCATACCATACCATACCATACCTTATCCAATAAACCAAACCAAACCAGCACCAACCCCATTGAAAGGATAGTCAACTCCTGTTCATCGCAATCTCACGAATCAAACTTTCCTCGTCTTGGCACAGGTTTGAGGTAGCATTGACATCCCTACCAAATGTACCTACTGACAGTTGACATCAATCTCCTCCTGTAAATCGCCATTTTGAACAAAACATTAGACTTTCGTACAACGCATCCCATCCCAGCACTAGAAACACACACACGTAAACAAAGCCAACAAACTAACAAGCAAACTTAATCATCACACAATAATAAACTCTCAGCTATTTCTTCGCGTTTCACAAAAAGCCACATCTTTCTTTCCTTCACCTCAGCCTCAGCTGCAGCTCATGCGCGTATTACGTACGCAGGGGAAACCCGATGCTCTGTTCGCGGACGGGTATGTGCTGAGTTGAGTCGGATTCGACTGAGAGCTGAGCTGAGCGCAACTGAGCTGGCAGATCGTGGCGGGATCGGGGGGGGCGAAACGGTCGGATGGGTCGGGTCAGTTGAGTTGAGTCTGGCCTTCGTGTTGTTTCGTGTGTCGTGTTTTCGCATCCTGGTACTGGTATTGTTGCTTGTTGTACCGGGTGTCGTGATGTTTACTTTTGTGTGTTTGTGCGCGTGTGATGTTGTGGTAGCGTTCAATGTCGTGTATTTCTGATTGTTTGGTAAATTGGAAATACACTTGTACCAAATAAAATATTCAAGCAGAATTGTCTTGATTGAACGATAAACTCCACACGCTGATGCTAATGCTGATGTTGACACTCTTGCCCATGCAAGACGTCGACGCTAGCCATGCAAACAAACCCTTCCGTACCTGACCACCAAACACTAACCTCAAGTCCGAATACTTCCAACACCCTTCACAACGCTCGAAAAAGAAAATATTGAACTGCTAAAACTGTACAAACAACCCTAAACGTATGCCATCTCCTCAAGTGAAAGATCCAGCCAACAACGTCCCATACCATCCTAAGGCGTATCAATCAGATCCTCCAAAAAGTCATCGAGCTCAATAATCCGGAACTGCTCGGCCCACTTTGTGCGAAACTTCTTGTTCTTGTATCCACCGTTGGTCTGCTGTCTCCAGCTGACCAACTCAACCTTCCACCCGTTCTTCAGCGCACGCTCCACATGTGCGAGAAAGCCGTCCGACATCTCGGCAACGTTGCCATCGCCAGTCGCGAGAACAATGGTGCTGGGCGACTCGGTATCGATAATACTCTGGCACATCTTCAGATGAAGAAGCTCGTCCACTCCCTGTTCAACCCATTTCGGAGCTGAAGGAGTCTTCGCCGGCGCAGGCACACCCGTTTCAGAGTCGCTGCCACTGCCGCTGCCAGAATGTTTCTCGGTAGCTCGATTCCAACCCATTTTCTTCACATCGTCAAAGAATTTCTTCTTATCCGATGGTTCGCGTGAGATATAGACCTGCTCAATCACATTGTTCTCGTATCCGACAGCCTTGGAAGTGTCGACGAGTTTTTTCATGTGCGCCAGCGGGTTGGCTTCGCGGTGAGATCCAGCAAGAATACGCTTCGCTACCGGTCGACGCCTTTCCATCAACAAGGCCAAGCTATCGAAAGACATGTCGTAAGGCTGGAAGATTCCTTGGCTTCGAAGGTTGTCCCTAAAACCAATCATGATGTTCGAAACATCAACAAATATGTGCAGGCCTTCAGCCGTGCTCTTCTCGTTGACCAACTGCCTCGGAGCAACAACCCACCGGGCGTCGTCCGGGAAATAGTTGAGAAGCTTATGGAAGAGGTTGAAGTGGCGATCCACTTGTGACCGTATGGTTACTGTTCCTGGTCGACTGGTTGGTGTCGCAAAGACAGGAGGCGCAGCTGTAAGAGGCATCGGCGTTGATGGGGCCGGGCGCGCTTCGCAACGCTGTACTGCTGGAGCGGACTTCCGTGCAACAGTATCAGGTCGAGAAGGGCGTGGTACAGTAACAGGTTGAACAGTCCGCGGCACGAGACCATGGTCGCTCCCATATTGGAATGAAGTAGGTGTGCCAAACCTTGCCGTAGATTGTACAGGTTTACCAACAGTTTGAGGCTGAGGTGTAATTGGTCGCGCAGTAGAACTCAAATGCTGGCCAAGAGCAGGACGCTGAGGGCGGTTGGGAGTCGTCGGAGGCTGTGATGGCATAGCGACAGGCTCCTGAATTATGGGAAGTTTTGGTTCTACAACCACAGACTTCTGAACAGCTGGAGCTGCTACAGAGGAAATGATCTTTGTGCCGACATTAGATCGAGTCCGATGTGATTTTGATGGTGTATGGGTGGCCTCGTCACTCTGAGTCGACGTTTCGGCAAGAGCCTCGAGTTCCTCTCGCAGCTTTCGCCTGTCTTTGAGTGCTTTCTTGGCTAATTCATGCTCTTCCTCTTCCTTCTCAGCTTGCCTGCGAGCTTTCCGACGCTGCTTTTTGGTCAAGCCAGCTTGCGCATCGTCAGAAAATGGCGCTCGGAGCAACACGGGAGCAGCCAGCGCAAAGCTCTTGGGTTTTGTAGTCGACTTCACATTTGGTGTAGACGCCGCACGCTGGAAAGCCTGACGACTGGCGCTGTTTGCTTTCGAGGCCTCTGGCGCAATTTGAACCTTGACCGGAGATTTGACATCAAGTGTTGGTTTCTGCGGGAGAGCATCATCGGAGGAATTACTCAGTTCAGAATCTTGGTCAAGTGGCGGCAATGGAGCCATCGAAACTGGCACATCATTTGAGATACCCAAGTCTTCGAACAGTCTCGAGAAATTACCCAGAGATATGCCTCCTCCCTTGCCGTATGACGTAGATTCAGGAGCTGGAGAGCGCGACTCTCGAGGCGGGGAGGCCATGTCGTGAGTGTCCGAGTCTATCAGATTGATGACGGAGCTGAAATTCCAGCCGGATTCGAGGGGTTGTGAAGGCATTTGTGGACAAACGTCGCTACTGTAGTGATGCCTGGAGTACGATTAGTGCCTAGCTAAGAATGGAACGGCCCGTTGCCACTCACCTAGATGATTGGATATGTATTGGGGTACTTCAGTCTGCTGCGACTACTAGTCGAGGGAGACGAGTGTTGAAGAGCGGAGGCTAGAGCAATGGTGTAGCTATCCCAATCGTTAGCTCGATGCGCACTTCACCGTGAGGCTGTTTGCAGTCGCCCTTCGGCTACAGCCTTGTGGGGAGCAAGACGCGAGGGATATAAGACATGTGAAGTTATCCACGCCAGCTGACAGGTGGATAACCCCAGCAATGTGAGGAGGCGCAGGTGTTACGTACCGTGTAACTTATCTCGAAACAGTAGCTCAATTCGCAAGCTCATGGTAGATGGCGACGGTCTCAAGCAAACGATGTCGATGTCTCCAAGCTCGGATGAAGCTGCAGAAACAAATAGAGAGAGTGATATGAGACAAGAGAGTGAGGGGAACAATGGTGTATGTAGTCGGGCTGTGTAGTAGCGGGGTCGCCACCAGCGGGCAGAAGGTCGAGGAGTCAATGATGGGTGCACGGACGGCTGATTGACTGGTTGGTCGTGATGGGCAACGCCACCCGATGACAGCGCTGCGAGGCCCGACATCTCGCAGAACGCTGGCACGGGACCTTGCAGCGAGCGTCACGAAAGGATGATGCGTCCAAGCCCTGCACCCGAACTGCTGGCTTGCTCTCGTTGGCGAAGGACGTGAAGGAGCTTGCCGCGTCACGAAGGGCTCTAGATACACGTCCACGTCCACGTCCTCGTCCTCTGGCAATCTCACGGAAGTAACCGTCAGCCTTCCCGCCGTCGCATCAAACCTCGGACCATATCCATCTGCCCCACAATCCGCCGCCGCCAGCCCACAACCACAATGCACCCCTCCCAGCTCCCAGCTCTCCTCCCCTGTCCCCCCACCTTCGTCGTCTCTCCAACATGTCCGCCGACTTCTGGGCGGGCTACGTCTCGGGCGCCGCCAGCATCATCATCGGCAACCCGCTCGACCTCGTCAAGACGCGCCTGCAAGCCGGGAGTGACGCACGAAGTGTAGACTCCACCTCCACCGCCGCACCGCACGGCAACACCTTCAGAGGCCAATTCGACCGCGCGGGAACGCTGGTCAGGGGTGAGTAGCACCGCGCACCACCCAGCACACCCACACGACTGCCGTACAAAAAACAAACGTCTAACAAGCCCGCCCATAGCACAGGCGCAACCGTGCCAATCATAACCTACGGCGCCCTCAACGCCCTCCTCTTCGTAACCTACAACCGCACCCTCGCGCTGCTCTCCTCCACCGCGCCACCCACCCCGGACCCCTCGTACGCCAAAATCTGGCTCGCAGGCGCAACCGGCGGCCTCGCTTCCTTCGTCGTCTCCGCGCCCACCGAGCTGATCAAATGCCGCGCCCAGGTCTCCACCGCGCAGAACGTGACATCGTGGTCCATTGCGCGCGACACCTGGCGACGCGAGGGAATTAGAGGTCTGTACTACGGCGGCGGGATAACGAGTGTGCGAGATGCGGTCGGCTACGGATTCTAGTACGTCTTTCTAGCTAGCTAGCTAGCTCGGCTCGCTCGTGTATGCCCCAGGCGCTGACGCGCACAGTTTCTGGTCCTACGAATGGAGTAAGCACGCCCTCGGCTCTCCCGACGACACCGACAGACAAGCCGCCATGAAAGTCCTGCTATGCGGCGGGTTCGCGGGCGTCGTCACTTGGGCGTCGATATTCCCGCTAGATGTCGTAAAGACTAGAGTCCAGACTCAGGTCTTGCATGCTGCAGAACCTCCCGCGCGAGGCGAGCAGAACGCGCTGCTGGGTCCCGAAACGCAGAGGAGAAGGCTGAGTTCCATAGAGATTGCGCGGCAAGCGTACCGCAGCGAAGGGGCGGGTGTCTTCTTTCGCGGGTTGGGGATATGCAGTGTACGTGCGTTTGTCGTCAATGCTGTGCAGTGGGCTGTGTATGAGTGGATGATGCGGTTCCTCCAGCAGCCATGAGCATAACGCGAGGATGTATAGAAGTTTGTCATCAACCTAGCAAACGGCTGGAATATACAAAGTGAACAACGCATATTAGAATAGAGTGCACGATCAACATGGGTCTCATGTTGGCTGCCTTTTGATCTCGCATATTAATTCCAAGACCTCGCCTTTTACACTACAATAGGAAACTTTTAGGCCAGATGACCTCCATGACAATTTCCTTCGTTGCGCAAATCCCGCTCCTCCAGATTCCAGTTTCACGGAGGAATTGTACATGTGCGCAACATGACCCTGACACAACTAAGCTGTGGAAAAAACTTGAAAACGCCTTCAGTCCTGGATCATCTTTACATGATCTGATCCTGGGTCAAGCCACCCGTGTGCTCGGTACCCTCCATGGCATCGCCGTTGCTCTGGTTGGTGTACTTGACGTATGCCAACCCAAGAGGTCTGCCACCATATTGGTAGCCGGTGAATTTGGCTGTCACATGTCAGTAATTGCTCGCACGCGCAGGCTCGAGAAACTTACAAATTGCTGTGTCCGCATCCGTCGCCTTCTCAAACTCGACAACACCGCTGCCACGAGAGCGTCCGTTGGGTTCGTACTGGATTTCAGCGCGCTCGACCTTGCCGATTGTAGTGAAGAGCTCCACGAGATCTTCGTTGCTTGTCGACCATGGCAGATTGCGCACGTGAATCACGTTGCTAGGCTCTCCACCGCCAGTAGCAAAGTCCGTGAAGGGGTTGGGTGGGTTCGAGGGACCGTTGGAGTCGAAGCCTGCACCCGCGCCTGGTGGGCCACCCGGTCCACCACCGAAGCCTCCTCCACCAAACCCACCACGTCCGCCGAAGCCGCCTCCGAAGCCGCCGCGCCCACCAAACCCACCGCGAGCGCCAAAGCCACCTCGTCCACCGAAACCACCACCGAAACCGCCACGACCACCAAACGCGGGAGCACCAGCAAAACGATCTTCGCGGACCTCAAGGTTGCGACCCTGCCACTCATAGCCGTTGAACTGATTGATGGCGTTCTTTGCGTCGTCGGCGGTTTCGAATGCGACGATACCTGAGCCCTTGGGACGACCGTCGGGAGCCATGTGCACGTCCGCACGCAGCACGGAGCCGGTGTGCGCAGCTTGACGGAAGAGATCCTTAAGGTCTTGCCATCCAACGTTGTAGGGGAGCTACAAAATTTGGTCAGCAAACGTCGGCTGAGATGGAAGAGAGAAGAAACGGGGTACAAACGTTGGCGACGTAGACCTGCCTGCCACCTCCAGCAGCGCCTCCACCAGGAGGGCCGCCATAGGGACCGCCAAAGTTCCCTCCAAACCCGCCACGAGGGCCGCCGCCCATTCCGCCTTCGAATCCTCCGCGCGAGGTGCTGGGGTTGCTGAAACGAGGCTCGGCCTCTCGGTCTTCGCGAACGTATACGAGTCGTCCCATCAAATTCTGGTTGCTGAGCGTCGCCACGGCGTTCTGCGCCTGCTCCTGAGTTGCATACTCCACGATGCCACAGCCCTACACCCAAGCAAAAGCCAGTCAACCTCCATCCTTCTCACGATCAAGACCAGCCATTTTTCATTACCTTCGACATTCCGTTCGGAAGCAACAGCACGTCTGCGAAGAGAACTTCACCAGCTGCGACCGCGTTAGCCACGTCCTCTACACGGCGCAATTGAGTCGTACCTTGTCGCATGAAGTCCTTCAGATGGTGCCATTTGACGTCGTAAGACAGATTGCCGACATAGACGCGGCGGTTCTGCTGCGACGAGTCCCGAATGCTCTGCATCATGTTGTCCTTGTTTTCCACGGGACGCGACGACGGTGCTCCGCGACTAGCTCCGTAAGACGACGATTGATATCCACCTGTGCCCTGCGCACCACTGTTGGGCGACCGTGAACGGCGTTCGCTGCGGCGGTAGTCGTCTCGACTGCGCGAACGGCTGCGAGGCGAATATGAACGACGAGAGCGTCGCGGTGAGCGGGATCGTCGACGGGGTGAGCGGTCGCGCTGATCATAATTGTCAGGTTCGTACGACATGATGTCGAACGTGCAAGCGACGTCTAAGCAAAAAGCAGAGCGAGAAACAGAGAGAGAATGGGCTGATGCGAATTGTTGCCAACGCGCGCGTGTGATGGAGAGAGGAGCTGGTGAGGTGAGCAAGTAGCGTCGGTGCGCGTTCGAGAGGTCGGGGCACTCGGTGGCATGTCCCGAATCGAGATGTCACGTGTGCTCCACCACGACTCACGGAACTTGGTGGAAGTGTGCAGCAGCCTGGCGAACAACTCCAGCAATGCCCAACACTGCTCTCGCCATGCTCTTGTTCATACGTGCTTGAGGGGGTGGCTCGCTGCCCGCATTGCTCTCATGGTGCATGGGGGAGGCTGAAGAGGGACTGCTGCACTTACCTGTTCGTCTGAACGGTAGTTGTCGTCTGGAGTGGTCGAGGTCAGCAAGAAGCAGGAGAGATGTTGAGGCGAGGTGAGAACCGTGTATGGCGCGAGATATGGAAACAGTGAGGGGCACGAGGTCGCACTTACCCATGGCGAGAACAGAAGTAGCTACCGTAGTCGCCCGGTCCTGGCTGTGCAGCTGAGCAAGATGTGGGTGGACCACTTGTGCACAATGAATGCAAGTGCTGCAGAAGTAGATTGCAGGCTTCTTTTGCCTTCTGCCTTCTAATGACGCCTTCGAAGCCCTCGAATGAGCCAGTCAACCAATCGCGAGGCGTATGTGAGCACTGCGAGCGCGACGACGATTCAACACTGCAGGTTTGACGGGTGAGGTTGCAGCACCGATCGGGGATTCTGTGTTATTAAGCCTCTAGGTAAGCTTACTAGAAGTACGAGGATCGAAGGTGAGTGGACGTGGTGACAGGCTGTGTCGATACTCCTGCAGACCAAGGGCAAAGCGCCTGCCTTCTCGAGCAAACAGAACACCCTGTTGGACAGTGAATTGATCGAGTGGATCGCCTCCAGGGTGGGGCAAGCGGAACCCAAGCCGTCCGTTAGCTGTTCCTGCTTTATCACAGCATGGCCGCCGGTATGGTTGAGTGATGAATGTATTGGTTCGCAGCGGCCAATTCATCAATTCCCGTCACATCAACAAACAGGGGAGTCGTGACATGTTACATCCATAGCCTGTACTACCAGTTCGCTCAAGTCGAGGACCCTGATTTGGTTCTTCAACCGCATCACCAGTTCTGTACTCCATACACCTTGCTATTTGCTAGAATTTGCAACGATACAACGATTGATGCATTTCAAGGCCAGTTAAGATAACACCACCAACGTTCTTCTTGCTTGTACCTCAACCGATGATCGCCCCACCCCCGCATTATTGTACTTCATGAATCGACTCCCGCCCCACACACACGTCAAATTTTGTCCGCCGCAAACATACACCGAATCACATCGGCGATGCGGAAAGAACGTTCCGGGAAGCCCCACTAGCAGTTTGTATGGATGTTACGTGCTGTGCCACACATGGAGAAAAACCAGAGGTCCAAATACGGTGGTTCAAGATCGTGGCTGGTTTGCTTGCAGCATCTGAGCAGGTTCATATTACACAAAACTTGGAGGTTCTACTTGCCGAAATGTGTTCCCGAGAACGAGTCTGACGTCTGAGATCTACCTACTATGCTAACAATTATCTATCCTCAAAGAACCCTTTGCTTGCTTGAGTTCTGCTCCTCCTTCAGCACCTCCAGCACTCGGCGTGTAATCCTATCACGTTCTCCGACATCAACCACTCCATATGTCTCTCTCGCTTGCCGAAAGACTTTATCCTCCCATCCATCTCCCACATTCAGACTACCAGCATCACTCCAGCATTCCTGCACTGTGCCTCCAATGTTTTTGAAGAAGCCTTCCAGCCCAGCTGGACCTCCTCCTGCGTGATAGCTCTTGAATGGGCCAGCCACCGCCCACCTGGGTCCCATCGATGACTCTACGATTTGATCAAGCTCGGCCACAGACACGACTCCAGAGTCAACAAGGTGTATCGCTTCCCGGAGCAAGACAAAGGCGAGTCTGTTGGCTACAAAACCTGTTGTCTCTTGCTTAATATGTATTGGCACACGACCTCTTGCTCTCCAGAAATCCTGCGTCCGAGTGATCACCGAGGAAGAGGTCTGTGGTGAGGGTACTAGTTCGAGGAGAGGCATGATATGTGGTGGATTGTACGGATGTACGACCAGTAACCGTGTCTTGTCCTGCATATTCTGCGCTTGTTGGGAGGCAGGTATGCCGCTCGTGCTGCTCCATAGCAACGCATCTTTTGGTGCGTGATTCTCTACTTCAGCCCAAAGTTTTTGTTTTACTGGTAGGTTTTCGGGGCCAGATTCCTGGATAATATGGGCACTGGTCACCGCTTCCTCGAGGGTTGTCGCAATATTAATCCCTGAGATGGAAAGGGGTATGGTTTGACCTTCGAAGAACTTCGGAAGGGTTTCCTGGACATAAGCCTCAAGATCTGGCCTTGTGTCGTATATGGTGAGCTGAGAGGCATCAGAGAGATGTTGGAGATGAAAGGCTGCGAACGACAGGCCGATAGTTCCAGTGCCTATCAGCGTGATTTCCAGGTTTGCATCGGCTTTTGTGATTTCGTGTTGCATATTTTCGTCTTACATGTTTGTTGAGCTTCGCGGAGTGCATCTTCGTGTGTATGTTGAATCCTCATGACGTCACTTGGTGATCTTCGTTGACCAAAGTTCGTGAGCCTTATTTTACAGGCACCCAGCCCTCAACGAGTATACCGTCCAGATTATGAGACTCTAACCATCACATAGCCAGACGAGGCACCACAAGGCCTCGCTATGGAGATAATTGAGCTATGTGGCTACCATACTCATCTCCATTGCCGCCCGCAAGATCTCCCTTTAACCCCGCCTCTCGGCTCTAAACAGTGCGCTCATCCCCGCTCAAGATAAGCGCCACCCCGAGGTCACGATTCTGATATGGATACATCCTCATAAGTGCCGCAGCGGAACAGAATACGTATCTCCACGCTGCCAGAACCATTCCCTCGAATTCATAATCGAACTACACCTCGTGACCCTGACCTTTCAACTCCACAATGGTCATCTTCAGATCAAGGCAACCACCAATTGATCGTGAGTTCCTAGGAAAAGTTGTAACATTCAAGGGCCAGTACCTGACATTACACCAGTACCCACAGAGCTCACAGACTGGGACTGGTTATTTGATTCGTCGTACTCGCCCATCAACAAATCCCCGCCAAATGAGCTCGCCGGTTTCCAGAATGCGGTAACGAAAGAGCGTGTCAATTGGGCAGACGTCAAGAAGTACTCAACCTATATCTCGACAGCATTAGTCAAGAAGTATGGCCTCAAAACAGGAGAGACTGTTGCCCTGTTCAGTCAGAATACAGTATGGTACCCTGTAGCCATGTTCGCAGGTTTGCGCGTCGGAGCGAAGATAAGCGGTGCGAGTCCAGCTTATAATGTGGAGGAGATGACATTCGCCCTCAAGACGGCAGATGCGAAATTCCTGATGACGACGCCTGGAAGTATGGACATTGCCGCTGCGAGTGCAAAGGCTGCTGGGTTACCACAATCTAACGTGTTCTTGCTTGAAGGCGAATTGGGAGAATACACTACAGTCCAGGATTTGATACGTATCGGAAAGTCGTTCGGCGACGAGGGACAGACACCAGCATTCAAGATCCCGAAAGGGATGAAAAACAAAGACGTTTGCGGGTTCTTATCTTTCTCATCTGGAACTACAGGCTTACCGAAAGCTGTCATGATCTCGCATCAAAATGTCATTGCGCAATGCCTTCAAGTGGAGCAGATAACTCCAAACACTCACAAAAAGATCATGGCGGTCCTTCCACTATTCCACATTACAGGTCTCGTTCATCAGATGCACCTTCCAATACTTCTAAACGCTGAAGTAATCATGCTACCAGAATACTCTATGAAGGGGATGCTTGATCTCATCTGCGAATACAAGCTTAGTGAGCTCTTGCTCGTTCCTCCCATCATAATTCGACTGGTCCGCGACCCACTCGTTGAAAAGTACGACCTGAGTCACGTCACACGCTTCTCGTCTGGCGCTGCTCCTCTCTCCGAAAAGATCCTTGAGCAACTGCAGAAGAAATTCCCAGAGACGGGATTCAAGCAAGGTTACGGCATGACCGAATCCTGTAGTTGCATCACTGCGCATCCACCGGATAAGTACGCATACAAATACGCCCACTCTGGCGGAGCCATTGTCGCCTCGACAGAGGTCAAAATCATCAAAGACGACGGCACAGAAGCGGGAATCGGCGAAGACGGCGAAGTGCTAGCCCGTGGTCCCCAAGTCGTCATGGGCTACCTCAACAACGAGAAAGCAACTCGCGAGACCTTTGATGAAGACGGCTGGCTGCACACGGGAGACCGCGGCTGCATCGACGAGGAGAACATGATCTACATCACCGACCGCATCAAAGAGCTCATTAAAGTCAAAGGCATCGGCGTCGCCCCTGCCGAGCTGGAGGACCTACTCCTCGGCCACCCGAAAGTAGAAGACGTTGCCGTTATGGGTGTACTAGACGATTACAGCGGTGAACTACCAAAAGCATACATCACGCTAAAACCAGGTATCGAGGAGAGTACAGCTGTCGGCAAGGAAATCATTGCACATGTCAAGGAGAAGAAGGTGAAGTATAAGTGGGTGAAAGAGGTCGAGTTCATTTCTGAAATCCCTAAAAGTGGAAGCGGCAAGATCTTGAGGCGAGTGTTGAGAGACAAGGAGAGGAGTGGAAAGTTTGGAATGGTGGTTAGGGATGAGGCTCGGGCGAAGTTGTAGGGTTCTACAGTGTTTACCATAGCAGACCTGAACTGAAGCTTCTCAAGCTCTCTCGCCGAGGATCTATAACCCCACTATAGTTGGTGCCATTTTTTCCAACCCCCACCTCTGCGATGATGGCGATGATGCTGATGTCCAAGTCATACATACAAAATCCGTACAATATGGCATCAAATTTTGAAAAAGTTGCCATCGAAACTGACGATCATCGGTTGCGTAGTGTAGCGGTTATCACTCCAGATTCTGATCAATTAGACCACTTCTGGTAACCCCGGTTCGATTCCGGGCGCGACCTTTTTGCATCTTGGGCGTCGTCTGCACGACCTACTTTTTTGCCTACAGAACTTCCGTCGTGCGGGAAACATCTCACATGGTAAGAGTTGTCCACAGCCTACCGTGCAGATCCTGCAGCGTTCAGTGTGCCGAAGTTTCGCCTTACGACTACTCCACTCCCCACCACTTCACTCATTGACAGTACTAAAAAAACGCTCACAGCACTTTGCTTGCGCAGGAGATAGACAACAATTGATTACTGATAAGAGAGTTCTTCTCACCTAGGTTCTTTTTTTTGTTTAGATTACTAGAGGCGGAGGTTCGAAGTCTATCACCGTTCATCACCCACACCACACGCAAATAGCAAAAAGAAACGTCCCCACAGAGTAGGGAATTCAGAATGACTCAGCCGAGGTTTGAACTCGGGACCTTCAGTGTGCTAACTCGTGTTAGACTGACGTGATAACCAACTACACCACCGAGCCTAGTGCTTGTATTCGTGATACAGCCGAAGCAACAAACGGTAAAAATAGCCCCAAACTTGGGATGTTGGGAAGACCAGATAGGGAGAAAGAGAGAGGATTGATGTGGAGCGCCTTAGATTGACGCGTTATCGTGTCTTGACCGGTCTGTGGGGAAGCTTCGTACAAGTTGGTATCCACCGATCAAGTCAGTATGTGAGGATGTACGGGAACGGAAGACGATCATGATGAAACGAGATAGTTGCCATAGTGTACACATCGACTTCCAATTCATTGACATTCCTAGCGGGGCGTGAGCCTGACTCGATCTTCCTACACTTCAGGGACACTGTCCTGGCCATTTGATGCCAACGGCGAATTACTCAACCTCGTTTTCCACGACCCAAAGAAACTCGCAACTAGATTGCGCTCTATTTGTAGAGCGACTGAGGCACATACGAAGAGAAAAATAATAGAACAACCGACCCATTGTGGGTGGAATATAGTAATGGCAATAGGGTATCGAAAGGGCACAGCAGATATAACTGGCAAGAGTAACATGGAGAGTAAAAGAAAGATGGTGTGTGTGCGCTTGAGCGCAGTTGCTTCTAGCCTCTGATCGGGCCTCCTTCGAAAACAGTCAACGAGTGAAAGGAAAGACATAGTAAAGTTAGCATAAAGAAAGACAAGAAAATCAAGGATGGTGTGGATCCAAGATAGAGCGAGCGTTGTACACATCTGAACGTAGCCTCGTTGAGCCAAAGGCCAAGCGACAGTCTCTGGTCAACAGAAAACGAAAACAGCAATATCGGTCGTCAGGCACTCCCGTTGCCCATAGTAGTCATGAAGCGAGGACAGTTCAACTAGAAGCCGCGGAAAGGGTCGTGAGACTCAAAGTCGTCGAATATGCCTCCAGACCGGATATGTTGATCCCTGGTGCTTGCACTCCACTGACTGCTGCCCCTCCGACGGCCGACCTGCGTAGGCTCGCCCAAGGTGTTGTCAATGAAAGCTTCCATACGCATAGTACCCATATTGTTGAGGAAGTGCTGGCGGGTCGCAGTGCTGGCCTCGGAGGTACGCGAGCTGGTGACGCCGGTAGTAGGGTTATACAGGGAAGATGGTGCGGAAGGCGGATGCATAGCGCTGTACATGTCCGACGATCCGTTGGAGTACACGGATGGCACGTGCTGGTGAGAGAAGCTACGGATCGGCATGCTGGGAGGAGGGAGGGGACTGGGGCCTGTAGAGCTTCGTTTCCTGCCGTGGAATGGACCACGAGGAATAGCTGGCGGACTAGCTGATTCGGAAACGGCTGCATCCTCATACCCAGCCAAAGATGGTAGACTGGGCATGGGCTCGTTTCGCGATGCATATCGTGTGGAGATTGGATTTGCTCTGCCCTTGGCTAGACGGACCGAGTCCTGAACGCGAGAGCGGCGAAGTGTTGCTCCTTGCGTACGCTGCGGGAGTTCCTCGACCGGCGGTGGAATAGGTGGCATCGAGTTCAGATCAGGGATAGGAGAGCTCGAATGAGCCAGAAACGATAGTGCCGTTAACCAAAGGTAGTGCCTCTCCCGCGTTGTGGTTGTAAACTTCAATGCACGTGCAGGAGTGAGAATGAGAATCGACCGGTTGAAGACAGTCTCGTTCTTCGGGGCTGGGTTGTTGTCTACAACGTCAAGGACAGACTGGATGATCACTAGAGAGTTGTTAGCAGTCTATTGGGAAGCGACTAGGCGGTGAAGCACTTACGTTTGCGTCCACTCTTACCCATGAGAGCAGAGCCAGAAGTTGGTTGCTTGCTACTCCACAAGATCGCCCGCTCATACGGTGAGATCCATACCCATCGCTTGTGTCTCACCCCGTTGTTTGCCAGAGAGGCCTCCTCGGCGGCGCGACTGACGTCTAGGGGTGTATCTGGTCCTCCAAAGGCTTTCCTCTTGCGCACGTATTTCCACATGAACTCGCCAATCATGGCCGCAGCAATCGCGTCAACAACACTAGCTTGAGTCCCTGAACTAGCGACTGAACCATTGGAAGTATAAATAGTGTTGATAGAAGGTTGAGGTCGATGACCATAGCCCCGAGTACTGACAGCGTCACTCGGAAGGGGGGGTATTGAGTCAGTCTCAGGGATGCTGGGAGTAGACGGAAGAGCCGGCGATGTACTTCGGACCCGAATGGGCTTCGACACCACAGCCGCTGACCGCACTTTTCGCAAGCTTTCCTTGCGCTGATGTTTAGCACTATATGGGCGACGACCAGCCTGAGAACCGTTACCGCGGGGCGTCGGGCTGTGCGAACCCTCACTCTTGCTCATGGGCTTGTTGCGTGAACTTGAGCGCGCAGGCACTGGAAAAGGCGGTCGTGCTGCGTGATTAACAGATCCAATGCTAGCCTGACTTGGGCTACGAGACCGCATGTGTGTCGCAGTGCCATTCTGGATCATGGCAGATCGCCGAATGCTCGGCTGACGGCTTAACGAAGTCCGCGCAGGTTTTCCGATCTTGGCTGGCCTTTCGAGTGAGTTGCGATCGGCCACGTGCCGTTCAGCGACGAAGGAGTCTTCAGAAGGCCTTGAGACTATCTCTGCTTCCGTATCTTCTGGAACCGGTGTAGGAGGGTTGACTATGCGCCTGTTCTTTGCAATGCGTGAGGAGAAAACAGGAGTGGCAAACATTGGAACTCCGAATTCGTCGTCACTATCATCAGCGTGTTCTTCTTCATCAGAAGATGGGCCATCAAACCCAGCGAACAGACTGCTTGTACGGAATGGCATGCTGAGTATCTCGGTTTGGTGCTGTTGAGTCAAACGACCGCCGTTGTTGTTCTCATAGCGATTTTCATCCCTATCTTCCACTGTCTGCTCAAGCCGAGACTTGAGATCTTGACGAGCTAGCGATCTTCTAGGGATTGGTTCTACGTTATCGGGAATAGAAAAATAGGCATCTTTCCCAGTGTCGTTGCTCATCGATTGGCGGTCCCCTTGAGGCTCAGGAGTGCCAGGGTGAGAAGAAATTGAAGAAGGTAGAAGGTGTGGGGGAAGCTTGATGGAGCGATTATCAATCCTGATTGGCTCAGTCTGCATGCCAAATGATCGCATCGGCGTTGCGAGATCATTCGATGTCTGCGTAGATGTAGTTTTTGTACCTGGCGGAAGGATCGGAGCTCCTTTCGGGGATGACGGAGCTGACGTTGGCGCATGTATAGCGATGGACGGGATTGATACTGACGCTGGTGGCGGAGCCCTTTTGCTTGTGACCTCTGGCTCTTCAAGAAGTTCTGTCTGAGTGGAAGTTGAGATAAGTTCTGCCTTGAATTCGAACGAGACAGGCGATGCAGGAACGGTTTCAATGACCTTTGGGGTTGCAGGAGGACTCGGTGGATGCTCGACTGTTTGCACGGAGCTGGACGTCATACAAGGCGTAAGGCTGATACTCAGTGGTGAACCTGAAGTGACTGGCGGCATGGAGGTACGCTTTCGACTTTGATTAGCCTCGACCTCTGCAGCGGTCGATGAACTATCGTGTGGTTTCGTATGAACTGGTGTTTCGGTAGTCTGCGATGAAGCCTCGACCATGGGTATGCGTTTGGGAGATGGAGGAGGCGACGGTTGTACACCCGTATCAATATATTGCGGCCTTGTTGGTGGGAAAATCAACGTGATCCCTCTGGGCGTCATGGTGACAGTCGACTGGGATGTTTCTTCTGGGTTGTTCGATTGCCCATGCTCTCCAGTGATTGCAGAGTTGTTGCTTAATCCGAGGATGCGTTTCGCCTTGTCGTCTGGGCATATCGATTGCCGTGTCTCGAGATTCCTTCTTGCTCGCATCTCGTTTTCAGGGAAGTCATCAGAGTCAAGCTCTAATTCTTCAAGGTCCTCCTCTTCTTCGTCAAAGATGAGCTCGTCCGCTAAGCTAATTCCATTCCCTCGGCCTTGCCCATCGGCGCTGATCAAAGACATGCGATAATTGCGTCCAATACTCCTGTAGCTACTGCTGCTCATGTTTCTTGAATGTCGTCCGACCCGAGTTGACGGTCTTCGTCGTGGTGATGAGTTTATGCTGCCTGCGTCGCTTTCAGGACCGATGCGACTGTTGGGCCTCGCATCCTCGCCTTCGGCCTCCAATTCAGCCTCCTCTTGGGCAGCTTCCTGCAAAGCAATCTCGTTTAGGAGCATTTTCAAACGGCCTTCAGAGATGTTCACTTTTCGCTCGAGCGATTGCTTCTGTTCTGCCCACACCTCCTTCTCACGCGCCCACATGTCATGAACCATAGTCGAATCATCGTCCTGACTGCGCAGTTTCTTCTGTGCAGCTTCAAGTTTTTGTTTCAAATCCACGTTGGATTCCTGTGCTTTGTCTCTATCGCCAGCGATTTCTTCCAAAGCAGCTGTGGTCTCATTTTCAAAATGCTGAAGCTGGCGCTTGGCCACTCGAGTTTCTTTGGCGGATGACGATGCTTGCTTCGCCAGTGTATCGTTCTCGTTTCGCACAGTGTGAAGATTGGTTTCGAGATCTTCGATGAACTTGTGCTTCGAGTCTAGTTCTCTCCGCAGATTCAATATCTCAGATACTAGGTTCGCGTGAAGGGTGGGAGTAAATCGACGGGGATCGAGGATGGAAATGTTCTCGTTATTGGCTGCATCGTTAAACTCAGACTGCGTGTCTGACGGGAAGGGGGCTGGTGAGCTAGAGAGTTCGCTTGCTGGCGTGCCATATCTTGAAGTTCGCCGGGACATCGAATGATATGGAGTGCCTGCAGGCGAGGGCAATGGTTGATTGGTGATGAAAACCTCATTGTCAGAGAAGTAATCGGTGACCATCTTAAAAGAGTCACAATTCGAGTTGGCGGTGACGATTTATGCAAATGAGACTTGTCGATGACCACAGCCAAGCTATGCTGTGAAAAGAATACGATCTAATACATGTCCTGAGCAAGGTTAGCGTCTGCCTAGGAGAAATGACTATGATATATTGAGATGTCCCAAATTGGTTCTTTCCGTGATCCGTTGACCGGCTAGTCATACGAACGGCAATTCTCAATTCGGGGACATGAAATTAAGAACGCGACATCTGGGACATTTTTACATACCAACTACGTCTTCAAGCTATGTGCAAGTGCAAAATGGCCTCGACGTGCGCGCAAAATCGTAAAGGACAGGATCGTTGAGATGACAGTGTTGATGGAGGATGTCCAGGGGTGGTATCAACTATGGCCATGATCAATGCTGGGTACACACAAGATTCTAGACTCGACTAACAGCGGGCGGAAAGGAATTTGACAGCGGGATCTTGGAAGAGTGGAGCACCTACAACATGAATCTGTGGTAACTTATGCAGAAGACAGTGCCTCAATGATAGAAGCAAACGGTATCTTCCGGACTTTTGGTATTATATGCAAGGACAGCGACAAGAGCAAATACAAGGAGCGACGGGGATGGATTACTTTTCAATAGGAAAGAAGAGACACTTTCAACGACAAAAAACACGCTCGAAATGAGGGATACCCACAGTGTCGTCAATTGCACAGAGTGGGAGGAGAGGGAGGACGGAGAAGATGAGGGGACAGAGAGCGATCTGAACATGGACTCACGGATCGCCCATGCATCAACTTCGCTCCCGGGCACGCAGGCACAAGTCTGCACGGCCCTCGTGCGGATACGGGAAGAGCAAGGCCAAGTCGGCGCGATGTCTGTGCCATGTCAAAGTGATAGTACCGGTATCCCTGAGTTCGCACATTTTATGCATGCTCCAAGTTGACGAACACAAGGCTTCCTGCATAGAGACTTCCAGGGTCTGGAGCGCATCCACGCTATTGGCTTGGGCATTTCCACTTTTCTTCCATTTCCAAACTTTATTGGCTTGATACCAAAACGTCCAACGTTCACGCCAGCGGCCGGCCCATGTGTTAGCGGGCAGAATGAAATTACCCGGCTAGGGTGGTTGACGATCGGACTCGTATCACCATCCGCAAGCATATCATCCAACATATGGCGCCTGCATGTTGGGTGTGATTGCGTGCCGAAGCACGTCTGTGAAAGAGTATTGCGGGTGATGCAGGAAACGGCTGGCTCCCAGCAGACGTTGGGAATTGCCCGCGCACATTATGCGAAATGAACCTTGTTGTCTCCGATGATTGGCAAGGAGCTCACGCTATCCATAAACTCGCCGCTACATTATGCCGTGGCGGCGGGTTATGATTCCAAGTTTCATCCTCCACACCCGTGCCGCAGGCCTGACCATCCCGGAAAGATACAAATCAAATGGGAGGCGTGGTCTGGCTGTGGCCGAAGGACTGCAATTCGGAGCGCCACCGCCTTGCGATCGCGACCGTTGTGAACGATCTCTGGTCACGACTAGTGGGTGTGGTATCAAGTTGCAGCCCAACTTTTGACTCGTGGAATCGTGTTTGAAACCCTTCGTTGAGCAGGGGTTGAGGTGCTGAGCGAAGATTGAGGACAGTCCAACGAAAGGGGAGCAAGGCCATGGATCGTACAACGGCAACTATGTCACACTTACCTGCAAGCCATACTCAGTCGGCGAAGAAGCCGAGAGAGTTTAGATCGGCCACAAAGTTTCCCGAAGATGGTAGAGCCATCGGGCGCTCTCCGTGGCGTATCAGAGGTGAGATATTGCAATACAAGAAGCTTCCGCACATTCGAAGACTTCGTACCATGGCGAACTACAGCCTCAAAGGGTAAGTAGACAAGCATTCTAACGCGACTTGCTGACAGCGGTTCAGGTTGCTGGCAAACAAGTCAGCGCGTGTCGCGTCTACCAGCAACGCGGCAATGACGCGGTCCAATCTCGAAGGCTGGGCGCCTCTAATTTTGCTTCCAGAGGCGGAAATGTCCAAGCACAGTCTATCCTCAATAGGGGAGGGTCTGTGTGTCTGCGTGTTGTCGTGTTGGTGCAGTGTCTCTTCTGCGAACCGCGGATAGCTGCAGCTGCAGGGAGTCTCGGAAATCCCTAGTGCGCTCCTCTAGGATAGCCTTGTCCCAATTTCTGTCCCCACGACAGGCCTCCTCGGCATGCTTTTTGAGACGCCCCTCTGGTTTGCTTTTGCCGTAGCCTAACGTTTCCGTGGTCAGCCTGGCGAGGATGATGAGCGAGGGGCAGCTTGATGACCCCACATGTAGTTGACTAAGCGAACATGTACAAAAAATTCAAGGTCGACAGTTGAGAAAGGTGCGACCTGCGAAAAGCAGCAACATACAAATCGACAGAAAACCTCAAGTGTGAAAGACATGGCACAACAATCGCCTCAAAATGGCGCGCAACAGCTGTCCGCAGAAATGCCGCCAGCCATGGCAGAGATCAAGTCGCAGAGCGTCGACGAGGTGTTGAAAGAGATGAACCGAATGCCACTTTTCATGACAACACTGGACGAGACTGATGGTGAAGGAGGCGAGAACATGATGCTTGAGGCGCTGAAGGCCATGGCGTACGAGGGCACTCGAGCAGAAATTGCGGAGAACTTCCGACAACAAGGAAACGAGTGCGCGAGAGCAAAGCAATGGACCGATGCGAAGGAATTCTATGACAAGGCGATAGCTGCGTTGAAGGGTCCACAATCGAAGCCAGACCCTGAGGCAGAGGGCCCTGGGGTTATTGAGGTCGAGCTTGACGAGGAAGAGGAGGCGAAAAAAGAGAAGGTGATCGAGGAGGCGTGTTATGTGAACAGGGCGCTGTGTAACCTCGAGAAGAGTAAGTGCGTGCGGTGTTGTGTTTTCATGGTTCTCACTTCATTTATGTGATGGAACGAGCGCTGCAAGAGACAGGCATGATCCCCGACACATCACAATCTGCCCTGACGATTCACTATTTCTGGTTGTGTATGCATTCGTATTGCTTGCTAAAACCGCCTCAAAAAGTTTCTATCCAAATACGTCCTACTGACACCTTCAGAAAACTACCGCTCCTGCATACAAGACTGCGCATCTACTCTGCGCGTCAACCCTTCAAATGTAAAAGCCTTCTACCGCTCCAGCACCGCCTGCCTCTCCCTAGACAAACTCCCCGAAGCCCTCGACGCCTGCGACCGCGGCCTCGCGCTGGATCCCACCAATGCACCGCTCAAGGCCGTCAAGACCAAAATCTCCGCCCGGCAGACGCATCTCGCCGCCCTCGAAAAAGCACGCCGCGAGCGCGAAGAAAAGCTCGCTTCGGAACGCGCAACCCTCGCTCTCGCCCTGAAAGCACGCGGAATCTTGACCCGGAAGACCGACCAACCGCCCGATCTAGAAGACGCAGCAGTCAAGCTAGAAAATGCCTTCGACCCCTCATCGACTCTCCACTTCCCAGTCATAATCCTCTACCCGACAGCTGGCCAATCCGACTTCATCAAAGCCTTTTCTGAGAGAGAGAAACTCGACGAGCATCTCGAGTATATATTCCCCTTACCCTGGGATACGGACAACGAGTACACAGTAGGCAGCGTAGAGGCGTACATGGAGACAGTAGCGGGCGGGTTGATCAAAGTGGGCAAGAAGATGTCGCTGGGGAAAGTATTGGGGAGTGGGAAACCAGAAGTTGTGGATGGGCTGGCGAAGATCAGTGTTGTGCCAAAGGACAAAGCTGCTGGCTGGATCGAGGAGTTCAAGAAGAGGAGGGGCAAGAATTGAGAACATAGAGGCGAGGATTTTGAGACCGTATTCGACTAATGGCTCGAGTTGGGTATAGAACGCGTAGATACCACGTCACAATGGGCAAATCCCCACGGCTATGCTCTCTTCTCGGACTCTCCCCCCATATATGTGGTTCTAGCAGTATTGTTCAGTCGCAGTGCTTCGTTCGCCAGCTAGATTGAAATGTTCTTGAGGTCAAATGCAAATGAAATGAGCAAGGTCCAAGCGGATTCAAGTGGCGTCGAAAGTATGGGAGGAAGTTCAAATGTTGGATTCAGATATATGAGTGTGTCAAATATGTACAACGAATGTGAATGGTGATTCACAACATCATGCACTCTGTTCCATCTCTGCAGCACAAACTCACACGTGTAAATACACCAGCCTAGCAAGTCGCAACCTTGGGGCCTGGAACAGTGTAGTTGGTGAACTGGTTGTAGATGTTTGCAGTGTAGCCGGGATCAGTAGCCTTGACGTGACCGGGGATCTTAGTAGTGGGTGTAAGGCTCTTGGAGCCCGCACCCGTGACCTTGACCTGAGCACAGCTGATGTAAAACTGAGGAAGACCGCCGGGGTTGTGGATGGCCATCTGCTCAATGCGCAGGAGGTACTCGCCAGCAGCAACGCAAGTGGGGATGGTAGTGGAGTATGTGGCTGCTCAGATATTAGTGATGGGCTCGGTGTGTCAAACTGAGGGACTGACCATTCATGTCCCATGTAGCCTGGCCGTTGGAGAACGTAGGGCCAATCTCCTTGATCTTGAACCAATCCGTAGACCCATCTGCAGCGGCCGCGCTGCTGACCTTGGTCATGTAGAAAGTAACAGGTCCCTGGTGGTAAACAGCCTGATCGGCGGTGAAGGACACGGTCGAGCCAGCTGCCACTGAGACAGTGGTCGTTGAGGCTCCACTTGCACCTCCAACGTTGCAGCGCAGGTCGGTGGACGCAAGGTCGGTGACGGGAGAGTTGTTGTTCGTGTTGGGCCTGATGTTCTGATACTGGCCACCCTTCTGGCCGTTGGCGGTAAGGTACTGGAAGATGTCTGATAGTGTGAGTTCGTGAGACCCCTTAAGAATAGTTACAACGTACAGTGACCCTGAGCAACCTCTGCGAGGGCTGCAAGGAGCAAAGTGGCTGCTGCGAAGGACTTCATGGTTGGACTGTAGCGGATGAAAGAGAGTGTATTGGTATAGGGTTGTGATGTTTGTCCAAGGCGCAGGACTCTACCACTCTTATACTCTTTCTCCTTGATGAGACTGCCCCCGGAACAACTGGCCCCGCATCACCAAAGCTCATCTATCCTGCAGTAATTTGGCAAAACGTCTTGATTGAATCAAGCATAGACATCCAGACGCGCGAAGATCACGGGGTTGGTGACCCGCAATATCGGTTAACGAGCCGGGTCGTCAGGCGAGTTGCTGGTAGGGCAAGCAATATCGAGGGTATGCATGCCACCAAATCCGCGAATATTGCTTTGAGCGCTCATATTTAAACACCTGGATCAGCCAATGCTGCGGTAGAATGGATAAATAGCAAAGGTCGAATGTATTCTCAACACATCCATGCTACCGAAAACTCAATTCTCAGTAGGTATACAAACTGCGTCATTGAAAAGTTGAAGTTCGAGTCGTCGAAACTTTCTGTGTTTCGAACGCTACTGGGGCGACGCAGGGATATCTATGTTGAGTTGACTACTCCACAGTAATTATCATGACAGTCGAAACAGAGAAGGAGAAGTTCTACAGGGTCTCCTCATTTCTTACGAAACATTTTTTTACATGCAAGACCCACATATAGTGTGTCAGGAAGCAAACGAGGCTGTAGACTGCTCTGAATGGATGAAATGAAGTTGACGGCGCTACGCTGCGTGTGGGAGATAGATTGACTTATAAACAAGCAAAAAGCATCAGAGAAATGAAAATCGGAAAAGACGGGAAGAGTTGAAAACTAAACCGGGGAATTTATACCTACCTTGTTCATTAATAGCGTCTGGTCATACGTCGATCGTGTTTTGTTGTTTTTGCTGGTGTTTGCTGAGTTGACCAGCTGTGATCAACCTAACACTACAACCCTCAAAGTGGTGATACAACCTGCAAACGCCATTTCGCAGCTGGAAATTCTCAGTTCATATCTTTAGTTAAAGGATGGTTGTAGGCCACGCGTCTGGAGTCCATCGCGGACGTTGGTAGAAGGCAGAACGACCAGGTGTTGGAGCGACGCATCATCCGAGCACAAGTCGTTGCCGCGGAGTAACGTTAAGTTCACCATAATCTGCCAGAACTTGCGCGCTCATTGTTGCTTAGTAAACACCTCTTGTCGTGATTGCAGACAATTTTCGTCGCAACGATGACGCGGTTGAGCTTCCATGACAACGGCTCTCGCAGCTTTCGCAGTGACGGGACAAGCCTGGAGGTTGAGATGCACGCAAACGCATCAAATAGTTACAAAAGCGGGGTATTGCGCCTACACATCCCCAATTGACTAGCCCACTAATCCCGCTCAGGAATGTCGATGCGACACCGAGATACGGCAGATCCACTATCTTATCGACATCTAGTTGTGCTCTAGGTGTAGCAGGCGAAAATGGGCACGTTAGGTAACAGACGCAGGCTCGGTGGATCCTCACTCAGGCCGCGACGGTAGAGAAGATTCTATAAATCCAAGGTCAAGCCTCATCCTTTGCCAACGAACTTTCGAATTCGAAATTTTGAACCCTTGCTCTACTCGAAGATGTCGACACAATTCGCCACCGACACAACATCACAGGCCGCCAAAACGGTGGCCTCACATCCTCTTGCGCCGCTCTCAGAAGCGGAGATCACGACAGCGGCAAGCATCATCAAAGCTTCGTGGCCAGCACCCACAGATCTACAATTCAAAGTTGTGACGTTAGAAGAGCCACCGAAGAGCGAGGTCCTGCCGTATCTGCAGGCAGAACATAGTGGGAAGACACGACCTACTGTTTCGAGGAAGGCATTTGTAAACTATTACATCAGAAATACCGTGAGTTCAAGAATCAGGACTGAAACAGGGCGGCTGTTGTTGACAAGAACAGAACAAGTACCACGAAGCAGTAGTGGATTTGACCTCTGGTCAAGTAGTACGAAATGTTCTCCTTGGCCCGTTTGTTCACGCCAACTTCGACGGAGAGGAAATCATGGCCATTGAGAAGCTCGTGTTTTCAGACGAGAAAGTAGAAGCTGAAATCGCGAAATTGAACCTCCCAGAAGGCACAGTAGTCGTCACAGACCCCTGGATCTATGGCTCTGATGGTATCGACGACTCGGACAGGCTGGCACAGTGTTTCCTTTATTTGAGAGACCCCAAGAATTCCTCAGAAGCCGACTCGAACCATTACGCGATGCCGCTCCCAATCTCACCTGTTGTCAGCACAGAGAGTATGAAGGTTGTTCGAGTCGATATCATGCCAACAGGTACGGATAACACCATTAAGCCACTTGGGCCGTACAAGATTCAGCCACCGAACGAGTACATTCCAGAAGCACAAACTCTGCGAACGGACCTGAAGCCTCTACATGTCGTCCAACCAGAAGGAGCTAGTTTCCAGGTCAAGCAAGAAGGCATGTCGAACGTCTTGTCGTGGCAGAAATGGAACTTCAGGGTTGGGTTCAACCAGCGCGAGGGCATGGTTCTGTACGACGTCCGATATGATGACCGCAGTCTGTTCTATCGCTTGAGCTTGTCGGACATGAACATTCCTTACGCCGATCCACGACACCCATACCACAAGAAGTCGGCTTTTGACCTCGGTGATGCAGGTGCTGGTATCATGGCGAACAACCTCAAGCTTGGGTGCGATTGTCTTGGGTCGATCTACTACCTGGATGCGGTTCTCTCGACCGACAAGGGAGGCGTTATTGAGATGCCCAATGTAGTGTGCGTCCACGAGCAGGATGCCGGCATTCTCGCCAAGCACACTAATTATAGGACAAACCGAGCAGTCGTCATTCGATCGCGGGAGTTGGTGTTGCAGTCGATCATCACCGTGGCAAACTACGAATACATCCTCGCCTTTATCTTCGACCAAGCCGGACAGGTGACCTACGAAATTCGAGCGACGGGAATATTGAGCACCCAGCCCATCGATGAAGGCATTGACGTTCCGTTTGGCACCATTGTCCATCCCGGCGTACTCGCACCGCACCACCAGCATATTTTCAGTCTGCGCGTGGACCCCATGCTCGATGGCTCCAACGACAACCGCCTCGTTTACGACGAAGCCCTCCCGATGCCACGCTCAGACTTCAATCCCCACGGCACCGGCTACTACGTGCAAGAGACTGTGATCGAAAAGTCCGGTGGCTACGACACCGCATTCGAGAAGAACGGCACTTTCAAGATTCAAAACGCGAGTGTGCGCAACCCCGTCAATGGCAAGCCCGTTGCGTACAAGATTCAGGCCCCGCCGTTCCAGAAGATTTTGTCAGACAAGGACAGCTTCAACTACAAGCGCGCCGAGTTTTCAGACCACAACGTCTACGCCGTGAAGTACAAGGATAACGAGCTGTACGCTGGAGGACTGTACACCAACCAGTCAAGAGGCGGGACCGGTGTGCGGTCATGGGCTGAGAGGAACGAGGACATCAAGGATTCGGACTTTGTGCTGTATGTGCAGGCTGGTATTAACCACGTACCCAGAATCGAGGTAAGAACATCACCCCCCGCCCCCCCCCCCCCCCCCCCATTTTGGTCTGAACTGTAGCTGACATGAAGTAGGACTTCCCGATCATGCCAGCTGAGATCTTGAAGATTCACATGAAGCCTGTCAACTTCTTTACTAGGAACCCGGCGCTGGATGTTCCGCCTAGTGAACAGGGCTTCAACAAGAGTACGCTGCTGAACAAGCAGGATGGGCAGGCGGAGCAGCATCACCAGGCGAGTGTAGTGGGAGTAGTCGGTGAGGATGGGACTTGCTGTACGCCGAAGCTGTGAGGGCTTGCGTTTGTGAACAATGTTGTTAGACGGTGGCTCTTGATTAGTCGAAATATATGAAATCAAGTCACATTCTTTAATAGGTAACGCGACTTGGCAAAAATATGATATGTTAAAAGTAAAGCTCTTTGGGACTGTATTAATAATATGTAAGGCGTACAAGTATTACTTTAGTTTTGCGTGCGATTCGAATATTTTGAGTGACTGAGAGTATGGTGTTAGTCGTATTTAATGTTGTCCAAGAATCTGGATGTTGTGGTTTCAATGATGAACGTAGTGATGTTTTGGTTTGTGAACATGATGATAAGAATATAAAGATTCAAATTCAATCATGTTTTATTGTTTTTAACGACATACAGAGCTTAGTTACGTCCCTCAAGCAGCTTCTGGAGAGACACGCCAAGGCGCGCTAGTGTTGAGCTCTAGCAGCATCGCGTTCGCGAAAGAAGACCAGCTCTCAACCTTCACGTACACATTTGCATTTCCTCAACTCTGCTACCATATACGACGATCTCTACAGTAATACTAGTCACACTCGTTCGACATGGCGCCAAACGACAAGGCTGGTCGCGTTGTCTTCATTGGGAACATTCCTTATGGTAAGCCATCTCCCTCACCGCGCATGCGCATTGCTTACACATGGACAGGAGGAACCGAGGAACTCATCATCGAAACGCTCGGCCGTGTCGGAAAGGTCAACAACTTTCGCTTGGTGTATGACAAGGAGACGGGCCGGCCGAAGGGCTTTGGCTTCGCCGAGTTCGAAGACGCCGATGCAGCAGCCTCCGCCGTGCGCAACTTGAACGACTACGATTTGATGGGTAGGAAACTGAGGGTCGACTGGTCCAACGACAACGGTTCCGGCGACAACGCGCCCTTGAACCAGAACCCCCCACACGCGATGATGAACGGGCAGCCTCCAGAGCAGGCGCAGACACAACAGGCAAGCGCGTTGGGCCCTCTTCCACCAGGCGTCGCTCTGCCGCCCAACCTCACCTGTCCCGACGCCATTTCGCGCACATTGTCCACGCTTCCTCCAGAACAGCTGCTTGATATTCTCTCGCAGATGAAGGGCCTCGTGATGACCGATCCAGGCAAGGCGACAGAGCTACTACGGCAGGCTCCCCAGCTGGCCTACGCCATTTTCCAGTCGCTCCTTCTCCTCCAACTTGTCGATCCGCAGATATTGGGCTCCATTGTTGAGTCGCAGCCAGCAGCCCCAGCGCCAGTAGCACAACTCCCACCCGTACAACAACAACCCCCGCCAGCACGACCGCCCATGAACTACCCTGTGTACCCACCACAAGCAGCTCCCACACCCCAGCCCCAACCGCCTGTCCCACAGCCGTACGCACAAGCACCCACCCCACAGACATACGCACAAGCGCCTCCTGCGCAGCCGGCACCAGTCGCTATGGACCAGCAAGCGCTATACGCGCAGGTCATGGCATTGACGCCGCAGCAGATTGACCAGCTCACGCCAGAATACCGTGCCCAGATTATGCAGATCCGACAGATGCTGATGGCTGGAGGACGACCATAGCGTGGGCCCGCGGATGGGAGGTACAAATGATGGGCCGCGCTGAGCGTGGGAGTTCGTGGGCTGGGGTTTTATCGGGCATTCTGGCGGACGCTGAAATCACGTTGAGGGCCAAGTATTCCAAAATGTCGGTGTCGGTTGTACACGAAGTGTTGAGAGCTTTTAGCGCTCCAGAACGTGACGTGAGGATCAGATTTCTAGAATTGGCTATGATGAACGCTGAGGCCGTGAGAAGGGAACGTTGGATGGCAAGGTTGCATGCGGGGGGAGAGAGTATTTTTGGCGAGTAGAGTTTGGAGGATTCGGAGACCTGTCTGGACTTGTGTTCGGATGACGACGTTGGTGGGGATTCTTGTGAAGGCTCACCGGAAGGAGCATTGATAGAGATTGACGAGGATGCGCCTGAGATGGCGGAGCAGGGTCCTATTTGCTGTGGTTGTACATATTCCATCAACAAGACTGGGGCAGTTTCAATGGACAAAGTCTCAGCATTTCTGGTGTGTTTGTGTTTGTGTGCTGTGTTTTGTGCATGATGGGGTGAAGATATCCTCTAGTAATGCCATCCAGCTATGCATGCATTGTGTTTAAAGCCGCACGCGCATATCCACTATCGGACGTGTCGAGGGCGATGCTGGGTCGCCAACGCAAACGGACATGGGGGCAGCTGCAAGTCATCAGAATGGCGGTTCGGTGTGGAGTAGCAAAGGCGATGCTACGTCGACCAACGCGGTCAGGCGTGGAGATGGACGAGCCGGTCAAGCTTGCGCACAGAGCACAGAGCTCTTTTGGGCAGCCGCGGTGGCGGGAGGACGCGTTGTTGTGATTGGGGCCCAGCCATCTCTATGGGCGCCGATCAGTTTCCCTTGGCCCCCGGCGACAGCTCATTGATTGCATCTTGCACCTTCAGCTTGGTTGCACACACCAGCACCAGCACCATCATCAGTGAGAGGCTGCACCGGGCGCCTCTATCTCCCGCGCATATACCCCCGCTGCCGCGCACACAGCGACTGCACCTGCCGCCGCGACATGACCGCTTGAGCGCATCGCTCTCACTTGCAGCCAGCGTCGCAAACACGATACCCAGCGTGAAGTGCAGATCCAGATTCCCGATTCCAGAGTAGCCCCCGGCGTCCCCTACGCCGCCCACGCATCATCGATTGTGCCGCCGTGCAGCCTGACGCCCGCGCACCATCGCCCCTTCCCCCATTGCACATCACCCAGACGCCATTATGTGGAGCCGCTTCACGGGCAAGAGCGAGAGCAGCTCCTCCAAGGACGACGACGGGCGCCGCCGCAGCGACTCCAGCAGCACGCGTTCCAAGCGCGACGACCGCGACCGCAACCCGGACGCACGCTCGGTCGTGTCCTCGACCTCGACGCGCAAGCCTCGCCGCACCGACACGGCGCCCTCGTCCATTGCCTCGTTCACGACGGCGTTCGACGACATGCCGTCGCCGCGCTCACGTGCCATCGACGACCTGTACCAGGACCCCCGAGACGAGCGCAGTGGTGCACGGCGACGCGACGAACGCCCAGCGAGCTACGCGGCGCCGTCGACCTCTGCAGCGCGCCGCGACGACAAGGACGGGAAGAAGGCCAAGGCCAAGGACGCCGACAAGGAGCGGACGGGCGACAAGAGGACGACGACGACGCGCTCAGGCAGCCTGTCACAAGCCGGACCCAGGGGCGACACGGCCGACTTCTCGCAGTTCCCCGGCCAGCCAGGCGCGTCCTCGATGATGTCGGGCGCATTGCCGCCGCCGCCCATGGGACGGCCTGTGACGAGCCACGTGCAGGACCAGTTCCCCGGCCAGAATCCCGCCCACTACGCCTCGAGCGCCATGCCCGGCCGCAATCCCTTTGGTGCTGCTGCCGAGTTCTACGACGACGATGGCGCCTCGATCCACAACCAGCCCGGCGTCCGGCCCCAGCCGCCCTCAGTCATCATCGGCCAGGACACGCCTCACCTGGCCCCTGCCGCCGCACACGCGAACCCCGTTGCCGACACTGGCTCGGGCACTGCGGCTGACTTTTACTCGACCCACAATGATACCCCCCCTTCCAAGCCCCCGCGACCTTCTTCTCTGTCTGGGCCTTCTATGCATGGCCATTCTTCTATGCCTGGTGCCTTCGTCGACGACGGCCCCACGCCCCACAAGCCCGCGCGACCGAGCAACGCGAAGCCTGAACGCCCAGGCTCCCTTGGCTCGGCCGCCACGCTGGCTGGCGGAGCTGCCCTTGGATACGCCATGGGCCACAGCTCGTCTAATACCCACCCTTCTGCTGCACAACACTCCACGAGTTATAGCTCGTCTAATATCCACCAGTCTTCTTCCCATCAGTCTGCTAATTACGCCAATGGTGCACCGGGCCCATCCTACACCAACGCACCTTACAGCGCTGGGGCGCCTGGCCCATCTGCGTCCATGTACCATCAGGGCCAACACCCATCTAATACCACTGCCAATGGCAGCCACCTCCCCGCCTACAACGAAGCCATGCAAGGCGCACCTCCCCCCAAGCCGCCGCGCCCTGGAAAGTCAGGAAAGCACTCCTCTGCCAGCTCACACGCTGGACTGCACACTGCTGGAGCTGCTGGCCTGGCAGCTTATGGCCTACACAATCACAACTCCCACTCCAACGTGCATCACAGCTCGCACAACCATACCTCCTCATTGCCTGGGAACATGCCGGGGCATCAAACTGGTGGCTATGGCCACGGCCCCTCGTCTAGTACTTTCACTACCGGCGGCATGGCTCAACAGCACCAGCACCAGCATACAGGCCCCGTCTCCAGATTTGTCGACTGGTGGAAGGACCACGAAGACGTCCAAAAGATGGAGGAGTACACCGAGTACATTGGTGTCTGCAAAGGCTGCTTCGACCCCCGCTCTTCCGTCTTGGATGCGCCGCGTAAGCATCACTACCACCGCAAGCGCTCCAACGAGTACCTACGACCGTCTGGAGGTATCGAGAAACACTCTCGGTACTCCCTGAAAGAGAAGAACTCCCGCACTTCATTGTCCTCTAGCGACGAGAAGCGCAGGAAGAGTACTGGCGCTGCAGGCTGGATGGCAGCAGGTCTTGGAGGAGTCGGTCTCGCCAAGGTTGGAAAAGCGGTATGGGACGCTTCTCGAGATGACTTCGACGACACTTACAGCATCAAATCTGGACGTTCCGAGCACTCGAGACGCTCACGTCGCAGCCGCAGCAACTCTCGCGAGCGCAAGTACTACGAGTATGGCGCGTCTGAGATTCGGCACCGAAGCACCTCTGCGGATAGGATGTCGATCATGTCAACTGGCGTCACGAAAGACAGGAAAGACTACAAGATTGCTCAACGTCATTCGCGGTCAAGCTCCAGCTCGAGGTCGAGAGACCGCAAGTCTAAACGAAGCAGCGGTCTCGGAAAGGTCGTCGGCGCAGGTATTGCGGGTGCAGCGTTGGGTGCGGCGGCGAGGCGAAAGCACCAAAGCCGTAGTCCTTCTCAATCCCCTCGCCGGATCGTTGTGCAGCACCGAAGGGACAGCAGTGGCGATGATCGACGACGCAGGAGATCACAACAACAACTACGCCACAAGTCCTCTCGCAGTTCGACATCTGGAGCTTCGGTCATTGACATCTCGCAAAACCACAAGCCTGAGGGCGGTTTCCTGGGGGGCTTCTTTGCTCCAGCTCCACCCAAACTAAAGCGACGGAAGTCTGTAAGCCATAAGAAGAAGAGGACAGGGTTCTTCAACTTTGGTAATGCTTCGTCGTCATCGTCTGATTCTGAGATGGCGTTTGGCACGGGGTTTGTCAGGAGGCGCAGGCGATCGTCACCGAAGAGACGGAACTCTGACGAGCGTCTTCAGGCTACTCTAGCTAGCTTGGGTGCGACTGCGGCTGCTATTGCTGCTGCTAAAGCTGCACGGTCTTCAAGTAAACGCCTTTCCGAAGTCGTTGCTGTGAAGGATACTCGCAATGGACATAGAAGCAGTGATCGTCGTGTCTCGTCACGACACGGTGATGACGAATGGGAAGATCTGCCCGACGACATGTCTTCTGAGTCGTCTGACAATGCTGGACTTGCGTACGGAAATCATAGCCTGGTCAAGACCAAGAGCCAGGAGTCCCTTCAATCCAACGGATCTGGTACGAACAAATGGGGTTGGCGTTGGGGCTTTGGAAAGAAGAGGAGGTCGTCAAACAACCTCTACGATAACATCGCTACCACACCCCTCGTTGCCCCTGTCGCTCCTGGCCCTCCTCCATCGGCTGTTCATCCTGCCGCAACTGTTGCTTCTGCAGCAGTGGCTGGAACAGTGCCTGGACCGACAATCCATCATCGCGACAGCGAATCGAGCAGTGCGTTCACCTTGCAGACAGTATACCCTGTCGCTTCAAACGATCCTACCTCATTCGACGCTCGAAGAACAAGCTCTGTTCACACTCCTCAAGCCCAACCCCTCATGACTTCAGGTCCAGGCCCGATCAACATCCACCAACCTCAGCCCATGATCCAGGTCCCAGGAGCCATCTACTCCACCCAGTCTTCCCACCCGCCCAACTATGTCGCCCCAGCTGGTCCTCCCGTCTTCGCACAACTCCCAGACTCACGTCCCTACCCAGCACAGTTTCAGGCTCAGAACATCAACATCAATCTCTCACGACCTGCTCGGTCTCCTCTGCCCCCTGCTTTGCCTCGCCGCGCGAACTCATCGCCCGGCCAAAGCTCTTGGAGGCGTGATGCGGCCATTGCAGGATTGGCAGCAACTGCTGGAGCTGCCATTCTCGCTGCTGGGAGGGGCACAGACCGCCCTCCCAGCGCTGGCAGCAATGTGCGGTTCAATCTGACGAGGGAGCAAGTCGCGAAAGAGGAACGGGATCGCCAGAAAGAGCAAGAACGACAAGATGACAGCGACAGCCGTCGTCGTGAAGATCAGAAGAGAGAAGATGAGTCGCGCAAAGCGGATGAAGATCGTCGAAGATCGGAGCAACAACGACTAGAAGACGAGGTCCGTAGATCGGAGGAAGACCGTCGCCTAGATCAGATCCGTCGCGATGAGGAGGCCCGCAGAGCAGAGGACGAGCACCGTCGAGAGATGGTTCGACGCGAGACACAACAGCATGAAGAGGAAGAGCGTCGTCGTCTTGAACTCGTTCGTCAGCAGGAAGAAGCCAGCCGGTATTTGGAGGCAGAACGCCTCGCTAAGATCGAAACCGAACGACGCCTGATTGAGCGACGCCAAGACGAGGCTCGCATACGCGAGGCTCAGGCTCGAGAGGCGGAAGAGCGGGAGCGTCGAGAGCATGAAGCGAGAGCTGAAGCCCAGCGGTATGCGGATCTTGAGCAACAAGCCGCACAGATGCAGAAGGAGCGTCGTGATGCCGAGCGCCGAGAAACCGAACGCACCAATGCTCTGAGGCGCGAAGCGGAGCGACGAGAAGCTGATCGTATCGACACTGTACGCCGGGAAGCTGAGCGGCGCGAGGCCGAACGCGTCGAGGCCGAAAGGCGTGAAGCTGAGATTCGCGCCGACACCGAGCGCCGGCGAAGGGAACAAGAGTACGCTGATCGGTATGGCAGTGGCACCGACCGCGAACGACGAAGGATTGACCCACAGCCTACGGGAGACTCTGCTGTTTCGGTTGCTAGTGACGTGCGTCGCAAGGAACTGGAATTGGAGGAACGCGAACGCGATCTCGTTCAGCCTGACACTTTGAGGAATACTGCTGCTGGAGCCATCGCGGCTGGTGCTGCTGCGGCGATTACCAGCGCTGCCATCTCGTCCATCAAGGAGAAGGAGAAGGAGAAGGACAAGGCGAAGAGCAAAAGCAAGGACAAGACTAAGGAGAAGAGCAAAGACAAGAGCAAGAGTAAGGAGAAGAGTAAAACCAAGGAGCGGGAACTAGAGCGGGAACGAGACCGCGACCGCAGGCGTGACTCTGAATCTATGGTGACGGCCATCGAGGCTCCCAAAGACAAGGGCAAGGAGCGAGAACGAGATCAAGATCGTCTCCGTGACAGAGGTGATTCCGGATCGGTCGTGACGGCGATTCAATCTCCCAAGATTGACATCAGAGCAAAAGACCGAGATGGAAGCCGCGACATCAGGCGTGATTCGGACTCAATTGTCACGGCGATTCAGTCTCCCAGTAGCTCTTCCTCAGGTGCGAGGACGGTCCAGCCAAGCAATGTGAAGACATACGCGCCGAGTAACGTCAAGACCTATGAGCCAAGTCAGATCGCCCAGGACTACGCCGATGATGACATCTTCGACCCTAGCATCTTCAAGAAGAAGGAGACAACCCGCGACATTTTCCAGGACTGGGAAGACCGATACAACGCGAAGCCGGTGTCTCAAGCGGAGTTCTTTGCGCCGAAGGAGCTGCTCGAACAGAACAACCTGCCCAAGGTGCAAGCCGTAGACCCTAACGAAGGCGCTACTGATCTCCACATCTACCAAGCCCACGACGACGACGACGCATACAATCACCGCAAGACGCCGCCTTACCCTGCCTCCTACTCCTTCACTGCTACGAGGGACGGCCGTGGCTCTACCCAGCAGTTGAACTTCCCTGTGCCAGAACTCAATCTCATCCAAGCCACACCTCCCGGAAGCAGACCACCGTCTGTACGCAGCGTGTCTCTACCCCCATCACCTGCTATCGAGCCTAAGCCTGAGCCCAGGCCTGCGCCAGTCCACGCGCACAGTCTCGATGACGTGAACCGCGCGCGCTCGAGAGTCAGTTGGGGCGAGAATCAATTTCACCATTTCGAGGTTGCCACGCCGGATTCTTACCGCGAACAATTTGTGTCCGACGCCGAACTGAGGGAGTTTGAGCAGACGTACGCGCTTGATGAGTTGCTCGATGAGCCACAGCCGAAGCCGAATACGGCGGCTGGAATCATTCCTAAAGCTCCTCCTATGCCGAAGTCGATGGCGAAGGCGATTCCGAAAGCTCCCCCGCTACCCAGGTCGAAGTCTGAGACAATTCCGAAGGCTCCCCCACTACCGAGGACGATGTCTGACAGGACAACCAAGACTTCTCCGCTCAAGTCGATATCTACGCCGATACCCAGAGCTCCGCCGCCGAAGGGGGTTGCTCCAAGTACGCAGTACGTCTCTGATAGAGAAGGCGATTCGCAGTGGGAAAACATCACCAGTGCTCAGGCCAAGAAGATTGACAAGAACGAGGAGAAAGCTAGAGCTGCTGCTGCTGTCGCTTTTGCGGCGGCGGCTGCCACAGCAGCTGCCCTCACCCGGGATGAGCAGGATGAACGCGACGAACGGGATGAACGCGAGGAGAAGCGACTTTCTCGAGACGAGCGTAGTGAACGAGACCATCCGCGCGATTCCTCGCAAGACTGGAAGATGTACAATGCGTCAGTCGTCAGCAATCCCTTCTCAGACAAACACGCTGCACCGTCAACTGTTGCTCCCAACAGGGAGTATCAGTCTCCTCGCTACGAGTCGGTCGTCGATCTCAGTGAGCCGATCTATGGGCCAGGCGGGACCATTACAGAGCCAGAGCAGTTTCACATGCCCGGTGGATTCGTCGAGTCGCCCGCGATTGAGAAACCAGCCATGTTGGCGTCGGAAGACGAGTGGATCGCGCAGGCAAAGGGTAAGAACAAGGGTAAGACTACTAACGAGGATCCAGCAACGAGGCGTGTCGAGCCGAAGTTTGAGTCCGCGAGGGAAACAGTGAGGAGGTCTTTGTCCGAGCAGGAAGCCAGGAGGGACAATGCAAAGGCCAAGGCGGCGAACCGTTATAGCGTGGGGAGCGTGGATACGTGGGAGGGGAGCGATGTGAGCACGTCTAGCCCGGTTGATGAGCGCGAACGCGAGCGCGAGGATCGCAAGCCCGAGCCTTCGTATCCTTTTGTGCAACATGTTAGGAGCCCGGGGTCTGTGCATCTTAGCGATGCGTCTCGTGAGCGGGAGGCTGGCGTTGTGCAGCCTGAGCGGCCTTCTGGCCCGTCGCGCGAGGTCACTGCTGTTCAAGATACTCCGCGACCTTCCGGGCTATCACGCGAGGTGTCAGCTACTCAAGATACATCGCGACCTTCTGGTCTATCCCGCGAGGTGTCAGCCGCGCAAGACAACTCCCGACCTAGCGAGAGCGGCATTGGAAAAGCTACTATCGCCGCTATGACTGGTGGTTTCGCTGCTCTCATGGGTACGTCAATGAAGCAAGACCAAGAGCGGATGGCTGCGGACCTGGAACACGCTAGACACGAGCAGGAGTCTACAGAAAACAACCGCCATCACGACGAGTCCGTGTCTCCCCTGAGTAATGACCGCCCATCTGAGGGCCGCAGCAGAGCGCCCTCGATCCCCAACTATGCGTTTGAGGGTTCTGATGACCTACCCGACTCGAAGACGCCTAAGCGAAAAGACAGGAAGCGACACGGTAGCGGCAGATGGTCGCCCACTATTGGATCTCCGCTCAGGACTGAAGTCCAGTACGAAGACTACATGGGTAGAGACGTTGGGCCAGCTTTGTCGTTCGACCAACAGATGGTGGAAGCCCCCAAGGTGCCTACTGAGTCTGCCTTGGTCCACGCGCCTGAACCTCCCAGCTCGAGAACCGTCCATGATTCAGGGTACTATGCTCCGGATGACCAACCGCATGCAAAGCGAGACCTCGACGAGTTCTACTCGACTGGCGAGGATGAGAGACAGAGGGAGAAGGCGAATGGTAAAACGAGGGAGGAGGACAAGTACGATGGCTACGGCTCCGTGTCGCGCGGCAGGTACGAGGACGACGATGACAACATCAGTGCAATTGCACCTTACGACTCGCGATCGACCGCCTCTTTCAGAACCAGGATTGACGATGATGCGGAAACTTTCATCTCTGCGCTAGATGGGTATGATGATGACGATGTCAGCACAGTCATACCCGTGAAGAGCAAGCCTCAGGATGAGCTTGATCGCGAGGAAAGACATCGTCGCCGTCGGGAGGCAAAATCTCAAAGCCGCGAGCGAGGACATGGTGATGAGGATGACGGTGAGCGGAGGCGTAAGCATCGCAGCCGTGGAGGAGATGATGACTGGGACGAGAAGTCAATGGTTTCTGAAGTCAATGGCGAGCGGAGGCGCAAGCACAGGAGCAGGAGTGAGCGCGATGGATCGACGGAGAGTAAACGGAGGTCGCGATCTTCTGCCGTGTCAGAGATTGGCGACTTGAATTTTGGGGATGAAGAGAAGGCGCCTTCTCGCAGGAAGTCCTCAAGGCGGGACGATGATTTCGATGATGCCGCTTCCGTCATGTCCTCCTCTTCCAAGAGGAGGTCGTCGAAGCGCGACGACGACTTTGACGACAACGCCTCTGTAATGACTTCTTCACGCCATAATGACGAGCGGAGCTCACGGAAGGAAAAGGAACGGGAAAAGGAAAAGGAGAGGGAGAAAGAGAAGAAGCCGGCCAGTCTCTTTGGGGGCCTCTTCAGCAGGCCCAAGGAGAGCTTGCCCGAGTCTTCTTCTGGCAAGTCTTCCAAGTCAAAGGACGACAGCACCAACAACAACGATGACGAAGAGCGCAAGCATCGTAGGCGGAAGCATCGCTCGGATCGCGGCTCAGCATACGGCTCGGATGACGACGATGTGCGCTCGACCATTTCGTCCAGCGGCCGCCGAGAGAAGAGGAGTAGTGGAGAACGGAGGGATGAGCATGATGATAAGGTCCGTCGCTCTTCTTATGCGCGATAGTATATCGTGGTTTAATTGTCTTTTTGTCGTTCATGTTTGTTTTGAATGTATTTTAGAATGAATGTTGATGTTGTGTATTAGGCTCACTCACGCTCCCGCTCTCGCTCTCGCTCAACTTCACAATCTCGACCCTCTCTTTCTCAACAACAGCAACAGCAACAGCAGCAACAAGATCAGTCTTTTTTAGACGTAAGGGCAGTGGCCGAAGCCACACCGCTGCCCGCAGATGAGCCCGAAACCGTCGATCGCCCTGACGATCACCCCGATGCGTTGTTCCCCCCCACGCCCACGCCTACGCTTACAGGCATCGATCGCCCAACCACACCGCCCGCCCTCTCCGCCGAGGACAGTCGAGCCCTGCTAACGCGACTAACCGGTCTGCAGACATGGCAGCTCGCCGCCTTCCAAGACGACCTGCCCCCGCTCCCTGTCTCCCGCCCCTCGTCTCCGCTGTTCCGCCCCGCCTCCCCCCTTTCCCGTCCCTCCTCCCCCCTCCTATCCCCTTACTTGGCTCGCCCCTTCGAGCGCCGCCTCTCTTCTACTTCCGTCCCCATCCGCTTCCGCAAACCTGGCACGCCGCAGGAACCGGACTCGACGCCCGGTAGCAGCATTGGGATTACCAGCTCCCCGCTGCGCCGACATGGTAAGGCCAACTCGACGGAGTTCAAGTCCGGCAAAGAATTCCGCCCGCTGTACCTCGTCGAGCGCAACCGCAAGAGCGAGGATGTGGCGAACGAAGTCCTCCCCGAACTGCCCAACAGCCCCAGCACATCTACAGTGGGGACGGAAGCAGACGCCGAAACCAAGCATGAGCCCGTGATTGAGAGCCCGCGCGCCAGGGCGGCGAAGACTCTTACTTTCTTGCCCCCCATCCTGGCGCCGGAGGTCGTGCACCCTGAGCTGCGGGATAGACAGATCGAGGAGGTCGAGGATGATGATGAAGATGATCAGCCTACGCCCAAGGCCGCGCCTGCTGTGTCTGTGTCTGTGCCTATACCTGCGCAGAGCCAGACGGAAGGCCCGCCGCATGATGTTCTTATCGCTGCGCTTGAGCAGGCGCGCACGCAGACGCAACCGCAAGGTCTCGGCCTCTCGCAGCTCGATACTCCCGTTGCACGGTCGGTTTCCCCGGGCCTTGCGCCCAGCGCGCCGCTCGACGACTCGAAAATGCTGACCCCCTCTGCGTCGAGAAGCGAGGATATTAGTCCTGCTAAGTCGTCGAGCGCGCTGCAGGAAGCTGCGCTTGGAGCTGCGGCTGGTGGCGCGGTGGCGGCGCTGAGGAAGAAACTTGAGGCGTCGATGAGGAGTGGTGAGGCGTGGAGGTTGATTCAGGATCCTGAACCGGTCCCAGAGCCAGAGCTAGAACCGGAGCAGGAGTCTCAAACCACAGGAGATGAAGAACCGCTACCCGCGAAGGACAAGGGCAAAGGCAAGGCCATCGCGACGCCGCCTGCACCTCAACCTACATCCAAGCCCTTGCTCGATACCACCACCCTCGCGCCTCAACCCGCATCAACATCAACCGCAAAAGGCAAAGGCAAGAGCATCGCAGCGCACCTCCGCACCTCCGCGCAAGCTACATACTTACCCGCCTCGTCCTCATCACAGTACGTACCAACGTTCAACGACAACGAAGACGACTGGGCAAACCACAAAACCCGCTCCCTCATCACAGACGACGAGACGCTAGTCGGCGAAGCGCCGCCCCTGACCATCCTGGAGAAAGACGCGCGCCGCGAGAAGATCCTGGCGAGTACCGCGCCGGCGGACGCGGGGGATGAGATTGTAAGGCGCGTGGCTTTGGATAAACTTGGGGATGAAGTCGAGGTCGAAGTCGACGTCGTAGATGAAGTTACGGATGAAGTCGTAGATGAAGAAAAAAAGCCCACCACAGACTCCACCATCCTCACCCCTGAGCAGAAACTCGCCGCTCAGTCCCCCAAGCTAGACGACCGGTGGAGTCTGGTCGTTGCGGAACTAGAGTCTAGCGCTGCGAAGGGGTGGAAGGGTATCCGTGGGAAGCGGGCGAGTGAGCTGTTTGATTCGCCGCCTTTGGTGCAGGGGGAAGTTGAGGATGAGGAGAATGCGCTGCAGAGGACGTGGAGTGGGGCGGATACGCTGGTTGAGGAGGGGAAGAGTGCGGTTGCGTCTGCGTCTGTGCCTGCTAAGAGGGAGAGTGCGGTGAAGACTGAAGTTAAGCCTGAAGTGCAGCCGGAGCCGGAGCCCGCGAGATCGTCGTCGTGGGGTCAGGGCCTTTGGGGCGCTATTGGTTGGGGGAGGAAGAGGGGTGGGAGTGGGAGTGAGAAGAAGGCTGGGGAGAAGACTGAGAAGAAGAAGGCCGAGGAGAAGAAAACCGAGGAAGAGAAGCCCCAACCGAAACCCACTCCTTCCTCCGAGACTGCCGCGGACGTAGGTCCCGTGCGGGAGGCGGGAGAGAAGCGCAGACCGCCTTTGATTGCTAAGCCCTCGACTGCTGTGTTTGCGGAGAACGCGGCGCCTGCGTTTGTGAGCCCGCGGGATGCTGGGAAGGAGGAGGAGAAGGCCGAAGAGAAGGAGGAAGAGAAGGCCGAAGAGGAGGTGAAGAAAGCCGAAGAGAAGAAGGAGGAAGAAGAAAAGACCTACGACCCCATCCCCCGAACAGGTTTCTTCACCGACAACGGGAAGCCCGCATTTACCTTTCCACAAATCACCCTCCCCACCCCTCTTCCACAAGCGCAAGCGCAAGTCCAAAAAGAAACCAGCCCATCCACCCCCGCCGACGTCAACACCATCGCCCCACCGCAGCCCAGTGCCGCAGCTGATCAGGACACCCAGTCCAGCACTAACGAGCTTGTGAGTTCATCACCGCCGCACCGTGGGTTCTTTGTCGATGACGGCAAGCCAGCGTTTGTCTTCCCCGCGTCTGCACAACCTTCCCTGAGCGCCGCACCGGAAGGTGTCGATGTTGCTGCGACGCTACCCGCTGAATCGTCCACGCCTGTCGAAAGTATCGCGGACAGAGAGGTACCGGCGTCACCTGCGGCTAAGAAGACGAGGAAAAATAGGAAGAATAGGAAGAGTAGTGTGCTGGTCCCCCAGTCGGAGAAGGATGGATCGGTGGAACCCGTTGTGCCTGAACGAGGCCCTGGCGTTGAAGGCGAGGCGCGCGCTGTTGAGGAGGTGGTCGAACGGGCTGTTATTCCCGCGCAAGATGAACAACAGGGAGGTGCACAGCTGCAAGAAGACAACACGCCAGTCGAGCGCAGCGCTTCTCCCACGGACGTCGAGCCAGCTCCTGTACACGCTGAGGCAGAGGTGCCGAAAACTGCATTTGTCCCCCCACAGACTGCGGTGTTCACGGATAACGGCAAACCGGCCTTCGCATTCGTCTTCCCACAGATCGTTCCTACTGAGACGAAAGAACAAGACAAGAAAGAGGTCGATGTAGAGGATGTGCCTACTCGTCAGGAGGTCGCGGAGACTGTTGAGAGGGAAGTCAAGGATGAGCCGATTGTTGAGAGGGAAGCTGAAGTGGTTCTGCCGCGAGCTACTTTCTTTACGGATAATGGGAAGCCAGCTTTTAGTTTCCCCCAAGTTCCCGCTAAAGTCGACGAGGAAGTAGTTCAGATACCCACGGAGCCCCTTTCTAACGAGCCCTCGCTTGCGAAGGTTGCACCGCGAGCTACTTTCTTCGCCGACAACGGAAAGCCAGCGTTTACTTTCCCACGCATTTCCACTCCTACAGTCGACGAGGTCGTAGTTCCTGCGGCTGAGAAAACCAGCGACGATGTTTTGCCGGAGGCTCAGAGCACTGTCGATCAATCAAGCAGGGTCCAAACACCGCAGCCGCAGGTTAAGCAAGTGGCCGCCGAGTTACCAAAAGATCTTCCCGCCGTTGATGTCGCTCCAGCAGTGCCCGAAGGCGAAGATACTGCCAAGCTACAAGATGATGTCGCATCTGAAGTGCAGCCCTTGCCACAGACGTCCGGCACCACGCAAGACCATGGTTTGATTGAGGAGACAGTCGCGGCAGTAGAGCCGATTGTTGCTGAAGAGGTAGCTGCGTCGCCGTCAAGCAAGAAAAAGACCAAGAAGGGCAAGAAAGGCAAGAAGGCTAAGCGCGAAAGTATGCAACTTGAAGCCGAGTCGAGCACTCCGATTGCTGAGAGCTCATTGGAGGTTCCGACTGCTACTGAAGCAGGTGCCCCGCTGGAAGAGGTTGCTGATTCCACCACCCGTGATCGTGCGGTCCCTGATGTTGAGGGTGTCGCGCTGCCAAAGGAAAACACGCCTGCCGACGAACCTGTTACCGCTACGGAATCCGAGCTTCCACTCCCAATCGAAGAAGAGGCGACCTCGTCAGCGAACAAGGAGACGGGGAACGAGGGAAAGAAGGCGCAGGTAGATGTAGAGGCCGACACGCAAAGCATTGACAGGACGCTCGAACTCCCCACCACTCCAGCACGCAACGAGCTAGAGGAAAGCATCGAGTCTCGCCCTTTAGGTCTCCAAGACAACACTCTCCCTGCAACCCAGCCCGCCGAACTACCACAAGTCGAAACGTCTCTTGAACTACCCACTGCGTCGCTCCCAGTCGACGAGGAGCTGCCCCTAATTCCGACATCCAACAAGAAGAAGGGAAAGAAGGCAAAGAAGGCTAAGCGTCAGAGCACTCAGTCTGAGGTTCTCGTTGAAACGGAACCGAGCACACCCGTTGCAGTGGAGCGACCTGTGACCGAGGCGTCCCCTACCGTTGACACGAAGCCAAGCACACCTGTCATCGACGATCTGCCTGCCACCATCCCTGTACAAGATCATGCACCCACATCAACACAGCCAGTTGAACAGGAGAAAGATGTAGTCGCACCTGCAACTACGGCGCAGGACAACTTGCTGGAAGCCGCGGCTGCTATACCTGTGCCTGCGTCGCCTGTTCAAGAAGTTGAATCTGCTCCCGCTCAGGATGAACAGGTGGAGAACTTGCCGCGTCTGGAAGCAACGACAGCATTTGCCGAGGAGGAGTGGAACGACTCAGCAGAAGAGAAGAGTCTTCAGACTCTCGAGCCCCAAGTCGAGGTAGTGTCTGCGTCGGAGCCAGAGGTTGCGGT